GGGGTCACGAAGAGTCGGACACGACTAAACAACTAAACAACAACAAACTGTTTGGAATTAAGCTGTGTGGATGTTAATGGTAACGCCTGCTACCTCGCTGTCTGAAGCAGCACTCGTACACTCCACCTCTTTCATTTCTGTGTAGTAAACAACTCTTTTTGTAGAAAAGTTTATTGGGTGTATGGATTAAAAGCATGCACACATTTTAAATGAACACACACCCTGACTCCACACAAAAGGTTCCATTCCCCTCAGACGTGTTATGGTGAGTTCATATACATGCAGGACACCCATGTGGGTTCAAGCATACATACACCTTGTAACAAATTCCTATACAGTTCTGAGATCTCCCTTACTGGCTGTTAGGTTGGCGTCCGATCGACTGACTTCCGCTCTTGCATTGCTTGCTTGTATTAAGAGCATGCAAAGAGCCCTACAAGTGGATCAGGCCAAAGGGGGCCTGATAATTCTCCCCACTTCTTCTCCATTATTATTCGGTGGCATGGTGCCTCTGAAACTGGAGCCATTATGTAGCCATCATGACTTGATGGAATTGTCTTCAGAGAAGCTGTTGCATTCTCACCATAACTGCACTGCCCATTTCATCATGCTGGTCTTCCCTCTCACCCATTGGGATGATGTTCTACATGGTTGTCTTGTGTAAAGAGCCCCCATGTGGAGGTATCAGTTGACACAAGTCATTTGTCATTGTAAGACAGGAGGTGTCTTGTTGGATGTTACAGGGAAAATTCACCAGCTCACTTGGATTGCCAAACAAAGACTCCAGCCAAGATTATAGAAGCAAAACAGCAGCCAGTAGGTCTGATCTTTACTATTGCAACAAGACTTCAAACTACAACATGGAAGAAGCAGAAAGAAGCCCTGAACAAAGGATGGCTCCCCTTTTTATAAGTTTCCCAAATTACCCATAACACCCTTACTAAAGGATCATACATTTGTCATAACTATGTCATAAATTGGGAGGGGTCTTCTGGCAGAAACCTGACCTCCCCCTTCCAATCTTTAGGTGAAACAAAGGTAAGCAATTTACATTTTCCTGTTTTCCCAGCCAAATTAAGCACACCTTTTTTTCTTGACTGAGACCCCAATCCACGAAGGTTGAGTTTGGGATTGTTCTTGGAATGACTACCTGTCTGGCACTCAGGTGCCAGGATGCCAGCGATTATCACCCGGGCAGTGGAGCCGATTATAGCTGCCCCTACCCATGTCCCAAGCTCCTCCCCTGTGACATTTACTCCGAGTCCTGTAGTGATTTCATGCTCTTTATTGCAGCTTGTAAAACAGTGACTGAATTGCCCCCCAAACCTCAGGCTTTTATATACATTATTTACACAATGAGTCCTGTCTGATCGGCTGGTTCTGCTTCCCTCCTGGAGCCTGATTGGTCTTTTCCTGCAAGCCAATCAGTTGTTGCATTCTAGGATCCTACTTGCCGCCCCCCCAGCAGTGAATGATATTCCAAGGTAGAGTGCCTCTGAACATGAAGGATCTATTCAGCCACTGCAACCCAATAGCTCCTGAGGCTTTTGAAGAGAGGGCCCCTGGCACACAGAGTCTAATAGCGGCTGTTTTTGACCGGGAAAATGGCATGTGAAGAGTTAAGCATATTCCCAATCTGTTTAAGCAGCCCTGTGCGATTGCTCATACATTTTAAAGAAAACCTATCCAGGGAAACCTCTGAGGTGAACCTCTGGTAACTCACCAAAGAACAAGCCAATGAGGACCCCCAAGAGGGTGAGGGAGCCTTCGCTTGAAGCTCTCACAGTCATCTTGGCCTGTGGTGGACAGATAGATGCATCAACAACTTTATTGCAGAAGCAATTTGAAGTGGTGGTTCAAGAAGCAAGACTTCTGCTTTCCTTCTCCTGCAAAGACACAAACGGTGGCATGTGGTGCAAGTCCAGGAGAGCCACTGAGGAGTGGGGGGGGTGAGATTTCCTTCATCATGCTCATGTCAGGCTCATTCCCTCCAAACACACATCCTGTCCCCTTATCAGGCCAGCACTCCCCTCGCCCGCTTCTTGCCTTTATGTACTTCTGAGAAGCCCCAAACAAACATTTCAAGTCAGAACAGAAGCTGGCCAGCGCATGCGAGTCTACACTTCTTTGAGACCTACGACTCCATCTGGCTCCCAGCCGCGCTTGGTCAAGCTTTGGAGTGGAGCCAATTCTTTTTTTTTTTTATGTATTTTATTAAAGATTTTCTTGATTTACAGAAGTATGTGTAATGTCCCTCTCTCGTATTTTTTCCATGTAACATTTTTACAAATCAGTTTCATTTGTTGAGACATTAGGAAGAAAAGGGGAAAAGAGGTAGAGGGGGGAAGGCGAGTGGGGTTGGGGTTGGGTGGCGATGTTTCTATTTTACTTAATATATGTGGGGTTTGGTGTCAGCGTTGCTTGTGCAGGTTCTCTGCTATTCACTTGTGTTCCTTTGGTGGTGAGAGAGGTTGGGGCTGCCCTATGGTGTGGCTGTTCATTTGTGGTTGGCTGTGGTGGTCTTTGTTTTCATGTGTGAGTGGGGTGGGTGGGTGTTTTGGATCAGGTTAGCCATATTGATTTGTATGCCGTTGGTGGAATTTTGTCGTTGTCTTGTTGGGCTGTGTGTGTGATAAAGGGGAGCCATACCAGGGTGAAGGTGTCTTCTTCTATCAGTTTCAGTTTATTGGTTAATTTTTCTAGTAAGGCTGTTTCCCACACTATTTGGTACCATTGGTCCATGCTTACACCTGACAGGTCTCTCCAGTGGAGTGGAGCCAATTCTTATTTCCTTTTCTTCGATCCAACTCCCGTGTAGCGACAGCCAGCTTTAAGTCCTCTAGCCAGGCCTCTCCCACTGCATGCATGCGCTTTTGCAAAAGGGCTCTCTTCCAACCTGGCCTAGAGCAGAAGGGAGTCAGGGCACATTAAACGGACCTGCACCAAACCCGGGAGCAGCTCCCAAAGCAGTGAGGGAGACAGCTTGCCATACTTGAGAGCACCTCTACCAGTGGAGAACCCGGCTGTTGTCAAACCAGCATCTGTTCAGGGCTGCCCCGAGTCACCGTGCGACCTACTCTAACCACTTCATGGCAAGTTCCAGCACTTACAGCTAAACCTCAGTTTTCAAATGTGATCCATTCAGGAAGACCGTTCGACTTCCGAAACGTTCGGAAACCAAGGCACGTCAGCAAATTCATTTGAGAAAATTGAAAAACATGCAGCAGAAGCCATCCGACTTCCGAGGTGCGTTTGAAAATGGAAGCATTTACTTCAGGGTTTTTGGCATTCAGGTTCTGAAACGCTGGTCAACGGAGAGGTTCGAGAACCGAGGTTCCGCTGTATTGGTCTTGCGGGGAAAGCACTGGACCTAGCCATATTACAGCCTTTCCCTAATTTCTGCACTGAGTGCAACAATAGTTGTTTAGGGAGGTTTTTAATGTTTGATGTATTACTGTATTTTATTAGTGTGTTGGAAGCCGCTCAGAGTGGCTGGGAAAACCCAGCCAGATGGGCGGGGTATAAATAATAAATTATTATTGTTGTTGTTATTAGCTCATTTAAAAGAACAACAGCACTGGGTTAGATGCTCAGGGGCTATCTAATCACAAGTTGCCATCTTACACATCTCAAGGCTTAATCTTATTTACTTTCTTATTGCCTTTATATCCCACCTGTTCTCTTGAGGAGCTCAAGGTGGCATAGATGGTTCTTGCCCTCCTCATTTAAACCCCACAACAACCCTGTGAGGTAGGTTAGGCTGAGAGGCAGTGGCAAAGAATTTCGTTTTATTTTTTAAGTAACAGCAACACTCCTGAATCGCCCTCCCTCTCTGCAGCAGCTGGAGAGATAACCTAACATACAGTAAGTCATATAAAACTTGTCAATAAATAATAGGCACAGATAAATGAGCAAACAGGCTTTAGTCTAAGGGGTTAGGATGCAGCTTTTTTTAGGGCAATGTCCCCTCCCCTCTCCACAGGTGGTTTAGAAAAGACTGGATTCCTCTAGGTCAGAGATGGATTCTTTAGCTTTCTGGGCCTTGCAGAGCCTGGGAGCTGCTTCCCCTCCGTCTCTTGGCCTCTGCCATGTTGACTCCTTTGAGCTCTTAAAATGCCTGTGCAGACCACTTTCTCAGGCAGGTTTGTCAGCAGCGCTGTGTTATTGCCAGCACCTCCTTAATTTTGCTAGCCCCTGCTGCCAAAAGAGACCCAGCAAAGAGGCTTGTAGCAGCCGTCCCCAACTTGGCACCTTCCAGATGTTGTTGGCCCAACTCCCATCATCTCGGACCGTTGGCTATGCCGATGGGAGTTGGATTCCAACAGCATCTGCATTGCTATCCTGCGCAAACGAAGCTGTTTGCCTGGGATTTTTGGGTGGGCAGGAAGGTGAAGGGGATTTTGAGAGTCCAGGTGGTTCATGGAGCGTGCTCTGCTTTTATCTGTTTTGTATAAGCAATGTAGGATCGGTTATATTCTTGCGTTTTATTATAATGTAAGCTCCCCTGGAATCCTTGGAAGAAAGGCAGGTTAGAAATTCTCTCATAAATAAAAATTGCAGTGGGAGACTTAAAAAGCATTAGTTAGCAACCTGGGAGCAGATGTTGTCTGCCCAAGGAAGTTGCTTGTTTGTGTGCAGGTGTCATTCGGAATATATAACAAGATGAAAGATGAAAAGATTTTTTTTAATAATTCCAGTAATTTAGCTTTAGGATGTATAATGGGACATGAATCCAATATCTCCATTCAGACCAGGTCTCTCCATAGTTTTTAGTTTGGTAATGAGTTGTAATTCAGCAACTTCTCTTTCAAGTGTATTTCTAAAATTCTTCTGCAATAAGACAGCTACCTTAAGATCTTGTATAGAATGCAATTAGAAGCTAATTTTGGTCATCTATCCCTTTAAGAATCCCTGGCCCTTCCCTGTGGAACCAACTGCCATAACAGTCTTCAAGAGTTCTAAGGCTGAAGTATCTGACGAAGTGTGTATTACACACAAAAGCTCATACCTTGAAAACTTACGTAGAGTTGATCTTTAAGGTGCCACTGGAATTATTAAAAAAGATTTTTTCATCTTGTTATTTATTATGACTATGACAGATCAACATGGCCTTCCACCTGAATCTGGTGTCATTCGTAGTTGACCTCTCCCACGCACACTGTCTTAGGCGACTTATTCCGGTTTTCAACTTCGGCTTTTGATCTCAAAACGTTCTGTTTATCACAGCTGATTCCTCTGTTCGTCTTGATTGGAATCGGAGGGACCGGCCTGTGCACCATGCGCCTTGCTCTTCGCAACCCTGATGTCAGGTAAGTGCCACCCCTCAGGGCAGGATCAGCCCTTGGCCTGGTGCTGACAACTGCCATCCCCGCAAAACCACGTCACGTGCTCCCCGCCTCCCAGTGGCGCTGGGTGTCCTTCACTGATGGATGCGAGGCAGCGCTTTGGAATGGGACCTCAGCTGGACTCCCATCCGTGGCAGCTGCCCACTACTTTACGCAACTCAGAATTAATCACAGGGATCCGTGGCCTGAGAGGATGGGAGTGAGCTTGGCTTCTTTTCAGAAGCGACACTGCCACTGAAGAGCATCTGGGGACCCAGTGCCAGGGACTGGTGGCCTGGCTGGGCCAGGCTGATAAGCACCCTTCCAAGCTCCTTGGGGGCAGAGCTTTTGCCACTTCTTTAAGTGTTGCATCTTAAAGCGCAACCTGAATAAAATATGACCTGCTGTGCTCCAGAGGTAGCATAATAATAATAGTTATAAAACAAATTATAAAACCACAGTAAAACATGAGTGTCAGCTTCTTAGCTTTAGAGTAAGAAAGCCAACCATATAAGCATTGCCATTCCTCAGCCGAGTTGTATCCAAGGCATTGCAATGAGCGGTACAGCATAGCTAAAAGGGTATTTGGGAAGAGAGTAAAGCCAATGAACTGTCTCAGCAGAAAGCACAAAGTCTATCAGGAACCTGTCATGGAGAAAGTGTAGGATTGGGTTGCCAGCATCGAGTTCTGTCCAGCACTGCCTCACCAACTTGCCGCTGTCTCTGGTGCAAGGCAGTGAGAAGCTGCCCTTGCATTTATGTAACTGTGTGTTAACTGGCTTTAAAGGGCTTTTACAAATACTTGGGGTACGGTGGCCTTTTTTTACATCCCACATTATAAAAGAAGTGTGCTCTTCTGGTGGCACTGAGGAGGCCATGATTGTTAAATTTGGTGGGAACCATGTGCCAACAGTTGGGCAGAGCGTTACGCTTTATGCTGTATGTTTTTCTTCTTCTTCCAAAGATGTACTCCTTGCTGTCTGCCTCTTGTCACGTTGCTCTGCCTGGCTGGGACAAAAAGAGCAACCCAGAGCCTTGGAACAAGCTGTGACCCAACGACCAGTTCAAGGTATGGTAGGAAATACTTAACTAGGGTTATGATGCTGGTTATCTTATAGGCCAGGGATGGGGAGCCTGGTGTCCAGCAGAGATTGTTGGGACTCCAACTCCCATCAGCCCCATCCCTGAAATCTACGGAAGATGGGTAATAATAATAATAATAATAATAATAATAATAATGGCCATTTGGTGGGAGGAATAATAAGCTTCAGCTTTGGAAGGCCTGGTGTGTGTGATCACAGCATTTGGGGTTGGACTAGATGACCCTTGGGTTCCTTCTATGATTCTTCATTCTCCTCTCCAGTGCAATCTTCTAAACTCTGACTGAATAAGCAGGATAGATCCCTGAGTTTCTGCCATTGACTTGTGGTTCTTCCTGCAAAATTGCTTTTAAGCCCATTAAAGTTGAATGATTAGAGATCCTTTCCTGCCACTTCCGAGTCACCTTCAATGGTAGCCCCACGTAGAGCGCATGGTAGTAGTCCAAGCTGGAGATAACGCTTAACCGTGCTGCCCTCTTTCAGTTCTATGCGGTGAATGCAGACTATGACAAGCTGAAAAAAGGAGCGCCCAGATATCTGAAGAGCAAATGAATCTGGGAGCTATAGTTTGGGTCTTTGGGTTTGATGCTTTGTAACTGGATCTGTAATGGCTTTTAGTCAAATACAACAAATGAATGATTGACTGACTGACTGACTGACTGATGGAAAAGTGCTTTTTTACTGAGATGCTAACTTTCTCTCTGCATGCCATTCCTTGAACAGCAAAGATAAGGCTTGCTTTCATTGCTCTGTTCATTGGTGCATTTGACTAGTGTTATGTGGAGGGAAATGCAGCCCCTGGGCTGAAAAATGTCCCCCTCCTGCCCCCTTGGGTGTCCGGTGTGGCCTTCACAGATATAGACACAACTTGGGGGAGGGTGTTTTGGCTGCTGAGCTGCGCCCCCCCCCATTGTGAGGGCTGAGGGTGTGATGGTGATGCCTCCCCAGCTGCTGCCATTGTCTGTGGGTTGACTGTGATGCCACAAAAACATAAATGTGGGCCAAGGCGCAAGCCTCAGCAGTTGCCCTCCCCAGAGAGAAATGGGCAGCTTGGTGGCACTCAGCCCTGGTGGTCTCCTGCCCCGTGGCAGCAAGCTGACAAGTGGAAGGAGGCAATCGCCTGGTGCTGGGATGCTGTGGAGCAAGGAGAAGGCAAGTACAAAGTTGACTTGCTGGTGGGATCGCTACCTGAAGGCGACGGATATTCAGCTCTGAAGCTGGTTGATGTCTGGCAATGGACCTGGCAAGGCTGCAGCTGGTGGGTGGTTGTTGGAAGAGTCTGCGTTCAGGCTAGTGGATGCCGTGAGGCAGAGATGGATGCAAAGTGGTTTGGAAGCCTTATTTGTTAACAGGCAGCCAAACAGAGGAGGAGTCTGGAGGGACACTGTTGGATAGGGGCCATCCCACTCACCTGTTTGCCTTTGCCTTACAGGGATGTCCGGAGCCAGTGAGGTTTTCCCCAAGTCCAGCCTTCAAAATCATGAAGAGAACCGCAGGATGTCCCTATTTACATTGGAGAAATGAATGTGAAATACTGGCAGCGAACAATGGACAAGGCCGTGGCCGTACCTGAGAGAAGGAGCTTTGAAGGGAGACTGCAGGCGGACATCTGCTGCATTGCAAGTGATGGGGCAGTGGGGAGAGAGAAGAAAATGAGGGAGGATACATTAGGGCACATTAGGCGCACCGTCCATTGGAAGTGCTATGAAGACGCTTTGAACAGGAATGGCTTCCCCTCAGGGATTCTGGGAACTGTAGGTGGTTAAGGGGACAGAGAGTTGTTAGGCGGGTTAGGTTTAGGCTTAGGGTTAGGCTTAGGCTTAGGGTTAGGAGTAGGGTAGGGGTAGGGTTGAGTTGAGTTGGGGTAGTGTTAGTGTTAGGGTTAGGGTTAGGGTTAGGGTTCCCTTCTTGTCAGGGAACTTTGGGAATTGTAGCTCTAGTTAAGGGTTAAGGGTTAAGGGTTAGCGTTAGCGTTAGAGTTAGGGTTAGCGTCAGGGGGAGGGGTAGGAGTAGAGTTCCCTTTTTGCCAGGGAACTCTGGGAATTGTAGCTCTGGTTAGGGGGTAGGGTTGGGGTTCCCTTCTTGCCAGGGAATTCTGGGAATTGCAGCTCTAGTTAAAGGTTAAGGGTTAGCGTAAGCGTTAGGGTTAGAGTTAGGGTTAGCGTCAGGGGTAGGGGTAGAGTTCCCTTTTTGCCAGGGAACTCTGGGAATTGTAGCTCTTGGAGGGGAACAGGGGGTCTCCTAAAAACTCTCTGCACCCTTTTCAAACTACAGCTCCCAGATTCTTTGGGGGAAGAAGCCATGAGTGTTTAAAGCAGCTTCATAGCACATGAAATGGTGTGGATGTGGCCCTGGCCTCCCTCACCCCACTGCCCCTTATTATTGAGGAATCGAAAAGATTTCCCTATGCAAATCTCTCGGAAACAATGTATTTCATCTGGAAAACTATTTAATAAAGATTACTTTTTATTAAAACCTTTGACTGTGTTTGAACTGTGTTTGAGTGCGCAGAGAATGATTTCACTTGAAAGCAATGCCCTTAGGTTACAGAATCATGGAAGAGCTAGACGGGACCACGTGGGTCTTCAAGTCCAGCCCCTGCAGGAATCTTTTGCTCTACGTGGGGCTCAAAGGACGGCCCTGAGATTAAGGGTCTCGTGCTCTACTCAATGAGCTATACGGATTGATCTAAATAGCAAACACCAATTATTTATTCTTTACAATTTACAGTGGTGTAAAATAAAGGGTGTAGGAAATGAAATGATTGTTGCCTTTTCATTGTTTAAGGGTTTTGTTAAGACTTTTGATTCAACACACTTATTTCAATATACAGTTGTACCTTGGTTTTCGAACTTAATCCGTTCCGGAAGTCCAATCCATAAAATGACAGCAATAGACCAGGCTGCAATCTACTACCCAGTATATAAACCCTTCCCCTGCCCATGCCATCCTGTGAGGGAATACCGCGGCAGTCACTTCTTGTCAGCGAAGCTCAGATGCTGACAGGAGGAGAAGAAGCAGGCAGAGGGAGAGAACCCTTAGCAGCCGAAGGCAGAGAGGAGGGGGAGAGCAGCTGTAATCTGAGCTCATTAGGCAAAAGGGGGGGGACCAAGGTGCCAACAAAATTCTGTTTTATTTTTTAGCTATGCTAGAAAGACCAAAGCAGGTTGCAAAGAATTTCGTTTTATTTTTTAAGTGACAGCAACACTCCTGAATCGCCCTCCCTCTGCAGCAGCTGGAGAGATAACCCTAACATACAATAATTTCCTATATTAGTCATTACTTTTGTTGCAACTAAATGATTACTGTACTTTGAAAAATACCTTTGTAAATGAAAACTCAGGCCTTGCTAGCTTCACAGCGTTCCTATGGCAGCAGTTTTGCACATGTCTAGTCACAGCGAGAGATGTGTTTAATGACATCATGATGTCTGCTGAGCACAGCGTATTTAAAGCCATCATTCCATCTTCTGGGGCCTGAAAGGTATTGAGCCTGCTGCTAATTGGGAATCCACAAACTCTATAAAGGTAGACTCACACAGAGGGTACATTCCAGGCAGTCTTAGGAATGCTCTTTTGTAATGCAAGTAAATTCCATTGTATTTAACTTTTGAGTAGACCATAGAGTTGAACTGCCAGCGGATGAAAAATATTGGTGGGTTAGTGTTTTTAAACATTCATTTTATTTATTATCTGCCCTTTACTGTAAGTACCCAAGGCAGATTTAAAAGCACAAGCCATTTCAGTGCAAAGCAATGCAGCACAACATATTATATTAATTATTATTATTATTATTATTATTATTATTATCCTCCCCCCTTCAGCAGAAGGTCCCAAATGCCTTTTGGATTTGAGCTGAATGAGAGCATTTACTTTTTGCTGTTGGAACCTGGAAGATGTTTTGCATAGGCGAGCTGGATCTCTGTCTTGCAGACTGATCTTGCTAACCTGCAATTTTAACAGCAGACTACCTTGTGATGCTGCCATTAGGCTCTCTTTCTTAGCCACGACCCGACCCCCAAGCTGTAATATTTGGATAATGTAGACTGCACTGGAAAAGCAATAAAATACAATGAGAGTGCAAGCCTCCTCAAGTTTACTTAGTTTGGATGCAGCCTCTGCGCTCAGGATCCAAATGCAGTGTTTTATTTAGTGGTGTACACAGGCTGATTCCAAATTTTAAAAATACAGATCCAATTAGCTTCCTTTTAAATCTGAATTAGATGGTTTGTTTCACCTACAAAGAGCTCAAGAGTGGGATACGTGGTTCCCTTTCTCCCCCCTTTATCCTCACAACAACCTTGTAAGGTAGGTTAGGCCAAGAGACAGCAACTGGCTCAAGGCTACCCAGAAAACTTCAAAGTCCAGTGGGGATTCTTATTTCAGTTTCACAAAATCACAACACTGCTGTCATTTTGCAAATACTTTATCTTTTTATTTTTTGCCCTTAGAAAAATATACATTTTTTTCATCCAGTACCACATATTAAAAGTATAGAAAAGCATTAACAAAATGCTGGCTTTATTCTGGGTAACTGAAGATTCATCTCTTATTCCATGCTCTGTGGATTCTCCTCCAAGGATCACTCAGGACAGCTGCAACTAGTATGAAAAATATCAGCATCAAGCCTTTGGCAAGAGTCTGAGAGTACGGTTCTCCTGAAAGACAGTTTGAAACAGTAATCAACAGTAATCAACTGTAGTAATAACATGACATGATAGCTGATTTGTGTCTTGAGTCCTGTCATTCCAAAGCCAGAACCACCGTCGTAAAAGCCCTACTTGATGTCGCATTTGAACCTTTCACAATGAGATTCACCTGACTGCAAATATAGCACGGACTGATACTGAGCAAGGAAGTTCCTGTAATTAGTACATAAGGTAAAGGTAAAGGGACCCCTGACCATTAGGTCCAGTCGTGGCCGACTCTGGGGTTGCAGGGCTCATTTCGCTTTATTGGCCAAGGGAGCCGGCGTACAGCTTCCGGGTCATGTGGCCAGTATGACTAAGCCGCTTCTGGCGAACTAGAGCAGCGCACGGAAACGCCCTTTACCTTCCTGCTGGAGCGGTACCTATTTATCTACTTGCACTTTGATGTGCTTTTGAACTGCTAGGTTGGCAGGAGCAGGGACCAAACAACAGGAGCTCACCCCGTCGCGGGGATTCGAACCGCCAACTAAAACACCTACAAATTATTTAGTTGTAAGCTGTAAGGGATAAGGAACCTCCTTAGATTCCAGTTCCCATCAACCCCAGCCAGAGTGGCCTAAGGTGAGGGATGATGAGGAATTGGAGTCCAGCAACACCTTAACAAGGCTCGACACCCTTGTGTAAATAACCCATCTGAATGCTTGTCAAGAAACCACCAGCTTCCCTCTATCTTTTTACCAGTGTAGTAGCGTGTCAAGGGATAAAGAAGTTCTGGCCAGCAAACATCATTCCTCTTGCAGTCATATTCTGTGTAGTTAATCTGAAATCTGCAAAACAGTTTAAAATAAAGTCTTACAGTCAGATGGATGTTGTTTTATTAGATTTGTAAATTTTTCCTGATGCTGGGGAATGCTACCTGTTGTTAATAGACAGTGGGGAGGGGGGCAGTGTATGTGTGTGTGATAGATCCTTATTGTGTGATCACCACAATCAGGACCAGCAGGACACAGCTGACTTCCCATGGTAAGCATGGGGGGGAGCAGCAATGGTGTTTACTTGTTCCAATTCTGTGTTATGCTATGCCCCCATGGCAGCCATATTGTTATGTCACAGCCCACTGCAGCTATTTTGTGACTTTCACATAATTCAAAATGTGCTCTCTGTTCCAAAAAGGTTGGTGACCCCGGTCCAATGAATACACTGTGCCAAGCTACTCAGGTATCAAAACGACTACCCCTTTTTTCTATTAAGCCAAATTCAACGTTTAACTGATGCTATTATTATTACTATTATGATTTATATACCTGGGGATCTCAGGGTGGGTCACAGAATAAAATCAAGATATAAAACCACAAAATAAATAATAAAAATAAAAACAACCACCCAATAGCCCCCCCCCCAGAAAAACCACATTTTAAAAGGGCACAGGATGTAAATCAGATCAACCATAGATATTAACACATTTAATAGAATTACAGTAACATAGCATCCAAGAGGGTTACCTTGTCATTGGAACAGGGGGTTGTGCTGGTATTTTAATAAACTGCACTGCAGCAGAGATAGAAAGAGAGCTGGCTTTATCTTCACAGGCAATTGGACACTGAACTTGCCAGGTTACTGTTGAAATACTAAATATGAAGAGAAAATATATATTACAAAACCTCAAGCAACAACACTGCAATATTAGGCTACATACTGTTATAGCAGCTTTGATTTTGTCAATATCCTTACATAAGGTGACCAGTTAGATCTGCTTTAAAGTACAAAGGTCAATCTTACACTTGCATTTCACTTCAACTGCCTACTTTCTTGTAATGATTTTGAACATTAGATGGGAGCATTGTAATCAATTAGGCTAACATTTAAAAGGTAGCAATCTTAATATCCTTTGCCTTCATCTAGATGAGCAGGTAGTGAATTTATTGAATTGAATAAATAACTGTAAGTTACAGTATTCCCAGGGCTCAAGTGTCTAGCATAACACATTGCATTGCCCCTCTTCTAGCAGAAAATGGAGATTGGTACAATACAAATCTACTTAATTTGCATAATGTATTTTTATTGACCCAAGACTCTTCTCACCCAGTGCAGAGTATAACACAATGGAGAAAACCATTGTAAATTTGTGAAAGAAAAGAAAGAGCAGTTCTGCCGAACATAGCTAGTTTTCTTACGTACCTGACCTGTACCCCAACTATCTCCGGCTGTGGAATCCCTTCTACTGCTCCAACATCAGCAATGATAATTTGAATATTCAAGTGGGTAGGAATATCAAGGCAAATCCCTTTCAAATCTCCAAAACTTGCATTTGTATCTGCACCAAACGTATCTAAATCTGTTAATGGGGGGAAACATTGTTCTGAGAACTACTGAACAGTGTTGAACAGCTTATCTTTTTCTTTCAAGGTTACAAGGGAAAAGGGGCAATGTTGTTGTTTTCATTTTTTTAAGGGGCAGGGCTAATTGAACACAATGAGATGACCTGCTGAATAAACACACAGAGGACAGAATAATTAATCATGCTTTCCAGAAAACAGAGCAACCCTATACTCTTAAATACATGGAGATACTATTTTCTTACATCTACATCCTGCCTGTCTTCAAGACAGCACACGCACAGTTCCTAGGCAACTACCCATCCAGGTTCTGATCAGACCCAGACCTGCTTAGATTCTGCAAGGAGGTGACCTCATGTGTCTTCAGACTTTAACCTGGGACCACATGACACCACTGCATCCGATGGCCCCTCAAACAGTATTACAATTATTCTGTAATTTCATTTTTTAAAAAATATCAAAATTCAACTGCACAACTTTGAATCTAATATGGAAAAAATAGTCATGCTTTGTGGTGTTTAAAATTTTACTATCTCAAAATGTTTATACATGTGATTATGCCATATGCTATTAAATTAATTTTTTAATAGGAATGACTTAACTAAATGAAAACTCAGCAATTGACTCAATGCTAGTGAATGTTGGTACTCACAAATAATTTCCACCCAATCATCTGGAGCGCTAGTAGAGGAGTTCCCTCTCTTTCCGACATGAGTAGCTTGCACCAACGAATTAAGTCTTTTGGTAACATTCTCCCTGCAATAATGGAAGTTGGAACATTACAATTATCCACACTTGAAAATAAATTATTCAGGGTAGCAGAAGCCAATACAGCTTTGTTGATGAAAACATTGCTCTCCTTTAATGTCCTGGGATTTTTGTTTAGCCAAAGTGTGGTTTGTTTTATCGTCCAAACCAAGTCCCACAAGATAACCATAGTCTGTTTTCTCGCAACAAACTTCAATTTGAAACCATGATTTGTTGATGGCTTATTTTAACTACACAACAGCCCTATTTAACCATGGTTTGGTTGTCCAACGCACACTAAAGGCACAAAGCAAAACCAGCAGGAAATCAAAACACACTTTAGAGAAACAAGCTGCAGCTTGGATACTCATCTCTTTGATAATTCACGGTTTGCTGAACAAACCATGGTTAAAAGAAACCATGGCTAAGTGTTATGTTCAAATGTAACCAATGATAGAATTTCAATGTGAGATTAAAACTCCCTCATCACTTCAGACTTTCCACAAGTAGAAAAAGGGAAGAAAACACTCCATCTCACCTCAACTGATTGCAGTTGTCCTTAAGATCAACTTCTAAAATGCATCCAGAGATTGAATTTAATCCGAACAAAACTGGTGTGAGACCTGCCGATGCACACAAGCCTTTGCCATCTATGTAACAGAAGTATTTGCTTGAGAAAACCTCATATTTTTTTCAGGTTCTTGCTTACAGTTTTATGTAATATAATTTTTAAACAAAAATTACTAAGGCGCACAATAAAATAATAATGTTGAGATCTTACTGAGTTCACCTTTTTACATCCATGAGAAACAGAGATGTTTTAATTCAGTCCAAGCTGAAGTGACTGCGCTGTCACAGAGCACTTCTACCCAGGACCAAGACCATAACGCTGTTTCAGGAAAGCTTTTTAAATGGCAGATCTCAGTATTTCCCTTCTGAAGCATTTCAAAGGAAAGTGGTATGATATCAGAAGCAAAAAGCAGAAAAGCCAACTAAGGCTTTAGGTAGAAACAGAGTCTAATTATCTCTGTATCTGCCATAGATCAGATAAATACATATTTATAGTTAGTTTTACAGTATATTTCGAATCAACAAAACACATATCAACTCCAATTACACTGTTATAATAATAATAAACAATTTATTTATCTATTTATCTATTTATTATTTCATTATTTATACCCCGCCCAAGTGGCTCGGTTTCCCCAGCCACTCTGGGCAGCTTACCTTAACCAAACAGTATAGAAGATTGAAATTAGTGTTAGGGTGATAAACCTAATTCTGAAATGTTCATTTGTATCACGGTTCTATAACACTCCATATCAAAATGTAGTACCGGGCTTCCAAAGTTGCAAAATGGTGACAGCATCGGAAGAATTCAGATTTGCTGCTCTAATCGGTTTGCCAATTTGATAACCTATACAGAAAGAGATGGTTTTCTGTAAAGTTTTATAGATGTTAATCATTGTCGACAAGCAATACTGTCAAATAACTATGTTATAGTGCATCCTTAGCCATGTCTGCTCAGAAGTAAATTTTACTGAATTTAATGCTTAAACCCAGGTGAGGGGTTGGGATTGCAACCTTAAGTCTTCCTAGAGTTAACACCCAAAGCATCAGGTTTTGACATTTTCACTCCCCACATACATCATTACAAATATGTTGCATTTTCTCCGGCGAGCATATAAACACCACCAATGAGGCTTTTCACCTGGATTCCCAGACAATTCTTCTCTGCTTGTAGTGTTTACACTCACAAAGTTGACTGTGAATTTCTGTGTCAGTATTTCTGAAAAAGGAAAAGGATACACAATAAACACTAATGAAAAGGAGGAATACCACTTTGTTGAACCTTTAATTCAGCAATTATCATACAAATCATAACCTAAATTTTGATAACTAATACAATACTGCATCCTTTAAAACCCACTGATATTTCTCTGTTTATATATAGATCATTTCAAAGCTGAATAGATCTTTTCGTGATTTCTATACACCACTGCAGAGGGCAAGGTGTGCACTTTTCTGGATACACAGCATATATGATGGCTACAGGGCAACCCTTTAGTATTTGTAGCTACAGGAGAAGAACCTCAGGATATGATACAACCAGCACAAAGGATGTCCTGCTCTTTTTTGCTTGGTTTTTCTTTCAATGGGGCATATAGCAGACATGTGGCAGAATCTTTTCTCATCAAAATCAGATAAACAAATGTCAAATCCAGTGAACTTCTTTTGCTGCACAGAGCTAGAGGTCTGTGAAAGCCCTCCTGAGAGGTCTTTTGACTCACAGCATGCATGACTGGAGTTGATGGAGGCTCCACCTACTGAAATAGACCAAGCATTAAGTCCTTTCCATTCTCCTGCCTCTTCAGCAAGTGGGAGAAGTTCTGCAGACCTGGATACAGCAAGTATTTGGCACGTTCAGAAAGGTACCAAGTACATGGGGGTCAGGATTTGCTGGCCCCATCTTACCAGCCACCGAGCTGAAAATTCTCTTTCATGTCACACTCCAATAATGTCTCAAGATTATGCCATATAAACAACAAGGATTGGGAGTGGGAGAGAAACTGAGCAAGGAATGCAAAAAAGAACAAGGATGGTACCTTCTGGACATACTGCTCCAGAAACGACGGTGACTTGTATTTCTATTATTCTCTTGCCTTCCCATATGATTGTATAATCTTCTCCAAAGGTCACATTTCTGCATTCTGAACACAAAAAACAATTTGTATGAAATCCAAATTTCATTGTAATTTAAAGAAAGCTCTAGCGATCTGGTGATTTAGAGAGAGAGTTGAACACAGACTTACCTCTGCCAGTGCAGCTACCTACATCAGTGTCTTTCCTCTCATGGGTCACCTGTGGCTTGATGCTGTCTGGCAAGAAAACAGATTATTGAGTGCAACAAGTCTGAAAAACAACCTGCAACAAAAGCAGATTGTAATTGCAGCAAGAGGGATCCCAGATGCAGAATAAGACATACAGATGGTTTTCTAGAGCATAACTTGCACAGGGGGAAAGATTATGATTTATTCATAGACGTATTCATATATCTCCCACTCATAAAATATCAAGGTATTGCACTACATAAAATAATGCAAAACAATGCAAAATATGACTGGCTCATCTAAAAAAGAAAATTGAACTGAACAGGCCTGTCAGCATAAAAATGATGATGGATATGCAGCTTGCGTAGCAGGATTCCTGAACCTAGCAACCAGTTGGTTGGGGAGGAGGTACTTGCAGTTCTTTCTTCTTTTCAACAGATGACTTGACACTATCAGTCCCGATAGTGCCCTTTGTTGTCAGGGCATGGTCTGAAAGCAGAGAATGCAGCAATCTTGTTGAAGATAAGCAGGTCTTCAGGTTGTGGTCAGAAATTACCTAGGACCTCTAGGCACACTACCTTGAGTTCGACCTACGAGTATGTATATATTGTTGGTGGATCAGTGTTTGCAAGCTCATAGTACGATTTGAGAGAAGAGCCAGGTCAAATTATACCTTGCATCATTTTACTTCATTTTACTCTTGAAGATAAAGAACAGTTTAAGCCTGGCAGCCATGCCTGAAAACAATGGTCACAGGTATTAGAAAATAACACTTCAATCAACCTCATTCTGATGGAGCAAAGAGCAATCTATTATTTCTGATCCCAACGTACCTCCAGTACCGCTGTTTATTGCTATGTTAGGTGGCGTGCTCCCCACTCCATCACAAGCGCTGAGACATTCGACTTCAAAATTCTGAAGGAAGGCAACAGGGGCATTTCTTGCACATTGCCCAGCTATGAATTGCTGCATCACATAGGAAGAAAAGAGCTGAACTTCAGATTTGTTTTGTGAAATTTGTTTTCTCTCCTAAACAAGCTCAAAGCCAGCAGTAGAGAACTTTTTTTTCATCTTGAGGGGGCCACTTCCTCAGTGGACAATTTTGGGGTGGGGGCTGCATTCCAGTGGTGGGTGCAGTCAGAGGCAAAACTGAGCAGGGCTAGAAGCAAAAGCAGGAGCAGCAATGGGTTTGGCTCTGATCTTTGTACAGTAGGTCATACTGTAGTCCAGCCACACAAAAGACAGCCTCTACATCCCGTGTTTCTTCATCCAGGCAAGCAAGAGTTCAAAGATAAATTCCAGCCAGGCGAAAGCACACGAAGGGGATACACAGCAGGGGGCAGCAGGTGTTTTGGAAGGAGGGGCGTGACCGAGGGAGACTCCCAAAAGCCTGATTTAGGAGCTTGGTGGGTGCCATTTATCCCATGAGCCAGAGGTCCCTCACACTGCTCTAAGCAAACACAAAAAGAGCCACTCACTCAAGCAGGCTGTCATTACCTGAGGAACTGTAAAATACCCATTCTGAACAGTCATAACTGGATCTCCTTGTCTGTAACCACTGGAAAGTTTTCCTGGGATGGTTTGTAATGGTACTTTAAATGAAGAAACTCGGGGTGAAGAACTGCAAAAAACATTTTTTTAAAAAAAAACCCCACATTTGTATATTATTAAAGCCTTCAGTTTCTACAGAATCACAGCATTATGCTTGCTGAGTGGAGAAAGAGGACAGAGAGAGGAGCTTTTCTTTCTCTCTTATAATTTTCAAATTCAGGATCCCTCAATGAAACTAATCAGAAGATTCAAGGCTGATAAAAAGAAGTATTCCTTCAGAAGTACATACTGTACTTCAGTCATCAAACACATTGCCACATGATGTTATGATAGCCTCTAGCTCAGATGGCCGAGTAGCTAGTCAGACTAGCGGCCACTGATAGATCAAAAGTAGCATTCGTGTAAAACAGCAGAATGCCACTCAGTATCAGCTTGAGGGGAAGAACAACGGAAGAGGACTGCTTCCTCCATACTCTGCTTGGCTGCCATTGGAGCCAGGATGCTGGACTAGCTGCCAAGCCTTTGGTCCGATCCAACAGCCAGGCTCTTCTACTGTTTGTAGCGGTAGCAAGATCTGCTCAGCACATGAACTAAGAGGGAGCAGTGGGTAATAGCTTGAAGATCTCTGCAGCTGGTTCTCTCCCTCCTCCCAAATATGTTTTATTATCCTGTCTGTGGCAACAGCAAACAAGAGAATGTATAGCCTGTGCGAGAAAATTAAAAATAAAGCATGGGGCCCTGAGAAAGGGAACAGCTGGGATGGAGAACCTGAAGCTCTCCAGGTGTTGTTAGACCGACTCACATCAGCCTCAGCTTGCATGGACCTGAGCAAAAACCAGGACAGGGAGGAAGAGCTCTGTACCAGCCTTTGTCAACCTGGGACCCTCCAAACATTTTGGACTATGATTCCCATTAGCCTCAGCCACCACAGCTGTGCTGGTTAAAACTGTTAGGTGCTGTAGACCAAAACACCTGAAAAGCACCAGATTGGCAAAGGCTGCCCTGAATGGCAGCAAATATATTTGATATGGCAGGCACCTACAGTAATGCTGGTTGTTTGAAACATAGCTATTTGCGATGGCATTCCCTAAGCACTGCCTTTCAGTAGCGGCTCTATTGGAAATTCTGGGTATCTGTGATATCTGTGCTTTTAGTAACTTACTGTTTTATTGCATTGATTTTATTCTATAAAGTGCCTTACTTATTTTACAATGAAAGGTGATATATAAATGTCTTAATAAATAAGTTTTATAAGAATGAAAGGTTCATAAAGTGCTCATTGTTTCTTTTAAAAATATTCTTGGATGACGGAATTGGTGGGAAGAGGTAATTCCACTGTCGGAAACATAGTGAAAAGAGAAAATAACAAAACTGTGCAAGCATGAGAGGTGGAGAGAAACTGGGTCACTTGCATGCACTTAGTTAGGGACTATCTCACAGGAACGCACATATCCCAGATAAGCCTCCATACTTACACAGCCCCATGATAAAAATAACCCCGGAAAGGTGTGTTGTTAATGGAAGACTGCACACATAGGAAGGGAAACCAGTCAGGGGCATTGTTCCCCGTCTGGACAGAGCACAGTTGGTCAAAAGGTGGACTGACATCCCCACCAAATATTCCTTTAAAACATGACCCATTGAACAGTTGCTTCATCTCTGAGGTGCATTCCTAGAAAAAGGAAAAAGGGGAAAAAAGGTTCTACTTTTTGCCAAACTAAAAAGACGTGGTACAATAAAGCACAAGCTTTGGGGAGTGACTGTAGCTCAGTGGTAGAGCACATGCCCTGCATGCAGAAGGTCCCAGATTCATCAATCCCTGGCACATCCAGTTAAAACAGGTGTGGGGAACTACAGCTCCCATCAGCCTCCCCAAGCATGTTGAATGGCAGGGATGATGGGAGTCATAGCTCAGCAACATCCAGAGGTCCAAAGGTTCCCACACCTGAGTTAAATGGATCACAGGTAGCAAGTGGGCCAAAGACAACACCTAAAACCCAGAAGATCCACTCCATCCAGAGCAGAAAATACTGGGCTAGATGGACAAAGAGGCCTGCATGAACTTATCTTACATGCACTTTTTAAGAAAGAAAAGGTAAGCAGGGCAGACACTGTGGAGGTCACCCCTGCTGCTTATCAACCCCGGGAGCCATCAGCCACATTTTTTCATATTTTTTTCCTTCTTATTAAATTAGTTCAACTTCTGAAGACCAGAAGTTACAACCATTGTTGGCTTATTGTGTCATAGTGCTAAATATAAAGAACAACACAAAGTTCTCTCGCAAATAATATTGAGGGCATTTTTGTAGATTTCCCCTAAGAATGCTTACAATGAAGAAAGTTTTCAAAATTAAATGTAGAAATAGTACCAAATCACAGCAGCAACGGATATCGCAGGCTCCTGCAGTGAGATTGCAAGGACAAGATCCCAGTGGCTGAAACACTTGATTGGGGATCACTGTTGTACTATCTATTTGAAAAAGGAGAAAAATAACTTCAGCTCTGAAACTTAAGGCGCTCCTCCCCACCCCACACCTGTTATCTAGTGGCAGCCAGTCCATCTGACTGCAGTGGAAAAAAGATGGGGAGCAGGGCCACTCCACTGGTTCTGCTGGGAAATCAACCGCATTTGAATCTTAATAATAATTTTGATTATTTGATTATTTGTACCCTGCCCATCTGACTGCGTTTCCCCAGCCTGCCTCTCCCTGAACTTTTAGATACACACACACATACATACACACACACACACACACACACACACACACACAGAGGCAAATATGGTGCAGGGTGGGGAGTTCTTCCATTTTGTGGGCAAAGTTGCTTCTTCTCCATATACTTATATAGGACTTTTGAAGTCTAATGGGACTGCTGCATCAAAAGGCTGAAGCCTCAGTGAAAATACACACAGAGTATCACAGAAAAGCAGAAAAGGAAATTCTAAAATATAACATAAAGCAACAGCGACTGAAATACCTTCTCCTTTTCCTGTCACATTTCCTGAGGACGTATTAGCATATATTTCAGCTTGGATCAACAGATGGGCCACCACCACCGAGTCTCGACAAGCCGAGACTTGCAAAGCTTCAACCAAACAGAGGGCTTCTGTGCAGCAATTGGTGAGATTGGAAGTACACAGCTGCAGACTCCTGGTCAAAGATACCATCACTCTGGAAACATTCTGAAACACACAGTGTGATGGCAGGTAATACATTTACTAAACATCACACAAATTTCAAACACATCTTGCTGGAAAAGTGACCTTCAACACCAGTCAGTGTATTTTCCTCTGTCAATTAAATTGGGGGGGGGGCTGGAAGAGCAATAATTAACAAGCACCAAACAAAATGTGTTTAGTATTGCAATGCTAGTGGGAAAACACCCAATGATCAGTGATACATGTGTGAAACAACCACAGAAAGAAATATTATTTGGGATTCTGTGTGGGATTAAGTTAACTGTACAGTTCTCATTTTAACAAGCCTTTGTGACAGGCATGTATTTTTGATGGTTTTGATTTTTTGCATCAATTTCTTATCACCTTGTTGGTTTTAAATTGATTGTGCAATTTGTATTGCTTATAGTTCTTTATTGTTTTAAATTTTTTATTGTATATTGTAATTTTTTAAAAAATTGCAAACCATGCAGAAGACATAATTGGTGGAGAGTATGCAAGTGTAACAAACAAATAAAATAAATATTCGCTTATGTGAGAGGCAGGAGTCCTTTACGGCAGGCAGTCACAGGCTAATCCCATAGTTCAAAAATGCACAAAATTAGAGTCAATGGAGTATTTAAGAAGTATACAGTTAAAATATTGAACCACAATGGAAGGATGGCTTATGGGATTTTTCTACTAACCCCTTGATACGTTACATTCAAACTCCAGTCACCAGTTTTGTTTCTTCCAGTACAATCTGCAAGCGGCAACATTCCTGGAAGAGAGCAAAGAGCAATATGAATACTTTCGGATTTACTCTTCTCTCTCACTTCATCACTGTGAGAGATGGTAGAAGTAGGAAAGTTCATGTACTCAGTCCCAAGTGATATTTGAGACAGCAAAATGGTCCCACAATTTCTATGGTATTTAAACACATCCAATTTGGGAAAAAAGCAGTGTCAAAAGAATCTTACCTGTTTCATTGTCTGCCACAGCAATACTGAAAACATCTGATGGATTGCTCACCAAAGAAGCAGTGACTACAGGCCCAGACATGTAGATAAAGGGAGGCTGAAAACCTACAAATATAAATCAACATTAGCACTTGTGGAATAAAAAAATGTTATCACTGCCTGTACTTTTGTGCATTTCAATCCCTCTGACCTCACTTTTTATAATCCCTGTACCCAATCCAGCATATAACTATAACCCCATGCATCAGCTGAAGGGGACTGCAGTGTACAAAAGGCTTATCCATAATAAATTTGTTAAGTCTTCCAAGCGACACAATATTTTTTGTTATTATCTAGAGACAATTCCCCCATTTTAGGGATTTCATTTCAGACCCCTCTAAGTAGAAAGCTCTTTGTGAGTAAGTCTAAGAAATTTTCTTGGGCTAGTTTACAGAAATACGTAATAGAACAGGGGCACCTTTTGTTCTGATGCCCTGTGGGATCCCTTTGAACTGTGGAGCACAAGGAAAAGAAACGTTGCCTGACTTGCACTGCACAAGGTCTGAGATACTGGGAGGCTGGGCAGAGGGAGGGGAAGCAGTTAATAAAGAGTTTTGCAGAGTGACAAAAGAAAACTGGCCACCTCAAGTGCCTCGTTTCCTAAGGTTTTAGGTTGTCAATCTGTTTGCTCCCCAAACCAAGGCACCTTGTGAGCGGGCTCCTGAGCTTCCACAGCTGCGTGGCAGGCAGAAACAAAACAGGGGAGGCTTTTTACCCAGCGCGGCGAGGTGACGAAGCGGGGTGCCGCCTGCACCTGCAAGATTGCTGCCTGTCACGCATATGCTCTTGCTAGAATTTCTTAGCTGCTTCATCCCGCTCAGGGCAACTTACAACCAAGCCAACAAATGCACGGGAGAAGCGCCGAAGCGGACGTTGCCCTTTCCTACCCACCCGGATTCCCATCCTGGGCTCCAGCCCCGAAAAAAGCCAGCAGCCCCCAAAGGAGCCGCCGGACGAGCATGGCGAGGCGAAGCCGCCGCTAAAGCGAGCCGCCGCCGCCGCCGCCCCGGACAAGGAGCAGCCGAGCCGAGGCCTCCGCAGGCGCCATTTTGCGAACGGGTCCCTCGGTTGCTGTGGAAACGGCTGGGAGGAACCACCTCACGTTGCCCGGCTCTGAAGCGGGAGAAGACCCCCCAAAAAACTCAAGCCCAGAGTGTTTCACTACGTACATTGATTAACACAGGCTTGAGGTGGGGGAAGGCAATAAAGCAGCAAAGAGTGCAGTCTAAAGTCCCTAGTGTCAAATCTCCTTTCCTCCACCCCTCTGCGTGAATGGTATGTCCCAATATTAAGGCGTGCCTAACAACGGGACGGGACGCAGGTGGCGCTGTGGGTTAAACCACAGAGCCTAGGACTTGCCGATCAGAAGGTCGGTGGTTCGAATCCCCATGACAGGGTGAGCTCCCGTTGCTCGGTCCCTGCTCCTGCCAACCTAGCAGTTCGAAAACACGTCAAAGTGCAAGTAGATAAATAGGTACCACTCTGGCGGGAAGGTAAACGGTGTTTCCATGCGCTGCTCTGGTTCGCCAGAAGCGGCTTAGTCATTCTGGCCACATGACCTGGAAGCCACATGACGCCGGCTCCTTCGGCCAATAAAGCAAGATGAGCACCGCAACCCCAGAGTCAGTCACAACTGGACCTAATGGTCAGGGGTCCCTTTACCTTTTAACAACAGGTGGGGGAGGTTAAGTTAAATGCAATTTGCCTCTGGGCTCTCAGAGTTGGCTTGCTTCTTGGCCTGCTGCTGCGCCTGTTCTTAAAGCAACTCCTATCAGAGTTGTAGCGGCAAAGCACCGCCCACGCCATGCTGTCAAAGAGTTTCATGCACCACTTGAACAGTCGGAGTATCTTGGGAGCTCTAGCTATGGTGCTGGGAATTGTAGCTCTGTGAAATCAGAGCCCCTCAAAAAACTATAGTTCCCATGTTTGGTGGGGGAGCCACGGCTTGGAGGTTGTGCCACGGTTCCCACCTCAGAGCCCCAGTGTGGCCGGCAGCATCCTAAGGTGCTTAAGTGGTGGATGGTATCTATTGGAATTGGTAGCATGGAAGGCAAGAGAGACCAACAGCAGCTGGAGAGAGACCACAAGTTCTAGGAAGGTCCCCATCCTCCTCTGAGGCGAAGGAGAAGGAAGGCTGGCTCTTCCAATTAACCACACTGGCATCTTCTTGGCCAGGGGTCAGCAAACTTTTTCAACATACTGTCCCTCAGACCTTGTGGGGGGCAGGACTATATTTTGAAAAAAATATATATGAACGAATTCCTATGCCCCACAAATAACCCAGAGATGCATTTTAAATAAAAGGACACATTCTACTCATGTAAAAACATGCTGATTCCTGGACTGTCTGTGGGCCGGATTTAGAAGGCAATTGGGCCAGATCCAGCCCCCGGGGTTTGTCTACCCATGTTCTTGGCCATGCTGGCACCTTTATTGATCCAAAAACCAGAGGGAACATGCCAGTGGCCCACCTCGTCCAGCATCCTGTTCTCACAATGGCCAGCCTGTGGAAAACCAGCAAGCAAGATCTGAGCACAAGAACACTCTCCCCAATAGCCTCCTTAAATTTGTCTAGTCTTCATTTAAAACCATCTAAGTTGGTGGCCCTCACTGCCTCCTGTGCAAGCAAGTTCCATAGTTTTACCATGCGCTACAGTAAGAAGTACTTGCTATTATCGCTCCTAAATATTCCCACAATCTGTGGGGTGCATTCTAGCTATATACCTGGGTTGCCAGGTATTAGACTCCTTGGAACTCAGAGCCTCTGCAAGGGTGGGCCAACCAATTAAGATGGTCTGCCCCAGGAGACTGATGGATCCGAATGGATTCCTGGTGGCACTTGAAGAATTTTCTGTCACCTTGGCAAGCGACCATCAAAGCCCTGGTGGACTTCTGGAACAGAGAAATGACCCGGGCGGTGGACAGGATCACTTCTGAGTGTCCCCTGGTTCTCTGTGATGAAATGAGTCTGACCAAGCACAGGACAGAGCCTCTTTGAAGCCCTACTCTGTGGCAGTGTAGGGAGCAAATAAATCTTTTTTCTCTGCCTCATTTGTATCAGTGAGGAGCTGTCCAACAGAGCTGTTTCAAGTGGTCAGGGGTCTTTTACACTCTGACCCGTGTGAGGAAAGTTTAGACCACTCAATGGCCCGCTGTGAACTATTTGTTCAGCACTTCCCTGACAAAATTGTTCAGATCCATTCTGACTTGGACACTATAATTGATACAAGTCTGGTGGATGTAATTTTGGCCTTTGCTTGTCCATTGTTAATGGATACTTTTCAATTTGCACAGCCCAAGGATGTGAAGAGGATCCTTGAAAATGTGAGAGCTACCACATGTGTGCTAGATCCTTGTCCTTCCTGGCTCATCGAAATGGCCAGCAGGGGACTGGCTGAGTGGGTGAAGGCGAGCGGTCAGTGCCTCCTTACAACAAGGCACAATTCCAGCAGGCCTAAAAGAGGCAGTTTTAAGACCTCTTTTTAAAAGCCCTCCCTGGATCCCACCATATTGGATAATTATTGGCCAGTCTCTAATACCCCATTCTTGAGCAAGGTACTGGAACATGTGGAGGGTTTCTGGAGGAAAGGGGTCATCTCGATCCATTTCAATATGGTTTCAGGCCTGGTTATGGGACAAAGATGACTTTGGTCGCCTTGGTAGATGTCTTACACTGGGGACTGGACTGTGTGTGTCCCTGTTGGCTGTCCTTCTGGGCCACCTTGCTGGGATGGGACTTGGAAGAACAGTTTTACCATGGCTCCATTCCTTTCTGGCGGGCACACCCAGAAGGTAGTGCTGAGGGGCTCTCGTTTGACACCTTGACCATTGGTCTGCGGGGTCCCTCAGAGTTCTGTCCTGTCTGCCAAGTTATATAACATTTACATCAAACTGCTGGGAAAGGTGGTCTGAAATTTTGGTGTTGATTTCACTAGCATGCTGATAACACCCAGTGCTTTTTCTCCTTTCCACCTCAATCTACAACAACAACAACAATTATTATTATTATTATTATTATTATTATTATTATTATTCTGCACTGTAGCTCCTCATTCTGTAAATGAACCTGATTACTTTCCCTGAAAAGCTGAAGAAAATTAAACCATGGATTTCTCACTTTACAGTCCTCATTTCTTACCAAGATGTGTCTGTACCTGTTCAACCATGGCGCTGTGGTGACCCCATGCAATGCTTACGCCCTGTGAGTCTGTAATATGCAGGTGTTGATTTATAATCAGGACCCCAGGCACAGTACAAATTCCTCTGTAATGTCACCATGACAGCAATGATGCTACACACACAACTCCATACAACGTATATTTACAAAAATACACCTTTCCCCCCCTCACTGTTTTTTTTAAAGATAGGTCCACCTTCTCCTTTTCTGAGCAGAGGATGTCACTGAGGAACTGCCAGAAGTAGACTCAAACAAGCAGTCCCCATGGCACCTTAAGCACTAACGGATTAACAGTGCAACTCCTTCTGTGTCTACTTGGAATTACATTTTCTGTGTCCAGTGGGGCTTACTAAGCATTCTTAGAACTTATTACGGCAAGAACTTTAATGGAGCAGAGCCCATTAAAGCCTCTGCTAAATAAGACTGCAGTCTTCCGTATACATGGAAATGGTCTGAAGACGCATGGAGCTAAAGCTAAGCAGGTCTGGGGCTGAGTTCACACTATAACTTTAAAGCTCATTTGAAACACATCATTTCCCCTCAAAGAATTCTGGGCACTGTAGTTTAACTCTCACTGAGTCACAATTTGCTACAACCCTAAAGAAATTATTATTATTATTATTATTATTATTATTATTATCATTATCATTATCATTATCATTATTATTCTGTTTTACATCTTAGACACTTAGACATTCACTTAGACAACCTTAAAATAATGACTTCCCTTCCTCTCTTTCCATGCTTTATTTTGCACAACATAAATACCTGCATATTTTATATAAACTAAACTATTCAGTATTCCATTATTACATCCATCAAAACTTATTTAAAGGTAAAGGTAAAGGTACCCCTGCCCATACGGGCCAGTCGTGTCCAACTCTGGGGTTGCGCACCCATCTCGCTTAAGAGGCCGGGGGCCAGCGCTGTCTGAAGACACTTCCAGGTCACGTGGCCAGCGTGACAAGCTGCATCTGGCAAGCCAGCGCAGCACACGGAAACGCCGTTTACCTTCCAACTAGTAAGCGGTCCCTATTTATCTACTTGCACCCGGGGGTGCTTTCAAACTGCTAGGTTGGCAGGCGCTGGGACCGAGCAACAGGAGCTCACCCCGCCGCGGGGATTTGAACTGCCGACCTGACGAGATTAAAATCTATATTGTGTCCTATATATATTGCCCAGTCCCACGCTAATAACAAATTGTACATTTTAGATAAAAGTTTCTCTTTATTTTGCAGGAGTTGTTTTTCAAATTGTGAGCTTTGGTCCAAAAAACCATTTTTCCTGTTATTTTAAACATTTCATATAACTGATGATATTGTAGCCAGTCTGTAACATGGCTCCTTACACTTTCCATTTATTTCAGTTTGGGTTCCCCCTCTGTAAAGTACAGTGGTACCTCAGGTTACAGACGCTTCAGGTTACATACGCTTCAGGTTACAGACTCCCTAACCCAGAAATAGTACCTCAGGTTAAAAACTTTGCTTCAGGATGAGAACAGAAATCGCGCGGCAGCGGGAGCCCCCATTAGCTAAAGTGGTACCTCAGGTTAAGAACAGTTTCAGGTTAAGAACGGACCTCCAGAACCAATTAAGTTCTTACCACTGTATAGCAATTCCCTGTAAGTTGCCCACTGTCTATCCATATTAACTCTCTTTATTGTAATAGCCTCAATAGAAGATAGCCATAAAGGTGTTTTCTTTTCCAGCAGACTTTTATATTTCTCCCAAACTCTATACAAATTCTTCCTTAGAAAATGGTTTGTAAACCCTTTGTAAATTTTCGCCTTCCCATACTATAAACATGCATGCCAGCTGAATCATTACCTTCTAAGCCCAGGATGTCTGAATTATCCAATGTAATCCATTCTTTTAACCAACACAAACCCTAAACAAATTACAGTGCCCAGAATTCTTTGAAGAAAATAATGTGCTTCAATTGTGATATAAAGCTATAGTGCTGGTTTGTCTTAAACAGTGCAGTCCCATTCAATTAAAAAAAAATAAAATTAATAGCATACCTCTCCTAACTCAACAGCAGAAGCAAAACAGCCAAAATATACTTTATGCCTGCAATTGATATAGCCAACTCTAGACAGCACTGGAAAGTGTTTAATGTCTATAATATTCTTTTTAAAAGCAAGGTTGGGAAAAGAGACACTGAAGAGAAGCTTGACATAACCAGAGCTTTGTACGGAAAGGTTAAGCTTCAATTGCCTGACCTCCCTCAAAGACCGGGTGAATGTTTAGCAGCTGGTGTTGTGCATGGCTGGTGGGGATATATATCCAGCCAGCTACGACCAGTGAACCAGGATATCCTTGTCATCCACCTCCCACTCCATCTGAGAGCAAGGTCTCTTCTGCACGTCTGCCAAGGGCCCAGTAATTCCAGAAGAGGAGAGAGAGAGAGAGAGATTTGTTTCCCAACCACTTTCAAAAGACAGAAATCAAAGAAACAGCCATGGATGCTGATCCAAGGATCTGCCTGGCGTTCCTATATAAGAACGACCCTTTCTATTCACTCTGCCTTTCAGACTTGCTGACAGCACCCCAGCAGGTTAAGAATAAGTTTCTCAAGGAGCAGAAGGACCTAACAATGGTAAGGTGACCAGTTTCATTGCCTTCCCTCACCCTCAACAGATGTTATTGTTGTTGTTTATTAAATTTGATTGTTTCATTGTTCGTTTCCAGACTATAAAGAAACTGGAGCAGCAGAAGCTGAGCAGGCTGCGACAACTGGACGAGGAGAAAAAACAGTTCACTCTGCTCATGAGGAAGAAACTGAGCCCCGGGGTCATCATCAGGACAGGGTCTTCCATGACCATGGAAAGGGGTTCCCAGAGGACATTCTCCAGTGTCCAGTTTTCTTCTCTGGCTTCAAGCAAGAGCAGCTGGAAGAAGCATGGCGGCAAGCCACACCCCCGATCAGGCCCTGGCTTCTTTTCAGCCATTGGACGATAGGTTCCTGCAACTCACACTCCAAAAGTTTTGCAATGTAAACTTAACACCCAGGGAGAATTGGATCTTAAAAATGTAACGTTCCAGGCCAGGCATGGAGAACCTTACTGGGACTGCTGGGAATTGTAGCTCAGCAACATCTGTCCTTGCTTAACCTAACTCACATTATTGTCAAGATTTAAAAGTGGCATACAATAGCAGCATGATCCCATGGATGTCTACTCCGAAGTTGCGTTCAGTGGGATTTTTTCCCAGGTAAGGGCAGAGACAAGGATCTGGCCTTCCTTGTCAGATCCAGTTCCGCAGTCCTCAACATAAAATCAGCCCCAGTTCTCTGGAAGAAAGGCAGGATTCAAAAGTGATCTGAGAGTTCTATACAAGCCTGAATGTCTGAACTGGCTCTTTCCACCCACAGGCACCCAATCTTTATTTCCCAAGCTCTGTGCCGGTAGCGAATATATACAAATGCCTAGACAGCAAGAAGGAATGAACAAGAAGTGGAAGTTAGCTGCCTCTTAGTGGTCACATGATGCCATCCGTGAACTTTCACGGAATTATCAACAAAGAGTGTTGTTTTTAAAAAAGTGAAAGGTAACCATAGGCAGTCTCCACTCAGTCCCACTCGAAAGGCGGGCTAGGCTGCAATCCTACTGCAATCCACACTTAAACCTGGTGTAATCTCTACTGAACTCAATGGAACTTATTTTTGTAGACATGTACAAGATTGCAGTTTTGTGTATAAATTTGTTCACGTGCACATTTGAGGAGATATGTGAACAGAGAAGACTTCTCTAGGACTGATTAATGTAGGCTTGTAAACAGCTACTAACCCGGTTGCAAATGAGTGGTAGCAACTGCCAGCAGGTGGATCAGGCAGAATTCTGTATGTTGAAAGTAATTCAGTTCCTCACACTTTCCAGGCAATTAATGTCATAAACTACTAACGCAGACATAGGAATCTTATAAATGTCAGGTGCTGATGTCAGGATCTAGTCCACGGTTGATTTTCTGAGCATGCAACTCCATTGTTGTATCACCTGCAGTGACTTCTGCAGTGGACCCAATTCAAAGCAGTGACTATTACAAGAGGCAAATCGCTTTCCTGCAAAATCGGAAAAGCAGCTAATTTTCCAAGCCAATATATCATTTGTACGTTACCCACTCATTACACAGTCTGCAGCCGCTGGACTGGTTTTGGGAGGCTGCTCTGTGAACAATTAGCCTCCAGTTTTATTTCGTTTGCATCGACTTCAAGTTAATTTCTGGGTGAAATTCAGTGTGCCTGTTCTTACCTATAAAGCCCAAGCAGTTTGGGACCAGGACACTTGAAGGACTACCTGCTCCCAGATTGTCCTGCATCCAGTGTCGAAGGCCCTGCTATGCACCCTCCTGCTTTCAAAACCTCAGCTGGTTGGAACATGAGATGGGTCCTTTTCTACGGAGGCTTCTGACTTGTGGCTCCATCTCCCCCCTGTATTTTTTGCTTCAGACACCTTTCAATGTAGGTTAAATTTGACTGTTTTGTCCTGCTCCTGATTCTGCTGTTCAGGTAATTGAACCGTTCTTAATTTGAACTTTTAAAAATTGCAGGTTAAGTCATTTTATGAACTTCTTTGTAAGCTGCTTTGAGGGTTTTTGTAATTAAAGAAAAGTGGAACATGCATTTTTAACTAAATAAAGTAACTACGCAGTTTAGTGGGCCAGAGGACTGTGCACTTGCTCAATTCCTACCTGTTTCTTGTGTAGATATCCTGCATAGGCCCCTTCTAAATGAGCCTGATTTTATGTCTGTCCACCAATGGTGGTTCCTGTAAAGGGTCTTGCCTACAGCAAAGCTCTTCAAATAAATTATAGGCTGTTACAGGGAAACACCCGAATCCTGTGTTCTTAGAAGCAGTTTATTAACGAAAAGTTACAAAACATTTGTAAAACAAAATAGCATTGAGATGGCAAAGATTCAGTATAATATACAGGCCTGTTAATAAATTACAGCGTCTCTAGAAAGCACTGGTTCCTGATAGACCACCAAATGTAAGATAAATATTTAAATTTGGGCTCAGGAAGCAAAGCACACACAGACAACTGTTTGTGGAAGGATGGAAGAAAGTGTGTTTTGGCTGTGCTGAAACCATGTCCAACATTCAAGGAAATAAAATTGCATGGCAGAGGCTTTCTGCCAGAAGTACAGAAAAGGAGAAAAGGTTGTGCCTCAGCACACTATTCAATCTTTCCTTGCGGCTGGTCAAACATGAGACAGGATAAGCCACTTGGTACTGCAGTGTGGAAGACCAAACCTTTCCTGGTTCTCAAAGCAGAGCAAACTCAGCATGAGCAGCAGCCGCCTTTGTCAGAATTCCTTCATTCTGTTAGGAAACAGGGATAATTCACGGCATGGAAGCATGTGACTCAGTTTCATTACTGAAATTGCCAAGCAGCTGTTGGTCTGCTTTCAATAGTGGCATTTAACTGTGATAGGTTAATCTGCTTGTTCCAGCTTAATTTTTGGCTGAGCTGGCTCTGTTTAAAAGCAGATGTAGTGATCACTATTAAAAAGTGTGGTGAGGGTGGACAAATACCTAAGATGCATTGTTAACCATACTGAAAACCATAGCTCAGAGCAGTCTAGAGTCCAAGGCTTCTGCACTCTTTAAATCAGGCAGTTCTTTCTACTAATTTGAAAGGAGCTCTACAGGACCAGCCCAGGAGCCCCAAAATTTCAGTTCCTAAAGCAAATATTAGATTTCTATTTAAATAATTGGGGCTTTCGTTTTAAAGGAAGTGTCACGGCTTAAATTGATTTGATTTGTTCCAAACGGAGCAGTTGGTCCAAGGATGCTATATTAGAGAAGCATCACTCTTGGGTTTACGCATTTCTGGCTTTACAGCTGCACTAGCTGAAGCCGTTGGTCCAAGGCAGTTACAGATTAACCATCCTGACTTTGTAATATAGCACAAGTTTTAAGTGTCAACATGGGCCACTGAACAGACTAGTTGCATCCAACGTATGTGGCTGTTCCAAAACGTTTAGCCCCAGAGATTATCATACAGGTCCCTCTTTTCCAGTGTCCCATAACCGTCATGGGTAGCTTAACAGCTACAATGTGAAATTCACATGGAAATCAACAATGCTGTTAGACAGCCAATTTCAATTTCTTTTTCTTAGACTTCATGACAGCTGGCAGTGAAATCTTGAATGCAGTCCTGGAATGACAAAAAATAATAATCCTGGCTGGGTTGCTAGAAGCTGCACCTGTGGATGTGTTCACACATAACATTAAGCCATTGTTTGTTTTATCTAAGATGCGTTGAACAATCCAGGATCAGTCTTGTGATCAGGCAAAGTAACAATGGCTTGTTTCACCTGATGTTGCTTTTGTTACCTAACTGCTCCCGCCTTGCTCCAGGTGCCTATGGGAAGCCCACAAGGAGAACCCGGGTGCAACAGTACTCACCTTATCCACAGTTCCCAGGGGCCTGTGTCCAGAGGCACAGTGGAGCCAGAACGTGGCCATTGTGGCCAACAGCCATTGGTAGCCACATCCGCCATAATTTGTCTACTATTTTAAAGTTGTCCCAGCTGGTGGCCATCATCACTTATTGTGGGAGCAAATTCCACATGCATTGTGTGAACAGGTACTTGTTATTTGTCCTGAATCTTCAACATGTCTAGTAGGGTCATGCAGCTAAAAAGGGGAAGGGGTCAAATTCCTGTCTACAAACTACTGAAAACTATGCCCATGATGAACACATGTCTGAAACCCTCTCTCTGCAAGAATGAGGGCCAGAAACTTTTTATTGCTTTTATGCAGAGAATGCAGAACAAATGCAGCCCTACCTGGACATGTTTTATTTTAAATACATATATATATAAATATATATCAAGGTCACTTACTCACAAGTGGTGCAAATTGGACTGAAGCTGCAGAATACTGTGTGGACAAAAGAACAACAACAGATACATTCAGACAGTCTGTAGACTAGTTAAGGAAGGCTACAGAAATCAATCAAAACCTGGTGAAACCAATCAGATAATAAGACTTACTTGACAAACACACAGAGCAGACATAACCGATTTCAATGAGATTTCTGTGGCAGAAGCAGGCAGCTCGGTAGTCAACATGAACAGGGGGTGGGAGAATTAGCTGCGATCTTTGTTCTTGGTCAGGCAGATATACCCACTGTAATAATAATAATAATAGCAGCAGCAGCAGCTTTCTAACTTCAGAGAACATGGCTAGATTAAAGTAGGGGTCAGGTGAAGGTAGATTAGGATGCATTCGAAAAGCACAGGGTGATTTGCAATGTTTGACAGGAGTTCCCAACTCCCAATTGTCACAACACAGTAAGTTTTTTTCTAAACTATTGTACATTGTTAGAATCCTTGAGCATAGTAACCCAGATGTGGCTTTGACCTTGCATATCCAGGTCACTCTAGTGGGTGGTTCATGGGGTTCATTTGGCAACTGGCGCCACCCAATGAGCCACTGTTTCACACCTGGCTTTAGTTGGGAGACATTGGGGTTCCAGTATAAAAAAGATGCTGACAGCCAGGTAAATTCCACAAGCCTTAAGTCTGCCCACACCTGGATCTGAGGACTAAGAATGTCAAGGACTTGCTTCCTGGATAAAGCCAATGTCTGCTGAGCCCGTTGCTTTGTTTCCAATGGTGGTTAGTCAGTTGTCTTTCGCAGCTTGAAAGCACGGTGCATTGTCTTATGTTCACAAGCACATTGTCTCTGAACCTGGAGGCTCCATTTAATCCATGGGTAGGCAAAGTAAGGCCCGGGGGGCTGGATCAGGCCCAATCGCCTTCTCAACCCAGCCCGCGGATGATCCGGGAATCAGTGTGTTTTTACATGAGTAGAATGTATCCTTTTATTTAAAATGCATCTCTGCATTTTATGGGTTATTTGTGGGGCCTGCCTGGTGTTTTTACATGAGTAGAATGTGTGCTTTTATTTAAAATGCATCTCTGGGTTATTTGTGGGGCATAGGAATTCGTTCATTTATTTTTCCAAAATATAGTCCGGCCCCCCACAAGGTCTGAGGGACAGTGAACTGCCCTGCTGAAAAAGTTTGCTGACCCCTGATTTTATCTCATGACTGAGAGCCTCTTATACAGCTATGCTCTATGGAGCAAAGTCTACCTATCCAAAATGTTAGCACAAAATTTATTCATTTACCCTCCCTGGAAAGCTTTAAAAAAACTGTAAATCACTGCACTGAGAATCAATCCAAGGCCACAAAAGGTTTTGGCATCCCATATGTCAAGAAGAAAAGGGGCACTCTACAGATCATCACACAAAATGCAGGCATGACTCTTGGCCCAACAATTTATACAAGCTTCTTCATGGAGCACTTTTGAACCAGAATAAATATAGAGGTGATTAGAAAAGTGGAACTCACCAGCAAATACTGCAGCAGAGATGGCATATGGGGAACTTTCAAGTAAATGCCACCAGTAATATCGCAAGCCTGGAAAACATGGCGTTATTACTTTAAAAACAATGTAAGACCAGGAGGTAGTAAGTAGCTTAGTGGTAGAACATATGCTTTGCATGCAGAAGGCCCCATGTTCAATCCTGGATTATTCAGGTAAGATTAGGAAAGATCCGTCTGAAAGAGTTACTACCAGTAAAGCGAGGTGGACTCAGCATAGGGAATGGCCTGACTCAGCATAAGGAATCTTCATATGTGCCTGGGGCCTGTACATATCTGTTAATTCCCTTAAAAATAATAAAAAGCTCCTAGACCTCATGACTGTCACGACCTCTTCCTATTTGCTAGATATCTGGATATTCTAAAATTTACTTCAGGGGATGGAAGCCCCTCTCCTGCAAAAGAATTCCAAGATAACAATACCTTCCATACTCAAACAATGTGCAAATAATGCAAATGGTGTACAATGATAATAGTCAGATGTGCTGCAATAACTTCCTAGATTGTGCTGTGATTTCTACTGGGGTGCTGATCAAAAGGCTTCCTAACACTATAATCTATTTGCTGGACAGACAGACAGAATTGTAGAGTTAGAAGGGACCCCGTGGGGTCACCTAGTCCAACCCCCTGCAGTGCAGGAATCACAACTAATGCATTCTGGTAAATAAAGTATAACAACCAGCAGCTGTGCCTCCTTTGTCTGGATGACTTCTCACTCTTCTTTCCCCTCCCTGCCCCACCTACTCCAAATTTATGCAGCCAATGACAATTACTCAGTAACATCTTACCTGCTGCAAGAGCCCTGAATCAGAATCCAGAACGCAGGCATCAATCAAAATATTCTGAAAAACCAGGGGAAATGAGAGTTAGGTTTTATTGAAAATGTGAGTAAAGGAAAGAGGAGTTTTGTCTTTTTATTTAAACCATTTATATACCATCTCTGGGTGGTTTACAAGGATGCAATATAAAAAGTGAAAATCAGTTCTAAAGTCAAGCTCCAATTAAAATGCTAGCTGGAGTTTTAAAAAAGGCAACAGGAGGCACTGGAAGTTCAACAGGGTGGAGGTCTGACTGACCTCAACTGGAAGAGTTCCACAAAATTGCAACCACAACTGTGAATGCAGGACTCTGGGGGTGCCACTAATAGTGACCCCCCCTTCCTCCTGCAAAGACCTCAGTGATTCGGCAGGAAGATAAGGGATCAGGCAGCCCCAAATTATTAAGGGGCTTGCACATTAATACAAGCAGGAAAGGAGAAGTAGTAACAATAATAGTAATAGTAATAATAATAATTTATTTATACCCCGCCCATCTGGCTGGGTTTCCCCAGCCACTCTGGGCAGCTCCCAACAGAATATTAAAGGGAAGGGTAGGCAAGCTTGAGGTTTGCTGCAGCTCATTCTTGCAAGAATCCACTAAGGTTTAGCATCAGAACTGAGCTGGGTCCACGAGTTCATGGTGAAGGCAAGTGAGGATGTGGACTTTAATCCTTGAAGCCTGGATATGGGGCAAAGGCTGCAGCGCAGCGGTAGAACATCTGCTTTGTATGTAGGAGGCCCCAAGCTCAAACCCTGGCATCTCCAGGTAGGGGAGATGAGCTGTTTGAAACGCTGGAGGGCCGCTGTCAGTCAGTGCAGAAGATAGTACTGAACTAAATGGACCAGTGGTCCGACTCTATAGAAGAGCAGCGCTGGCACTCTCCCGTTCCTGGCGACCTCTGCTGAGGCACCCAGGGGAGAAGTAGCCCAGGGAGCAGGTGGACTGATGATGAGCCGCTCCAAGCCAGAGTGGAGAGGCACAATTTTTGCACCCCGTGGGCCTGCATCCTTGGTGGGGGCCAACCCGAGTATGCCCCTGATTTAAACATGTTAAGAAATACTACCGGTGTCAGAATCAACTATTGGCATCACCTGTTTCTGGGCTGCAAAGATCACATTCATGAAGTTCATGTACTGCAACGCACTGTCTTCAGCAGCTTTTATGACCTGGGTGAAGAAATCGGCATTTCTTAGTCTACTATACTGACCAAGTGGAGTCTGCTGGGATTCAGTATTTGTAAGGAAATCTGAAAAGTCTTACCAAAATCCTAGACTTGATTTCCTGGCTGGCTGCATATTGAAGGAGGGGAGGAGGAAAGAGGAGAAATATATATAAAAAAAATTGTATCTAACTCCAAAGCTTTGCTGTCAATCTGTTCACAAAATCTCTATGCAGTCTCCATTGTTTGTTTTCTTTAAGCAAAGTTAAATGTTGAGTCACCTGACTATAATCATAGCTCAGCACATGCTTGCCATGCAGTTGCGGGTTCAACACCTGACATCTCCAGTTAAAAAAAAAAGGATCCAGGAATCCGCCTTGGCAGCTCAGTTAGTAGAGCATGAGACTCTTAATCCCAGGGTGATGGGATTAAGAGATTCCTTTGCAAAAGATTCCTGCATTGCAAGGGGTTGGGGTAGATGACCCCTGTGGTCCCTTCCAACTCTACAATTCTATGATTCTATGAAGTGATGGGAAGATCCTTCTCTGACTGAGACCCTGAAGTCTGGAGAGGACCACAAGGGCACATACTGGAGCAAACTGGGATAGATAGACAAACAATCTGGCATGCTGTAAGACTGCTTCCTATATACCCCAAACATTGTTAAGGACTGGCTGGAAAACAGGATATGAAACCTTCGTTTAAAGATATTTCAGAAACTCTTGTTAATATCAACCACGGTTAACTGCAAACCATAGTTTAAAACAGGGGTTTCCCTATATTTGCCTTCCAAGTCCAGAGCTTAGTTTGGCAAGCTATACTATAGTTTTGCTGTATGTTTCAGACCTTAACCAGGGCTCAGGTATGAATGCATTAGGCTAAATTATATCTAATATCTGCACAGAAAACAACACACACATGCAAAGATCAATTAATAAATCTTAAGAGTAGTAAGCTCATTTAATTCAGAGTAATAAAGATGAAAAAAAGTCAACCCACATTTCTCTCTCTCTTAATTTGTTCCCATTTTCTATTTTAAAAACCCCAGTAACTGTTACTGAGTTAAGCATAATACTGTACCTTTTCCCTCTTTAGTCATCCTGTGAATATCTAAGACATGTAATATTCAGGAATAATTTGTTAAAAATAAGAGCATCTTCATGTAACAGATGTTATAAAAGCAGAATTTCTGGGCTATGGGTACAAATACATCTGGCCTGATATATAAGGCACCTTTTTATGCTTCCATGGGTGAATATGTATGAACTGCCACCTCTTTTGCATCAATCAGCTCTCTCCTTGCCTTTTCCATTAAACATTTAGCATAACTCCTTCATCCTCCTTCCTGAACTGCGACCATGCCCAAGTATGGATAGTTTCATTTATCCCCAGTTCTCTCTTGCTATGCTTGTCTGTCTCTCCCTTCCCCCGTCCAAATGTATACTGGATGCTCCACTGTCAAGATGTATGTATACACTGGACGCTCCTTGGGGGAAGAGACCTACCGCTCTCCTCCCACCCTTTTTTTTGCTTATAAAACCCTGTATAAAGTATGATGCAGAATGACAGCACAACACATACATACAACAAATCCAGGAGTGATTGCATAAATTATCTCCATGCTTTGGTTTTGAAAGAACAGGAAAAACTTTACAAGTCTGGTTTCAGAAGGATACAGCAAATTGCTTTAGCAAGAGATCCTGCCAGTAATGATTCAGTCTGCTGCCCTCTTATTTCAGCTGCCACAAAAGAGAAATCACACACACAAACACAACACACAGACAAAATGAGTACATGGTTTGGTATTTCTTGGCTTTATTGTGTTAATTGCACATTATGCTTTAACTACAGGTAGTTGTTTAGGATGATGAAAACCTGTTAACCATTTGCTGTGGATTTCCTTCCCCCATGGAAATTAGACTTGAAAGAAGGATTCTATTGTAGCTTATAGAACAGGTTGTGTTGTGTGCCTGGTTCTAGTATGTGTGCAGTGCCCACAAGGTTCTCTAGTTTGCAAATGTGCCCACAAGCCTGAAAAGATTGGTGCCTTCTGTTCTAGGGAATAATTCAAAGGCACATGAGACCACTCCTTTGCTGAAGCTAAGCATGTCTGGGTCTGGTCGTCAGTGCCTGGATGGGAGACTGCCTGGGAAAGGAGATCTAAAATGTTAGAAACTAAAGAAAGAAATGTATAGTGCAGGGGTCCTCAAAGGGTGTGTCAGGACAGAATGGCAAGTGTGGCAGAAAGATTCAAGGACAATCAAAGAAACATTTAAACATTTCAGTGCAGTATAGTATAGTATAGTATAGTATACTATCAAAATGATTTTTTTATTTGCAGAATAAAGATAGGTATCTATTTAAAATGAGAGCAAGAGCATCAAGTGATACTGAGGACAATCCTGGTTGTGATCCAGAATCGTAGTTCAAACAGAGTGCTGGACAAGACTCATTTATACCTTGGGAGTGATTTCTGTTCTTATAAAGCTGCATTGTTTTATACTTCCTGGATACACCATTTTCATACGCCATTTTGTTCTATGTCATAAATCAGGCACTGCTAGGAGTTGTTTCTTCTTGTTTTCTTATTAATTAAAAACCATTTTTTCCGGAAAGTGTGGCCCAAAGAAAAAAGTTTGAGAACCACTAGTATAGCCATTTAAATCACACATGGTATTTGCAGTGTAGGCATCTCTCAAGACTAAGTAAGAGCAGGTGGCAATTGTCTGTGTCAACTTGGGTGGAGGGAACAGCCACGAAGGAAAAAGAGAAAGTGGATGATGCGGCATCCAAGGGGTCTGCATCCAAGCCTGTAGGCCTCCAGATGTTACGTCCTGACCATTGACCACACTGACTGGGGCTGATTGGAGCTGAACAACATCTGGAGGCCCCAAGTTCCCCATCCCTTACATAAAGCAAAACTGCCTTTCATAGTAATGCATTCTAAGGGAAGTCAACCCTCTACCTGGTCATAGGGTTAAATGGTTTAGGAAAAAAGTAAGTAGGAAACACAGAGGCTGTGGAACAAAGCAAAGCAAACCAGCTTCTCATCTTACTGTTAGTCATAAGGTCCTTGATCTCTTCTGCAATAGTTTCATTTATTGTTGTTAACAACTCATATTTTCCATCCTTGCTGCCAGATATATTAGATTCACCAAAAAGATCAGCTGGTGCCCAATGTTTTCCAGGGTAGAGAAAACGACTAAGAGAAATTGAAGTTGTATTAACATAATTACCATAACTAACTTAATTGCCACAATATGAAGCATCAGACAACATTCAGCATTAAAGACAAGATGAAAAGTAAAAAGAAAACGTGCATGATTTTGTTCCTACTGATTTCTATCATACACTTCAGCATATAAAATGCTTTAGAGTTCAGTTCTCATTTATTTTCACAGCAACATTGTGAGGTCGGTAAGGCCCCCTTTGCCCTTTACATGCTCACCTGGCTACAAGCCTCTAGGTGAGCAATCACTGCCTTGCTGGATCATTCGCATGCTCACCTGGCGCAAGTCCAAATACATGAATCCTTTTTCTGGGTCAGACAAAAAATTCATCGTTGCCAGCACTGTTTCCAAAGAACAGCCAGTTTGATATCTTCTGTGAGGCTCCAAAGAAGAGTAAGTCTGAGAGCCAGCCATCCCACCACTGTGTAACTTCAGAATCTGATATGCTGCTATTTGAATTTCACCCACCAAAGCCTCTTCCTAGTCTAGTCTATCCACAGCTCTCTTTCCAAATGCCTGACCATTAAAAAGCTACAACCATCCAAAAAGCTACAATACCTTTCCTGTATATGACTGGCTATCACAGCCAGTTTGTTGTTGCGGTTCATAAATAAGTGCGAGTTTCCCAACACCATGGCTGCATCGAGGCATTTTGATAATGTAAGCTGTGGGTAAAAGCAGGGGAGAATTATTAAACACCACAAAGATTTAAAATGGGAAATTAAATTTGTGAACATCTCATCAAACTGTACTTATGTTGGGCCTTGACAACTGCCCAACAATGCTGACCCCTGGGGCTGGCTCTGAACTGAACACAGCACATTAGCACACTGAATTAGCACATTATCAGTCCAGTTCTAACTACAACGGACATAGGACCACACACTTAATTGGAAGTTCTTCAGACTCACAGGAACATTTATTTAGTATCAACGCTGAAGACTTCAATCTAGATTATAATGCATCCAAATTAGTGTTGTTGTTATTGTTTTTAAAAAAGGACAGAAAATCAATGATCCTGGCATAGGTTTCACATATAACGGGAAAGTCTTACCTCTGAGCCTCCTAATGCCTGCTTTCCCCACCAAATAGGGTTAGTGTCAACAACAATGACTAAGAGGTTCAGCTCATCATCTGGAAAAAAATAATGAAACATCAGCCCCCAAAACTGTGAAAACATTAGCTGACAGTTTCCCAGCTCTGTAGGAGGATTGAAATTTAAAGTCTTATGTCCAATTTGTTTGTTGCTGTCTCTTAATGATCTACAGAAAGTGCAAGGAACCATTGGCCCTCCAGATGCTGTGGGCCTGCAACTCCCATTATCATTATTGGCCCTGTTGGCTGGGCTTGGTCAAAACTGGAGTTCAACAACATCTGGAGGAACACAGCTTCCCCACCCCAATCTACAGGCAGAAGAAAGGAGATTCCAACTAAACATCAGTAAGAGATGTACAACAGTGGAACAGACTCCCTCAGAAGGTAGTGGCCTCTCATTCCTTGGAGGTTTTTAAGCAGAGAGCGGATGGATGCTTTAGCTGAGATTCCTGCATTGCAGGGTCTTGGATTAATGACCTTCAGGGTCCCTTCCAAATCTACAATTCTATGATTCTCTGAGTCTACATCCATCCACAGAGGTGCTATAACACCTGCTCAGTGTGGAAAGCTTGCAGTGTCTTTTTAAATAGATACAGCAGCAGCCCTTGGGAGTTACATTTCTTTCTTTCTGAATACTGTAGTGTTGATGGGAACCAGGTGTATGTAACCTTGAGCTCTATGATGAAAGACAGGTGGGATATAATTGTAAGAAAATAAAAGAAAATCTTTGTAATAGCTCTTTGAGTTAAATACTATTATTTTCATTTTACAGATAGGAAATGTAAGCAAATGTGTAGGCAGTTGGCACCTGTCTGTCTCTGGAGGCAATGGAGGGGTGCCAAGCAAACAAAATTTTACTAGCCCTAAAAGCCAAAGAAAGTTGCCAGTAAAGGAAGAGGTGTGGGGGAGGGGAGAGTGAAAGTGGAGGAGAGAAAGCTGTAAACAATTACTTTTGCTCCAGTTAGCACAAATGCTGTTAACATGCAAATGAAAGCTGATCTCTGTGTGTGTGGAGATACGTTTGTGCATTTCAGTGGGTGTTTAGTAGCCTACGTTTACACCTGAATCCCAAGGAGGGGTGGAAATTGTGCTAAGCAGTGAGTGCTTAGATCCCATTTTAAATGCAGTTTTCTTTTTTAAAAAAAGAGGGGGAGGAGTTCTGCACATATTTAAGGACCAGGAAAAACACTCAGCACATGCTCAGATGCAGCCACACCACAGAACCAGGACTTAAAACACACACAGAGAGGAGGAACCTGACTCCCTCCCTCCCTCCGGGCTAACGCAACAGGAGCCCGCGGAAGGAGCCAGAATCGCCCCGCCGATCCTTCCCCGCCCCGTTTTTGCCTGAAATCCCGGGCCGGCAGCAGCGGGGAGGCGACGCCAGGCGCCGCGGACTCACCTCCGCTCATATCGCCCCGCAGCAGGGACAGGCAGGCGGACTTCCGTCGCTCGAGAATGAGGTCACGCGAGCTTCTGGCGCGTCATCTCGACGTCACTTTTCCCCCTTTCCCTCCCTCTTCCCCGGAAGTAAGTGCAGCATGGAAAGGTTTCCGGCGAGGCCAAGCGGCGCGGCGCCGAAGGTTCCGCCCAAGGGGCAGCGTGGATCGGGAGAGCAGCTGGGAAGGTTTGGGTGACATTTTCTCCTACCATGAACGAAGCAGGTAAGGCAGTGAGTGTTGCGCGCTGCAGCTGGTCAATTATTATTATTATTATTATTATTATTATTATTATTACCGTTGTTGTTTCGGTTTTCTAGAGTAGGTCCCCAACTCTGTCATCAAAACAGCAACAAAAGGAGATTCCCATCAGTGGCCAAATAAATTTCTATTTTATATATGTGCGTGTTAGATGGAAACAGAATAATATTAAATTGTTTACTGTCAGATATAAACCCATGTTGGTGTTAGCAACAACCACCGCGTGTGAAAATGGCCACTGTTGGTACTGTAATTACCTTGTTCGTGCTTTTATCAGTTCCACAAACACACACCTGCATCTCGGGACAACATCTCTTGAAGAGTATATAGACCACAAAAGTTCGCAAAAGCCATAATAAGTGTGTTAACCTTTATGGTGTCACAAGGCTCCCACCTCATAAATGTTATGATTCTGCAGTAAATGCAGCTTCCGGATCAAGCCCGAAGGAAGCCCCATACTGTCTTTTAACCAGATCAGAATGCTGGTCTTGCTCGTTGATCCTTTTGACTGTAGATTCTGAGGATTGAATCTGGAACCTTTTTCATAAGATGCAGGGGTTCTGCTGCATAGCTACCTTCTTGTAAAATGTTGTGTCGATTATCATAATTATTGGATCTCTTAATAAAAGCAACCGTGACTGTTTGTGGAGATTCCAAAGCTGACCATTTAAACTACCATTGCAATGAATTTGTAATAACTGAAAGCACAGCTAGTTTGTGAAGTGTAAAAGCAGAACCTCAGTGACTCTCCCCTTTCTCCATCCTTCCCCATATCTTCTTTTCAGAGCTGGTTGAAGCTTTTAAAACCAAGATTACACAGGAGCCAGATGTTGCCTCTGCTGTGGCAGCCATCAATGTCTTGTTGGAGTTCTTGAAGAGGGACAAAGGCACGTAAGGGAATCCGATTGGGTGGGCTGAGCTGTGGAGCTACCAGTTTGCACCTGGTTTTCCGGGAACTTTTGATTTATAGTAAAACTTGCTGCCACCTTGCTGAGTTCAAGGTGCTGGTTTTGGTGTATAAAGCCTTATACAGCTTGCAGCCAGGATACCTGAATACCCCTTATATACCCAGTCAGCCATTGTGTTCTGCTGGTGAGAGCCTCTTGCAGACGCCATCTCATTAGGAGGCTTGTTCTACAGAATGTAGGAATCAGGCCTTTTAGTATTGTGGTTCCTTCCCTTTGGAATTCCCTCCCTTTAATATTAGACATGTGCTGTCTCTGTTCAGTACCTACTGAAGACGTCCTCTTTCAACAAGTTTTTTAATTGGAGTTCTTGTTCCAGTGTGCATCTGTACTGGAATTGTTTTTAATATGCTTTAAATATGTCTTTCATTCTTTATCACTTGTTATTTGCTGCCCTGGGAGGAAGGGCTGGATATAAACTTAACAAATAAGTAGATCCTGTAAGCTATAAGTCTGCGCACCCCTGGACAATGCTGTCATTGGGCCTTTAGTAGCTTACTCTCTCCCTCTTTCTGTCAAGGTGAGACAATTCAAGGGTTGAGAGCAAACCTCAAACATGCAATAGAAATTCTCTCTGGTGTTGACTCTTCAGTTGCTGTCTCTTCTGGGGGAGAGCTCTTCTTAAGATTCATCAGCCTCACGTCTTTGGAGAATCCAGTAAGTTTCACTTAGCTTTTCATAAAGGGTGGCAACTGTTTGATAGTAGTCTTCTTTACACCATTGCTGGTTTTTAGATGAAGGCAATACAGAGCAGGACCACAAGAGCTGCAATGAAACACGTTTACCTTGAGTTCTCAGGGACTGCCTCTCCCCATATGAACTGACCCAGACCCTGCAATCATCATCTGAGGCCCTTATTTCTGTGCCACCTCCACGAGAGGTCCAGAGGGCAGCAACACAAGAACAGGCCTTTCCTGCGGTGACTCCACGTTTGTGGAATGCACTCCCTAGGGAGGCTCACTTGGCACCTTGGTTACATATCTTTAGGAACCAGGTGAAAACTTTCCTCTTTCCCAGGCCTTTGGCTAATTGAGCAATGTTTGGCCTTTTAAACTCTGGCGGGTATTGTTTTTGTTTGTTCCTATGTTACGTATTTTTGTGATTTTACATTGTAAACTGCCCTGTGATCCTTGGATGAAAGGCAGTATAGAAATTAAATAAATACATAGTTACTTCTTTGCTATGATCTGGAACCAGTTTTAAATATCAGGGACCAGCGCTGGAACAAATCATGTGCTGGTAACAGTGAAAGAGGACTCTGTAGCATTTGCAAAGTTTGTATATCACTCTGTGCACCTCAGAAGACTCAGAGGATGTCTTTAGCACTTTTTCTGTCTCTCTCTTTTTTTAAAAAAGCTAAGCCAGTCTTGTAAATAAGCCTATAGAAGCTACTAGCCTGCACCAAACAAAAAAAACAGCAGAGAGCTGACAGGAGGAGAATAAATAAATCAAGTTAATAATAAATTTCTGTGCTGGTTGTAGAGGGATGATGGGATCCTTCCTTCTTCTGCTAGCTGGCTCAGTATCTTGCATACATGCAATTCCTTATCACCTGTGGCTACCAAGCAGTTGCTTATAAACAAAGTTGTGCTAAGCGTGATACCCAGGGCATGCTCTAGTTTATTTCACTAGTTATTTTTTCTTTCTTTTTCCAACTGATATAATTATAGAAACAGTACAAATTACATAATGCATATCTAGACATGTTAAACATTTCACTTTGAAATTATACAGAATAAGAAACTATATTGTTGTGCTATCTTACATATAACAGTAAAGTGCTAATATGGATTATTATGTGCTGCTTTTTCCAGGACTATTCCAAATGCAAAGATACCATGATTCAGCGAGGGAAGCTTTTCCTCGCTCGAACCTCTAATTCAAGGAGCAAAATTGCCGAACTTTGCCACACTTTTGTCAAAGATGGTGGGGTAAGTGAGCTTGGGTCATATTAGGGCAAAGAAATAGAGTGAAATGTCTTGTGCGTATCCCACAGATGCTCCATGTGTGCAGAAACTGATTCTGGGCAGAAAACATTGTATCCTATGAATCTCTGAGCTAAGCCAGACATGGAATCATAGAATGGAAAAGACCTTGGAGGTCTTCCAGCCCTGCCTCCCACTCAGGGAAGCATCTGCAATGCGGGATGCAACTTTGCTATATAACTAGCCAGACTAACTAACCATCCAGCCTCTGCTTTAAACTCTCCCAACGAAGGAGAGAGTCCACCTCCTCCTGAGGTTGTCTGTTCCACCGTCAAACAGCTCTTAATGTCAGAAAGTTCCTTCATTGCCAGGGGGTTGGACTAGATGATCCTTGGGGTCCCTTCCAACTCTACGATAATATGATTCTGTGACAGTGACTCTTCACAGGGTTGGCGCCAGAGGCTGGGCATTTGCCAGGGCCCCAAGGCCAGAAGAGGGTCCACTGCCCTAGCATAAGCTGTTTTGTCACAGAGCCCATTCCCAAGTTTTGCATTCATGGCTGATGGCCGTCTGTCCTGGATGCTTTAGTTGAGATTCCTGCGTTGCAGGGGGTTGGACTAGATGATCCTCAGGATCCCTTCCAACCTCATGGGTGTTAATATAGCCTGGACAGAATCTCAAGTGGATTTCCGTGGCACGCAATAAACTGAAGAATCCTGTGCCTTGCCTCCTCAGAGAATCTTAACTCATGCTTACTCCAAAGTGGTCCTGCGAGTGTTAGAAGCCGCCGTGGAAGCAAAGAAACGTTTCAGTGTCTATATCACGGAATCGCAGCCTGATCAAGCCGGGCAAGTAGATGGGACTCCTCTTTTCTTTATTTTAGGGGCACGAGGCTCTGTGCAAACAGAGGAAGCCGTTTGCTATCTGTCTTTATCTGGAAAGGTTTACCCCCCTTCTGCACACTGAACTTGGAAGTAAGTCCCATTGAACACGGTGGGACATATTTCTGAACAAGCACGCAGCAGATCAGTCTGCAAATTCAGCAGCTGGTAAATCACTTTGATTTAAGAGCAGCCCAAGAATCAACAGGTTTTGGTGAATGGATCTGCCAACTTTGTTTAGGTTGGGCTTTTGCCGCATGTCCCATGTTTTAAATCCCCCTTTCCTCCCAGGAAATCAGAATAGTATACAAGGTTTTATTTCCTCCACTCCCCAGAATTTTCTGCCCACAACCACCATGGGAGGTAAGGTAGGCTGAGAGATGGTGATTGGGTCAAAGACCTCACAGTGAGCCACATGGTGAGTGGAGATTTGAACCCGGGCCTCTGTGATTACAGTCCAACACTCTACCGTAGTCTTCCCCAACGTGGTGCCCTCCAGGTGTTGGACTAAACTCTGATCATTCCTAGCAATTGGAGGTTGATGGAAGTTGGATTCCTACAACAGCTTGGAGAACCACCTTGGGAAAGCCTGCTCTAACCACTACACAGCACTGCCTCTTTTCCCCTTACTATTCTGCATGAACTAGAGGATTGGAGGGGGGGTGGAGAAGAGCCACCTTGCTTTGTGCCAGGCTACAGTGAAGGGAAGAACTAGTGGGAAAGCAGCCAGAGGGCTTGAGGGAGGAGTATGTTTCACTTTGTGGAAAGGTTTCTCTGCAAATCTCAAAAGACTTGTGGAAGGAGATGTCACCATTGGTGACCAGGGGAATAAATTTGTGGAACTCCATAGTTTTTTTAATCTCCAGTGGCACAATGTGAAGCATGTCACTTAGAAATAAACCCCTCTGAGTTCATTGGGACCTGCTCTCTGGTAAATTTAAGGTAAAGGGACCCCTGACCATTAGGTCCAGTCGTGGCTGACTCTGGGGTTGCGGCGCTCATCTCGCTTTATTGGCCGAGGGAGCTGGCGTACAGCTTCCGGGTCATGTGGTCAGCATGACTAAGCCGCTTCTGGCGAACCAGAGCAGCGCACGGAAACGCCGTTTACCTTCCTGCCAGAGTGGTACCTATTTATCTACTTGCACTTTGACGTGCTTTCGAACTGCTATGTTGGCAGGAGCAGGGACCGAGCAACGGGAGCTCACCCCATTGCGGGGATTCGAACCACCGACCTTCTAATTGGCAAGTCCTAGGCTATGTGGTTTAGACCACATCACCACCCACGTCCCTCTGGTAAATTTGCTTAGACCTGATTTCTTGAAACAACATCCTCAGTGCAAAAGGAGGGGTAGGAGTTGCTGATGATGAGAAGAAAAAGCAATTCTATACCAGGAGCTCATTTGCAAGAGAGAGAGAGATTCTGTTAATTTTTAGAACACTGTTTTGAACAAAAAACTATTAATTTAAAAAAAACTATTAACAATTACACAGGCAGAAGATGGCAAAGGCACTCAGTAAACTTGGCATTCCTGTGACCATCATCCTGGATGCTGCCGTTGGGTAAGTCTGTGTGGCTGGTTCTGCAGCTGGGCTTTTGAAAGGCAGTTGGACATAGTGACCTGCTGTGAGCGCTGCAGAGGAAGAGAACCTGCTGCATCCTGGTGTTTAAAGGGCTGGTTCTTGCACTAGTAAGCCAAGGTTGTTGGCCATAGCGCAGTGCGAGAGCGTTTGCCTTGGGTGCAGAAGGTCCAAGGTTCAGTCCCCAGAGATTCCAGGTGGGGGTTGGAGAGAGCCCTGCCTGAAACCCTGGAGAGCTGCTGCCAGTCTGTGTAGACAGTACTGTGCTAGATGGACTACTGGTGGGACTCGGTATAAGGCAGCTTCCTGTGTCCCCCTCCTTTCTCTTTGGCTGTTTCACAGCTAGTCTTGTGTTTCTCTCCCAAGTGTAAAACAAGTGGCAAGGGGAGGGTAATAATAATAATAACAATAATAATAATAATAACAATAAAATAAAATAAAAATTTTATTTCTATCCCGCCCTCCCCAGCCAAAGCCGGGCTCAGGGCGGCTAACAACAATAAAATAGTACAACATACCAAAATCATTCATTATAAAATTAACTCAAATCAAACTAATGGCAGCCACTGGGCCAGAGCTCTGCGAAGATTGCCAAAGGAGGGGGTCAGACTGTGCCTTGGCCAAAGGCCTGGTGGAACATCTCTGTCTTGCAGGCCCTGCAGAAAGATGTCAAGTCCCACAGGGCCCTAGTCTCTTGTGACAGAGCGTTCCACCAGATCGGAGCCACAGCCGAAAAAGCCCTGGCTCTAGTTGAGGCCAGCCTAACCTCTCTGTGGCCTGGGACCTTCAAGATGTTTTTGTTTGAAGACCGTAAGTTCCTCCGTGGGACATACCAGGAGAGGCGGTCCCATAGGTACGAGGGTCCTAGGCTGTATAGGGCTTTAAAGGTTAAAACCAGCACCTTAAACCTGATCCTGTACTCCACCGGGAGCCAGTGCAGCTGGTATAGCACCGGGTGAATGTGATCTCGCAGCGAGGACCCCATAAGGTATAGCTGAAAGCGTAACAGGAATGGCTCTGTGCATCACAATGGCCCCACCCCAAATAACTCCTTGGATGGAACAGGAATTGAGTTGTTTTTATTCCTTCTGAACAGCTACATCATGGAGAAGGTGGACCTGGTGATAGTTGGCGCTGAAGGAGTGGTAGAAAATGGAGGAATTATTAACAAGGTAAAGTGTGAGTCTGCCCAGGTTTTTCGTGGCTCCCTAAACAGTTTAGGAAATATTTGTTTTTCCAGAGCTGTCCTGCTAGATCCGAACAAAAGTCCCGTCTTCTCCAACGTCCTGCTTTCTTCCATTGGTTAGCCAGATTATTTAAGGAAGAAGTTTGGAAGCAGCAGAAGAAAGTGCTTGTCGTTCCTTAGTTTTTTCCCTCCAACACACACGAAAAAAGACTTTAAAAATCCTAGTCAGCTTTCCTTTGTAAAAACTTATTTGATTCCATCCCCTCTCTTTCTTCCCAACTGTCCCAAATAAATGTTAGAATTCTGCAGCCTGTATATATTGTTCAAAATAAATAAGTAGCATTGCCTATTTACTTATATGGGGGATAATTGTACATAATTTATTCTAATTTTGCTAGTCATGGGGAGCAGCATAAAACTACATAGAGCAGAAGTGTTGACCAGTGGAAAACTTGTTTAGCTGCTCCTCTGTCATCTTTACAACCATAAGGGCCAGAAACTTGTTTTTTAAAATAAAATAGAATAGAAAGCTAGAATGTGGACCCACACACCCATGTACATATGAATGTTCTGGCTTCTGTGGAATCCTATCATACATGCATAGCATAAGGCATGCTTATGTGTGAACATACCCTTTTTCTCAAAGGTTTTGAGACCTGAATCTAGGGAGTTGCTTATTTTTCTTGCAGGTATAATACAGGATACAGTTAAGCGCTTTGAAGTTCTACTGATTTTCAGTGAGAGAGGGAAACATGTACTTTATAGCGCAAACCTAGGCATGTCAACTCAGGAGGAAATCCCTTTATTTCACAGTAGCGTAGTACGTTTAAAATTGTAGCTTACTTACGTGGGAACCTGATTAAACTCAATGGGGTTTTCTTCTGAGTAGACATGTATATAGGACTGCACTCTAAATCTCTCCAACAAGACTTCACTGTGCTCGGCTTTGACAGAATCTTACCCTTGGGGTTCCTTTTGTATCATAAAGCAAGGGGTGTTTGGTTCCTCATCATAACCTGTTGGGTGTAGTGAAGGGTTAACCTTCTGTGTCTCGAGGCTGAGAGGAGGCGCTTACAAGGGAAGTAAGCCAGGACGTGACGAAAGCAGCTTGGAATGTTGTGAGCTGAGTGAAAAGTGAAAGCAGTTTTGCTACGCAGCTGCAAACAGAGGGATAAGATGCAGCTTGAATCAGATGGAATTTCTCGCTTGTAAATATGCTACTTTTGAGCAAATAAAGTGATATTAGGACAGAAGAGGCGTGTGGGACTTCTTTTACTGCCCTTTCAACACGGACGCTGTGCAATTCTGCTAATTGCTTTACGACCTGCAGAGGCGTGCCGGGGAAGCGTGCCGGATGCCGAACAATAAAGCAATAAATCTACCTAACATAACCTGAGAACATTTCTCTCCCCCCCCCCCCATGGCCTTTTCAGATTGGCACAAACCAAATGGCTGTGTGTGCCAAAGCTCAGAACAAGCCCTTCTACGTGGTGGCTGAGAGCTTCAAGTTTGTGAGACTCTTCCCTCTGAACCAACAGGATGTCCCAGATAAATTTAAGGTAAAGGAAAACTAACTTTGCTTCCTGGTTATCTGCATTCAAAACACTGTAGCCTGCAATGGGGTGGAAACCTCTGAGGAATTTAATGTCCGATCTTGGAAGTAAACCAGTATAAGGGGCAGCCATCCAGGGATTTGGGGCACTGAGGTGCATTTGTCGCCTTCATTCTCAACTTCCAGAATGAATTTGAAAACATTAATGTTTACTCAGGCATTTAGGGTCTGAAGAATCCTGTTCCTGGCAACCCTGAAGGTGTCAGATGAAGTGTTGTTTTTAATGGTCACTGCTTTTAGATGTTTTTAATTGTAATAGTTTTTCTAATGTTTAAGCTGCTTTGTTTTTGAATTGTGGGTGGGTGTGCCACCCTGGACTAATTCAGGAGGAAGGGCAGGATGTGCATTCAATGGAGAAATAAATGATGGGTGGGAGACACCCAGTTCTTGTCTCTCCATGGCATCTGAATTGGGTGAAGCTGTGCAAGACTTGCCTATTTTGGGCAGTTTTTTTGAGGAGCCACTGATTTCGGCCACTATTAATAATTTTAATTCAGTGATTCATGTTACATTTTTCTAATAGATTTATCTGTTTTATATCTCTTTATCTGTTTGCTTTGTTGTAAACTGCCCTGTAACTTGTGGAAAGGGCAATGTATAAGTTGTCAACTAAGCAGAACCCCACGTTTTATTATAACCAGAACTGTAGCTTGAGCTGAGGAGAGTTCTTTCAGCTATTTATTTCAAGCACTTTCCCCCACATTCTTCCGCCAAAATAGGCTCCCAGAGTAGCATACAAATGCTTACCAATAAGACAGTCCCTGCCCTCATGCTTACAATCTAAAAGAATGACATAAAAGGAAAAGGGTTTGTGGGAAGCAGAAGGAAATCAAGCTCAGGCATTAGATCTTAGTTGCCAAGTTCCTCAGGTCGCAATTCAGCAAGGGACGGAGCTGGATCCAAGCACAGGGAAAGGGCTGCTTCATCCTCTTCCACTTGCGGTGTCGACAGCAGTGAGCTAGATGGGTCTGACTTGGTGTAAGGTAGCTTCCCATTGTCAGCCTGCGTTCAGACTATGCAGCCTGGGAATATGTGTGTTGAATGTTACACATGTACAGAATACTGTAACAGGACCCAAACCAACGGGCTCAAATGGCAAGGAAAAGGATTTAGGCAAAATGTCAGGACCCTCTTGATGGACCACTCTGTTAGACAGTGGAACAGGCTGCCTCAGTCTGAATCAGGCTATTAATAATAATAATAATAATAATAATAATTTTTATTTATCCTCGCCCTCCCCAGCCAAGGCCAGGCTCAGGGCAGCTAACAAGCAATAATAAAAACAAGTTGAATGAATACAACTTAAAAACAATATTAATACAACATTAAAATATTGAAACATTAAAATATTAAAATGCAGCCTCATCACAGGAGGAGAAAGGAAAAAGAAAAAAGAAAAGAGGGGGTGGGAATCAAATCAAATACTAATCCTTCTGTCTTAGTATTGTCTGCAAAACTGTGATCCAGAGTTGCAGGCAGGCAACACTCTCAGCCAGGAAATGAACCTGGGACCTTCTGCACACGAAGCCAACACTCTGCCCCCAAGCTGCCTCCCTTCCCTCCATTACAGCTTCTAAAGGAGGCGCTGGGTGCCTGCCTATTAGGGACGCTGTAGTAGCCAACTTTTCTGAATGGGCAGGTGATTAGACCAGATTACCTTTAGGTGCCTCTCAGCTCTGTGATCCTGTGTTCTAAGTCATGCTGCCAAACTCGGGTGAAAAAAGTGTCCTTTCACAGAAAATGATAACTCACCACTTTTTCTTATTTCTTCCCCAGTACAAAGCTGACACGTTGAATCAGCGTAAGGCACTTACAGAGGAGCATCCCTGGATCGATTATACCTCCCCATCTTTGATCACTCTGCTCTTTACAGACCTTGGGGTCCTGACCCCCTCTGCTGTTAGCGATGAACTGATTAAACTCTACTTGTAAAATTGTCCACATCTGGCGTGCCTAAGGGTGATTATGTTTCTCTACCAGTCTGTTAAAAAGACAAACCCTGTAAGTAAGAAGATTGCTGGTGATGAATCATTGGATGGCTCAATTTGAAGAACCAAGTCTCTTAAATGGGTTGCATGCAGAGCCCACAATGCAGCTTGGAAAGTTAAATTGTCAGGAACAAATTCACAGAAGGTTCAGATATGTTAGATTTTATTTGTAATTCAGTTTATTACCGACCCTTCACCATAGGTCTTCTGTTCTGGGCCATTATTGAGGATTGCACACACATGAAGGTGGTGGGTGGATGGAAGGACCCTGAGTGGGAGGTAGGGAAGACCACCCAGGGGGAGAGGCTGGGAGAAGAAAGGAAAGCTGGGTGGGTCTACCACTTTCTGTGTGAGACAAAACACTAAGAGCTGCCTTTAAGAGAGGAATTCGCTTTTGCTTTCTCTGTTTTTATTTAGATTAGTTTCTTTTATCTTACTGTATTATGACAAAGCTTTAATAAAATACTATTTTTTAAAAAAATACTAAAATTAAATATATTTTTAAAAATATATCTTTTAAGAAGGCAGGCTTAAGATGATGGAGAACAGTTGGTGGCTGATGATCTGAACCTCAATTCTCTTAGATAAGAGAAGCCAGACTTTTCAGAAGGAATGACACAAAATGTTTAAAGCAGACAGCCAGGGAGTGACTACTTACAGTCAATCCCTCAGGCCAGGTAGTCTTCCTACAAGGAGCTTGGAGTTGGATACACGATCTCTCCCTTGTTAGCCTCATCACAGTCCGACAAAGTAGGTTTAGGTTGCAACACCGCCCTGAAACCTCCGGGTATAGGGTGGTATATAAATTCAATAGATAAATAAAAATAAACAAACACAGCAACTGGGACACGGTTACCCAGCAAGAATGTGCCACTGGCTTTGTAGAATGCAACTTATTGCAAGACATGGGTGGGAGGAAAAATCTGGGAGCCTTTGCAACATGATGCTTAAAATCTTAACAGCAAAGTGCTCCTTACTCGTAGCTTCCTGGCAAAGCCCACACTTTCCCAAGCTCAAAATCCTTGGCACTTCCTGTTAAAAGAATCCCCTGTAGCAGCTCATCAGTGGTCTGGCTCAGTAGGCGGTGGCTTCAAGTTGTCCTGATTGAAAGCTGTGCTGGCTGGCGCTCATGAGAGCTGAAGCCCAAATCATCTGCACGGCTCCAAGTTGAACAAGGCTGCTGTAACATAAGGCCCCAACAGCAACAATATCAAGAGTGAAATGGCACTCGGTTTGTGTATATAAAGTTTTATTTGTATCAAAAAGGAGAGTTCAGCTCAACATTTCACCCTTCAGTCTGAGCCTCCTGCCTGGGCCTCCTTCACGCCGTGCAGCAGCTTCTTCTCAAACTCCTCCTCACTGATTTTGCCCTTCTTGAGCCTTTTCAAGAGCCGGGTGTCCTGCAGGAGCTCCTCCATATCCTCGTCCTCCACATCAGAACCCTGCAAGGAATGGGGGAGAAGACTAGAGCTTAGCAGGGCACAGAAATACTTGGGCGGCAACTGCCGGCATCATAATGACATCATACAAATCTATGGTGCAGCTGCATTTGGAGGGCTGTGCACTGTCCTGGTCGCTTCACCTCAAAAAGGGTATTGTAGAAGTGGGTGGCGCTGTGGGTTAAACCACAGAGTCTAGGACTTGCTGATAAGAAGGTCGGCGGTTCGAATCCCCGTGACGGGGTGAGCTCCCGTTGCTCGGTCCCTGCTCCTGCCAACCTAGCAGTTCGAAAGCACCTCAAAGTGCAAGTAGATAAATAGGTACCACTCCGGCGGGAAGGTAAATGGCGTTTCCGTGCGCTGCTCTGGTTCACCAGTAGTGGCTTAGTCATGCTGGCCACATGACCCGGAAGCTGGACGCCGGCTCCCTCGGCCAGTAAAGCGAGATGAGTGCCGCAACCCCAGTCGGCCACGACTGGACCTAATGGTCAGGGGTCCCTTTACCTTTACCTTTTAGAGCTGGGGAAAGTTCAGAAAAGGGCCACCAAATGGCCGAGGGGGTGGAGCGACTCCCCTATTAGGAAAGGTTGCAGCGTTTGGGACTCTTTAGTTTGGAGAAAAGGCAAGAAAGAGGCAAGATGACAGAAGTTTATAAAACTCTGCAGGGCATTGAGAAAGCGGGTAGTGGAATTCCCCTCTCTCCTAACACTGGAACTCGTGGACACCCAGTGAAGCTGAACGTTGGAAGATTTTGGATGGATAAAAGAAAGTGCTTCATGCAGCGCAGTCAAATATGGAACCCTTAGATGATTTTAAAATAGGATTAGACAAATTCATGAAGGAGAAGAGGGATCCTAGCCATGGTGGCTACCTCTGCCTCCACAGTTGGGAGGCAGCAATGCTTCTGAATACCAATTGCTGGAAGCCGCAGGAGGGAAGAGCTCTTGTGCTCAGGTCCTGCTTGAAGGTTTCCCAAAAGAAGCATCTGGTTGGCCTCTGTGAGAAGAGGCTGCTGGACTAGGGGGCCACTGGGCTGATCCAGGAGGCTCTCCTGGTGTTCTTATGACAGATACATACCGTATTTTTTGCACCATAACACTCACTTTTTTCCTCCTAGAAAGTAAGGGGAAATGTCTGTGCGTGTTATGGAGCGAATGCCTGCGGGTGGCGGGGGGGATCTGCTGCAGTTGTGAGCAGAGGATCCATGGTTCCCCTTCCTTCCCTCCTCCGTGGTTACAAAGCATGGATCCACATGGATCCTCAGGATTTTTGCATTGGGCTACTCCAAACTCACTGTCAGATCACATGTCTGTGGCCACAGCATGAACCACAAAAATCATATATCCACTATTTCGTTTAGAATATTTTTTTTCTTGTTTTCCTCCTCTAAAAACTACGTGCGTGTTATGGTCTGGTGCATGCTATAGAGCGAAAAATACGGTAGTTCCAGCTTCCCCCAAACAAGTGCATCAAGCCGTATGATGCTCCTAGTATTTCTTTATCCACCCCACCACCCTTTTCAGTCAAGACTGGCTCTCAAAAAAGAGTAGACCCACTGAAATTAATGACTCTTTATTCTTAATAGGTCTACTAGCCCTAGATGCAATCAAAAATAAAATAAACATGGTAGAACACTCCCCTCACCTCCTCTCTTTTCCTTTTGGCTGTCATTTTCTTCTTCTTCTCTTTCTTTGATTTCTGCTTGGACCAGGCTTTGTTGCGGGTGAATTTTCTCTGCCCACCGTGCTCCTGCCACTCCTTCCTTCGCTGCTCCAACAGCTTTTGCCTCTGTTTTTCTCTGTTCTTGTCCTTGAAGGCAATCGTGTCCGTGTCAATATCAACAGGCGTGAAGTCCGAAAAGCACTTGCCTTTCAGCTCCGGCATCCGTGGCATCTTCAGCAAACCAAAACCGCGGGCCAGGCTACTAAAGTCCAAGTCTGTTGAGGGGGGCGGGGGAGAAGAGAGAGAGAAAAGTATATGGATGGATCAAGCCACATACAGAAACCATGTGACAAAGCAGAGACTACACAGGCCAGCTGGGATGTCACAATAAAACGGACCATCACGCTTTTGGGGGCCTGTGAGCACATTTGGAATTTAGAGAAAGTACCATAGGCACCAGTCACAAAATGGCTGTTCATTACATGAAATGGCTGTTGCATCTAAAAGGGGAGAAAGAGAGGCAGACTCACAAAAATGGTTCAAGCATGCCCCACTCGTGCCCCAATGGAGAAAGCACCTGCATCAGCCACTTCCATGCTTGCTCACAGAGTATCTCCTTGCACCCATCCTCTGTGGAGAATGGAAGGGAGAGTGCTCGATTTAGGAGATGCTCAGCCACTGCAAACAAGAAAATTAGCAGGAAAAAAGTCTTGTGGATTGTGAATTTTTGAAGGGATAATTCATAGGAGGTGCCATAGACAGGTTGGCTATTGGCGCCCATGGGTGCCATGTTGACAGCCCATGGGATAAACCATGGTTCACTGTGGTTGGGAGGACCATCAGCAAGCCCTGGCTGTGAAGAGATCAGAAACTTCCATTTCTGACAAACTCCAGATTGGCGTTAACATCAGAACCATACCTTGCGGTTTCATCTTAACTTACTGTGGGGCCTGCAGTGTGCCTGAGCCACGCATCTCACACAGTGGCTCTGACGCCTGCAGGCTCTCCACTGCCAAAACGGCAGCATGAGGCTTGCTTCTGCCCACCGCCTCTCCCTCGGTCACCCTACAGCTGAAGGGGAGGGGGGGCAAGGCTCAGCACACCAAACTCTGCCCCGGCTTGATAAACAAGCTGACTTCACAACACACGATTTGAAGTTGGCTTGTTTCTACAAACCATAATTAAAATCAACCAGTTTGCTCGGTTTGCATGAAATGACAAGCTGTGATTAATCAAAGCCAAAAGCTTAGGCTTTAGACTTCCTCCTCATGGCCTTGGCGGAGAAGGAAAGGAGAAGACAAAGCATGTGAGAAGCTACGTCTCTAGCCAGAGACAGAGGTCAAGAAGGGGCAGCGCAGCTTAGGGGTAGAGCATTTGCTTTCAATACAGAAGGTTCTGGGTTCAATCTAGGATGAAGAGCAAGAGAAATTTAATAAATAAATTATAAATCTCTAGGTAAAGGCTGGGAATGTCCCCTGTCTGAAACTTTAAGGAAGCCACTGCCAGGAAGCACTGTCTACACTGCACTAAATGGACCGATGGTCTGACTCAGTAAAAAGCAGCATATGCCAGCAGGGGGCCTTCCAGATGTTTTCAACTAGAACTCCCTGATGCTTGGGCTGATGATGGGAAGTTGTGGAAGGTACCAGGATGGTGAAGGCTGCCAGAGAGCATTCCTGAATCAAAACAGCCAGCAAAAACACACACACACAAACACACACACACACACACACACACCCCTAGTGCAAATTACCTTTCATCCTGAAGATCAGGTTGCACTCGTGTTTGGCATATGCCTGCACGTAAGATACAAAGGCTTTCATCCCCTTCTCATAGAAAGCTCTGTCAGCCAGACTGAGAGACTTCAGCTTCGGCAGGACATCTGCCACGTTGCTCTGCAGTTTCATTTCCTGCATGGGACACTGTCAAGAGGAGTCCAGTTTCAAATTATCTGAAACAAGACACTGGAAGTGCACCCCTTAATTCAGCTACTTTTAAATATGACATACCATGTGAAGAATTTTGCAAGTCAGAAGACCTTTTTTGCACATCATCTTTGCCCAAAAAAAGCTTGCCAAAGATTTATGCAGAAGGGAGAATTTCTGAAGGTGCATTTCCCCCCACTAGAAGTACTGCATAAGCAGGAAAAGTCACACCTGTCAATAATTACCGTATTTTTCGCCCTATAGGACGCACTTTTTCCTCCAAAAATGAAGGGGAAATGTGTGTGCGTCCTATGGGGCGAATGCAGGCTTTCGCTGAAGCCTGGAGAGTGAGAGGGGTTGGTGCGCACCAACCCCTCTCGCTCTCCAGGCTTCAGGAAGCTCTCCGCAAGCCTTGGGAGCCCGCGGAAGTTCCCGTCGGGCTCCCTAGGCTTGCGGATAGCAGCCTGCATCTTGAAGCCTGGGGCGCGCTGCACAGCACGCCCTGGGCTTCGGTTCCCCGACCTGGTTTGGAGGCTGGCAGTGGGGAGAAGCGCGCTTCTCCCTGCCGCCAGCCCCACAAGCTCAGGGGACAGCGGGGAGGCGCAGCGCCGCCATCCCGCTGTTCCCCGACCTGGTTTGGACTTCAGGCAGATATATGCAAGGCGTGGGAGCCCAGCAGGAAGTCGCGCCGGTCTCCCAAGGCTTGCGGAGAGCTGCCTGTTCTGGGGGCTGGGGTAGGGGAAAGCTCGGGCTTCCCCCACTCCAGCCCCACACCTGGGGGGGGGGAATTCTTTATTTCCCCCCTCCAAAACTAGGTGCGTCCTATGGGCCGGTGCGCCCTATGGGGCGAAAAATACGGTATTTATTAATTTCATTTATTAATTGTCTCCCATAGAGCATTCCAAAGCAGTAAGCAAACAATTTCACATCCAATAGAGAGGCAGACTAGGATACAAATCTCCACATAAAAGACCCATTGGAAAAGGAAGTCCTTCAATAGGCACCGAGGGGAAGTAGAAGGCACCTGTCTCTGACACATTCTGAAAAGCAGGTGCCACCACACTAAAGGCTTCATCCCTACATTGTACAGAACAGATCTAGTAAGACAGAACTACAGGAGGCCCTCACCTAAAGAGCACAGTGCATGGTTACATACACAAGGAGTGAGACAATCTTTTAGGTCTCCTGGTCCCTAAAAGATGTAGAGGACTTTGTAGAACAGTCAATATTCCTTCCCCATGAACTGCATTCTCAGTGGAACCTGGAAGCATTCTCCCTTTCCATTTTTGAAAACAGAGAAGCCCACGCACCTTTTGGTTAATGGCTAGAAAACTGATGTAGGCTTCTTCCATGGGAAGCAAGAAGACAAGTGCGCTGCCCAAGTGCCCGATGCGCGCAGTGCGGCCACAGCGATGAACGAAGGCACTGGAACAGCGGGGGAAAGTGGTTCAACACAAGGAAAAGGCACACCTCCTTGGAGGCCAGCACAGGCCCCCACATTTGTATGCTATCACTGCTGAGCTCAGCAGACACTTTACTTCCCACTTTTTTGCAGCCATAAACCAGAGTGGCCATTAAAGATTGGTTGCCTTCTTAAAGAGAAGGGAAGAAAGGGGAGAAACACTCAGTACCTTGCATTGCTTGGAGGGTCACACTGCAAAACCCAGTTCACCTCTGGAATGTCTATGCCTCGGGCCATCACATCCGTGCAAACCAGAATGCCACTAAGAAATCACAGGGAAATGCAAAGTTTTAGGAGGGGACGGAAATAAAACTGAAATAACCTAGTGATTCTCCCAACGTAATTGGCTCCCATATGCAGAACGTTGGTCCTGCAACAAAAAGGTGCAGCGTGGAATAGCGCTGATGAGGAATCCAGCCACTCTATTTCCCCCTCCCACCTAAAAAAAATATCTATCAACATTCTGTAGCCACAGAGCATGCTCAGTCCTCACTGGGGTGTTTTTGAGCCCTGCCTGCCTGCCCGGCCGCCACTTTTAGGGTTTGTTTTCTAAAGTTGCTTGGGACTTCTGCAAACCTTTGAGTTCTGCCAAGTCTGCTGATATCTCCCTGTTGTACATGGATGGTACTATTTTGGCTACAGAAGAATCAACAGTTGCAGACTGAACATTAGAAATAGAGGAAATGACCCTGAAGCAAACAATCCTGAAGTCTTAGCAGTTTCCCCAACAGTCTTACACCTAAATCATGTATATGTGTTGGGGGGGGGGGTGCGTGAGAGAGAGAGAGATGCACACACACACACATATTTCTAGCAGTTGGCTAAACCAGTCCTTGTGAAAATGCATCTCACCTCGGAAGTTTCCGGAACTCCGTGAAGATCCTATTCCGTTTGTGTTTCATTTTCCCATGGATGCACATTATTTTCACATTCTTAATCAAGGATTCCAAAGTCTTCCCAAAATACTCCACGCAAGCGCAGGTACTGGAAGTGTAAACAAAATGCCACAAAATGGGTCAGCTTTGCGATTCTTCATTTTTGACGGTCTAAAGGCCAAGATCCGAAGAGGGGTGAAATTACTTTGACCAGAGCTCAAGGCAGGAGAGTATGATTACCTCAGAGTATTGCAGACGAAGGAGCTGAAGCTGGAAAAGAGCGGCTTCCTTGACGCCATGCTCTGCCAGAGTACTTAAAAATCTAAATGAATCAGTCCCTCTACATCTGTCCTCCACGCCCTTCAAGCTGAGTTTCCCAGCAGTGCCCCATGCCGCTGAGGCAATATGGAACCTTGACTTGTTACAACAGGAATTGTGAACCTCCAATGTTGCTGGACATCCCAACCCTCACCAGCACCAACCAGGATGGCCGATGGCTGGAAATTATGGGAGCTGGAGTCCAGAAGGTACCGTATTGGCCTGAACATAAGCCTCACTTTTTCCCAAATTCTGACAGTGAAAAGTGCGGCTTAAATTCGCGACCTTAAAAAAATTGGCTTTTACGATATCGCTGCTAAAACAGACATACAGTAAAACGGAACGGGTGTGAGTGCCTGCGGAATTTTAAGGGAGCGACTTATATCCGGGTATTGTCTTTTTTTCTTTTCCCCCCTTGAATTTTAAAGGTGTGGCTTATATTCAGGCCAATACGGTAATTCTGAGGAACTTCTGAGGACACCCCTTTAGCTACTGAGCCAACAAATTAGAGTGCTTAGGGTGGCAGATAGTTCTATTTTTAAAACAAAACAAAACCAAAAACATTTCTCTATGTGTTTCAGTCTACTTTCCATTTCTCAATGCTGAATGAGACATTGATCATGTCATGGGTATTTCTTTCCCGGATGAAGATATATCTGAACAGCTAAGGATGGGGAACCTGTCCTGTCGTCGTCCCCCACATTGCTGGACCCCCAACTCCCATCAGCCCCAGCCATTATGTTCAACAGTCTGGAATGATGGGGTTTAGGGGCCGGCAACCTCTGGAGGGCCACAGATTGCCCCAGCCCTGTGTTCAAGGACCTCCCTGCCCTTAGCATCACCTGAAAAAGACGAGATGTTTTTCTGCCTTGTGTTGGCGAAGGAAGTGGACCAGCTGGTTAAATTTTTCTTCTGCTTTGCAGATCTAAAAAGAGGAGGACAGAAAGATAAAGAGGCAGGGATAAATAGATGGCAGCGGGAAGCAGCAAAGCACAACAAACACCAGAGCCAATCAAAGCCCTCCTTAAAACCCTTTTCAAGATCAATCTGAAAGCTTCCCTTTAGACTGCAACTGTTAACAAAAAATTTTTTAAAAAAAAAACTCAATTACAGTCATACCTTGGTTCTCAAACAGAATCCGTTCTAGAAGTCCATTCGACTTCCGAAAATGTTTGAAAACCAAGGCGCAGCGTCTGACTGGCTGCAGGAGCTATAGGGTTATAGCCAACAAAGCTGTCCTAGTCGGGCAAGGACAATGGACTTGCACAATGGACTTTCTCCTTCCTCTCACTTTCTCACCTCCCAAAGAAACTTCTGCTTTAGAGAGCTGGGGGAAACTCCAAGAACCTGACATGGCTGAAGGGAGCTTCCTGCGTTCCTATAGAGCCATCCTCACCATGTAGTAGTTTTGGAGGCGGGTGGGGGTCTTCTGAGTGTTGCTCGCTGCCATTCCCTTCTCCTTCACTGAGATGCGGACAGGGTTCCGGAGACCAGCCCTCACCAGGTTCTCGACTTCTTGAGTTTGAGTTGCCGAAAAGAGCCCCGTTCGTCTCTGCTTGGGCAACAAGTCCAGAATGGTATTTAAACTGCAAGCGAACACAGTTAGAAAGGTCAGAAGAGCTCTTCTGAATCAAGGCCAAAGATACACAAGGGAAGAACTTTATTCAGTCTTCATTTTAAAGGAAACCAAGCTAACGCTAATGATATGGATTAACATGTAGATAAAAACAGTTATCATTTGGATTGTGCACTTCTCCAAATTTTGCAATGCAGTTTTGGTTAAAAAATGCATATATTCTGTTTTAGAGTGGGAATGTGTACAAAATGTATGTTTCAGGGACAAGTACATGCACAATGTTTGTTTTAGGGGGAAATGCATACAATTTAAGCACATTTTTGGGTAGTATTTTTAAAAGCCACAGAAAGCAAGATGGAATGCACTCAACACCAGCAAAACTGTCACAGAATGGCAATAAACTGATCCATCCATCCATACTTCTTAGTCCCAAAGTGCTCAATCAGATGTCTTCCAATTTAACTATTATGAAATTTATAATCCAGCTCAAGAGCAGGCAACCATCAAAGGTGCTGGTGGAAGGTCCCCCTTACTCCCAAAGCAAATACCTTGCTTCAAAGCCCATATCCAGAAGCCGGTCTGCTTCATCCAAGACCAAAACATCCAGAGATTTCACAGAGCTGGCCAAATCCAGCCCATCTGATTTTCTCCTGAACATGTCCTCCAAACGGCCTGGAGTAGCTACCAGGATGTGTCCACTGTTGGGTATAGAGGGGAAAACCTCATTTTTATGGTTGGTTTGGGGGAAAGTTCATAACTGCAGGGAAAGTCACAGGAGAATCCAATCTTTTTGGAACTGGTATCAATACAATCAAGAAAGAAATCAAGAAGGAAAAGGAGATGTTCTCTGTCTGTGCACTAGCATATATCACAAACACAGCTGCCACCTCTTCCTCCCCCTTGCACAAAAACCTTTTACTCCACTGCCACCAGGCTCTTGCTGAATGCTTGAGACGCCCAAAATGCAAATAATGAGAACCAAAGTGACATTTTCAAATCTTATGACTTCTAAGCTCCTGTTGGTGCTCAAGTATTAATAGGAGAGAACGAAATATGAAAGCATGTCAAAAACTGCTTTTGTGAAATTCCACTGAAATTAAGCTAGTCAACCATGTGCTTAGAATCTTAGGATTGTAGAGTTGAAAGGGAATGCAGAAATCTTTTTTGCCCAACATGGGGCTCAAACCCACAACCCTGATGTTAACAGCCTCATGCTCTACTAACTGAGCTATCAGAGATCAAATTATTACTACGACCCACAAGGATCAAATGGCACAGCACTGTCCATACCCAATGGACAGATAGGGGCTGGGAAGTTGCTATAATAAATCTCAATAATATCTAAAGATACAAAAAAATAGTATCAATAACCACCACCACCCCCAAAAAAAACACCTAAATAAGAGTTTGTTCAGCAGCCTCAGCTTTTGCAGCTGGAGTCAAGTCAAGGCCCCGCCCTCCCAGGTCAGGTGGGAAAAGGCCAGCAAGGCAGGGACCAAGTCTCCCAAGATGATCCAATGATAACATGGTATCATTGCTTTTCTCCTATATTTACACTGGGACAAACTGGTTGAATAATCCCAAATGCAGATCCATGGAATTGCTACTGAGCTAGGATTCTACCCAGAAAATGCAGGACACATAGTAATTTCAAACTCGAAGGAGTTCAGAAAATCTGATGCCCAAGTAGTAAGATTTCAGCAGCACTGGCCAGTCAGCAACTCACCCTCGTTCTTTGAATCTTTCTACGTCTTCCATGGGATTCTTTCCGCCGATTAGAAGGCACTGGCTGAAACAAAGCACACACATGCTATTCAAAAAAGCCACCAGAGTGAGCCATCATGCCCAGCTTCTTAGCAATCAGAATCATTTATGTAAGAATCATTTACATTATTACCTAAACTGTGGGAAATACTTTGTGAAATGGGATATCACTTCGTCTATTTGAATGGCAAGCTCTCGTGTGGGAGTGATGACGACAGCACCAACCTGAAACATCAGAAAGAAAATGGGAGGGAAATATAGAGGCCAACTATTTTCTTCAATGCAATCCGCTCCTCCATCCTGAACAAATGCAACTGGTAGCACTTCCTGCGGATTTCAATTGAATTTAGGTGATGGCAGAGTGGCTGAGGATCAAGAGAAATGCAGATGACAAGGGGCTCAACACACTTTGAGCTCCTTATGTATGGCTGTCAAATAGGGGTGAATCAAAAGCTGCTACACCATAGCTGTTTGGCTGGATGCGCCACTGCTGCTGCCTCTCTGCTTTTGGGGAACGAAGCAGCCTGTGGCTACCTGCCAGAGACAGGAGAGGTTTGCAGCTGTGGAGCACTTTTCTTTAGACAAGGAGGTGGTGTTAGAAAACAAGCTTGCTCCATCTTCCATGCAACAGCCCATTAGATTTCTGAAGGTAGCTATCATATCTCCTCCGTCTCCTTTTTACCATGCTAAACATATGAAGTTAAGAAGCTGCTTCATATTGATCAGACCCTTAGTCCATCCAACTCAGTATGGTCCACACCACAGGCAGCCAATCTCATGGGTGACTACAACTCCCATCATACCTCTGACCATTGGCCATGCTGGCTGAGGCTAATGGGAATTAAGGTGTAACAACATCTAGAGGCCAGCAGATTGGCTTGATCTATACTGACTACACTGACTGGCAGTGGCTCTCCAGGGTTTGAGGATTTGAACCCGGACCCTTTTGCATACAAAGCAGATGCCTTACCACTGAGCTATGACTCCTCCCTCAAGGAATTGCACAAGGTGACTTGCTTACCTGCGCCTGCCAGAAATTAAAGCACTCCACAGCCACAGCCTCCTTTCATCTCAGACAAATGGCTTCAACACACCTTGATTCCCAAGAAGAAATGGCAGTGATGGAATTGCCAGTCAAGTGATTCCAACATTGCAGTTTTTGAACTGCTGCTATGCTACAGTCACTGAAGAGAAACCTCAGAGATCACAGCACTTTCAGTCTCGTTATTTCAGTCTTCCTCTGCCCTAAGAGCGCAAATTATGGTTCACAGTGGAATGCACTAGGTAAGAAAACCACTCTTAGGTCAGATGTAGGTAAACCATCTACAACTGTGAACCGCCTTGAGACCTCTGAGTATAGGGTGGTATATAAATTAAATATATAAATAAGCCCTTAGAACTCTGGAAATAAGCTATGTAATTGACAAGTCTTTTTCACTAGCCCTCTGAAGAAAACAGAAATGAAATATCAATCTTCTTAGGCACCAGCATAAAAGACCTTTGGCTCCTGGGAACCAATTGCTCAAAACTATTCTCCCAATCTTCCTATTTTTTAAAAGCAGGGCAGAAAAGAACAGTGACATTTTACCTGCATTTTCTTGAGCTTTTCTTCCCGTCGGAGAAGAATTTCTATGATTGGAATAACAAAAGCTAAAGTTTTTCCACTGCCAGTTACCTGCAGACATGAAAACAAGAGACATTAAAAATAATTCTTTCAGCAAAAGGCCAAAAGTCACAGGGAAGTTGAGCAGCAAGACACTTACCGCCTCAGCTGCCACATCCTTATTTGTCATAAACAAAGGAATCGTTGCAGACTAGAAGAGAGACAGAAGTGTAAAAAAGGATTATTATTTCATTTTTAAAACTTAGTCCCTGTGTAATTTTCAAAAGGAACTCAAGATGGCTAACTAATCCAAGCATTCCAACAGTATTAAAATATGTAACAATCCACATTCCAATGCCCATCAAGAAATCAAGGTATTCACATAAAAACCTATAATAAATTTCCAAAAACGGTCAACATAACTAAAATATCAAACAAAAACCAGAAAAAGAAATTATGGGGCAATGCTAAGTGACAGGATAGGGAACCTGTGACCGGCCAATGTTGTTGGACACCAATTCCCGTCAGCCTCAGCTAGCCGTGACGAAGGGCAGGGATGATGGAAGTTGCAGTCCAACAACTTATAAAGAGTCACAAACCCCCAAACCTTGTTTTAAAGAGAACTGCAGGCAGAGGGAATATTGGGGAAATGATCTTTCTATTAAAGCAGGTGATGTAAAGCAGATGATGATGCTGGAACATTAGTCTTTAATTTTATTTATTACATAAATTTATTACATTGGCACTTTCTCTGCTGCCTTTTTGGTGCCTATTGAAGACCTTCCTCTTTCCACAAGCCTTTTACGCTTTCCCAGTACAGTGGTACCTCGGGTTACAGACTCCGCTAACCCAGAAATAGTACCTTGGGTTAAGAATTTTGCTTCAGGATGAGAACAGAAATCGTGCTCAAGCGGCGCAGCGGCAGCGGGAGACCCCATTAGCTAAAATGGTGCTTCAGGTTAAGAACAGTTTCAGGTTAAGAACGGACCTTTGGAACGAATTAAGTATGTAAACAGAGGTACCACTGTACTGGAATTGTTTTTAAGATGTTTTTTTGTTTTATCTCTTGCTGTTTGCCGACCTGGAGTTCTTTTGGAGGAAGGACAGGATATTAACTTAATTAACAAAGAAAGAAGAAATATGCCACTTTTCCTCCAAGGAGCTCAAAGTTCTCCCCCTCTCAATTTTATCCTCACAACAATTCTTGACAGGTAGGTTAGGCTAAGAGACAGTGACTGGCCCCAGACCACTCAGTGGGCTCCATGCCTGAGTGGGGAGTTGAACCCTGTCTCCAAGATTCTAGTCCAACACTCTAACTACTATGGGGGCTGCTCTGAAAGCATTACTTTGTATGGGAGCCATAGTACTGGTAAAGCTGTGTGGGGTGGACCTGATCAGCACCCGAATGAATGGGAGACCACTGCAGCCTGCCCATATGCAACCTGGCTAAAGCTGCACCAAAATCCTTGCTGTATGGCTCCACCATCAGAGGTGAGGCACATTATGACTGGGAAGAGGTCCTTCTCACTTGCGGCACCATTCATGGAACTCTATCACAACAGAAGCTTATTTGGCGCTGTGGGTTAAACCACGGAGCCTAGGACTTGCTGATCAGAAGGTCAGCGGTTCGAATCCCGGCGACAGGGTGAGCTCCTGTTGCTCAGTCCCTGCTCCTGCCAACCTAGCAGTTCGAAAGCACGTCAAAGTGAAAGTAGATAAATAGGTACCACTCCGACGGGAAGGTAAATGGCGTTTCCATGCACTGCTCTGGTTCGCCAGAAGCGGCTTAGTCATGCTGGCCACATGACCGGAAGCTGTACACCGGCTCCCTCGGCCAATAAAGCGAGATGAGCGCCACAACCCCAGAGTCGGCCACAACTGGACCTAATGGTCAGGGGTCCCTTTACCTTTAGCTGTATTTTCAGAGCCAAACAGTATTTGTATTCTTGTTTTGAGTGATTGTTTCCTACAGCTGTTTGCTAATAGTCTGGAGTCTTCCCCTCCACACTCGTAGAAGCGTTGTTTTGAGTATAGAACATGGGTAGGCAAACTAAGGACCGGGTGCCGGATCCGGCCCAATCACCTTCTAAATGTGTCCTTTTATTTAAAATGCATCTCTGGGTTTTTTGTGGGGCATAGGAATTCTTTCATTCCCACCCCCCCAAAATATAGTCTGAAGGTCTGAGGGACAGTGGACCAGCCCCCTGCTGAAAAAGTTTGCTTACCCCTGGTCTAGAATGTTGATCACTGTTTTGTTGATTTCTAACAAGTCATTGGCTGACCCCTGGTGTATTTCTTGTAGGAAGACAATGTAGTTTCATGGTGTTTATGTACGAGGCACAGCCCTCTTGATCTTCGTATTGGGCACCCCTGGCTCTCCCTTGCTTGTGGTGGTGGCGTTGGCAGCGTGGGGACCAGCTAGAGAGCCCTGTTGGTGCTGGTGCGGCCGTGGCGCTTGCCATCTTGCCTTGCCAGAAGTCAAGCATACTTACTTTTGAGTAAAGATACATAGGACTGCAAAGGTACACAATCAACTACTCTGAAAGCAGAACTTACTTACAGTGGTACCTCTGGTAACGTACTTAATTCGTTCCGGAGGTCCGTTCTTAACCTGAAACTGTTCTTAACCTGAAGCACCACTTTAGCTAATGGGGCCTCCTGCTGCCACTGCGCAGCCGGAGCACAATTTCTGTTCTCATCCTGAAGCAAAGTTCTTAACCCAAGGTACTATTTCTGGGTTAGCGGTGTCTGTAACCTGAAGCATCTGTAACCTGAAGCGTCTGTAACCCGAGGTACCACTGTATTTCTAACTCACACTTTTCCACAACCATCTTCAAGCCGGGATGCAACATAATTAATATTCCATCCAAGAGCCATGATTTAAAGGGGGGACACCAGTAACAAGAGCAATACATGCCAAAGACGATTAAAACCCTAGAGGTGGTTTGGTGCAAAACTCCAGGCTCATTTGGGTTGGAGGCTTTGCATTACACATGTACATCTGTATACCTAGATAAACACACATATCCGTATACACAGCGCTCACGAGCATGCTGGCTCTCATCTCTTTTAAGGAAAGAATCCCAGAAGTGTAGCGCTGGAAGGGGTCCAGGGAGCCATCTAGTCCACCCCCTTCCCGAGGAGGGAGATCAGAGCCGGCTCCCTTTCCCGGTCCCCGCTGCCTACCTGCACCGGCGTCATGTGCGTGAAGCCCAGCTCCCGCAAGGCCCGTCCCACGCCAGGGCTCAGCCGGACGGGCAGCGAGTCCCACGCGCCCTCGGTCACCGTCTCCATGCTCCCGAGCGCGCAGCTTCCCCGTCCCCGCGGCAGCCAATCCGCGTCCGCCCTTCCTGCGGTCCCCCACGGGGCGGGCGTCCTCCGCCTTAAGCGGCCGTTCCGGGAAACAGAACTGCGGAACTTTAGTTCCGCGTCAGCGCTGAGCGGCGCGGGGAGCAGGGAGCAGGCGCCTCCCTTGCGAGAACAGCTCCGCGGGATCACAGTTTGTTTCCTTTAAAATGCTGCTGAGTTACCCATTCCTGCCAAAATCTGGAATCCGCAGCTCAGGGTCAACAGACACGGGTGTCAGTAGTGGGATACGAACCCTGCTTCCATTCAGAGCCAGAAGTACAAATGGCTGTGAAAAGACCAAAAAGTTTTGGAGGAAAGTTCATTTCGAAATGGAAAAATGTAAAAAAAACTAAATTTGCACTGGACCCCAAAACTATGTCATTGGGAATGACTCCTTCAGCTACTGTATTGTGAAATCGTCAGTGGAACTATTTAGTTATATGACCACTTCAGTCAGAGTGGTGTTGGCTAACATATGTCCTGGAATAGATGCATGGAAAGAGAATATGCAGTAATGGCAAAACTCGCGAGTTTAGTAAATGATAGACTCATGGCAGAACATTAAAAAACTTGGAATCTTTATAATTTGTATACAACTTAACAGAACTGTAACGAAATGAACATTTGTATGGATTTGTATAATAGACCTTAGGTTACAAAAATATTTCCTGTTTAAAAATAGCTTTGTGTGTATATGATAAAGAAAGAAATATATAGTAGAAGAAATCTTGTCTGTCTGATCTAGAAATGAAATCATATTTTTAAATAATTTTTGCTTTAGAATTTTATAATCATATATGGTATTTCTCCAATAGCAAACTACCTAGAATTGGAAATAATATTTAGCATACTAACCTTTGTTTAACTCTTGATAAATGTCAGCTTGCTGAGTTATTTTGTACCATTGTGATTCAATGTTATATTTGCCAGCAGGCAGACCCAACAATACAGTTTTGCTGCTTAGCAAGAGATTTGGGGAAGTTGCTCCCGTTCTTCACTGTGATCAGATTACACACTGAGTACTCGTCTCCCGTTTAGTGTACAACTCAGCCAGGCCATAGCATGAGTACCTGCCAGCCATCTCATCCTAGGTCACCCCCTATGCAGCATCAGGCAGGTGAAGTCACTAACATCCATGAAAAAAAATACACCTAAGGCGAATTCTGGGACTCCAGAATCCACAGATACCTGCAGAGTCTCTAGCTCAGGTGTGGGGAACCTCTGGCCCTCCGGATGTTGCTGCACTCCTGCTTGCTGGAGTTGACAGGAGTTGCAGTCTAGCAAGAGCTGGGGTGGCCAAAGATTCCCCACATCTCACCAGAGGAAAAGGATTCTGCATATGCTCAGGAGCACATTTGCCCTGCGGTCTTTGAAATGCTACATCCCCCTTGGAGGTCAAGGATTTCTGTCATGCTCCAGGACACTCAGCCAAGCTGCAAGAATTTTGGTCAGCCCAAAGGTAGCTGCTGCACTCTTTAGACACAACGTCTGCTAATAAATTTGCGCTGGCTTCCTTGCCCTTTGAGACTATCTGAGGTGGGGACTGGAACAGGCCTGCCTTTGAGGACTTGTTAATTTATTTTAGCACTCCTTTGGAAACAAGAAGGTATGTGCTTTTTGCAGTCGACTGGGCATATTTCCAAATGTGCATTCCGCAGAAAAACAACAAACTGTGAAGCATTCATGTGCTCCATGTGCCCATGGCTCTGGAATTCATGTGCTCCCATGCCAGAGAGGTTTTATAAGCGAATTTGATGGTTCCTTTCCCCACTTAGGCCAGACAGGTCCCCCACGCGCCCGCCTTTAATGTTATGGCCCACCATTAAACTTGCATGCACCACGAAATGTGCCACCCACATGGAAAGAGCAGGCTGCATTTACCCGATTTGAGTTCCACCTGAAAATTATGTGGCAGAAGTTACAAATGCTTGCAAATCCATGCCCCTGCTTAATTCACAGAATGCAGAAGGAAGGGTAGTGATATCCTTAAGCCCCCCGCAGCAAACAGAAAAAGAGAGCCACCAAGCACCTTAGAAACAAATGGATTGATCGTAGCAGATAGGAGGGGGGGATCTTTCTGTGGACGACATGGGCAGGCTGTAAGTAGCATCCCTTTCTCTTCTTCTCATTTGTGTCACAAACTGGGAGGTTTTTCTGGTGGAAACCTGAGTATCAGGTTTGTCCCTGTCCCTCCCTTGACCTCCACCTTACACCTTACATTAAGTAAAACAAAGGAAAATATATACAAGTTCCTGTTTCCCAGCCAAGTTGAGTACCCCCTATTGTCCTGGCCAAGTGTAAAATAAAGGGTGTAGGAAATGAAATGAGTGTTGCCTTTTCATTGTTTAAGGATGTTTTGTTAAGACTTTTGATTCAACACACTTATTTCAATATACAGTTGTACCTTGGTTTTCGAACTTAATCCGTTCCGGAAGTCCGTTCTTAAACCAAAGCGTTCTTAAACCAAGACGTGCTTTCCCATAGCAGCAGGGGACTCAATTTACAAATGGAACACACTCAACAGGAAGCGAAACATGTTCTGCATGCAAGGCAAAGTTCACAAACCAAAACACCTACTTCCGGGTTTGCAGCGTTCTTAATCCAAGTTGTTCATAAACAAAGCTGTTCTTAAACCAAGGTCCCACTATATAAGCGTCAATAGACTGACCTTTTAAATAGGAAGCTACTCTTTAGGTTTCTAAGCAATTTGTTACCTTTCAATTAATTCACCAATTTTGTGATGGCTCTTAGTACCATTAAATAATGCCTTACTGTGGTACCTTGGTTAATCCGTTCTGGAGTCCAGTCTTAAACCAAAGTGGTCTTAAACCAAGGCATGCTTTCCCATAGAAAGTAAAGGAAAACGGATTAAATTCTCTCATAAATAAAAATTGCAGCGGGAGACTTAGAAAGCATCAGATTAGGTTAAATTCTCTGGGAATGGAAATACTTTAAAGGAGAAGTTATTGGGTAAGCTTTTTATCATAATCCCACAAAGCTCTTAACATGCAGCTGCTAACAAACAGTAAGACAAAGAAATAAAGAGTAGAATTGCTCCTTAAAGACGCAAAGCAAGCATCAGGCTGTAGGTTTGTTTTTTTAAAGAAGGTGTTTTATTTATCGAATCTGGCCATATATCAAGAACTTTTAAATGTACATCTTCTCATTAGAATTCAACTTGTCTCACACAAGGGTTGGCATACAACAGCTGCGCTGGGGGGGGGGGGAGAGCCACCCCTTTGAAGGACAGCTGCTAAGTGTCTAGCTGAGGCTGAAAAGATTTACTTGAACCATGAAAACTTGTAACAAATTTTAATTAAATTAAATTTGGTACAAAACTCTTATGCATTACCGATAGAATGCTTCCCCCACTCTTGAAAAGAACCCAACCCCACCCACCCCCAAAATTACAACCAATATACATCAGTTCAATATACATCAGCCACAACATAATCTTGGATCAGCACCCCGCTCCCAGAGACAGACGTGGTGATTTTTAAACCCATCATCCAGACAGCAAGAAGAAAAATAGCTGGTACAAAAACTGAAGTTGATGTGTGTTTAAAAGAGAGGAAAATGAACACAATTATTTCAATACAGCCTAATTGGGAGTGCCAACTCCTTTCCTGAGTGAGGCTCCTGTTCCTTTAACAGCAGTGCAAAAAAGGAAAACCTCAACAGGTACACTTTATCATGGAGCTGCAGTAACAGGAGCTGCATCTGCTAAATTTCTATGTGCTGCTATTAAATGCGCAAAAATCCTCTTGGGAAGATGCACTTGCAGCAGGGAAACAGCACCCGTTTCATTTCTCCCCGCTACATAAAAGGCACAGGAGTCTTCATTATAGGAAAGGGGGTTGCAATCCTAGTGGTGTTGTGACCACACAGCAGCATAGCTGCTTCTTCTTTCATGTATCGGATGTGTAGCACGGTAATAACCTCCCTTCCACCGCCTCCCAGCCCGCCCATCACCACTGTTAAAACCCTTTGGCATCAGGAACCAACATCCTGAATACTAGTTCTACAAGAGTGCCAAACACAGGAGCAGCTTTGGATTGTAAGCAAAAAAGGAAAAGATGTAGCTAAGTCCCCCCCTAAATGGCTGCCTGTTCATAAATTTGCACACAAGAACACATGGTTAACTGGCAAGAACTGTGTTGTATTTTCACATCTTTAATTAAGAACCTCAGGACCAAACCAGTGTGATTACAGAAGGAGTACAGGAGACTTACAGAAGCCACCTAAAGACCCCCTAGTAGAGCAATCCGCTGGTTTCAGTATGTTTGAACACCAACATGCCCATTTCTTTCTTGGCATGCTTTCTTGACAGTACTGCCAGGCTTGTCCGCATGCCACAATTCCACTCCTGGGTAAAGCGGAGAGGAAATCCTCTGATCAAATTAAAAAGTGTCTCCCCCACAGGCATTTAAAAGGTGTTTAAGGACCTTGTGCCATTTCCCTTACACAAAAACTGTATTCTATTACCAAAAAAAGGGAGACAGAAAACAATCAAGGAAAATTTTCACTTGATCAATAGCGCTGGTTTAAAAACAAACTTTTGCAATTTCGTTGAACTCACTTTGGCTTGTGAGAAACAAAGTTTACCAATTTCAATGTACAACTCTCAGCTCATGTTTCCCTAGAGAGGGTATCTATAGATACATAGATATATAAAATTAAGCTAAGAAGAAAACTGAAAACACAAGTTTTATAGTTCAGAACATAGGGATAAAGAAAACTCAGTGAATTTTGTGACCAAGTTGTTTTGTAGAAGTGAATGGAGAATCTGGGATCACTGGAGAGAGAGGCCAAGGGGGGAAAGTTTGATTAAACAACTCTCCGGACTTCAAAAAACCTCTTCAGATAGTAGATTTGTCCCAGTGTCATGGCAACTAGTACAAGAGCTTCAAAGAATGACCAGAGGACCACTCTGCTATTTGTGTTGTCGTTAACTAGTGAAAAAAAGGAGGAGAAAACACATTTGATTAATATACAGGAATGAAAAGAAGCTAAACACACTGGAAGCCTAGGGAAACAAAGCATCACCTCCTCCCATACAAACCCACCCTGCATGAGCGGATCATCAGCTGAAACCTTGTTCTGTGTTTCCAACCTGCCAGCTGAGGTACAGCGGGCAGGTACAGAAGGTTAGGCCTTCTGGGCACCCAGGCCATGGAACATTCCAAGAGATAGGAGTGGCCCAAACTTCCTTGCCTTTCTACAAGATGCTAATAAACACATATGAAATCATGAAAATTATGGGTCTTTGCTTCTATTGATTAGTGTTGCAACATCAGGTGCCAGCTCCTTCTCCAATATGGCTGGCTACTTTATTTTGACTGCAGAGTTCTTGGTAAATACGTTGTCATTTTCTACAGTGCTGCTTTGAGAATGATACTCGCCCTTACACTGGAAAAACAGTGTTAAGTGATGCAAAACAGGGGGAAATAATTATTGATGCAAAGGAAGTAATAACACCCAAATGTGCCCTGGGAGTACAACCATGTTTTATGCAATTTGTTTTACAGGATTCTCAAAAAAGGTTTCAAGTTTTCTCTTTTCTAAAAACATGCCAGCATTTAAGAAGCAGAATGAAGAAAGTTAGTGGCAAGCAGTGTCTAAGAGACTACTAAGGTACAATTAATAAATTTAATTGATTTAAATGTCTCTCTGCCATGAACTTTTAAAAATGATTTTTATTAGTTTTACAAAATAAATCTCAAACTTAACACATTAATATTAATAAATTAAACAAGAGTCTTCTGAATTTTAGGACTTCCCTCCTCCTCTCTGTGGGTCCTTAGTATATCTAAGTCCAACTGCATATGATAATTTCTCCACATTAAAATCCTCCAAAGTATCCAAAGTCTCTGCCACATTGCAGGAGTTGTTAAAAGTCTGCCAAAGAACTCAAGTCTTTAGTGTTCCTTTAAATACAGTTTTGATTCTCCCGATTTCTGATTTTTGTGGTGGGGAGCAGGGAGACAAGTCACTTTCTTGGCCTTCCCAAATGTATTCAAGTTGGGGCTTATTAAGTGATAATGAGCATGAAGCAGTTTGATGCACCATATAAATCAGCTGTGTAGATAGGAAGCTAGTAGCTCTTATTTGGGGAAGGTTCTCAGGCAGGGTGGAAGGAGAAAGAACTTGCCCATGTGAAGACCACCTGGTGGAAACCCTTACATATACGGTTCTTAATTGTAAACTATATGCTGATCTCCATCAGCAATTTCTAGATCAACTCTGCATCCCCAAATGGAAACCAGAGTTGGAGGTCATACATTTTCTATTACTGGGGAATGATCAGGAGCTCACCAAGTTAGTGGCTAAATATCTATTTGGTTTTTTGTCGTCGAAATACACTGCAGACCCCTGATCTCCCTGGAGACCTAGAGATGTGACGACAGACTGCTCTGCCTCCTTTCTTTTAGCAAATGTTTTGTGCCACTGGGGAAGTGGTAATTCTGTATTGATTTGCTTTGGATGTTTGGATGTGATGCCAATAAAAGGTTTGATGATGATGATGATGATAGTAACTCTTATAGCCTGCAGTTCTATTGTGGATGTGGAGGGGAAGCCGTCTCCTTCAGGACATGCATAGAAGCACAGGCTGCTAAAGCCCCTTGGATCATTTTCTAGAAAGCAGCTTTCTACCAAGTGCAGACTGACAAAGGAGAGGCAGCAATCTGCTACCCTCCCACTAGCCCACTAAATTCCCATGCCACAAGGAATGGAAGGCTTTGCTGGATGGCAATGCAGGAAACCTGCACATGCCAACCAAAACCACTTACTTGCTCGGTGTATCCTTTCACGGACTTCCATGTATTCCTGTTCATGCTTGACAGCGGTCATGGCCACCGCTAATTCATTAATCATCTCTTCTAGCTTGTTCTGATGAGCTGCAGATGGATCACAAGACATCAGATTTGTGATGTAAGCAACAAAACCCAGCAACAGTGGCATATAAGGCTGAAGTCTTCACAGCCAACAACTGCACATCTTGGGGAAGGGTTGATGTTTTTTAACCAGGCACAAAAATTCCCTTTACCTGGGTATTCATTCCAACATCCAGTTATCTCGGGCAAGTTAGATGAACAAGTACTGCTTTCATAGCATTACAATTAAGATGCTTTAAATAACCAAGGTAAATAACTTTGTTATACATACAGAGTTCTGTTCCATAAGTCACATATGACTGCACTAACGTATTCTGTGGTTGGCATCTGTCTCTCTCTCTCAAGAGACAATGGAGTACACCTTCAGGGGTGAAGGCAAACTGTTGCGTTAGCAGCACTGAAGTGACTTCTCCAGGGCAGAAGCCTGCGTGGTATACATGGAGGACCTGGGCTGCCCAGATTACAAGACCCTCTCTCGGCCTTGCTGATGTGGTCCAAAGGAAAGCAGAACAAGATGTTTGGCGCCAGCTTGGCTGCAGGAGCTGCCATAAAGAGGCGTACAAGGTGCCATCCAACCATCTTAGGGACTCCACTCCAGATTTCTGTGGGATTTACTGCTTAGTCTTTTCTTCCTAATCTCTTATTCTCTGGGGCTTGGAGGGGGTAAAAGTCCCCTTCCACTATTCTACTGAACTGGCTGTCAGGCTGCAATCCTAGGTATAAGAAGACCCATTAAATTCAATAGGACTTACTTCTGAATAGACATGGTTAGGATTGCCCTTTTAATTGCTGTGTTTTTAGGGTGATGATTTTTGTTTTACTAACGGGTTTTATTTAAGTCATGTGTTTTCCATTTGATGCAATGCTCTTAGCAGCATATAAATTCAAAACATATTTGTAGTCTACTCTCTTCTACTCCAGAGAACTTATCAGAAAGCTGGTCTTCTATATTTCTGTGTGCTGATTCAAAACCTAGGGTGTGTGTGTGTGTGCGCGCGCGCATAGGGAGTCTATTCCCAGTAACCCCCGTACCCCCCCCAAAAAATGCAGAAAGGGTTCTTGCTCAGCAGCATGTCCCTTTGAAGAGCGGCTCTGCTGTATCACCACTGCTCCAGCAGCACCTGTTATCTCTGATACCTGACAGCTGCTTGGGACCCGTTGTGGCCTCCTCTCACCTAATCTCACCCTTAAAGCAATTCCCTTCATCTACGGCTGGGTCCCTTTATGGCCAGGGAGCTGAGGCAACGTTATGTGACCACCACCCCTCCTGGCAAACTGCAGAAGAGGCACCTCGATTCAAGGACCTAATCATTTATTTGATCATTGAAAGAACCATTTACCAAGCAGGCATTGCCTGATAAAGTATGACAAGGGAATGAAAAGCAGTTTCTACTTGAAACCTACTACATTTATATCCTGCTCTTTTCCCAACAAGAGAAGTCAAGGCAACTCACATATGGGGTTCCCAAGCAACCTCCCATCCTGCCACTGACCAGACCCAGATCTCCTTAGCTTCAGCAAGGTGGGGGTCTCATGCAAACTATGCCTGGAAAGCAAACTTACAAAACTACGGTATTTCACAGAAGCTTAATGCTGGGATTGAGAATAGGACAGGTGCAGAGATTTCAATGAGCAAGCCAACAACCTTGAACAGAAATACAGTACCTGGTGACTTTGTAGTTTTGTAGAATCCCATTCAAACAGAATCTCTGTTAGGGAGTGAAAAACTTTTACAGAGAGACCTTCCCTCCCTCTCACTCACACAGAAACACACTCTTCTCACACCCAGCAGCTTAGTTGACCCACTTTGAGAAATACTGGCACGAATTACTTTGCCTTCATGGTGTTTAGTTAGCACAAAAAGGCAGAATTCTTTCTAGAGAGATAAACTGGTATAAAGTGAGAGAAGAACAATGGGAAATACAAAGGAAATCCTCAAACTTTACATCAAGACCTTCAGGTCCAAGGCAAATCACACAAGTAATGCAATATGGGTGCCCTATTAGTAAGACCACTCTTATGCACACTTTTAAACATGCCAACACCCACACATGCGTGTTAAGTGGTGGTCTTCAGACAACGATCTCCCTCTCAAAATGATTTCAATCTGTCAAGAGTTTTGTGTGTGGATACTCAGGATACTGGTAGTAATAGCTGGGACAGAACAAAAGGACCCGAAAACTGGAAGGGGTCTTTAGGTCATTTAGTCCAACATCCGGCTTGATCTGGGTGATGGATACTTACGACGATGAGAGGCCCAGCCAATATCCATCCTTGCAGTTTTTGTCCTCAACACTGGCAGCAGAAGGCCAGTAATGGCATGAAGGACAAGGAGGAAACTATGAATTTTTAAAGCTGGGGTGAAGGGTCAATGGCCTCCTCAAGAGACATACAAAATAACAGGATGTGAGGGCAGAAGAGAGAAAAAGTATAGGAGTGTGCACCTTTCCTGACAATTAGCCACACCTCCTTGGGCCAGCCTACCTCACAGCTGAGAACCACGGTCATGATCCAAACCATGCAACTTGGTCTGAGTGTTTATACTTGCATTTCTCAAACAGAATCCTCCACAACTGAATGATAAACCAGTTTTAAAAGCAGTTCCAGATTTGGTATTAGAGAAGACTGCTGTTCAGATAGGGAATGGGGATAGGAAGGAGAAAAAAGCCTACAGTAGCAAATTGGATCTTAATGGTTGAAGGACTTCAAAGTGGCAGGAACTGTTCACACTCAGACCTGAGTGCAATACCGTTGTGGTAATCATTGCATATTAGCAGGAAGTCACACAAAGAGTAGCCCCAAAAGGCATTAGCAGATTATGTAGCAAATTATGAGAAGCGAGGCAGGAGAACTGGCAAGCTTCTTAAAAGCATTGCACATACCATCCCAGTTATCTCCACCACCTAAAAAAAAGCATGAGAAATGAACAAATATACAGGAAGATGCTGAGCAAGTCTAGTAAGCAAAGGTAAATACATCAAAACACATGATGGGCGAAATGAGGGATGAGGGTAAGGCTGCAAATGTCACAGGGACAGAGGTATAAAGAAACCACAGTGAGAGGTGGGAGAAAAACTACTAGCTACCTGACTCAAATGTTCTGGCACCAACCAGTCTTTAGAGCGCTGCTCTGCAGAAAGCTGAAGAATTATGTACAATTCTAAGACATCCCCTTTTAGGGACTTCAAGCCACAAGATTACCCGTATTTCTTTTTCAAATTGATGGGGCGGAAAGAGATCATTTAATTAAATATCCCTTATATTTCCTTGATCCATGTCCATCACATAGCAAAAAGAGCTAATAAGTTATTTTATGAAGCATTTAAATCCAGGAGAGAATGTGTTTGGAATTCTGAAGCCCATAGAACAATATCTGGAAAACAGAGACGCAGGGGAAGGACAATAACATATAGTAGAAGAACATGGGTGAAAGGTGCCATTTTGTTTCCGGGATTCGCCCTCACCTTCTGTCTCCATATCTTGCCCCTTTGGAGCTTCACCAATGTCAATAGTGAACATCACTATCTTTGGAGTCATGGTGGACATTTTGTTGCTGAAGCAAAACTTGTATGTTCCATCCATGTGAGCAGCAAAGGTGTATTTCCCATTGGACTCTCTGTCTCCTTTGTAGATGACTTTGTTATCAGGCCCCATTATCTGGAAACAAGAAGGAAAATCTTTACTTTTTACCACCTTATGCATCATTCCCATCAATAAATTACATAAGCCTTGGGGAGTAATTGGCTGACATATCGTACAAATGAAGTGACAAACCACAAGGGCAAATCGAGCATTTGTTGCTGCCTCAGCTGACATCAATTTTAACTTCCAACCAATGTTTAATTTTTATTTATTTGCTCTACATCTCATGTGCAGTTGTTGTGCAACCTGTAGCACTGAACACAAGGATCTTACCTGTGCTTGATGAAGCACCCTGCAGTAGGCACCAGAGAAGCATTTCTCTCCAGGCCTTTCTTACCCAGGGCATTGCATCATGTTCCCTCTATCCTCCGACTCTGAGCTTGCTTCACCACATGAGCAACAGATCTTATCTACTCATGTAGCAGAAGAAAAAGGAGGGAGAACAAACTATGCCACTTCTGGCTGTGGGTGAGTGATGCCATTTTAAAATGTTCCTCCACATTAAAATACGCACACTCCCTCCTCTATTGTTTTGCTTATCATAAACTGTACTCGGGGCAGCAGGGGGGTGAGGGTTCATTTTTGTTTTATAAATGAAAACAATAAATCTTTTTATTAAAAAAAACACCTCCCAGCAAATTAAAACTAACACAACAGGAATTAAACCTTTAGCCCAACCTACTCACTACTGTGCTAATTTCCTTTAAACTAAACTAAACTAAGATAGGGAAGCTTGCAAACATGAAAACCCCAACTGCAGCAACCTTGTCCATTCTACTGATTCACACAGCTACACGAGTTTATCAGTGCACCTATTTCTCCACCAATGTGGAATTTTTTTAAGAATGCAAAGGGGGGGGGAGCAAACTGTGTTTAGAATGATGGGGAGGGTTTCAAAAACAAGGCATCTGAGGGCCAGAGTGCCTGTCTGAGCTGCTTTCTGCAACTACACCGGCACGAACAAAAGTCGGGGAGCATTGTGTAATTTAACCTGATGGAATACAGTGGTACCTTGGGTTACATACGCTTCAGGTTACAGACTCCACTAACCCAGAAATAGTACCTCGGGTTAAGAACTTTGCTTCAGGATGAAAAGGAGAAATCGTGCTTCAGGTTAAGAACAGTTTCAGGTTAAGAACAGACCTCCGGAACGAATTAAGTACTTAATCCAGGTACCACTGCACAGTACAGTGGTACCTTGGGTTAAGAACTTAATTCGTTCCGGAGGTCCGTTCTTAACTTCATTCACACAGTACTCTAAAATCCTCCCTTGTTCTTCCTCAGTCTCTCCCTCTAGCTGAAAACCCCTCCCATTCCAAATACAGCAAGGCATTTTGCTGATTTCCATCAAGCCTCTATGACTACAGGGATTCAACTCTGGATTTTCAGCCTTTTACATTTTCTGTGTCCAATTCTAAGTTGGAAAAGCACTTCAAGAGTATAATAAACAAAACAATAACATTAAGAGAAAGACACCCAGGCCCTCCCTTTCCAAGCTGTCCACTACCCCCTCCCACCATTCAACAGAGCCAACCTCCACATTTGATGTTTAAACCCTGGAGTGTGAGAGAGAAAAGATACACAGAAACAGGCACACTTAAGGCTCAAGGCTATCTCAGACTTATACCCTCTGATCTAAAACAGTCCTTCCCTAGCTGTGCACACCCCGTGGGGGTTGAACTAGATGACCCTAAGGGTCTCTTCCAACTCTACAATTCTGATTCTCTCTCTCTCTCTCTGGGTGCTCTTTCTGCTGGGCTTTCCAAAAATACCCTGTTGATGGGGGGGGGGGGTTGAGATGAGGCGGTGGGTTGGTGCCCCCTTTGGCCTGAACCTGCAGGCCTTCTCTTTTAGCATATGCTGCACTTTACATATTCACTTTACATATTCAAGGACTGACAATCCTCTGCTCCAAAGCCATCAACACTCTTCTGGTGAGAGGAATTCCCTGTGCAGTCTGCACGTGATTAAAGGACACATAAATATACTCTCTATCAACTTTCCCCAACCTGTTGACCTCTAGACGTTTCGAACTAAAACTCCTGTCAGCCTCAGCCAGCACAGCCAATGTTTGGGAAGACAGGGAGCTATAGTACAGATCATGTGGAGAGCATCATTTAGGGGCTGCTGCTCCCTACGTACGCCAGCAAGAGTAAACCCTGACACAAGCCAAGGCCAGGCCCTTCCAACCCCCACGAAGGGGGCTTTCATAAGCCCTTTTCTTCACCTTCTCATGGCTCACACCGCCCAGGGCAGCCGACTGCAACTTACCTCCCTGTACAGGTCCTCTTCTAACAGCAGGCAAGAGGAACCTGTACCCCACTGCAATACCTTCACACTACCATTTTCATAACCCCTAAATGTTGCCTAAACAGAAATGATCTTAGCAGGCGCCCAAAAGAGTACAGTGAGGTTGCCTGCTTGATCTCAATAGGCAGGGAGTTCCCAAGTGCTGGTGCTGCCAGGTAATTACGAATGCGGAACGAGTATTATGTGGCGCTTGCGCCTCCTCTAGCGTAACCCCCTCGTGCTAATGCGTGCGGGGCGGGAGAGAATGCCAGCGAGGCTAAGCCCCGGCACAAACCGAGCCAGGCCCCCCCGGGGGGGAGGGGGCGCCACAGGCTCCTCTTCGCCGCGCCCTGCACGACCCCCCCGCCCAGACTCGCCTCCACGTCGATGTCGAGGAAGCCTCCCTCGGCCACTTCGAAGATGAGGCCCATCTTGGTGCCGGACGGGACCCGCTCCAGGAAACACTCCTCGGCGTGCGCGTCGATGCTGACGAAGTAGCCGGCCGCCGGGGCCGAGAGCGCGGCCAGCAGCGCCAGCACCGCCCGCACCGGCGACATGGCGGCGGCGGCGTCGAGGGGAGGCTGGAAGCGAGCGAGGCCAGGCGCGGGGAGGGGGAAAGAGGGCCAACGGGCTCGCGCGCTGCGCTCCGGCGCCTGCCAAGCCCGCAGAGCAAATGGGCTTCGGCGGAGGGGCAGCTTCCGGCCCACGCCCCGCCCCTTCCGGCGCACGGGGCCCTCGCTCATAGGTCGGAGACGCGGCCCGATGCCACGTACGGCGTGCGGGGGGCAGGGGGGGATGGCGGCCCTCGAGGGAGCGACGGGGCGGCGCCTGGCTGCGAGGCGCGCCTTGATTGGGCGGGGAGGAGGGGAAAGGAAAGCGGACGGCGGCCCCGCGAGGCCAATCCGCGTGCTCGGCGCGGCTTATGGGCGAAGCGACGGGGGCCGAGGGAGGACATTCCTCGCTGCTTGCTAGATTGTCCGGCCAAGGGAGGGCGCCAGCGAGGGCCTTCCAGCCTCTTGTTTACATTACAGAATCGCAGACTTGGAAGGGACCACGAGGAAGGGACCATCTAGCCCAACCCCCTGCAATGCAATATATTATATATTCATTTATTACGTATTCAGATTACACTAACAGCACTGAAATAGTAAATTATCCAACAACAAACAGCCTGTCCTGGTATATGTACAGACTTGCAATTGCACATTATGATAGTTACATTCACCCTCCAATTGCTGCTTTAATCTAAATTAGAAATTGCACTAACGGGAAGACGTAACACCCTGCAAGAAAATTAGGGTTGTAAGATTAATGTTCATATCCTCTTCACAGACAAATCAGAATTCATGCCGAATAAAGACCTGATCTAATCTAACCTCTGCATAAGCTTTGTGCAAGCAAATCATGATGGACACTCAATGAATAGGTTGCCTGGAGAAGCCTGAAGGCTTCTTCCACCATGGGCTGTTAACGGGGGTTGGTGAGAGCTGTTGAAAATGCTGCCTGAATAATATTGGATCCATTTCGACAGTGTAATTTCTGCTAGTGTACTATAGTTGAGGGCAATTTTATTTTGAGAATCTCTTAGAAACCACTCTTGAGAGCCTCTCAGGGCTATAAATGTGAAATAATCTTTCATGGATTGGATTCCACTTAACCTGCACCCTTTAATGTTAAAAGATTACTAACAGTTTGATCCTATACATGTTTATTCTGAAGCAAGTCCCACTTTTAGCAAATTCTGCATAAAACCTTAGTGATACTGTTACTTAATAATAATAATAAATAATAAATTTTATTTATATCCCGCCCTCCCCAGCCAAAGCCAGGCTCAGGGCGGCTAACAACAAACAAATAATCAAACAATCAAATAATCGAACATTCTAAAACATTTCATTATAAAAATTAATTAAAATCAAATTAATGGCAACCGTTAAGCAAAGTTCTGTGCAGGTTGCCAGAGGTGGGAGTCAGGCTGGGCCCTGACCAAAGGCCTGGTGGAACAACTCTGTCTTGCAGGCCTTGCGGAAAGATGTCAGGTCCCGCAGGGCCCTAGTCTCTTGTGACAGACTTGCAGCAGCTGGAGCAGACGTGCCCCAGTAACAGTGTATTAAGTTCCATCCTTGGGCAGATAAATGAAGCACAGGGAAAAGGTATTAAACCTTTACTGTTCAGCTGTGTGAAGCAGATCACCACCCTCTACCCCCTTGAAGACTGAAACAAACCATACATGGGTCTGTACAGGATTGAATATAATTAATATATCCTCTTACTAATTCCATCATAAGGTTATGGGCCCAGTTTAGGAATAATTTCCAGATATATTAAATAGTTTTTCAGCTTTTGAATGGATTTTGAGGCTTGAGTTTTAAACTGCAAAAGAGAGATATTTTTCTTAGCCTCACAGCACCAGAGAAAAACCCTTCCTATGCAACCCAACAAGTAGGGGAAAGGCTATTTATTTTGTTTTGGGGGTTTGTGATGGTTTCCCAATTTTTTCTAGTTTTCTTTTTGAAAAATATTTCTTTTTAGGACTTTTGGCGTTTTTTATTTTAAGATGGATAGCAAGGATTCCATTGCAGAAGAAAGCCCCAATTTACCTAAGCTTACTGAAAACAATTTCAACCAATGGAAAAGGTGCTTAGAAGCCAGATTTTTAGTTAGGGGAATTATGGAATGTATCATCCAGTTTGTATTAAGTATGTTCTAGCTTTTCAATAATGGATAGGAAGTCTATCTCTTGACTGCTACAGTCCTTTTTGGATTCAAACTTTAATCTAAATAAATCTCTCACCCAGGCACAGTGACAGCACTTGCTTGTGAATCCAAATGCCTTTTGCAACTTTTCAAGCATTTGAGTAGCTGTTTCACCTCTCTTAGTGTGAACCATCTGAGTATCTAAATATTGTCCAGAATGATGGACACTGCTAGATTTTTCTGCTGCTGCCATTTCTTTATTCAGGTTTAGTTTTCACTGAGTGTCTCCTGTGGAACCGGTTCTGTATGTCTTACAGTTGAATTGCAACATGATTATTGTGTCCATTTTGGACAGAATAGCTTTCTCTGTACAGTTTGAAAATGTAAAATGCCAGGTGACCAGAGATGGTAAATTACATGCTGAAACATGTTTGATTGATGGTGTATATGAGACTAATCTTTCAGAACCCCAGACTGCAAATGGGGCACATTCATGCCAGAAGCATGAAGCAGATCCAGAACTTTGGCATAGAAGATCTGGCAACAGAGAGATCAAAGCCATTGTGGAATTGTAACACAAGGAGCTTGCAAGAGGGGTGAAGGTAGCCCACAGTTCACCAGCCACAATAAAGTTTCTAAGTTGCATCACTGAAGAAAGTGTTAAGCATTCTTTTCCTCCATGTACAGAAAAGCACCAGAGTGCTTGATGTAGTCTACAGTGTTGTATGGGATCCAGGGAGTCCCCTCCAGCAGCATAATGTGGTTTGCTGGAGCCTGGGGTGCACACATGCTGGAGGTGCCTGCACCTGCTGGGCCAGCCTAGCCCTTGCCACAGTCACCACCGGAGCAACCCCCTGCCAAGCGGGGCCACACTGCACTGCCTGCCCACCTGCACAGCGGGGAGGTCGGTTGGTTGATGCGGCCCTTCATGGGCAAATCTCCCCCAACACCCAGGGAGAGAAGCACCAGCCTACGCTGGGGTCACCCCTTCCCGCCTCCCTCCATTCAGCGAGGGAGCCGGGGACATGGCAGCGAGGCCAGGCTGGGACTGGGTCCCAGAGACCCGCGGCAGCAGGAAGGGAAGGATAGGGAATTGGGGATGGGGCCCACCAGGTCATTCCTGGGCAGGATGGATATCCACACAGAAGCCAGTGCCTGCATGGGGGCACCTGGTTCGCCCCCCCTCAAAATTGTGCACCCAGGGCCACAGCCCCGCTGCCCCCCAATGCTATGCCACTGGTTCCCTCCCTAAAGAAAAGAAGTATATTCTAAGTCTAGACTGATTTGATTATTATCCAGATACTGTGCAGTGTATTTTAATTAGACAAGAAAATTGGCTTCAGGTGGAAAGATCCGAATTAGAAACTGAACTGTTAGAACCCAAAACTAAGAATTTGTCAAGAATGTATAACTTGCTGCTGAAATGGAACACTCAGGATGAAACGGTAAAATCGGCTATGATTAAATGGGCACAAGACGTTGGACATAACATTATGTTTGCTGACTGGGAACAGTTGTGGACCACAGGTATGAAATTTACGACATGTAATGCCTTAAGAGAGAATATTATGAAAATGATATACAGGTGGTACATAACCCCAGTCAAGCTTGCAAAAATCTATCATTTGCCCGATAATAAATGTTGGAAATGTAAAGAAACTGAAGGCACATTTTTTCACCTGTGGTGGACGTGCCCAAAGATTAAGGCTTTCTGGGAAATGATTTATAATGAATTAAAAAAGGTATTTAAATATACCTTCCCCAAGAAACCAGAGGCCTTTCTCCTGGGCATTGTCGGCCAAATGGTGTTAGAAAGGATAGAACTTTCTTTATGTATGCAACAACAGCAGCAAGAATACTTATCGCAAAGTATTGAAGACACAAGAACTTCCCACGCTGGAGGAATGGCAGATGAAACTGATGGACTATATGGAACTGGCACAAATGACTGGCAGAATCCGTGACCAGGGAGAAGAGGCGATGGAGGAAGATTGGAAGAAATTCAAAGACTACTTACAGAAATATTGCAAAATTAAGGAATGCTAGAGTGATGTTGGATTGAAAATAAGTGGTTTCCAGCTGTACAGGATAAAATTATAAGACAGACTAAGATTAAAGATCAGGATTAAAGAAGTTTAAGGAAACGGAAATTTGGTACTTAAGAGGTAAAATTTTAATGCTATATTACATCAAGATTAAAGATTAGGAGTAAATAAATTAAAGGAAAGGGAAATTTAGTACTTAAGAGGTAAATTTTTAATGCTATATTACACTAAGAATAAAGATTGGGGTTAAAAGTGGAAAGAAATTGCTGGAGGAACAATTGGACTGGAATACAAAAGAGGAGGTATGAGGAAGTCCAGAAAATAAGTAAATTTAAAAGGAAATGAAAAGTGATATTGTTTTTAATTGTTCTGTTTTTTTTTTTTTTTTGTTTTTTGTTTTTGTTTTCTTTTTTTGGAATTTGTATTGTGTATTTGTGTATTTCTTTTTTATGTTTTTTCTGTTCAACTTTTTATTGAAACTTTAATAAAAATTATTTTAAAAAAAATGAAACAGGTTAGTCTGTCAAGAGATAGATTATCCTGTGTTGTGTGAAGGAATCTAATGGAAACACACTGGCGTATTTTTGTTGCCTTCTCAGCCATGTAATTTGTTGATTTTAGAATAGCTCAGGGGAAGTTGGCTCATTTCACTTACCATGACTGACTAGGTTGTGATACACTGTGACTGTTTTCACAAGTGATGTTTGAGTCAATGACTGCATTTCCAACTTTCATAAATTGAATGAAAAGGCCTCCTTGACTAGAGGGTACAACTGATTTAGGAATAGCTCTCTTCCATTTTGTGCCTGATAATAATAACATTCAAGTGTTGCATTCCAGATGTGTATTCCCCATCCTAGCCATCTTGATAGAAGGCAACGGCAGAAGTTTATAAAATTACCGTATGCACATCATGGAGAAGGTGGATGATGTTTGTTTTATCATCATTATTATCACTGCTTCAACTATTGCTGGATGTCCTAACTCCTTACCTGGGAATAAACCCCACTGAACTGAATAGGACTTGTTTTTGATTAAACATTAATTAATAATGTTGCTGAACCCTGGAGGAACACAGCTGAAGCTACTATTTCATACTGGTACCACAAAGTATGATATATCACATTTATGGAGAAACCCCCAAAATGATAGTTTTATGTGGCACTTCAAAGACAGACACATTTACTTGGAGCTCTTTTATTAGTTATATTAATAAGGAAGACAATTCACAGCATCCTCTCTCATACTATGTAAGAATTTGGAATGCTTAACATCTGTATTTATGTTTTAGTACCACATTCTCATTATGTTCATTGTGCTTGCTTAATATGATCTTATCCTTTTATATTTTGTAATGTAAACAGTTTTCTTGGACTGAGTTTTGCTGAAGTGTTATTATATAGGAGCCACTGTGTATAGATTGCTAACAAAAAAAAACTTATTGTTTCTGTGGGGTTGTAATATGGGGAGAAATAGTTATTTGCTCAATTGTTACTTGAGGCATTGCAACCCTCCTCCTTTGCAATAACTGTTACTGACTAAAAACGACAAATATATGTACTGCTGAAGGCGTTGCTATTATTCTGAACCTAGATATTATTCTTGAAGTACATAAAAGTAAAAAACAAAAAACACCCCCACATGATTAGTACTGCACTGGAATTGTTTTAATAGCTGCTTTGTATTTTGTGTGTGTGTGTGTGTAGCCTACTGCTTTTCATCATTTTGTCACTTGTGTTTTTTAAGCAGTTGTTAACTTACTGGTTACAGTTTCCAGAATGTTAGTGGGTTGTGTCAGTCCCACTGCAGCAAAATCAGCAGGGTCCTTGGGGTACCTTAACAAGTTTATGAGGGCCAAAGCTTTCCTGGATCAGAGTCCACTTCATCAGTGTGACCTTCAGCATCCTTCATGAATCTGTTGAAGTTGATTCTAGCTCATGAAAGCTTATTCCGCTATGAAAGTGCCTTTCTTGAAAGTTGATGCAAAAGACCCCCACCTTGCTAACAATCAAGTCCAATGAAGTCCAAGTCCAATGAAGTGGGCTTCACACCATAATAAATTTGTCAGACTTTAAGGTGCCCAAATGTTTAATGCCTGGTTTTGCTTCATTTTATAACTAAGTGTCTTGTGGTGGCACCTTAAAGACAAAGGTCACTCACACCATACATTGAAAGCACTCTTGTATGACTTTTAACAGGCATGGCTTCCCCCAAGAATCCTGGAAACTGTAGTTCCTTAAGGGCATCCTAACAACTCTCAGCATCCTTAAGAAACTACAGTTCCCAGGATTGGTGGTGGTGGGGAGCCATGCTGTTAAAGTGGTGTCAGAGTGTTCGTGTGACAACAATCTGACACAACCAACACTTTATTGGATTGCCTTCTGCTTCATCAGAAGCATTACCTGTTGTTATTAGCTTCCTTGAGCTTTTTAAAGCAGGCTGCAGATGTTTCAAATCAAGGGCAGCCAACACAGTGTCCTCCAAATGTTGGAAGCCAGACTGCTGGTCCATCTAACTCAGCTCTGTCTACACCAGAGGTAGAAGGACCCTGTGTCCCTCCAGTTCATAGCTGTCAATGTTTCCCTTTTTTAAAGTGAAATTCCCTTATTCCGAATAGGATTCCTCGCAAGAAAAGGGAAAGGTTGACAGCTATGCTCCAGATCAGCCTTCCCCAGCCTGGTGCCTTTCATATATTTTGAAAAACAACTCTCATCAGCAAGCATAGCCAGCAATCAGGAATATGGATGGAAGTCATTTGGTTCTTCCAGCTTGACTCAGGCAGGATGCAGATCACCACCTGTCAAAATCAGGTGGGCAATTATAGTTGGAAGCTCTTGCCCAACAAACTCGCTTTTCCAAAACACCAGACTTTTTGCGGTAAAGAAAGTGAAGGGGAAATGCACTGGGAAGTGTGGGGTGATGCTTGCTTTGGCTCAATTGTTATCTAACTTCCCCACAAATGAATCAGAGCAGTCTGGGATTGTCTGATCTCCATGCAAACAAATCAAGATGAAACCGACCATCGTGAAGGGCGTGTAGTCCAAATTTTATTGAGGCTGCCAGGTCGGGGAAGCCCATTCCAGATGTTCTGGGGGCCCAGCTCTTTTCTTTCCCACCCAGCCAAGGACAATGGGAATCAAGAAGGCAACAGCTGGCTGGATCAGCATCCTTTTCTCTCAGCAGCCTGTGGGAAGCCGGGAAGAAGCTGGACCTGAGCGCAGCAGCCCTTTGCCTCCCTGGGATTCAGAGGCCAACTGTCTCCGACCTGCAGCCCCTGAGAGCCTTGTCCTCCGTGAATCCGTCCGCTCCTCTTGTAAAGCTGCCCAGGAAGGCGCCCGCCTCCGGCTCCTGGGTGAAGAGCCGCTTTCTGCCCGGGATCTTCCCCCGTTCAGCTTCCTTGGAACATCCGGGAGGATTCCCCGGGCAACATCTGGCGGGCCGCCCCACGCCGCTGCTTCAGCCAAACCAAGGAGCCGGGGAAACCCATCCTGGGGAGCTGGGCTGGCGCATCCTTCGGCGCTGCCATTCCCGATCCCCTCGCAGAGCTGCTCCCGAGTCCAGCCCAGCTGTTCTTCCCAGCTTGGATGGGGCGGGGGCGGGCCTGCGTCCTGGGCAGCCGCGTGCCCTCCTCCTCCCTCCGTCTCGGCCTGATCACAAGCTCAAGTTTATATTGGAAGTGAGCGGAGGGAGGAGGAGGAGGAGGCGGAGGAGGGGTCTGGGGCGAGAAGGCGACCGAGATTTGCTCCTCGCCCTCTCCGTCGTCTTCCCAGGATGCCCACCGGACCGTCGGAGGGGCCGGAGTCGGGGTCGGCCGCGGGTGTCCAGCGCCGAGCTGCTGCCTCTAGCTAAGTTTTGCCGCGGCGCGAAGCCAGAGAAGTTTGCAAGTTGCGCGGCCCGCGGGCTCGGCTCTCTGGTCCTTGGCAAAGGCCGCTCCGGTGCCCCGCGAGGCTGGCTGGCCGCCGCCGCCGCCTGGGAGGGAGCCTGGGCCGGGCAAGCGGGCGGCAGCGGCAGGCGCAGCCATGGACGGCGTCTCCGGCCTGGGCTCGCCGGCGCTGGAGAAGAACGTGGCCGAGCTGACCGTGATGGACGTGTACGACATCGCCTCGGCGGTGGGCCAGGAGTTCGAGCGGCTCATCGACCAGCACGGCTGCGAGGCCATCGGGCGCCTGATGCCCAAAGTGGTGCGCGTGCTGGAGATCCTGGAGCTGCTGGTCAGCCGCAACCACCTCAACCCCGAGATGGAGGAGCTGCGCCTGGAGCTCGACCGCCTCCGCCTCGAGAGGGTGGATCGCATCGAGAAGGAGAGGAAGCACCAGAAGGTCGGCCGTGGCGGGGATCGGGGCTTCTCTGGGGGGTGGGGGTGGGCTCGGTGTCAGGGCAAGGCAGCCCTTCTTTCCCGTGCGCGGTCCTCGAGGCAGGGACCCGGCTGCTTACGAAACTCTGGCCGGCTGCGCGGCGCGCTGGTGCCGCCGCAGGACTTCGCGGCATCCGCCTCGGGTGCCCGGGCTCGCTTTTGTTTTCTGCTCTTTACTCAGAATTTAAGTCCTGCTGGGATCGGTGGGGTTTACTCGCGGGAAAAGGATGTCTTAGGATTGAGGATCCTCTACACGGAAGTGGGTGGAATCCGTGCAGAGCATTTGCTGACCCCAAAGGAAAAGCGGGAAAGTCGCCAAGCCCCGAGGAAGCCTTTGAGCCCCTCCCTTCCCTGTAACTCTTTCCAAGGATGGGGTTTACTCCTAAAGAGGGGTGGATGAAATGTGGCCCCTCGGGCCTCTCTGTCAGGCCCCCAGAACTCTCTCTAAACCACACACTCTCTCCCCCCAGGACCCTATTTTGCCCTCAAAATATTTTGCCTAGCTGGAAAGTGTCCTTTAACGCTGACAATGGCTTTTGCTTACCGGGATGGTGGACAGAGAAGAGTGTGTGTAGAAATTAGCTTTCAGTGCTTATACAAAGGCAACATATGTGGCCCTCAAAAAGGTTGTCCAGAAGCAAATATGGACCTCAGGCTGAAAAAAGGTCTCCCTCTCCCGCTGTAGAATAATATGTCTGACATCAGGCGAGTCTCTGAACATGGGCAGAATGCCATTCAGTCGCCATTGACTAGCCACCCTGTTCATACAGTTGAACATCATTCAACTGAAAGGTGGGATATAAATCTTTAAAACAACCAACCAAACATATCTGGATACAATTCAGGTTAAAAGCTTCCAGATAAACTTCTGCCTCAGAACCACTTAGCACTTGATTCATCAATAAATATTGCCTGGGTGGCTTACAAACAAAAATATGAAACACACAAGTATTATTTAAAATCAGCAATGAACAATAAAAATATATTGGAAATCCCTATTTGCATAGAGGCAGCATAAAACAATTTGCAGCCCAGATTTAAAATAAAAAAGGATTCACTTTACCCAAATTGACTAGCCTGAGCCTATGCATGGTTACTCTAAGTACCCAATGAGATTAACTCTTGAAATTAAGTGGGGATATAGTTGCAGTCTTAGAAATTAAGGTGCTCCTGGCACTCATTGAGGCAGAATTCCTATCCCATTTGATTCTAACCAGAAAAGAGGTTATTTGGTGATGAAACAGATTCTTACTATTTTTATTAATTACATTTATATCCCACCTTTCTCTCAAGGAACTCTTGGCACATATATGTGTCTCCTTATTTTATTCTCACAGTGACCTTGTTAGGAAGGACAGACTGAAAAATAGTGATGGGCTGAAGGTGAGCCTCATGGCTGAGTGGAGATTTAAACTTGGGTCTCCCCAGGCTTAGTTTAGCATTCTAAGCATCCATCAGCCTAGCTCTGTACTCTGCACTTGGCAAGAGGCACTCAAGTTGTTTTTCTTATGAGTCCTACTTTTTACTCTAGAGTTGCTCTGCAGTAAATCTAGAGTTGATCCCTGGCTTCAAATACAAGTTCTGGGGCTTTGAGGTTCTGCAAGCTGTGCTTGGACTATGTTAGAGCCCTAGGAAGAAGGAAAAAGAGATGGAAGAGATAAGAAAGGATATGGGATGGGAACTAGAGATATTAATTTATCCACTGTACCCATTCAGTTCTCCTAGAATTATGCTCTGAGCTGACATCAGCCTCCAATTTGGTTGTGCATTAAAGTGGTAAACGAGAGGCTAAAATAGAGTCACCAGCCACTAAAAAGATCACAGGCCTTTGACTCACTTCTCCCTCTCTCTGCCCAGAATAAATTGTGCAACAATAGCTGGGCTGTCAACTTTGGTGGATAGAGGTAACTGTTGCAGAGAGGCACTGCGTAATTGTAATTCTCTGGAATTCATTGATTCCAAATATTGGGGTGTATAGCTTTGGGTAACAACTGCAGCCCCAAGATAATCTCAGAGCTGCCACTCTTCCAGGGAAATTTCTCATCCAGGTCACTTTCCATTCAATGAAAGATCAAAGAATGAGAGGATGGGGAACCCTAAGTCTTCTGGGTAATTATTTCAAGCCAGCCCTGGAGAATTTATGGCCCTCCAGATGTTTTGGGGACTACAGCACCAAACACTGCTGATTATTGGCTGTGCTGGATGATGGGAGGTAGAGACCAAGAGCATCTGGAAGGGGCACGGGTTCCCCACATCTGTTTTAAGCAAAACTTTGTCTGTAGTTAGCATGTGCTGTGTCTATGGCCATATTGCATTGGGACAATTACACCAGGTCGTCCTTTATCCTCACAACAGACATGTAAGGTAGGTTAGGCTGAGAGTTGGTGCCTGGCCCAAGGCAGGGAGTGAGTGAAAATATCAGTGAGTTATGTGAGTGTTAAATGTAAAACTACACATGCTCAGTTATTTTTGTTTATCAAGGTCGGCAAAATGTGTTTGCGTTTTGCTGAGAGTTTTGAAACTGCACATGATCAGAATATTTCTTCATAGCCCAGCAAAGCTTATGCCATGATCCATTTGGAAGTCTTTAAGAACCCACATGACTTAATTTTATGGTACCTTATTTAATGCATTTGGTGTGGTGGGTGTCCTATTTTGGGAACTGCACCAGGCACCCCTCCCTCCTTAATCCAGCCTCTCAGATCCTCCCTTGTGTGTTGCTTTCAATCTCAGAATGGAGAGGGGGGAGGAGGAAGGAGAGAAAGATGGCTCTCCCCAATCCACTGCCTGCTGGTGTCTTTTCTCATGGGCTTTGTTTGCTACTGGCACTGCAAAAAGTGCTTTAAAATTCCTTCCTGCTCAGCAGGTTTTAAAGCAATAACGGAAGAGGGGGTGGGAAGGGAAGGGAGCATGGCTAGAGCAGCAATAACTAAGACCTCCTCCTGCGATAAAAGCACTTTGGACTACAACTTCCATCATTCCTGACTGCTAGTCATACTGACTGGGGCTGATGGGAGCTGTAGTCCAAAACATCTAGAGGGCACTAGGTCAGGGGAGGCTGATCTGGAAGGACACAGCTTCCACCAGTTTAGTGAGCTAGATGGACCAGCAATCTGATCTGGCATAAGGCATCTAAGGTCCTATTGTGTTCCTTAAACTTTCATATTTATTTATTGCGTTTATGTCTTATCTTTATTCTGTCATGGAACTAAAGGCAATGTACATCAGAGCTTGGAGGTGGTGTCTTCAGCCAGATCTGTTGAGCCTCAGGAAAATTTGCTGACTCACGTGCCTCCAAGATCCTCCATATGAAAATAGGAATGTAGGAAGCGGCCTTATACCATTGGTCCATCAACCCTAGTATTGTCTACACCAAAGTGGAGAACCTGTGACCCTCCAGAGGATCTTGGTCTATAGCTTCCAACATTCCTCACTTTCAGCCCTGAAAACTGAGGCTGATGGGAGTTGTAATCCAATAATATGGGGGTGGGGGTGGCTACACTGTCTGGAAGCATTTCTCCAGAGTTTTAGACAGGCAGTCTTTGCCAGTCCTACCTGGACATGCAGGGCTTTGAACCTGGAACCTTCTGCATGGAAAGATGCTATAGCTAGCAAGATCTGGCCCTTCCATTGAACGGGAGACATTTGACCGTCCGGGACCTGAAAGTGATGGTATGCAATCTCACCCTCTAGGAGCTGGAGCTGGTGGAAGATGTTTGGAGAGGGGAAGCTCAAGATCTCCTCACCCAAATCGCCCAGCTTCAGGAAGAGAATAAGCAGCTGATGACCAACCTCTCCCACAAGGACGTCAACTTTTCGGAAGAAGAGTTCCAGAAGCATGAAGGCAAGTGGGGTAGCCAGAGATTCTTGCTGACAGCATTGGGTTCATTTGACGTGAAACTCAGTAAGAAACTGTTGGGGAAAGTATAGGAGATGGCAGCAGTCAGGCAAAAAGTACTGACATAAGTCTGTATGGAGCACGTGACTTCGGTTGTATGACAAGTTCACTGGCTTCCTTTTGGTTTCCTGGACCGGTTCAAATGCCTGGTTTTGACTTTCACCACCTTTAAACCAGAATGGGGGACCTGTGTCACTCCACATGGTACTGGACTGCAACTCCCATTAGCCCCGACCATTGGCTATTCTGGCTGGGGCTTATGGGCACCACAACTGAAAAGGCCCTTCTTTTTTGCTCACCTGCTGAACCTCAGCTGGCAGAGGATACTGTGCAGAACCTCAGGTGCACAGGAGCGAAGTACATGGGAAAATAATGGCTTTTGTGGCAGTTCATTGTATATCACCTGTAATAACTATAGTAATTAAATGCACTCAGGCCAGATAGTCAATTAAATGGGAGGAGAAACAAAGGGATTTGAGCTCTTGGCATGTGGGGCTAGTATTGGTCATGCAGACCCACTTAATTATACCAGGGAGGCTTGTAGCCCTCCAGATGTTGTTGGATTCTGACACTCATTCATCCCACCCAGCATGGTCAATAGTCAGGGATTATGGGAGTTTTAATCCAGCAACATCTGGAGAGCTGCAGGTTCCCCACCTCTGGTTTATAACAATTGCCTTTGTTGACTAGAAATTTGGGTGCTGTTGAGGAGGGAGAATTTTAAAAGAGCCCGCTGGATCAGACCAAAGGTCCATTGAGGTTCAACATCCTGCTCCCTACAGTGGCCAATCAAATTCTTAATTCAGAGAAGTCCACAAGCTGGACATGGAAGCAACAGCCCTCCTTTTCCTGGTGTGCCTCAGCAAGCACTATTCACTATTCACCAACCACAGAGGTTCCATTGCATTGCTGAGAACTGATAGATTTGAGGAGGAGTGGCCCAAGTCCCTTTTTATTAGTTTGTTTACATTTCTATACCACCTTTCCACCAATTGGTGCTCTTGAAGCCTTGAAGGCAAATTCTGTAAATCAGGACTGAGGAACTTGAAGCCTAACAACATCCAAAGGGCCACAACTCCCATCTGTCCCTTAGTTAGCAGGGCTAATAGTTGGAAGCTGTAGTCCAGCAACATTACAGGCTGCACCGTTCCCAGTCCAGCCATAAATTAACTCCGTGTTGTGTAACGTACAGCTTGTTTTTGCTGAGTGCTGTATCTACTGCCAGCCAAATTCACTGGGTGAAAATTATTATTATTTTTTAATCATTAATAGCTTTGAAAAATAAAAGTTTCCAGGATGCTTCCAATATTAAATACTAGCAGCCTGATAGCCAGTGCTGCCCAGGAATTTTAAGAAACAACCCACCTCCCGCAGTTTTGAAATAAGTTGTTAAAATCAGTGAAGTTTTGAAAGGTTCAGTCTGCCCTCTTGATTCAAAGCAATGTCTAATCATATCCAAATATAAATGAAAACTTGCTTCTTGATTTCAGGAACCCTCATGCAAAATTTGGTTATGATAAATTAAGGATGTCTCAACACACAGCAAGAGCCAAAGCAAATTTCCAAAATATATTGTAGACGTGTGGGCTGAAACATGAAATGAGGGTGATGGCTCCTGTCTTACCTCCATGACATCCCCTTGGTAAACAAATCCTAGACAAACCTGCAGAATCCTGTGCAGCTTGCCTTGGTGGAATTAGTCAGGCACCATCAGGTCTTTTGCACGGCACCCACAGAACGGAGCTGCCAGCGTCATGTTTCACATAAAACTATTTTTATATGAAAGAATCTTCTTGGGAAGCAGCGGGTGCAACACCTGCTTTGTCAGGATCTAGGTCAGCAGAGGAGCAGAACAGAACCTCCACAGTGGCCACACGTTGTCCCCTTACTTCGTCCTCTTGTTACTGCATCTCTCCTAGAGAACAGCCACTTTGCCCAGGTGGAGTGGAACCTGTACAATGGTACCTCTGGTTAAGAACTTAATTTGTTCTGGAGGTCTGTTCTTAACCTGAAACTGCTCTTAACCTGAGGTACCACTTTAGGTAGTGGGGCCTCCCGCTGCCGCTGCGCCACTTGAGCACGATTTCTGTTCTCATCCTCAAGCAAAGTTCTTAACCTGGGGTGCTATTTCTGGGTTAGTGGAGTCTGTAACCTGAAGCGTCTGTAACCTGAGGTACCACTGTACTCCCCTCCCCCGGTGCTGTTGAATAACAAGTGCAACTGCATTTGGGGTACTGTGTACTGTTTGGGGCACCTCGCCTCACAAAGGGTATTGTTGGGAAAGGGTCAGAAAACAACCCCAAAATGATCAAGGGGATGGAGAGACTCCCTCCGAGGAAAAGTTGCAGCATTTGGGATTTGGAGAAAAGGTGAGCAAGAGGCAGTGTGATAGAAGAGTATTAAATGATGCATGGCATGGAGAAAGTAGACAGAGGGAAGTTTCCCCTCCCTCTCTCAAAACACAAGAACTCATGGATATTCGGTGAAGCTGGATGTTGGAAGATTCAGGACAGAGAAAAGGAAGTCACACCGTGCATAGTTAAACTATGGAACTCCCTCCCACAGGAGGCAGTGATGGCCACCAGTGTGGACAGCTCCAAAAGAAATTAGGCAGATTTATGGATGGCAAGGCTATCAATGGCTGCTATAATAATGTAATAATAATTTATTATTTATACCCTGCCCATCTGGCTGGGTTTCCCCAGCCGCTCTGGGCAGCTTCCAACTGAATATTAAAAACAAGACAGCGTCAGACATTAAAAGCTTCCCTAAACAGTTGTCTTTTAAAAGAAAAATAGTTGTTTATTGCCTTGACATCTGATGGGAGGGCGTACCAGATGGTGGGTGCCACTACCGAAAAGGCCCTCTACCTGGTTCCCTGTAACCTCACCTCTCACAGGGAGGGAACTGCCAGAAGCTCGGCGCTGGACCTCAGTGGATGATGGGGGTGGAGAAGCTCCTTCAGGTATACTGGACCGAGGCGGTTTAGGGCTTCTTTAAAGCACCAACACTTTGAATTGTGCTCGGAAACATACCGGGAGCCAATGTAGGTCTTTCAAGACCGGTGTTATATGGTCTCGGCAGCCGCCCCCAGTCACCAGTCTAGCTGTCGCATTCTGGATTAGTTGCAGTTTCTGAGTTACCTTCAAAGGTAGCCCCACATAGAGCGCATTGCAGTAGTCCAAGCAGGAGATAACTAGAGCATGCACCACTCTGGTGAGACAGTCTGTGGGCAGGTAGGGTCTCAGCCTGCGTACCAGATGGAGCTGCCCTGGACACAGAATTAACCTGTGTCTCCATGGACAGCTGTGCATCCAAAATGACTCCTAGACTGCACACCTGGTCCTTCAGGGGCACAGTTACCCCATTCAGGACCAGGGAGTCCTCCACACCAGCCCGCCCCCAGTCCCCCAAGAACAATACTAGCCTTGATGACAGTGCTCTGCCACCAAGGTTGGAGGCAGTAATGTTTCTGAACACCAGTTGCTGGGAAACACAGGAGAGAGAGAGGGCTGTTGCCCTCAGGTCCTGCTTGGGGGTTCCCATAGGCATCTGGTTGGGCTACGTGAGAACACAATGCTGGACTAGTGGGGCCTTGGCCTGATGAAGCAAGCTCTCATAAGAGCACAATGTCTCATCCGTTCTGCTCCACTAGGCATGCTAGCTGGGGTTGATGGAGTCATGAGCCTCTGTAAGCCACAAGTTCTCAATCTTTGAGGCAAGCTGCAAGCCTATCCCCACTTACCTGAGAGTAAGACCCACTGAATTCAATAGGGCATATTTGTAGGGAGCCATGCTGAGAGCTTTGTCATCAGTCCATGAAATGTCTCAGAACATTTAAGCTGCAATCCTATACATTGTTGTTTATTAAACTATGCCTTGACTCTACATTATGCATAAACCCAGCCCACCAGTTTATGTTGTGTTTGCTGCCAACAAACCACAATCCAACAATATGGTTTGTTGGTAGCTTACAAACCTTGGTTTGCTTTTAAGTATGCTAACCCAATAACCATGGTTTGTTTGGTGAATGCCTGGGGTGGGTTGGCCAAACTGCAAAGGTACAAAGCAAGGGCATCTGGAAAACAAAACAAACTTGGAAGGAACAAGCCATGGTTTATTTGATTCTCTGTGGGACAACTCATAGATAAGGATTATGTGTGAACCAGGCTCTACCTACAGTGACTGACAGCAGCTTTCCAGGAAATCAGGCCAGGGGTCTTTCTCAGCCTTGTCTAGGAATGCTGGGGAATGAACCTGGGGACTTCTCCATGCAAATATTGTAAGTAAAATTAAAGGGACCCCTGACCATTAGGTCCAGTCGTGGCCGACTCTGGGGTTGCGGCGCTCATCTCACTTTATTGGCTGAGGGAGCCGGTGTACAGCTTCCAGGTCATGTGGCCAGCATGACTAAGCGGCTTCTGGTGAACCAGAGCAGCGCACGGAAACGCCGTTTACCTTCCTGCCATAGCAGTACCTATTTATCTACTTGCACTTTGAATTGCTTTCAAACTGCTAGGTTGGCAGGAGCTGGGACCGAGCAACGGGAGCTCCCCCCGTCGCGGGGATTCGAACCGCCGACCTTCTGATCGGCAAGTCCTAGGCTCTGTGGTTTAACCCACAGCATCATCCGCATCCTTGCAAATGTTGTACTCCACCACTAAAATACGGCTTTTCTCCATCTTAGGCTATTTTAAAAGAACTTGCAACTGATGCCTGAGTTTGCTTATTTCCTCTTTCCTCCCCACTCATTTCCTTTTGTGTCATGTCTTGTTAGATTAGGAAGCCTGAGGGCAGGGAATGTCTTGTTTCTTATTGAGCTGTAAGCTGCCCTGGACATATTTTTTGTATGAAGAGGTGAAAATTCAAGCCATCCGTTACCAACCACGATTAGGAAAGGGAGTGAAATGAAAGGCTACCGTTCTGAAGAGTCCACCTCACTCAGCTCAATGGGACTGGCTTCTGAATAAAAATGCATAGAAGCAGGCCACCGAGCTATAAGCGGTCCTACAGCACACACTTCCTTGGAAACAAATTGTAAGCCTATGGTATTTACTGCTAAACAAATGAGTATAGGATCAGGTGCAGAGCAGCATAGATCACAATGCCATTCTGTACATCTGTGCTGAATCAACATTTAGAATTAATTAGGGTTACATACTAAATAGTATTTATTAGTTGCTTTAAATAAGTGTTTTAAAATGGCTTACAAATAAATGTGTGTGTGTGTGTGTGAGAGAGAGAGAGAGAGAGTGAGCAAAGCACAATTTGAAGCAATCAGACCATAAAAGTGATCTCTCCATCCCCTAACTACCACATATAGCCCCAAAAGGGATGTGTATATACACAAAACATACCTACATACACACAATAATAATTATTGTAAGTAAAAAATTAATGCTCAGATGTGTGTGGGGAAAACATTTTAATCTAGTGCCAAGAATAAATGAGTAAATCTGATCAAAGCAAGCAGGTTTCTGATGTTTTCCTACGCAGCAAAATATGCAACCTTAGCAGAATTTAGCAGGAGCCACACCAGAAGCTTAGCAAGTAATGCAGCTTCCAGAATTGGAGAGGCTGCTTTCCTTGAGGGCTCTTCATTACCACAGGTGCTTTCTGAGCATCCTTTTGATGTGGAGGGTGGAGTCACCTGCTTAGAGAATCCTTAAGGTCCACCACAGACTTCACACAGTAGGTCTGCAGAGAGGAAGAAACAATCTCAGTGGTGAGACTTATTTTTTTGTAGAGACATCCCTAGTTTGGGTTCAGGATATGATTTAGCTTGTTGCTTGGAAATTTTAGAAAAGTATTGGGAGTCTGATTATGCATATGCCCCCCTCCCCAACAGAAACCAAAATGGGAGGAACAAAATTAAGAAAATCTTGCAATGCAGAGAACTTAAAATAGAGATTTTTTTCTTAATGGTTGGAAGAATTAGGGGGGCACGCTTAAACTTATTTTTCTAAGCTTTAACACTTTTTAAAAACTAGGTAGTCAGTTTGGAAGGCATCTACAAATCCCTGTAGTCGTTAATATTGGCTGAGAAGCAAATAAGCTTAGTAATGGAAGAGAGGTACTGCTACACATCCGCACAAGCAGATGTTGCAGTGTGGAGTGCTTCTGTTCAGGGTACCAACAGCTATGATAGTTTCCTACTCCATGCCATTCCCCCTCAAGAACATGAGAAAGTTGGAAGTTGAAATGGCTTCACATGTACTATTACGTTGTCGTTTTTATGAGGATATACGTTTGACTTTTATTACACCTGTTTTGCAAAAGTCCAGGAAAGAATCGGAACACCATAGTTTAAAATTGCTGTTAGAGGACAAGAATCCCAAGACTACATTAAATGTAGCCAAATTCTGTGCGTCTGCAATTAATCGCAGGAAGCAAGTGGTATCCCATAATGACCAAACCCCCAAATGTTAATTATAGGGGGCACGCTAATAATTAATTTTAATTTTTTATATTTAAATCCTTGTTATATTTATATTGTCCTCTGTATTTCTGATATTATTTTTATGATCTGTGATATTGTGTGTGTTGACGCTGGTCTGTGACCGTATTAATAAATAAATTCATTCATTCATTCATTCATTCATGGCTGCTGGACCAGACCAGTGGCCCATCTGGCCTTATATCTTGTTCTCACAATGGCCACCCAGACGCTTATGGGAAACTAGCAAGCAGGATTCAGGCCCAAGGCTCCTCTCCCCTCCTGTGGTTTCCAGCAACTGGTATTCAGAGGCATCGGCGCCTCTATGGAGGCAGAGTAGCCATGGCTAGTAGCCAAGGTTTTAAAGTCAAATTTAAAACTACTTAATTTTACTTAATGGTGGCTACTGAGTCTTTTATACTTTTTATGTGTTTAATATATTGGGATTGCCAATGTTTGATGGTTTTTTCTCTTATGGTTTTGTTGTCTAGAGGCTGAATGAGTAGTAGGTATGATGGGACTACAACTCCCATCATCCCTGACCTCCATGCTGCATGAGGCTGATGGGAGTTGTAGTCAATATCATCCGGAGGGCACGACATTGGCTATCCTCCAGATCCTGCTTGGCTACAGCTCACATCATCTCTCACCATTGACCAAACTAGCTGAGGCTGATGGGAGTTAGTGTTCGTCAACATCTGGAGGGCCAAAGGTTTCCTATCCCTGCCCTATTGGATGGCCCTAACCTGATGAATTTCTGCCTGTCATGTAGTTGATAAAAAGTGCAGGAGCCCTGCCAGGGGGGGAAATGTTTACCTTAGTTATGTATTTTCAACAACCAATTATGTTTACTTAACAGGAGCAGTATTGCAACTGGAGCCTCCTATCACTCTTTCTTTCTTTTTTTCCAGGAATGTCTGAAAGGGAAAGGCAAGTGATGAAAAAACTGAAGGAAGTAGTAGATAAACAAAGGGATGAAATCAGAGCAAAGGACCGTGAACTTGGTCTTAAAAATGAGGATGTAGAAGCTGTAAGTCTGTTTCATCCCTTTAGGGATAAATGCCAAAGTACTGCCAAGTAACTTTTTTAAAGGCCCCAATATCTAAATCCATTTATTTTGATATGTAGAAAATTCAGAGAGGCCAGCTTATCCCTATTAGTAGATAATGGTGCTCCTGTGTTCAAAAGGGATGGAGAAACTCAGCCCCAGGGGCAGAATGCGACCTCTTCGTCTGACCCTTGAAGCCCATACATCATCTCCTCTGACCCAACCCCTTTACCAGCTCTGCATTGCACCCTCCCTGGCTAGAATGTGTCTGCTAAGGTCTCTTGCTTTCCTGAACAGAGGACAGGGAGGGATGTGGGAGTACTAAATTAAAGTAAAGCTAAAATTCTCAGTTTCCTGGCAAGAGGGACTGTTACACCACTCTGGAAGTGGTAGCTCTGTGAAAGGAATAGGGGTCTCCTAACAAGTCCAAGCACTCTTGACACTTCCCAAGGATTCTTTGGACGAAGCAACAACTGCTTTAAAATAAATGATACTACTCTATATTGTATAGTGTAGATGGGGCCATAATTGCAGCGGCTTATCAGCTTCCTCCCTCTCTTTTCTCTCACAGCTTCAGCAACAGCAAAACAGGTTAATGAAAATCAATCACGACCTTCGCCACAGAATCACGGTTGTGGAGGCTCAGGGAAAAGCTCTGATTGAGCAGAAAGTAGAGTTGGAGGCCTACCTGCAGACCAAGGAGCAGGAGATGGGAGCCCTGAGGGCTGAACTCGGAAAACTCCGAGAAAAACTGCAGGGAGAGCCGAGTCAAAATGGAGAAGAAATCCAGGTAAGCCCTGCTTCTGTCTCCACGAAATATATATAATATTGTACAGTGTATATATAAAGATAAGTATGATGTATTTGTGTGTGTGTTTGTTTCATACCACTTCAGTCGTCGTGGTTTCCCTAATTGTTGGCATCTGTCTGTCTTGGGAGACAGTGGAGGGGTGGGTGCCTTTGGGGGTGAAGTTAAACTGTTGGAAGGTGGCAGCGTCCGCTGTGGCTGTAGAAACCAATACAGAAGACGCCTGTTTCATTGCAGCTGGGGCAGATGAAGGCGTCTGGTTGTGCTGCTGCAGATGTACCACAATGTTTCTTCTCTCCTTCATATAATGTGTAATTAAGCCTGTAATTACACGGAGTAAATCCCTTTGAACTTGGGGAGTGGGGGTGGCAGCTCAGCTCTGAGTAGGCAAGTAGGTGTGGCAAACTCACAGTGGATAGATGTATCCCCCAAAATCATACACTGCGTATTTCCTAATGTCTGTTGTTGGGGCCAGTTGGGGGACAGTGGCAAGGGCTATTGTCTGTATGGCCTCCTGGGGGGCTTCCTGGAGGCATTTTTTTTGCCATAGTGAGAAGCTGGCAGCTGGGTAGTAGACCTTTTTATCTGATCCTGGAGGGCAGGGGTGGAGAACCTGTGGCTCTCCAGATGTTGTTGGATTGCAGCTCCCATCAGCCCTGATCAGCATGACCAGTGGTGAGGTATGATGAGATTTGTGGTCCAGCAACATCTGGAAAACTACAGGTTTAACAATCTGTTTTTTTTTCCTTAATCCTTTACGGCATCTCTGCTAAAACCACATTACTTCATTCCAACATCCTTCTAACATTCCTTAATTTTACAATGTTTCTGTAAGTAAACTTTAATTTTTTTCCAATCTTCTTCCACCAACTCTTCTCCCTGGTCTCGGATTCTGCCAGTCATCTCCGCCAGTTCCATGTAGTCCATCACCTTCATCTGCCATTTTCCCGGGTGGGTAGATCTTGTGTCTTCCAATACTTCGCGATGAGTATTCTTGCTGCTGTTGTGGCATACATAAAAAAAGTTCTATCCTTTTTTGACACCAATTGGCCGACAATGCCCAGGAGAAAGGCCTCTGGTTTCTTCAAGAAGGTATATTTAAATACCTTTTTCATTTCATTATAAATCATCTCCCAGAATGTCTTAATCCTTGGGCATGTCCACCAAAGGTGAAAAAATGTACCTTCAGTCTCTTTACATTTCCAACATTTATTATCAGGCAAGTGATATGCAGGCTATATTCAAAATAGTTTGAATTCTTAACATTTCACTTGAACGGCTAATTGATTTTTATTTTGGAGGGGTGGATAAAATGCAGAAGCGACTCTGGGATCTATTTTAAGATTGTGTCCCATGAGCCAATATCATATCCAATGTTCCCTTCCCCCACCACCATTGCAGTGCAGTTTTAGTTTCTTTAATGCATGAGTTCATCTGAAACATTTGACCTTCTACACCGCTATGGAGATTGAGGACTATTGTCTGCCTCTCATGTTTATGGCCGAGGCTCAAAAGCTGACAGTGAAGCAGAAGTAAATGCCATGAAGGGCTCCCAGTACTAATTCCTCAATGGATATTCAAATTGTGGGTGCAGAACAAATTTAAATATTAATGCATAATTCTGTTTGTGTTTTCATGTATGCAAATGTTTCTATTTACTTTCCTAACAAGGAAGTAGGTGATGTATAAGAATGAGTGCAAGGGAAGTTGTCAGCATAATAAGGAGGGCTAGGAGCTTGGTATTTTAAAAGAAACAGCCCACATATATCATTTTAAAAACAAAACACAAGACTTCTTAAGGTATCATATGTAATAACACCAAGCACTAGATTCTGTGATATGTGAAGGATTCCTTGCTTAGACACAGCCTGTCCCCCTAATAACTCAGGAGGTTATTTTATACCTGAGGGGAGCTTAGAATGTGAAACTTTTTTTCAAAATAAAGTGGCTTTACAGAAAAAGTGACTTTGGAAGGAAATATTACATTGCTAACAGAGCTGGAGTGGTTGGTTACATGATTCTTTGACTAAAACCATACAGTGTCCAGCAAAACTTTCCAAACTTTTCATGTTGGTGACACACTTTTTAGACATGCATCATTTTGAGACACAGTAATTCAGTTTTACTAGCTAAACTAACCCTTATAAGAGCATTCACATGACACACCTACACACTGCAGCCGACACACTAATGTGTCTTGACACACACACACATCAGAAAGCTCTGGTGTACAGTATTTAAAATCTGGTACTAGGCATTAACTGCAACATCCTTTCTCTTTTTATTATATTTTTAAAAGGTTTCTAACTCTCAAAGTTCCCGAGGTGAGTTTTAAAAATGTCACCAATCCCCACTAAAGTGAGGGAGCTGTAGGGCAAGCAGGATACTATAGTAGTTAGACGATTTATATATTGCATTTACCGTATATCCCACCTGTTATCCAAGCAGCTTAAGATGGCGCACATGGTTCTTCCCCCTTCCTCTTTTAACCCCCACAACAACCCTGTGAGGGAGGCTAGGCTGAGAGTCAGTGAGTGTCGCAAGGGCATCCAATGAGCTTCATGGTTGAGTCAGGATTTGAACCTGGGTCCTGTTCTGTCCTGACACTCTAACCACTCTACCTTCCAGTGTAGGGTGGCCCATTAGGGTGAATTGCCTTCTTACTTACAACCAGTTCTGTGGGCCTGATTGTCCCCTTCCTCCTCCTCCTCCTCCTCCTCCTCCTCCTCCTCCTCCTCCACAATCTCAGTTCTGGCTTGGCTTCTACATCTGCTATAAAAGTACTGCTCTTTTTTATATACAGTGGATGCTCAGGTTGCAAACGTGATCCGTGCGGGATGCACGTTCGCAACCCACAGTGGTGCATCTGCGCACGCACGGGTTGCAATTCGGCGCATCTGTGCATGCGCAAAGAATGAATTTGCGCTTTTGCGCATGCGCAACCGCCAAAACCCAGAAGTAACCCATTCCAGTACTTCCAGGTTTTGGCAGTCCGCAACCCAAAAAAACAAACCTGAAGCATCTGTAACCCAAGGGATGACTGTATTCCCAAGTACTCCTAGTCATGTGATAATACAAAGAGGGTTTTTTTAAAAAAAAAACCCTGACTGCTGCTTCATTCATTGTACTCTAGAGCAGGGGTCAGCAAGGTTTACCTTGCCTGGGTGGGATCAGTTCCGCAGAGCTCCCTCTGTGGGCCGGATAGTGAGCGCACGTGAGCGCCTGCAATTTCCAGCGTCTGTGAGAGTCTGCTCATGTGCAGATGCAATTTCCGACACTGCGGAAATGAGGCGCAGCACGAGGACTTGCCGAGTGGCCAACTCGGTTCTGGGGAGGCTCATGGCCAGTTAAATGGCCTCCATAGGCCGCTTCTGGCCCATGGGCCGCAGGTTGCCGATGCCTGCTCTAGAAAATGTTCACATTCCAGTCATTCAATTAAATCTGCTGTTTGGCCAACAGGAAACCATCAACCATTTTGTCCCTTCATGAGTATGCAGTCAGTATTAAAAATAGAATGATGTCATGAAACTGGGATATTCTCAAACTGGCATCATTTTTGTGCTATGGGTATATGAAAACAAAGTAAAATGAAGGATCACAGTTTTAAACCTCTCATGGAAGTGGTAAGGAAGATTATCCCTGCCCCAACTGCTACTTCTATATTTTTTTTTACTTTACCTCCTTTGCCACAAGTGGCCTCATCCATGCCATTCATTAAATTTGTGTTGGTGCTGTAAACTTTAGAGCAGAGAAATCTGTTTTAGAGGGAGCCAGACCATTGGTCCATCTAGATCATGGCGGTCCAATTTCCATACCAAGTGGGTTGCAAGAGTCCTTCAACACAGAACCCGGACGCCACATGCTGAATTAAATTTCCATATCATAAATTAGTGTTTGCAGGATATTTAATATTATTTAATATACACTATTGAGGGACATGGGTGGCTCTGTGGTCTAAACCACTGAGCCTTGGGCTTGCTGATCAATAGGTTGGCAGTTCAAATCCCCGTGACGGGGTGAGCTCCTGTTGCTCAATCCCTGCTCCTGCCAACCTAGCAGTTTAAAAGCATGCCAAAAAGTGCAAGTAGATTAATAGGTACCTCTCCGGGGGGAAGGTAAACGGCGTTTCCGTGCACTGCTCTGGTTCGCCAGAAGCAGCTTAGTCACGCTGGCCACATGACCCGGAAAAACTTTCTGTGGAGCAGACAAACGCCGGCTCCCTCAGCCTGTAAAGCGAAATGAGTGCCGCAACCCCAGAGCCGTTTGTGACTGGACTTAACTGTCAGGGGTCCCTTTACCTTTAATATGCACAATTAATATACTTAATTAAATATATATAGTTAAATATGCAACTAATAGATTTAATATTTTTATTTATTAAACAAATGTAATACACAGGCAGATGAATGTGCTTTTGTTAACGATGCATGACACAAAAAATAAAATTTTAAGCCTTCAAGATGGTTCATGAATGTTGCTAGTGGTCGCCAAGAAAGGTCTCGTGGGCCGGACTACCCTGATCTAGGTCAGTGTTGTTTAGATTGCCCGCAGTTCGTCAGCATTTCAGGCAGGGCTCTCTGCAAGTCATACCTGGATATCTTGGGGGTTGAAACTAGGAGCTTCTGCATGCAAATCAGAAACTTGAACTGCTGAGCTGTGCCTCTTTCCTGCAAATTAAGCAAAAAAAAACCCTAGCATTAATACAAATTCTCTGTACAGCTTGAGGGTTGCCAGCTTTACAAGTGGGCCTGAACTGTTTGTACTGTTTGTCTTTATTTCAGCAGTTAAGAGCTGTTGTTGTTGTTTAGTCGTTTAGTCGTGTCTGACTCTTCGTGACCCCCTGGACCAGAGCACGCCAGGCACCCCTGTCTTCCACTGCCTCCCGCAGTTTGGTCAGACTCATGTTTGTAGCTTCAAGAACACTGTCCAACCATCTCATCCTCTGTCATCCCCTTCTCCTTGTGCCCTCCATCTTTCCCAACCTCAGGGTCTTTTCCAGGGAGTCTTCTCTTCTCATGAGGTGGCCAAAATATTGGAGTCTCAGCTTCAGGATCTGTCCTTCCAGTGAGCACTCAGGCCTGATTTCCTTAAGAATAGAGAGGTTTGATCTCCTTGCAGTTCATGGGACTCTCAAGAGTCTCCTCCAGCACCATAATTCAAAAGCATCAATTCTTCGGCGATCAGCCTTCTTTATGGTCCAGCTCTCACTTCCATACATTACTACTGGGAAAACCATGGCTTAAAGCCAGCAGTTAAGAGAAGAGTAGCTAAATAAATGCCCTCTCTCAGACACTACTGTACTGCACTCCAGAGCCTGGTGCCTCAGGCAGTTGGCATCTGGGTTGTCTGCTTCTAAATCTGGCTCTGTATATAGCTTTTAAAATAAAATGCTTTACACTGTGCGCCAAGGAAGAAGAAAGAAATGTGAGATTTGTTTCCCAAAACAGAATGTGAACATGCAACTGATGTAAAAATTCGGGTTTGACTTTTGCTGCGCAACTCCCCATGGGACTCTTGAGTCCCCTAAGTCCATGATCGGTCAGAGAAGAATGGGTGGTGGCAGAATCCAGTGGAAAGGAAGGCAGACATTTATTTTTCTGTTGAAACAGAGTTTCCTCCCCTCCTTCCAAGGAGGGAGAGACCCTCAACAAAAGTGTGCAGGAAGCTTTAAAGACTTTTGACTTTGCCCAACCCCCTTAGCCAAAGACCACCCCAAAATCATCATACATACATCATAGGAGGCGGGTCTACAGTAGAGATCCTGTCTGCCCGGATACCTGATAATAGTCGCTGATTGCATTGCCTGGGCAGCCTGGCCATTCTTTTGTGATGGTTAATACTTTAGTTCCTGAAGAATTTGTAAGCAAAAAGACAACGGGAAAGCTTTCCTCATTTGTTTCCTTTACTTCAGAGCAATATTTGAGGTCATTGGGAGAGTCAAAATTTCTTCAGGATTGCTCTCCTATACTATTTCAGACACATGGTTTATATATTCAGATATGTGTGCATTTATAAATATTTATTCTATATTTGAGACCTTAGAATTCTTTTAACAAAAGGAGATAATTTGAATCTCTCCCAAGCTGAGGAGTAGAGTGGGCATCCTTTTTTGTTTTCCTTGACAGATTGCAGGTTTTGGTTGCTGGTTTGGTGTTATAGATTGGTTTGTGTGTGCTAGGAATTGTTTAGGTGTATATGTGTTGTGTTGGCTTTTAGGATTATTGTGAAATGGATATTTTAAATGTCTTCTGACTGCTGTTCTGGGCTGGGATAGTTCAGTTGATGGAGTATAAAACTGTTAATCTCAGAGTTGTGGGTTCAAGCCCCACGTTGGGCAAAATGATTCCTGCATTGCAGGGGTTTGAACTATATAACTCTCGTGGTCCCTTCCAACACTACAGTTCTATGAAAAGCGGATTATATAGTCTACACTTTCTGGCTACAGTATTTGCTTATCCAGCATATACCGTATTTTTCGCTCTATAAGACGCACCAGACCACAAGACGCACCTAGTTTTTGGAGGAGGAAAACAAGAAAAAAAAGATTCTGAATCTCAGAAGCCAGAACAGCAAGAGGGATCGCTGCGCAGTGAAAGCAGCAATTCCTCTTGCTGTTCTGGCTTCTGGGATAGCTGCGCAGCCTGCATTCGCTCCATAAGACGCACACACATTTCCCCTTACTTTTTAGGAGGGAAAACATGAGTCTTAGAGAGCAAAAAATATGGTAGTTTGTACTGCTTTATTTTAAATGCTTGGAGGTTTCTGTTGATTAAGCAATATATAAAAATTGTTAAACAAATATGACATTTATTATGAATGATAAATATTAATAAATGCATCAATAAGTCATAATTAAGAATGTAAATTATTATTATCATCTGACTGGCTTTTTGTTCATTCAGATGGTGGGGAAGATTTGGCTTCAATACCCAGTTTTCCACAGCCAGGCGCCAGATCTGTTTGTGCACAGACCCGTAGAAGGAATGGTTGCTTTCTTCTGCTGTTCTATAGTCTGTTGGTTTATGGTGATGTTGCCTCTTTTCTATCCTTAGAGCTGCTCCCAGCTTTCTCTGAGTATAATAAACCCTGGCAGAGAGATGACATTACCATACGCTCTCTACAGCCAGTACCGTCATCATTGGCTGCCTCCTTTTTCAGCCTTGGCTGTTTGTTTTTAAGATTAAACGCTTGCCCTAGGTTACTTATGAAAAAAATACGATGCAGTCGAAGGGACTTGTAAGACCCAAGCCATGTATTAACGTAGGATTTTTTGTTTGTTCCTCGCAGGCCGAAGAACCAAACAATGATGAATACATCTCAGAATCTGAGAAGATAGCCATGGATTTGAAGGATCCCAACCGTCCAAGGTTTACTTTGCAAGAGCTGCGAGATGTTTTGCATGAGAGAAATGAACTGAAATCTAAAGTTTTTCTGCTGCAAGAGGAACTTCTGTATTATAAGAGGTGCGCTGTTGCTTTCAGCTCCTTTCTAGTCTGATTCTATGTGGAAGCAGTTGGACTGAAGACGGTTTGCTTTTCAGTGGGATCAGTCCTGTTGAGGCTGCAGTCGTCTGCTCAGTTCCTCTGTGTGTGTGTGTGTGTGTGTGTGTGAGAGAGAGAGAGAGAGAGAGAGAGAGAGCACTGAACTTCAGTTGCAAGCCCACACTAGTTGGAAGTGGAGTGGAGCCAGAATGGGGAGCTCTCTTGGGTGAGGCCACTTGGGGGTAACCCACAGCTCTCCACGTGTTGCAGGACTGCAACTCCCCTTGTCCCTGACCATTAGCCATGCTGTCTGGAGCTGATAGGAGTTGGGGGTCCAACCACATCTAGAGAACCACAAGTTTCACATTCTTCAGAAGCCACTAGGTACACTTTTAAATGCACCGCTAGTCAAAAGGGCCAAGAACATTTCAAGCTATTTCCTCCAATTTCTTCTTCTTCTTTTTCTCTCTGCTCTTTTCTCTTATGAAGATAAGGAAGAATGTTCAGGCAGTCATCAGTAAACCTACATTATACCAGGTCAGGCTGTTTGTTTCTTTAGCCCAGATGAGTTACTCAAGAGCTTTCCAAACATTTTGTGTTGGTGACACACTTTTTAGACCTGCATCGTTCTGAGTGGGACGCGGGTGGCGCTGTGGGTTAAACCACAGAGCCTAGGACTTGCCGATCAGAAGGTTGGCGGTTCAAATCCCCACGACGGGGTGAGCTCTCATTGCTCGGTCCCTTCTCCTGCCAACCTAGCAGTTCGAAAGCACGTCAAAGTGCAAGTAGATAAATAGGTACCACTCCGGCAGGAAGGTAAACGGCGTTTCCATGCGCTGCTCTGGTTCGCCAGAAGCAGCTTAGTCATGCTGGCCACATGACCCAGAAGCTGTACGCCAGCTCCCTCGGCCAATAAAGCGAGATGAGCGCCGCAACCCCAGAGTCGGTCACGACTGGACCTAATGGTCAGGGGTCCCTTTACCTTTACCTATCGTTCTGAGACACAGTAATTCAGTTTTACTAGCTAAACTAATCCCTTATAAGAGTATTCACGTGACACACCTATACACTGCATCTGACACACTAACATGTCGCGAAACAGTTTAGAAAGTTCTGGTCTACTCTGACTGGGAGTGGCTCTCTGGTGCAGCCTCTGAAAATGTGGTACCCTCCACATGTTTTGGAATAAAGCTTATATTGGACCCATCCATCATTCCCACAATTTGGGAACCCCTTCTCTACACTGCATGGGGCCCCTTTTCTTCACACTTTTTCTCCACCTGTGCCAGAGGTATCCAAGCAGAGACTGGGCATCTGCCTGTCATGGATACGGTTGTGGCACCTGGCAATGAGCAGGCAGCTGGACAAGAGGACTAAGGCCCCTTTATTTATATACACAATTATATGCACTGACAGAGGTATGCTTTCTGTCTCCTTTCTGTGTGAAGAGTGAGTGACTAATTTTTCCTAGGTGTAATGAGAGTATTTGGTATCTTAACATATACATTTCATATCTTTTCCTGTTCTTTTTTTTAAAAGTGATGAGGCTGATGAAGAAATGAGGTCTCCCCAACCCACAACCATTATTCACTCAAAACCATCCACTCAGCAGGAATCTGGAATCAAACGACTGTAAGTTCCCTCTTCTTCCCAAGGCTGCTTTAAACCAAGCAAGGGGAGAAGAAACTTGCTTTCCTATGCTTCTTGGGGTCCCTGGGCTTTTAAAAATGCTCTAAGAAAGAATGGTGCTCAGTGTCCTTTGAATAATCTCCATAATGCCACAAAGCACCTCTTTTTGTTTATCTGTTTGATTCATTTTGACACAGTTTAAATACTGTTGCCTGCCTCCCCAACCTCTGAGTACTGCGAGATTCCAGGGCTTCCAGGTGCTTACCCAGGGTTCATGTTTCCTTTGGGAATGAGACACAACAGAGACTGTGGTGCCCTGTCTGGTGTATGGTTTATTTACACATATATAAGGGTCTTGCTTCCTCCATAAGTGCAGTAGATTCAAGAATAAATCAAAATTGCTCTCAAACTTTGCTCTGACTCTCCAGCTTGCTTCTTTACTTCTAGGTCACAGCACTGCCCCTTTCAGCTCTAAACTTAGGCTTTGTCCTTCAAAGTATCTCTGTGTTGAGGGAGTAGCCCCACCCACTGAGACCCCTTTCCTTTGTTCTCTTCATGGCCCATCACCCAGGGTATCACCTCAACACAGGAAGCCAGTCTGGCTTTTGCTTGGTGGGGCCAGGGGTGAGAAGGATCTCGCATTCTGCCTACTTGCTCCCCCATACCAAACTTATTTTCCCCTGGGGTCAGTAGTAACAAATTGCTACCTTGGCTATTCCTAGCGTGAAGCTTTCTCTGAATATTTCCCCATGAGACCCAACTACAGATTTTTCTCACTGGTGAGCTACTTTTTAATATGCAGGAATTTGTTTTTTAATGTGTGGTGGGTGGAGCAAGGAAGCATGTGATTTGCCCACCTGCCCAATCGCCACATTGGTGTGAGAGCCACATTTAGGTGACCCTAAACACTTGTTTGGGGTTTAATCTTGTTTTAAATGTATTCATTGTTAGTGTTTTTAACCATTTTAAATTATTTTATGTGTAAATTGCCTTGAGACTGTGGTTTAGAAGCAAATAATAAATTACAGTTAATAATAATTAATAATGACCTTTCTGCAGCAAAGTCTGTAACCAAGCCTAAACGTGTACTTGAAACAACTGCATATTGCCCCCTCTTACCTCTTGACTCCTCTTCTACCTGCTTCCTCTTTTTGTTTTCCCTGCATTGAAATTTAGACTATAAACTCCTTAAGGCAAGAGACCTCTCCTCTTGGACTCCAAAAAGCGCTGTGTGCTGCACCAATAGTGCTATGTAAATAATGAGCAGCACGCATTTTCTTAATGTGTGCGTCATCACCTACAACGAGGGTCGCCAATCTTCTTGGACCAGGGTGGGGGCACATTTTGAATTTTGAGAGAGTGCTGGGGCGCCAGTCACAAAATGGTTGCCTTGTGATGGCAGGGCAGTAACATGAAATTAGAGAGAGAACAATCATGGTGAAGCTTTCCCTGTAATTGTATTTTCATAAAAGGTATGACCTGTTGGAATTCTGCTTGCAAGATTATAGAGAAACAATAAAAGTGTATTAAAGGGGGGGGCAGCAGCTCTTTAGGACCTCAGGGATTCTTATTTCCTCATGTCCAAACAGTGCACTTTTCCGTCACAGTTCCAACTTCACTCATTGGCTAAAAACACTGGCAGCCTTCTTCATTTCACAGAAATTACTGGGAAGGGTGACTTCTTCATACCTTTCTTTCTAGGAGGTCTAGAGATGTACTTAAAAAGAAAGTAAGCCCAGAGTCCAGGGCCCTTGCCTTGGTGTGCCAGTGAAGCTCATGGCAGGCACCAGGCTGGCAACCCCTGCCCTACTGCAAGGGGGGGAAGCTGTAGCCCTCCAGAATAGGGTTTGATTCCAACTTTTCACCTGCCAGCATGGCTAAACAGTCAGGGATAATGGCCGTCCAGCAGCCCCTGGGGGGCCACGGCTTCCTCATTCCTGCCCTGCTGTTCTGTGTGCCAATAGAAGACAATGCCAGGATGCACTGGCACCAAATCTGTTGGTACTGTAGTGCAAAAAGAGTGAGTGCCAGGCAGTGCATACAGTTAGATGCCTGCCAAGCTCTCTTGGAAACCTCTGGACCAGGGGGTGGGCTTCCTGGAAAACCCTGGTGCTGCTACCTTAGAAAATGGCAAGCACCAAACTGCAGTAAGCATGTGGTGCTTCACTATGTCCTTAGCATAAATTCCTTTGAAGTTCTGTTTTCTTTTGTTTTTTTCTCCTCTTGAGACTATGGAGAGGGGATTAAGAAGCAACGTGGGTGGGTGGGTCCAAAGTGACAAACTGCATTTTGAATCTCTATATGAGAGAGAGCTTTGTCCCAAATGTTTAGATGTGCCAAAAAAGAACCCCCTTTTTTCCATATTAGCACTTGCATCCTAAACCGTATTTCCTCCAAAGTAAGTCCTATTGGTTCTCCTAGCATTAAACTTTCAAAAAAAGTGTGCTTAATTTCCAGTTTGTGATTCATTACTCATTTGTAGGTGAAAAGTACCTTTCCTTCTATTAGTATCAGAGGTTCAGCAGTGGAGAGCACTGGCAAAGAGGTGTTTTGGGGAGGGACGTCCCTCTCCGCTCCCCAAGCTGTGTGAGATGCTAGCACAGGATGGTGACTGTGTCGCTGTCATGGACAAAAAAAAATTAATGGAGGCAAAAACCAATTAGGAAATTTTTAAATTGTAAATCTTTGAGCAGGGATTTTCGTTTACATGGTTGTTGTTTTTTAAGAAGCCAGATCTACCTCGTTTTGTACACTGAGCAAAAAGGGCCCTTTGTTTCAAAGGTTGTGTCACTTGTTTGTTGCTGACATGATGATCAGTGCTGGCTTTAAAAAGAAGACAGACAAAAGCCTCTCTCTCTCTCTCTCTCTCTCTCTCTCTCTCTGTGTGTGTGTGTGTGTGTGTGTGTGTTTAATGACGTGGGGGGAGGCTTGATGCAACCCAGTCAGCCAAGCTGTGTAACTGTAGAAAACCCGTTCAGAATAATAACAACTCTGTGTGTTGTTTTTGATTCTAATAATAGCATCTCCCAGAAGCAGCTCTGTTGGGAATGTCTCGGAGCTGTGTTTAGGTCAGAAGCAAAAAAGTGCTCTGGTGATCTCAGCTGTGTCCTTAATCAACAGCAACAAGTGGCATCTGCAGCAAATGGTTGCAGCGGGATATTGCTCCCCTTCCAGGTCCCAACATGATGTCCCATTCCACTCCAGCAATCAGCCACCATCCATGCATAGAGAACATGCTCAGTCCTCATGGGGCTTTTTCTGTGCCCCCCTGAAGTTTTATTCTCCCACAGATGTTTGTTTGTACTTCTACAAACCTTTGGGTTCCCCCAAACCTGCTGGCATTTCCTGTCTTGTGCATGGATGGTGCCATTTTGGCCACATAAAGACAGGCGCACAGCAAATGAATTTGCTATTAATGTATGGGTTGTGTGCAATGCAGCACGGAGTTAAAGCCAGTGGTATACTTCATTATTTATTGCACTTACATGCCACCTTTTCCCCCTCCAAGGAGCTCAAGGTGACATATACAGTTCTCCCCCTCCTCATTTAATCCCTGATACAATCCTGTGAGAGGCAGAGACTGTCCCAAGGTCACCCAGGGAGCTTCAGGGCCAAGTGGGGATTTGAACTCTCTCACCCCGACACTCCAGCAGCTACACTACACTGGTGAAATGTTTCATGCCCGTGAGACACGGTTGCCTAAGAATAGATAAGCAACTTTTTTAGAAAGACCCCAAAATTGTTGAGCTGCAATTTTTTGATTGACTTGCCTAAGATCCAGGACAAAACTCCACATTTTTGATATCCCGCCCCCCGGAAAATCTGGACATATGGCAGCCCCAGGCATAATAGACTGCGCAATGAGTTTCTGCTAGTACAGCGGATTCCTCTTTTGCACAAAACTTACCCATCCGCGAGTGCAAGAGCCCTCAAATGCCTTTGGGAACTCACAAGCAGGACATGGTGGAGTTAGTCTTTCCCTGTTTGTGTCTTAAGCTCTAAGGTCACATGCACAGTAAACATGTCAAGCCCTCTTGCACTACTTTAACATTCCTGGGCAGGTGTGCCAACTCGAATAAAATAATGGAGGTGCAGGTAAGCCCTGCCCCACATAATCACATCACACGGTCATGCACACCATTTTAATGGCAATGCCCATCAACTTGGAGGGAGGGGCTGGACCCCTCCAGTATTTTGCTGGGTGGGCTGAAGTGATCTCAGCCCCTAGGAGTTGGATCCTATGTTCATACTCTCTAACATTCCTCAGATGATAATAAGGACATTTCTCACTCCCCCACAACTGACTCTCAATTGGTTTGATTCAGAAGGACTCTCCTTGAGATCAGAGGCTCTCTGGGCAATACAGACCCTTCCCCACCTTGTAAAAACATTGTCCTTTGTGTAAGTCAGCACCCGTGTCTGTCGTTTCCTCTGGCTTCCTTTATTTGCTCCCCCCCTCTCCTGTGCTTGTGTGTATTTGAATACCTTTTAATTTCTTACTTAAGCCTCTTTTCTCTTTTGTGTCTGTGCTTTCCCAACCAGGATGTTTACAGCTATAATGCCTATGGTAGCTGCCGGATTGATCCCTGATGATCCCACATTGCAGCCAATAAGAAGACTTATGTCCCTTGTAGGAACTCTCTTTTTAATTGGTTACTGTGGAGTTTTTGTTCTCCTATTTGTGCATGATGTGTGGCTGTTCCTCACCTTAACCTTGGCTGTATTCTCCTTGGCTGACTGTGGGATCATAAAACTTTTTTTTGAAGATGGCCAATCAGAATGCTCCTCTGCTGCATGATGTAACCGCTTATTTACCAAGCAGTCTGTGCCCCTTTGCACTTTCTTCTAATGCAAGAAGGGGGACCTCTGGCCTCACCAATGTTGCTGGACTCTTAACTCCCACCAGCCCTAGCCAGAATGCCCAGCGGCCAGGAATGATGGGAGTTGTAGTCCAGCAATACTAAGCGAGTCACAGGTTACCCATCCCTGGTTTAATAATTGGCTTAATAGACAAGGAATTTTAACTGAGAGTTTTTCAAGCAAATATGTGGATAGTTGGTTGGAATATTATATATGACACTCAGGTCCTTCCTACCATCTTGCTGGCCCTTTGGCCCCCAGTGCTCTACCTGAAATTCCCTTGCTTGTCTGGCTACAACTTATAAGCCTACTTTGTTCAACTGGCATTGTGCTGCCATTGTAGAATTGTCACTTTGTCAACATTCTGATAGTGAGCCATTCCCATTCAGCAGCTAGGATGTGTTTAGGCATCCATGACGTGTACTTTGCCAGTGATGGAGCGGGTGTTCAGACAAACAAGAACCTATTAGATAGGAGCATATTAATCACTAATGTTGTTTAATCTTGCTTTTTGAAACCTGCCTACTGACAGATCACAGCAATTTTTGTTTTTATTTTTAAATTTAATCGCAACAGGTGAAAATACGATATGCAATATTGATTTAACTGACAAAGCCCCAAATGTTAGGATAGCATAGCCTGTCATCTTACATGTCAGCTTGTAATGAGACTCAAATGGGTATCAAACCTCAAAACAGCAGTGAACAAGCATTGTCAAGTCAGCAACCTAGGCTTACGACCTGGTTGTAATGCCCACAGACCATCCCAAATTGGAGTAAAGGATATATTTGTTAAGATGGATGCCCAAACACAGGTGCTCACCTTTGTATGTCATGGCTGGAGACCCATCTCAAGTTTGGAGGTGCCAGCATCAACTTTGTAGGTGTTTGGGCTACCAGGACACCTGGGCTGTCCCCCTCTATCCTGCTTCTAAATTCAATGTATATTTTAATTGTGGCCATCTCAAAGAAGATGGTTGGCTTCTTCTGCTTCTGTTGGACTGTGCTGTGCCAATAGAAGATCATAGTGTAATTCAGGTTATAATCATAAATTCATGTACCTGAGACCCAAGCCCCATTCAACTGAAGGGTCTTGGTTCTGAGTAGATGTCACAGGATTGTGCTGAAATGCTACTAACTGTGAAGTGTACACTGCCCAAATTCTGACTGACTGCTGAATTTGTGCTTTTAAAAATCTGGGTTTTGGACTTGCACCTGTCAAATAGCTACCCCAACTTCTTCCCAGTCTGTATAACAAACTGTTTTTGGAAATGAGGGGATTTGGGCTGGATTTGCACATACAAATAACTGGAACTGTGTATATTGGGAGACCCTTTGCTTAATCTCTGCATTTATCCCCACAATCCATGTTACTAATTGGAACCTGAGACTGACAGAGAAATAGCTTGCCCAAGACTGAATCAAATAAAATTTTAACATAAGTCTCTTTGAGGGAAGGATAATTGCCAACAGCTTTCAGCTGGCTGGAATTAGATCTGTGCTTGTCACAAAAACCTGCTCAAAATCTGGCCTGTTGGAAAGTCCCCTCATTTCTAAGTGGGCAGAATTTGGCTGGAGTGGATGGAAGGGGGCAAGTTACAGTTCCATTGAGTGTTTATAATAGCTAATTCAAAAAATGCACAGAAATCCCTTTCCCTTCACACAGACTAAGGTAATAATAATTAGAACATTGAAATATTGTTCTCCCTAGTTGTTCGCTTTTTTAATTTCCTTCACTTGGTGTAAAAACAGAAAGCAATGTCACTTGAGGTAATTGGTACAAAATCACAAGCTCCCTCCAGATAGCCTGCTCCATGTGCCCATAATCCCATGGCATGCGGGGGGTGGGAGTGGGCCTGTTGGTCCTGCCCCCGCTGCCCCCTCTCAGCTGTCCTTGTGTTTGCGGGGAGAGCATTTGAGGAAGAGGCCTGGCCCATGAGGCAGAGTGAGGCGGCCGCCTCAGATACAGAATGTGTGGGGTGAGGAGTGGACAGCGCTGGATGTGTCATACGGCCTGCCCTGTGGGGCCCCCCACCCAGCTATCCTGCCCTCAGGTGCAGTGGAAGACTGGTCCACTGCCATAGTCAAAGGAAGATTCAGCTGCCAATCTGGTCAGCTTTTATACATGGGAGACAGGTGCCATATTGGCCTTTGCCTCAGGTGGCAAAATACCTTGGACCCGGGGCCTGGGGGCACCTGCTCTGTGCCCATAAACTGCCCCCTGTGACTTGGAATCCAGCATATTATGATGGCATGGAGAAATACCTACAGAAGGCTTACACTTTTCCACTAATGGTACTTATGTGGTTCTTGTCCCAGTTGAGAGGCTGTTTCTAAACCTCTCTCCCCCAAAACAAGAGATTTCTCTCCCCTGTTAGAATTTGGCCTGGTTTCTTGCATTGCTTGACCATGTTTGTTGCATCACTTAGCACTGAAAGATGTTTTCAAATCCTTCCTCCAAGTTTCAACGCCTTAACCTCTCTCCTCTTCTCCACACCCCACTTCTCTTGGAAGGTTTAGTTTCTTTTCCCGTGATAAGAAGCGGATGCCAGCGATGCAGAGAAATGCCCCCTTTCAGAGTTCCTTTGGCGAGTGGGCCAACTCTAACAAAGACGATGCATACACCGAACAAGGCCTGGAGGCCCTACAACACCTGTGACTGGAGCCCAGGGATTGCGGTTGCAATGGTAACAGCACAAGAAAAGATGAAGGAACTGTGGCACCTGGATATGGCTCTCCTCCCCGTTCCCAACCCCTTACCCAGTTGGAATGAGGGGTTTCTTTTTCCACACAGAATCCCTTGATGTTTACTTGGTGACTACACTCCGAAAGCAAGATCCTGGGGCCTCTGTAGAAACAATGGCTTTGCATACTCTGGTGTGGGCACCCTGCAGGGTCGTTGCTGTGTGCTAATTTAACAAGCCTGTGGGTTGTTTTTGAAAGCTTGCATTCACTTCACTTAACAAAAGTTCACTTTAAACCAAAAAAAGAGACCTATGTTGTTGCTGAAGAGTTGCATTCAAGGTCCGGCTAATGTCTGAAGACTCCCCTTGCCCAGTTTATTGGGGATGGGAACTTCGTCCTGATCATTCAGCCGTCATCTTCCTCGAATGATTGTTCTAGAGAAGTGGCGTCTAGTCATAGCTGTCATGCCCAAATGCAAGTCTTGCTTGAAGCTGAAGCAGGGCCTTTCTTTTGCAGGAATGAATCCATGGTGGAAAATGACTAATGCAACATACTGGAATTGGATCGCCTTCCAAATGGATCAGGACTATGTATTATTATTTTTGGTTTGTTATTTATAGTGCCTAAAGCATGGTGTACAAGGTGATGGTGCCTTGCATTTTTGCTATGAATTTTCTGATGTATTAATGGAAACTAAACATCTGAAATTTATGCTAACCCTTTTAAAAATTCCTCCTTGTATCCTAACCTCTTCCCCCTCTGTCATTGCGAGGGCAGTTTCTTCTACAGAAAACACAGGTGTTGTTTCTTCAATAGCTTTGGGAACAAAAGTCGGTTTTGAAACAAATTTTGCCTATATGGAGCCCGCTGCACACTAAATGTTTAAAGTAGTGTCCTCCTCAAGAATTCTGGGAACTAATTGGCTACAGGTGCTGAGAGCTAGGAGACCCCTGACCCCTTCACAGAGCTATAATTTTCAGACTTCCTGCGAAGGAGGATTTATTGCTAAACCATTCTGGGAATTGTAGCTCCGTGTCAGGAATAGACATCTCATAACAACTCTCTTGTAACATCTTGCAGCACCCTAGAGTAGTTATTGCCATGACTGTTTAAAGGGGTATGATATGGCTTTAAATGTGCCCCTTGAGTGATCAGCGCTGGGGACCCTGCTCACAGTAGGGCTGTCCCTGACTGAGGTGGCTTTGCTACATGGTTCATTATCTATCGATGTGACGACAGGGCCGTCACACTGCCACACTGTGCTTGTGTCTGAGTTTTTTCACCTATGTGGGTAACACACATACTTGCCTACCTCCAAGGCTTTTTGTGCCATTTGGGAAGGTGAGGAAATATATTTTCAAAGTTGATGTAAGGAGTCTCCGTGCAATCTCCTGCCTACCCAATGCTTAAAATAAATGTGTGATGAAGGAGTCAGCTCATACCTATGGGGTCCCATGGATGCTGATGTGGCCAATGGCCGTGCCCCCAACCCTGGCAACCACCCATTTGGCATTATAGTGAGAACAAATGAAACTGGCGACAAAATGTTGCCGTGTATCCCCCACTCCCAGCAGGAGTGTTCCTGATCAAGGTTCCAGCCAGCCATTTCCTCCAAGAAAGTCCCTCCTCATCCTACCATTTTCCATATTACTTTTCCAACTGGCATTCAACATTCCGAGGCTGGTAAGCCTGCTCCATCCTCACTGGGCTTTATTTAATAGGCAGGCAGGAGCTTTTCAAAAAAAGAGAGGGAGGATGTTTTCTTGTACTTTTGCAAACCTCTGGGTTTCCCAGAGTGTAATGTTACCTCCCTCTTGTTTCTCAGCAATCTCATTTTGGCTCCATTCATGCTGTCACTCATCACCTGTGTTTGCTATGAAATGGAATGATGTCTCGTGTGTGTAGGGATCCCCCCACCCCAAACTCAGTGGGAACTTGATTGGTCATTGTTCAGTGTTGGTCAATTGTCCCATTTTGGTGTATTAGCTAACTGCCAGCTTTCTGCTTCCCCCTCACATATTCATTGGAGATAATGCAGGGGTTTGTGCGAAGACCCTTCTCCTCCACACAGTATATTAGCTAAGACTTTGCGCTGGATGGTCCCCTGTTCAGACCTCCCCTTCACAACTTAGTGGCCTTAACCTAGCTGCTAGTCCCTCAGCCTCACATCTACAATACAGGGATAGAAAATTCTGGACCACAAATCCATTGCGGACTGTTGTAAAGGTTATCAAACATTTTCAAGCATTTTTCTGAGTTAAACATAAATGCTATATGGATAACAATTACACTTATGGTTCTCAGCATTGGGCTAATAGCATATGTAGAATACTAATAGCATAGTGAATCTTCTCTAAATAGCAGGGTCAGTGTATAAAATACTTTTTCAAAAAGCTTGCCATTCCAGAACACAAACTAGCATAGGGTTGTATCTGGTGTTGATCATATGCAGAGTAGACCATTGAAAATAATGAACGTGACTAACTTGGGTCCATGAATGTCAATGGGCCTTCCCTCGGCAGAACTTAGCCGGATGACCTTTGAGCTAAAAATCACTTTAACTCTGATAATTCCTGTCTTAATTTGGTTGCGGAAAAAGCAAACCAAGCTTTCTTTCTGGTGGCCTCTGATGATCACAGTAATCTATATATAAAGGGAGGCTGGTAGTATTGGCAAGACTCCTTGGCCACTGTTTTTATGTGGTGTGGACACTCCAAGTATCTCTAGAGCTGCCACTGTCACTAACAGCCCTGCGATTCAGCTGTAAGGGTTTTTACTTACAGTGTTTTTCCAACTGGAAGAGTTCCTATCTCATGTGAAAGACCCTCTTCCTGGAACAGGGCCTCGTGTTGCCTGGCGGCTGCCTGGACCCACCTGATCCTTAAAGAAGCCATTTATGTGGCCAAAACAAAACTTTTCCTGTTGGGAATAAGCCTGTTTAAGGCAAGTGTTCGTAAACTTAAGGAGGGACACTCATTCCAGTAATTTCAGCACACAGGGCAGCCTGCGCTGACCTGATGCCCTGCAGATTCTGTTGGCCTACAGATTCCTTCAGATGGGAGTTGCAGTTGAACATCTGCACCAGGTCAGCGAAGGCTGAATTAAGGCAATACCTCCATTAAACCAACCAAAATGGGTGGTATTCAACTGAATTAAACTCGAGTGGGCCCATTTAAATTAGTTGTGTGCTTTAGGTTCAGTGGGTCCATTCTTAGCTGTGTCACAAAATAGCATGCAAAGCTTGTGAATCCTCCAGTTGCATCTAGCCTGATGCACAGTTCTCGGGAACTCAGAAGCTTGTGAGCACAGTTATTTTGTCCACATTTTGGTTGGTATAATAAATGTATTGCTTTGTTCTAATGTATATTTTGGAATTACAGTGGTACCTTGGTTTACAACCATAATCCTTTCCGGAGGTCCGTTTGTAAACCAAAACAGGTTGTAACCCAAGGCACGCTTTCGCCATTGGGCCCTCCAAAAATAATTTGTTTGTAATCCAAAATGGGTTGTAATCCCAAGAAAGGTTGCAAACCAGGACGTGCACTTCCGGGTTTGACATGTTTGCAATCCAAAACGTATGCAAACGAAGACGTATGCAAACCAAGGTACCACTGTACTAAAGTGCCCCTTAAAAGAACTGGGTTCTCTACTATAAAAGAACTCAAGGCTGGGAGAGTCTTCAGCTCACAGAGCTTATGCCATTCCCAGTAGCCTGTTTGGGGATAGATGGAGCAGTGGTATGACTTGGCATATGGCAGATTTTAATACTGAATTTTAAAAATGGGTTTAGGGGATGACTGAGATTTCTCTAATGTAAACAAACCCAACTGATCCCAAATACCTGTAAGCAAAGGCAGTTCCCCTTGGATTCTCAAAGGGACTTGCTTCTCAGTTAAACTAAAATCCTACATGCACAGGATGCAAATCCCATTTAACCTCTTTGGAAAGTTGCTTGAGTAAATAGGCTTAGGTCCAGGCTGCAGGCAAGCTAAGAACTGGGCTGCTTGATAGCAGTTTTGCAGCTAAATGTTCAGTGACTTCATGTCAGGCCATGCAGCTAAAGTTCTTCCAAAATTCAGAAGCAATGATCAGGGCAGGGTCTTTGCCTCCTAAATTTGTTTCTTGTGCAGCTGCAAAAGGTGGAGAAGCCTGGCAAAAACTGACCACTGACAACCATTGCTTCATTGCGTCTGGTTGCCGTCACTTGACATTGTTATAGCTAAACATTGTGGGTAGTTGTGCTGATCTACTAAAAATACTACTCCAATAGGCAGAATCCCTTTATTGCATGGATGGGGAACAGGTGGCTCTTCAGATATAGTGAGACTCTTAGTCCCTTCTAGCATGGCCAGTGACCAGGGATAATGAAAGTTGTAGACTGAGTCTCAGGAGCGCCACAGGATCCCCAGGCTTGTTTTATCAGAACCAGTGAAAATATCATGTTATGAGCCTGCTTTTGAGTTCCCCAGAGTTCTTCCATGAGCTAGATGCTAAACAAAGCAGGGCAGAGGAAGAGATAAAATACTGCTAAAGCCTGGGAGCAACCCTGTATTATTTACCAACTTGCTTTGTAGCCATATGACACAAGACATTGCAAGCAAATTAGTGGGCTGGAGGAAGACAAGGATGGACCATGGTTCCTCCACCACGAGCCCATTGGGTTTCCATGGTAGCCATAATAGAATAAAAGCTTCTTTCATGGGAAGCCAGAAACGAAAGTGGGGATGGATCATTTGACCCACCCACCCCACTAGCCTGTGTATTTCCTAAGAGCTTGCTAAGATGCTAGCCTGTGTTTCCAAGCTTGATACAGAGGAGTGGTCAACAGAACATATTAAAATAGTAAATTTTTTGAATTTATTTATTTACAAGGCTGCCCTACAAGCCTGCAGTTTTCAAGTCGAGTGTACAATTCCTCCCGGCTGCCACAAGCTGTGGATTTCAGGACTTTAACATCATGCCAGTCAGTAGAGCATGAGACTCTTAATCTCAGGGTTGTGGGTTCAAGACCCATGTTGGGCAAAAGATTCCTGCACTGCAGGGGGTTGGACTAGATGACTTTTGTGGTCCCTACGAACTCTTAGAATTCTTTGATTTTTCTTCCCTCCCCAGTTCTTCTTAAATTAGAAGTATTTTGGAAAACTGGAAAGCATTTTTTGTTGCTCCTAATACAGATTAGGTTTTGGATTGTATTTAAAAGCTTTTGGCATGTAGCTCTTTTTTAAAACTCTGTTTGCTATTTCTTGTTCTGCGACTGCTTGTGAAGAAGTGGAGAGAGCTGCCCCAAATATGCAGCTTGTCCATTTTCCATGGCTCTGTGAACAGGCAGTCCAGTGTATCCCAAGAACTTGACCTGTGCAGCAACATCAGCAGCTGCCTTCTGTCCGTGAGGTCATCATTGGAACTATGTGTACAGTGGAGGCTTGTCTATTAGGGCAAATGGGGCAGTGCCCCACCAATCTCAGTCTGCCCTCAGCAGCTGCCAGCTGCCTGCCTTCTTAAAACCAGTCCAGGGAGATGGTGCTGACTTAGCAGGGAGAATGGAGACAAAACTATGGTGAGTTCCACCCTTTCATTGGCTCTGGCTCCACCACCTCTTGGCCTCCTGCTTTACAGCCTACCTGTCCTAATGGACAGCCACTTTGGACTACAGTATGAATGCAATAATGGAAATCCTTGTTAATATTTTACATGCTTAAGTGTTGCTGAAATTGAGTTTCCCCATAGTCCTATAATTTTAAAAGGGGGTTTGTTTTTATTTTTGCTCTTTATCACATGCACACAGATGCAACAACCTGAATAAACACTGCAAAGATGCTTGTTTTGCATAATTTATTACACTACAGGAGGGCTTGGGAAACACTTTTAACCCAAAGGCTGGATTCAAACCCAACCATGCTCCCAAGGGCGCATTTCAAAGGTGTGCAGGGCAAATAAAAAACCCCAGAAGAACCACCATCAAAACAAGTCACAAGTCTCCATGCCATATCAATCCCATATTACAGGGGTTGCCAATGTGCTTTCAGTTCCTAGCAAGGCACTAACATCTCGCTAAGTGTCACAGACTTGAGCATTCCCTTAATGCAATTGTCTGATAAGGCTTAGCACACAACTGTGTGATATGCAAAAGGAGTGAATGTGTATCTTTAATAAAGATTCAGGGTACTGTAAGGTAAAAAAAGGCAATAAACAGCATGTTTGGAGGGAATGGGTGGGTATAGGGCTATGTTAACACTAGATCTTTTTAATATTCTAAATAAACTATTTCTGGATTAACAAGAGGTTGTCTGTTTTTGCATCTTCTATAAGCCACGGACCTCAGGCAAAGGTTTGGCTCCTTAATCCAAATTGATACAAGAAATCCAGTCCTACGTCCTAGGCCCAGGTTGGTGGAACCTGGTGCCTCTCCTGACACCACTGGACTCCAACTCCCATCAGCCCCAGCTAGCACGGCCAGTGGTCAGGAATGATGGGAGCTGTAGTCCAGCAACATCTGGAGGGTCCCAGGTTCCCTATCCCAGTCCACAGTCTTGCTGCTCTATTTCACTCCCACCTCAAAGGCCTACAGGAGAACCTCCCAGCCTACCCTTGCTTCTCCTTAGTGTCTCCTTTTCTCATCCCACTGAACCACATGCTCCTCAACCCACTGCCTATCTCAGGAGTGGGGAACCGGCGGTTCACCAGGTGTTGCTGCACTACAACTTCCATCAGCCCTAACCGTTGGCCAAGCTGTCTGGGGATGATGGGAACTGCAGTCCAGCAGCATCCCAAAGGACACGAGTTAAGCACCTCTGGCCTACTCTTTATCTCCTTTTGTTTAGCAACCTTCTATCTGGCCCCTTTTCTTGCTTCTCTAAAATCCCTCTCCTCACCCACCCTCCCTGCCTTTACACTGCAGGCCCTCCTTTCCCCTGCCCTGTGAATTACTACATTCCCCTTAGTCAAATTGAGATTTCCTTTCTCTGCTCTGTTTGTTAGAATTCCACGAATGTTGTGCATCACTGGTCATATGCACCAAAAAACTTGGACAGGGTGGTGTAGAAGAGTGAGCAAGATGACTAAACAATTTCATCAAAACCTGCAACACCATACAGAATAACCCATTAAGTGTGCAGTGGAGCGTGATGGTGAAAACACCCCACTGTTTTGAAGCTTACGAGCCAGTTATCCAGGCTTTGTCTCAGTTTGCTTTTGAAGATGGGCCCACAATTTCCCATAATCCACTGGTGTTCTGTGGCTGCGTAGCACTGGAAGGGAGTGGCCCATCAGTGCCTGTCTTCATCTCTTTGCTTCTTTGAGCTGCGGTCCCGACTTCGATCTCTCCTCTCTCTGCCTCTGCTCCGTTCCTCTCTGGAGTGCCGCGCTCCATCTCTCTCTGCCCATCCTCGCGACCACTCCCGTTCGGAGCGCCTCTGGTCTCTGTTCCTCGTTTTCCAGTCCCTGGACCAACCTCTCTCTCTTTTTTCCGCCTGTCCTTCCCCGTAAAACTCACTTTTCATGGCAGGCAAATTTATGGGCTTCCGGAAGGGCCTGTCCCTGCCACCAAACCGCAACTGCCCCGACTCCTTCTTGCCACCAAAGCCGCCCCCGAGCCTCCGAGGGATCCACCCTTTGAGGGTCCTCTCCAGCTCAAAGTCCACAAATACCTCACGCTGGTCAATAACCAGCTTGTTGGCATCTCGGTAAGCTTTCACAAGGGCACGCTCCTCTTTGAACTCAACGAACGCGTAGCCCTTGGAGAAGCCAGTGACTAGGTCTCGAACCAAGCGGATCTTCCGGATGTCTCCGTACCGAGAAAAGACTTCCCTTAACTTCTCTTCTGTGGTTTGCAAGTTGAGTCTGGCCACAAACAGCGTGAGGTGAGGGTCCCCTGAAACGCCTCGGTTGGGGACATACCGTGCCGTCATGGCCCTCCAAACAGCCCGGTCGTGGGGCTCTTCATCTGTACCATCAATGCTCCCAGCTTTGAGGGGATCATACTCTTTTGCAATGGGCGTCCACTCGTTCATTGTCTGCAGGGGGAGCCTTTAGTGCATTCCAGATTTCAGGGTTCCTGTTTCCGTTTGTGCCTCCTCTTTTTAAAAAAATCTATTTATGATATTTAGCACACCTCTTACCTGTAATGTAAAACAAGTCAGTGTTGGTTTGCTACAGGACTATATTTGTATTACTGTCACATTCCTCATTCCATTTTTAAAAATTTAATTCGGGGAGGTGAGAGATCTGACTTATTGCCCTCCTCCACAACCATCCTTCTCTTCCCATTCTTAATTTCATGTATTGTATTTATTTATTGCAGTTTTTAAATCTCACCTTTTTCTCCAAAAGGCTGAGAGGCAGTGACTGGTCCAAGGTCACCCAGCGAGGAGAGTAATAATAATAATACCCCACCCATCTGAGTGGATTTTCCCAGCCATTCTGGGCAGCTTTGAACCCTCGTCTCTCTTGGGTCCTAGTATGACCCTCTGACCACTCCACCACACTGGGCTCTCATCCGTCCCACCTTCCTCTCCCTTCCTTGCAGATGATTCAGCACTGCTCAGCGGAAAGGAATCAAAGGACCTTGTGCTGCCACAGCAGCAAACAACCCCCTGTGAAAACTCCCATAGGAGACTGAGCAGCAGGAGATGGGGCGGACCTCTGCCTCAGATCCTGGAGAACTGATGTGGGTCGGAGCCCAGATGTAGAGACCAATGGACTTGGGTTGTATGTGCACTACACAGCAAAAGCACACGGCTCCCCCCCCCCGAAAAAGGTAACTGGGAACAGTAGTTTACCCCTTCACAGAGCTACAACTCTCAGCATGCTTGGCAAACTAGTTCTCAGGATTCTTTGGTGGGAGAGTCGTGCGTTTTAAATGCAAGCTGCGCATCCAGTGCAGGAATATTCTGCTTGAACAATCCGGAGATTTAACACCACGTGGAACTTCTGCCTAACCTTTTGTGTGCGTGTGTCTGTCCCAAGGCAGCCTGCCTTGCAAAGCCCCAGAGGCCGGGAAGCAGGAGGCGAGTCTCCTAATGGAAAACTTTCTGAGCTCGAAGCATGGGTACCCCCAACAAATTTATTTATTTTTTTTAAAAATCGGTTAAATATTTGGAAATATTTGGAATTGAGTATGTATTGATATAATGTGGAATTAATGTGATTTGATTGGTTTGTTAATAAAAATAATTTAAAAAAAAAAGAAAAGGAAAACTTGCAGAAGCAAAGCAAGCTGCTTCTCTCTGATCCGCTGGCAGCCCAGGATCTCCTCCTCTTCCCCGGCGGCTCAAAAGCCCCCCCCCCCCCGAGAAGGGCCTGCACAGCCAGCAGCCAACGCCGCCCAATAACCCAATTATTCCTTTTTCCCAAGGGGAAAAATCCTCACCTGCCAGAGGAAACAAGGCGGAGCCCACCAGGCAGGCAGTTCGCAAGGCGGCTTCTCATTGGCAGCGGCTCATTCGCCACCACTAGATCCCGTGGACCTGGCAAGAAAAGCGATGGATCTTAATACTTGTTGGTTGGTTTGTTAATTTTCAAAGGCTCCGCGGCCCGGACTCGCCAAAAGGATTTCCCCAGCAACCCGGCGCGAATCTGCGGGGCAGGAACCGGAAACGCGTTTGGCCTGGCGCGGTATCCGCGGCCCCCCCTGGCGGCAGAGGTCGCGCATTACACCTGATTTTACCTCAGCACCCTCCTATTATTATGCCTTGAAAGTTATGTATTATTATTATTATTATTATTATTATTATTATTATTATTATTATTATTATTTTATTAGGCAGGCGTCTTCGTTGTACTATTCCCAGCGCCTGCTAAACACTTTTTTGTTTAGGCAACCCAACTTAGAAATGTAATTTTATTATATACGTGTGTGTGTGTGTGTGTGTGTTTTAAAACTCAGCTGATTTTAAAATCTATTTTATTTTATTTTATCTATTTATTTATTTAATTTGTGTACTGCCCTTCATCCAAAGAACTCAGGGCAGTTCACAGCAATTTTATACCATTTCACGTAAACTGCTTAGATATTGTATATATATATATATATTAAAAGCAGTACAGTATATACATTTTGCTAAATAATAATAAAGAAGCAGGTTTTTCTAAGCCCAACACATTACAAAACCTTGTTTTACTGAGCCCAAAGGTCTCTTCTCTAGGGTGTCAAATAGTTCTTTTTATTGGATAATATGGATGGCCGCTCAAAAAAAAAAGGCAGAAACCAGCAAAAAACTTTTTGAATCCAGTCAGCAAGAAAGTACAGTGGTACCTCGGGTTACAGACGCTTCAGGTTACAGACTCCGCTAACCCAGAAATAGTACTTCGGGTTAAGAACTTTGCTTCAGGATGAGAACAGAAATCACACAGTGGCGGCACGGCAGCAGCGGGAGGCCCCATTAGCTAAGGTGGTGCTTCAGGTTAAGAATAGTTTCAGGTTAAGAACGGACCTCCAGAACGAATTAAGTTCTTAACCTGAGGTACCACTGTACAATTCATTTTTTTCTGGGTAAAGAAAAAAAATTGTTATATTTACAAGCAGCTGTACGATACATGTCCTATCCATTAAACAATACCGTGGTACCTTGGGTTAAGTACTTAATTCGTTCTGGAGGTCAGTTCTTAACCTGAAACTGTTCTTAACGTGAAGCACCACTTTAGCTAATGGGGCCTCCCGCTGCCGCACGATTTCTGTTCTCATCCTGAAGCAAAGTTCTTAACCCGAGGTACTATTTCTGGGGTAGCGGAGTCTGTAACCTGAAGCGTATGTAACAGTCAGTATTCTGTTGCTTACAGTCGTGACAATGAGGAGGAGGCAGTTTTTAAACCACATTCAGCTTTGGAAATGGTTTCCGAATCCCAATATCCTGTATCATGCAATTGAATTGCAGAGTTGAAAGAGACCCTGAGGGTCATTGAGTCCAACCCCCAGGAGATTGACAGAAGTCAAGTGTGGTTGCATACACACTGCAGGCAGCCCTCTGTTTCCACAGGGGGTGCGTTCCAAGGCACCACACACAATGAAATCAAGTATAATGGGACTGCATTGAAAAAGCCTGCAGACCCCTGTTCTGCCCCCCCCCTTCAGTGATGTTTCAGTCATGTATTTATGGCGTTTCCAGGACACTTCTGAGTTCAGTGTGATGTGCCTATACTCGGTCATGCACATATTGAACGCACGTAAACGGAGCTGCCTGTATATCTTTCAGACACATTTAAGCGACATTATAGGGTTGCTAGAAGTGTAACCCTGTGGTAAACTGCACTGCCCAAAATTCTTTAAGGGAAAGAATGTGCTTCAAATGTGATTTAAAAGTGTAAGCACTGGTTGTTCTCAGGAATATGCTGGGCCAATTACTTTCTCTGCCCTTCAACTTCCCTTCAACTTCCCAGGTTTTCTTTTGAGGGAGGTAAAAGCCATGACTATTAAAAGTAATATAAGAGTGCCATAAATGTATGGTATGGATGTGACCGTAGTGCTTTGTATGCGATCTTAGCTCTTTGCAGGTGGAAAAGCAGCAGCAGAAGTATCTGCACCCTTTGTTAAGTAAGTAATACTGTGGTTATATTTATTTCTATGTGTAATAATTATTTTAGTTCTCTAACACTAAAAAACTTTGTTATTATTTTCAGAAAAGCTTTAAACTGAACGCTTTAAATATGGGTGTTTGGGGTTTTTGATATGTAATGTGTACACATTGTATGAAATCATGAAGAGTGCTATAAATGTGGATGCAACTGCTTTGCACATGCGTGTATTTGTATGAATAGCAAGTGCCTTGCTGAACTCTATTGTAGAATGCCTACAGATGAAATCATTAAGTTTATTTTTTTTTATGATATGGGTCATAAATGCACTGGGGGGTGTGGTTTTGAGAAACAAGCACGTGTACATAACTCTTGGACAACTGGAAGCTGAGCAAATTTCTTGCCAAGGGAGCCCCCTCGTCACGGGACCGCCCTGCTTGCGCCCCCGCCCGCGCGCCCGCATCCCTGTGGCAACCCTGCTCCCTCCTCCCTTAGCTCCACCTCTCCCGCTGGTCTTTGATTGGGTCCTCGGGAGCTTCGCCCTCAAGGCGGACTGGATTTGGCCTCTGCTCGAAACTTTCAAAGGAGGAAGGAAGTGGCTGGAGTTTGCAACAGGCAACTCCTTGCGATCCGGAGACCCCTTCCTCCTTTCGCGCAGTTGGATCTCCCAGGTGCATCCCGTCAGTTTGGCATGCAAGCTGAGCAGCACCAGAAGGAGGAGGAGGAGGAGCAGGAGGAGGAAGATGAAGAGCAGGAAGGCAGTGGGGGGCCTGACAGCGCTTTCGAGAAAAGCCCCTTCCAACTGACTGCTGAGGATGTCTATGACATCTCTTACGTCCTGGGCAGGGAGCTACACAAGCTCAGCAGCGAGCCGCGCGTGGCCGTGCCCTCCAAGGTGGCCCAGCTGCAGTTCAAGATCGTCAGCATCCTGGAGATGCTGGAGGCGCTGGTGAATGAGACCAACCTGACGGTGGAAGCCCTGAAGATGGAGAGAGACAGCTTGAGAAGAGAGGTGGAGGGGCTCCGGGAGCAGGCAGCCAGCGGAAGCACAAAAGAGGTCTGTCCAAACTTGGGACTGAGTTGTTGTTGTAATTTATTGCATTTATATCCCACCTTTTCCCCCCAAGGACCTCGAGGTGGTCACACAGTTCTTCCCCTTCTTCATTTCATCCCCACGACAACCCTGAGAGGTAGTTTAGGCGAGAGAGAGGCAGAGAGTGCAACTGGCCCAGGGTCACCCAGTGAGCGTCATTGCTGAGTGGGGATTCCAACCGTGGTCTCCCACGATCCAGTCAGACACTCTCTCCACCACACAACACCGGTTCTCATTATGAGATGTGCAGGGCCATAGCTCATAGAGCACCTGTTTTGCAGGGATAAGGGCTCCCTAGCGACTCCAGGCAGGCTGGGAGAGTCTTCAGCAGCTAGAGGGACCCAGGGTCTGGCTTGGTATAAGGCAACTCCTTAGGTTCCCATTACAATTATTATTATTACTGTTATATATTTATTTATACTCTGCCTTTTCCCTTGATGGGACTCATTATCACCGTCGTCATCGGTTTGGAGATGCAAGAGATGCCTTTGTCTGGGTCTGGCACCATTTGGACAGGAAGCTGTCTGCAGGCATCATATCGTAGCAGTCATGCAAGTGTTGGAAAGAAATACTCACAGAGGGAAAAGGAAGGAGCGTCATGCCTGCACAAAGCCAGGCAGTTCTTTCCAGTGTCCCACAGCTGAGTGGAGAAAAGAGAACTGACCAGCCAAGCCAGCATTCTGCGCCTAGCCAAATATGCATCTGGGAAGCTTAAAAAAAAAAAAAAGGTAAAGGACCCCTGGACAGCTAAGTCCAGTCAGAGGCAACTATGGGATTGCAGTGCTCATCTCACCATCAGGCCGAGGGAGCCAGGGTTTGTTTGCAGGCAGCTTTCTGGGTCATGTGACTAAACCGCTTCTGGTACAACGGAACACCGTGACAGAAACCAGAGCTCACAGAAACACCGTTTACCTTCCTGCCACAGCAGTACTTATTTATCTACTTGTACTTGCATGCTTTTGATCTGCTAGGCTGGCAGGAGCTGGGACAGAGCAACGGGAGCTCACTCCACTGCAGGGATTCAAACCGCTGACCTTCCAATCAACAAGCCCAAGAGGCTCAGTGGTTTAGACCACAGCGCCACCCGCGTCCTGCACCTAGCAGATATGCCTCTGTGAAGATCGCAATGTGGCAACCTTCTCCCCTGTTTGCAGTGTCATAGCTCCATGCCAGATCACATGCAAGAGCAGAAGTGAAAATAATGCACATGGTTGAAATTTATTACATTTTTATCCCACCCTTCCTCCAAGCTCAGGGTGATGTCCACTGAGGACTGGGAATCTGTGACACACACACCTTCCAGACAGGGCCGATGAAAGGGAGCCAGACTTTCTTGCATATGTTTTATCTGATTCTCAACAAAATGTATGTTTCATGTGCAATGCACACAGAATTCTGAATTACAGCTTGCAAACTTGTGCCGTGAACTGAGCATTTCCAACTCTGTACGATTGTTTGCGCCTGTGCTTTGATGGTGTAATGCTGCAGTCTCATCTTTTGAAGTGCAGCTGCAGTTGTGCATTTTTGTAAGAGAACACTGTGTGAATGCAACAAACTCGTTGCATGACGCACAGTTTGCTGTGTTACACATGGAAGTTTAATGTTTAGAGTGTGTGGTTAGTTTGGTAGCAATCGTGTGGGTGTTTCCATAATTGATATTAGTCATTAGGATCTTAAGATTCTCATCAGGTATGAATGTTAACATATTTATCATTACCATAAAAATGAGACCACACATTTATTTTAGACGCTGTGCATAGATTTTTAGCCAGTCTGCCCTTGCTGGTGCTCTGCTTCCAGATGCTCTTGGCCTACAACACCCACCTCCCCAACCATTGACTCTGCTGGCTGAAGCTGATGGGAGTTGGAGGCCAACATTCAGAAGACCGCAGGTTCCCCATCTCTGGCATACATCAAATCTCTTGCACTTTTTCTTCACAACAGCCTTGTGAGGTTGACTAGGCTGAGAGGGAGTGCTTGGCCAGAGGAAAGTGCTTTATACCAAATCAGATTATCGATCTACCTAGTTGTCTACAATGACTGCCAGTGGCTATCCAACATCCCAGAGGGTTTTTCCAGCCCTGCCTGGAGATGCATTCCTGGTCCTAGTCTGAAACTACATGCTTGTGAATTTTTTTGAAGTCCTACAAGAGAAAGTGATTTACACAAGTTTTACACTTTGCAATCAGTCCTAAAAGGAAAATTATTATTATTCCTGTTTTACAAAAATTCACGGAGGGGAAAAGAGGAAATAAAAATGGGAAAAATAAGGAAAAAACGAAGTGTTGGACTGGAACCTGGGACACCCAGGCTCAAATCCCCACTCAGCCTTGAAACTCACTGGGTGAACTGGGTGTCTCCATTTAGTCTACTCCACAGGGCTGTTCTGATGGTAAATAAAATGAGGAGAACTTAAGCTCCTTGGAGTGATGCAAAGGTGGGATATAAATGTAATAACACAGCAGCGCAGAAGTCAGAAGATAAGTGACTATCCAAAGGCCACCCAGGGGTGCATGGCAAAGCTGGAATTTGCTCAGTTCTCTCCTAGCTTTCAAATTCAAACAGCTGACCTGTGTTTTTATATGCGGCAGTGTGTACATCGTTCTTTATTGTAAGCATCCTGGCCCTTGCCAAACTATAGGAATGGAGCATTAAATACCTGATTTTTTCTTTAAGTCTCATATGGTCTTGCAAGTAGGATCTGCGACAGAATGTTGAAGTGCATCCCCCTTGCCTCCTAGCAGGAGCAGTGCTGTTCAGGATTCTGGCCAGCCGTGCCCTCCTCCTGGAAGAAGCTCAAAGGGACCACAGGGTTAAGGTGGCAGCGTTTCCGATGTTTTAGTTTAGAGGAAAGGCGAGTAAGGCAACAGGATAGAAGTTCTTAAAATTATGCATGGCATTGAGAAAGTGGATGGTGAAAAGTTTTTCTCCCTCTCTTATAAGACTGGAATTCGTGGGCATCTCATGAAGCCGCATGTTGGAAGACTTAGGGCAGATAAAAGAAAGTACCTCTTCGCTCCCCCAGGAGGCAGTGATGGCACCAACCTGGATGGCTGCAACAGAGGATTAGACAAATTGATGGAGGAGAAGGCCAGCAATGGCTGCTAGCCACAGTGCCTCAGCTGTGCCTCCGTGGTTTGAGGGAGCAATGCTTCTGAATACTAGCTGGAGGAGAGCGGGCTCATGGGCTCATGTTCTGGTCTCCCACAGGCCTCTGGTTGGTTGCCGTGACAACAGGAGGCTGGACTAGCTGGACCATTGGCCTGATCCAGCAGACTCTTCTTATGTTCTGATTCCCTCCCATTTCCATTTTTTATTTTACAACTGGCATTCCCACTTTACTGAGTGTGCTCAGATCTTGGGGCTGGTGGTGAGGATTATCTTGTGCACCTAAATGTCAGGGATCTCCTCAACCCCGTCGATGCCTCGCTCTTGTTTCTCCATGGGCCTCTTTTTTTCGTTTTGTAAAATTTATATCCATCAGGGGGGGAAACCATCAAAGCAGTTTACAAAAAAGATAAACCAATAAAAATGATCACTAAGAAAATTACAACCATAAATTATAGAAAGTTAAAACCACAATTAAATAGACTAACACAGATTAAAACTCTGTGTTAAATTTTCTAAACATGTGGCTTAGCTTGTCTAGATAAGAGTGTCTTCAGTGGCTACTGTAAAGAATACAGTAAAGTCACCTGCCTGGTATCAATAGGCAGGGAGTTTCAAAGTGTCGTTGCTGTCACACTAAATGATTGAGTTCCTACAGATGTGGTGCAGGTATTATGTGGTGCCTGTAAAAGTGCCAATTCTGCTGATCGAAGTGGTCAAGAAGGCACAGGTGGTGCCATTTTGTTTGGCTCCCTTTCTGTTGGCATGCACCACTTGAGTCTTGCTGTTGTTCTGCCTTGTAGGTAAACCTTGGCCCCAACAAAATGATCATAGACCTCACGGACGCAAACCGCCCGCGATTCACGCTGCAGGAGCTGAGGGAGGTGCTTCAGGAACGCAACCAGCTGAAGGCCCAGCTGCTGGTGGCCCAGGAGGAGCTGCAGTGCTACAAGAGGTAAGCTGCTAGGTTATGGCTTTTTTAAGGCAGCCCTTTGGAACGTCAAATACATTTTTCCTGCTGGAATGCAGACTTACTGTACTGGACTGTGCAATTATCTGCAGTTTGTGAGCAGCTGAGGAATTAAGCTGTGTAGCTCTGATTTAGACACTGGGTAACATACATCCATGTGTTTATTGCTTGACTGATAGTGGCCCTCTAATTTCACGGGATTGGGGCTGGCTGGAAAGGAAAAATAGGGAAGAACCTAAACAGATGGAGAAGTGGAAGACAGGGCGGCAGGGGGAAGCAGAAATGGACAGAGGAGTAGAGGGAGCCCTCAGCAAGTGAGAGCTTCAGGATTCTAGTAAGTGTGATCTGTCCCTCTTCCAGCAGCCTACTGGGCTGGGTTGCAGCCATGGAGAGAGTGATAAGGATGAGTGAGAGAGGTTCTGTGTGAATGTGTGCATGAGAGAGAGAGAGAGAGACAAAGTTGTGTCAGAAAGAGAGAGAATATCTTGGTTCAAACAGAAATGGAAGTAGGGAGTGGGCTTCCAATATCAATGTTCCCTTCTTTGAAACAAAAAATTAGAACCGGTCTTAAGATGGAAAATAGATTTACATAAACCATGTTTAACTCTTGGAAGGCAAAAGCAGATGTGTTAATAGAATCATGGAATTGTAGAGTAACTTGGAAGGGATCCTGCGGGTCCTCTAGTCCAAGAATCTCAACTAGATCATACATGACAGGTGACCATCCAACCTCTACTTAAAAACCTTCAAGTAAAGAGAATCCACCATCTGTCATGGGAGTCTGTTCCACTATCAAACCCCTTTTCCTGTCAGAAAGATCTTCCTGATGTTCAGTCACCTGTGATTCCTTTGGCTTTCCACCCACTTTGAAGTAATATTAGTTGTGTGTATGATGAGGGGGGTTCTTTACTGCTAATGTTGGTTCAACAATAATAGTGTTCCACTGACCAGAGAGAACAACTCTCATCCTTTGTAAAATCAGTGCAGGGGAGAAGGGTTTAACTTCTTAAGATCTATGTATGTTCTTTAGACTCTTTAAAATATCAGTGAAAACAAGGCTTAGGGGAAGAAATAGTCAGATCAGTGGACTAGACTGTGGATGAAGCCTCATTTCAGATCAGTTTCAGTGAGGAACTTGAAACTGATTTTGAAATTAATACATAGGTGGTACTTGACCCCTAGAAACTTAGCAGTGATGATCATCACTGAATTGTTAGAGAGGCTGCTGTTCTTGGGTACTTATTTCCATGTATGGTGGGACTGCCCTGATGTAAAAGTATTTTGGTTATTATGTTTTGCTGAAATGACTATAATAACACAGAAATAAATTGAGGTAGCACCAGTGTTTCTTAAACTGAATATTTTTACAGACGATAACAGACCTACACAGTAATGAACTTGTTGGACATATGTCACAAGCTGCAAGGATTGTTAGGATTGTTAGTTAGGTATTGGAAAGATCTTTCCAGTGCTGTGCTGTCAAAATTGATATTGAGCGGTACAGGAGACAGTATTCACATGTCATGTCGAAGTTTAAAGCTCCTGAGCTAAGTTGCCAAAATTCTTTAAGGTGGTGAGGGGAGCAGGAAGTCATGTGCCGTATTAGCCCAAATATAAGCCACACCTTTAAAATTGGGGGGGAGGGGAACCCAAATATAAGCCGCTCCCTTCCTCGCTTCTCATGACTGCATACGGGGGAGGGAGGACGCTGCGTTGCCGGCGGCCTTTCCACTTCCTCACTCTCTCCCTTCCTGGCCTTGGAGGAGAGGATGGGGGGCTATGCACAGGGCTGGCGCCACTTTGCCGCACTCCTGGCGCTGTTTGCCCCACGCACCTGGCTGCAGACCGTAAAGCCACAAATATAAGCCACACTTTAATTTTTCACAGTCGGAATTTGGGGGGAAAGTGAGGCTTATATTCCAGCCAATACGGTAGTTTAAAATATGCTTTCAATGTATGGTGTGCCTGTGACCAGTTTCATGCTTAATGATTACAAAAGGGTATATGACGTCCACATGTCATGTTAGAAGGGGCATAATCCCCTCTCTTTTTCTGTCAGTGGCCTTGTTCCAGAGAAGCAAGACTGGGGTGATCCCTTGCAGAAGGCTCCGACTGTGGTAACCACTTCAGATTCGTGTCAAAGAAGGGAAGAAAAGACCACCATCAAGCGATTGTGAGTTCTGCTGCTGTAGTTGTGGGCCAGGGGCAGGAAAGAAAGCCTAGGCGGTCCTGTTGGTCTAGTTATTACCAGGGGAAGCTGAAATCTACTTTCAAGGTAACACCGTTATTAGAATCAGCTAAAACAGGCATGGAGAACCAGTTGTTGCACTATAATTCCCATCATCACTGACTCCTGGCCTTGCTGGCTGGGGCTGATGGGAGCCAGAGTCCAACATTCATCTGAAGGGTCACAGCTCCCTCAGCCTCACTTTGGCTGCACACGTCTGTTCCCAGCAGGGAAATGGGCCTATGCAGCCAGCACAGAATGGAACCCACCTCCCACTCATCAGCTGGGGCCACTCCATCAGTGATGTCAGCTGATTGACAGGTGACTCTGCTCGTTGAAAAAAAATGGACTTGTGGGCCAAATATGTCCTCCCTGGTGGGCCACGTTTGGCCTATCGCCCTCCTGCAGTAATTCACCTTCCGTTGCACAGTCTGGGCTCTAGTTCCGTGTGGCAAAGCATCTGCTTTGCAAGCAAAAGGTCCCGGGTTCAATCCCAGCATCTCTAGGTCAGGCTGGGGGCGTGAAGAGCCAGTCAGTAGACAATACTAAGCTATATAAGCCAATGATTGGACTTGGTAGTCTCTACTACAATCATAGGGTTACATGTCCCTACTCCCCCCATTGAACGGGGTGACAGTGGGTCACTGGCCTTGGCATGTGCCCCACTGTACCTACCTGTGATGGTGGCCCTGGCCTTAGTTGTTGCCTCACTGCACTTGGGTACCTCATCCTCACTCACCATCTATTCCTCCTTCCAAATGCAGGTTTGCTTTTAAAAAGCCTTGAAGAGGAGCCTCCCTTGTTGAGCTTTGAAGGCTGTATGGGAGACAACATCTGGAGCAAAAACTCAAGGACTGCACTAGTTGAAGGCTGTGCTGGTTGTTTACTGTAGCAGCAGGAAGGTTGGGGCACTGTGTTTCTGTGCAAAGTTAGCATCCCTTTCCCAAGTTCCTTGTTGCTACAAAATGTTTCTCACCCATATTATGGGTGCAGCCGTCCTACGGGAAAGGCTTGTATGCCTGCAAAGAGTGGAATAAATTGGTACACACCTTTGTTTCTTTAATCATTCTGAGGTTTGCCTATTGATTTGTTGCTTTTCACAAGGTTTACTTCACAGCGGGGAAAAGAACTATTTGTCTGGACTGCGCACGCCTATCATATCATTTCTGTATTTATTGTGAAGGTTTACAATCTGGCTTTCAATTGAATGATACTCATCAGAGCAGCTTGCAAGGGACAGTGGTGGTGGTGGTGGTAGGAAACTCCCTGCAGCTGTTCTTCTTTGGCCAACAAGTGGGGCCAAACTTGTTGGAGGGAGGGGTTTGGAAGAGAGATCCTTACTCTCTTGTAGCAGAGCTAACACAGTGTTGATTGCTCCAAGCACATTAAACTTGGTTAGATTTACATCTGCCATCATCCAACTTTAAACTAACGTTACCCATGAAAATACTTAGGCTAGAATAAATCACAGACACTTAGTTTTGCAAATAAGTGCAAATACGTTTCAGAAGTTACAGCAAACAAGTCTACTTCCGCTGGCAGTAAAAACAAAGAAGAAAAAGAATTTTGTTTCCTTACAAAAAGGATCATATAATATTTGGGTTAGCAAAGATGCAGGCTGTACAAATCTCTTTTTAGAGATTGAGTTCACTTGGCTTTTTGCTTGTAGCTAGGAGCCATGACGCAGCTCCAGCTTGTTCCAGCAGGTGGCAAAGAGAGAAAGAAGTTTGGGGGAGAAAAGGCTGCTGGGAACCTGCTCACACTCACTGGCAACTTCAGCTCAGGGCTCTGGTTAACCCTCTCATACCCACATGTGATTGTATAGTACATCACTGGTGTTCACCTCTCTGCAGCATCCTTCCTTGGATGCGGGGGGAGGGGGAAGCAGCCTCCCAGAGGTCTTGGCTGATGGGTGTTGACAGAGGGTGCCTCCTTGCAGCTCTGCAGCCACAGGGCAACTAGCACTTAGAGCCAAATGTTCTCTCTGGTAGGAAAAAGCAGGTCCTCAGCCCTACTCCTTCTCTGGCCGATGGAGGGGTCCAAGCTAGTCTTCGCCTTGCTGTGATGTTCTTCTTGAGAGTCAGGGGGTACAGCCCCTTCAGTGGCATAACCTCCCAGGTCACACAGGAGGGAGAGTCTTATCATGAATTGGTCAGAAAATCATGTTGGTAGGAAAAAAATGTTCATCACGGTACAGGATGTTGCTATCATGGGAAGGAGGAGGACTATAAAGATGAGCCCTGCTGGACCAGGGCAGCAGTCCTGCAAAGCCACAGAGAATAACATGAAGGCAACAGCCATCCACAGTTGTTTTTCCTTACATCTAGTGAAACACTCCCTCACAGCATTGGGAGGGTTCATCTCGCCATCACACCTGAATCGCCTTTGGCAAATTCTTCCTCCCTGACTTGGCTGAATCCATGTTTCATCACAAGGATAGGGAAACTGTGTCCCACCACCCCCAGTGTGGCTGGCTAAGTGCTCCCTCATCCTTGACGATTTGCCTGCTGGCCGGGGCTGGTGGAAGTCAGAGGCCAGTAACGTGTGGAGCAGGCTTCCCTCACCTGGTACTCTCCATGCATTTTGAACTACATTATTCCTGACTGCTGGACACACTCACTGGGGCTGATGGGAGTAGTTGGGAACATCTGGAGGGACACAGGATCCAAAACTCTGATGTAGGCAGCACCAACATAGATGGGTCAATTATCTGCCTTGACATAAGGCAGCTCCCTGCTGTTTTCTTTAAACTTTCAACATATGGAAGACCACAACCACTAGAACACAGTAAGTGCCCTGTAGTGTTTCTACTAGTCCAGTGTTTCTTAAACTTGGGTTCCCAACTGTTGGACTACAATTCCCATTATCTCCCTACCACTGGTCCTGCTAGCTAGGGATTATGGGAGTTGTAGTCCAAAAACAGCTGGGGACCAAAGTTTGAGAAACACTGGAACAGTCCATCATCCTTTTCTCAAAGTGGCCTACCAGATGCCTCTGGGAAGCCCGGAAGCAGGACCAAGAGCAGTAACACCCTCCCCACTTGTGATTCCCAGCAATTGGCATTCAGGGGCCTATGGCCTCCAAAAGAGGGTGTAGATCACAAGCGTTGTGGTTAGCAGCCATCTTAACAGGCCGTGAGTTCCATAAGTTAATTTATGCCATGCATGAAGTAGATGTTTTGGAGGCCCAGGGAACTGAACCCTAGTTTCACAAAGAGCAGGGCAGTAATATTTACGACTAGGCGTGCTAATCAGGCTGAATCTGGTTCCATGCTGCAGCCACGGGATTTTAAGAGCTTCCCAGTGTACCCAGTGGCAACCACCCCCACCCTCTGCTTCTCATGCTCTGTTCTACAGCATAGTTGTGACGCCCCCCTGCAGTGTGGAACTCAGTGAAGCCAAACCGGTTGTGCTATCCCAAAACTGCCACTGGTGTTCCCACAAGCCCAAATGCTCGCACATGGCAAATAAAATGACCTCATAGACAACACTCAAAAGCAGCTTTCCCATTCTGTTGCCCTCTAGGTGTTGCGGACTTCAACTCCCATCAGGCTCAACCAGCCAGCCAATGGCCAGGGATGATGAGAGTTGTAGTCCAATGACACCCAGTACGAACATAGTCAGAGACAGCTGGGAAAGTGTGAAGGCAGAACCGCAATGCTGGCTAAAGCAATCAATTCATCATTAATAAATACATCACTTTATTTTCTTATACAGAGAAATACTATTTTCTTCAAGGTGTCTTTTTTAAGCTTTTAAAAATACATTACCAAGTCAGGTCCCATCTCCCTTTGCCCCACCCCACCCCACTTGCTGCTCAAGCATACAACCAGGATGTCACAGTATTCATGGACATACACACCCCAACTGTCTCCCAGAGCCTCGGATGCAGCCAAGGTCCAAGAGCACTTGGTGCCAGCTTGAGGAGCACACCCAAAATCAGGAGTGGGAAACCTGATGTGCCCCAGATGTTGCTGGACTTTGCCTCCCAGCCATGGCAGCAAAGATGGCAAGTGATCTGGGGTGATGAAAACTAGATTCCAGCAACATCTGGGGGTCACAGGGTCACCATCCTTGCCCTAAGAGATATACTGCAAGTACCTATTTAATCCCACTAGATCTAATCGGAGGTGTGCCAAGGGTGCCTGTATGTGTGTGCACATACATGCGTGTGTGTGTGTGTGTGTGTGTATGTACACCCACCCAGAGAGAGAGAAGAGGAAGTCCAAGTTTGGGGACATGGTCCCCACAGAGCAGTCAAGAGTAAATAAATAATCTCATGTTCGCACCAGAACTGATTGATGCTTCCCAGCAGCCAGATTGCTGAAAAAGAGCTTTGTCCCAAGAAGCTTTCATTTAAAAAAAATCCCCTTAAGCAAAAGTCGGCCATTGATTCTATAAAAAGCATCGAGTTTTCTCCAAGTTATTCTTCTCCCTCTTTTCTATCAGAGAGAAAGTGCAGTTAATTATTAACATGTTGGCTTCACAGTTCTACGTGGATCAAACGCCCTTTATTTAAAATAAATTTAAAATAATAATCCAGCAACCTCAGGAGTGGAGTTCACAGCTCTTTTAAAAAAGAAAAACAGAGGCTGGGTCCCTAAATCCTATGTCAGCACTGGAGGACTTGGTGGCAGGAAGCCAAACAAGGACAGTTGTGTGGCCATCCCAAGGTGGCAAGAGGCCGCTCACTGGGGCCTAAAACGCAGGAAGAGCTTTTCCCTTCTCTGACTACTTATCTGTGCTGGGTTTAAGACAGGAGGGGAGACCAGTGGCTCCCTCGGGATGTTAGTGGACTACAACTCCCATCTTCCCTGAACATTGGTCATTGCTTGGGTTGGGCTGATGGGAGTTGTAGTCCACCAGTGGACCACATGCTCCCCATCCCAGGCTTCAGAGAAGGGTGGCAGACCATATAGTCAATGGTTGTCCAAGGCAGGTGATGACAAACCAACTCGCTCCAGTTTACTTCCTTTAGCCAGGAAGGTACATCTAGAAGCAGTAGCTGCATAATCAGTGCCAGAAGGGTTGCAGGGACAGTCACTGTGGAAAGGAGAAAGCTTTGCTCACCTTTAGCAGAGCCTCACATAACCCCTTTGCCCATCTAGTTGCCAACCTAACAGGACTGTATCCAGTGCAGCTGTTCTGCTTGTGCAACAAAACTTCTCCTTCCTCTCCTCCCCATTTGCAGCCCCCAGGGTTACTGGGACAAGTACATCTCTGCCTAGATTAGACCCAATGGTTGCAGGGATCTGATTTCTGTTAATAGCACCAGAACCCACCTGTGAATTGAGAGAATCCCAGATGAAGTTCGGAAGTGTCTGATGTGCCCCGGAAAAGGCATTCACGGAAGCAGTGGCCAAAGAGGAAGGGGAAACAGGTATCTCCCCTGCCCCTGACATTCACCTGAGATGGTCAACACTCCTCAGACGTTTATTTTCCTAATATTATCCTTTCCTCGCCCTCCCTCCTTCCCTCGCACGAGCAAAACTGCGACTTCAAAACGAACAAACCTTAGTAAAAGCTGCTTTCTCATCAGTAAAAATTCAGTCCCCAAAACCCCAAGTCAGGAATCACTGATTATTTCTTCTGTTCGTATGCAGATGGGTAGAGGAAGTGAGGATTAGGCAATCCAGATGAGCATAATGTATTAAAATCACCAGGAATTCAGGTTCAAGTCTGCTTGGGGTAGGGCTGGAAGACTTCCACCCTGCAGCGGCCATCTCAAATCACCGTTACAGAGCAGACTCAGGAAGGGGGTCTACCACAAGAGCTGTAAACAAGAGTCCTCTTGGTAAGTCCGTTCCAGGAAGTTGCGCTAATGTTTCAGCCACGGGTGGGCTTCAAGAGAAGCTTTGCTCCTGTCTCCGTAATCGTACAAGAGTTCTTCGCCGGCTTTAATGTCACGGGAGGCGACCAGAATGAGGTGGGGCGTGCCATCAATGTCATGAAGTTTTGTCTGACAGTTGCCGCATTTGCTGTGATTGATCAGCCTTCCAAGACGGTGGGTCTCTTTTGTGGCATCAACACTAGAGCAGAGAAGAGAAGGAACGCTAAATCAAGAAAGGCACAATTTCTCTAGCAAAGCCTTAGGTCCCCAGATGTTGTTGGACTGCAATTCCCATCATCCCTGAGCACTCGCCCTGCTAGCTAGGAATGAGGGGAGTTGTAGCCCAACAACCTCTGATGGTTCAAGGTTGGGAAAAGCTGCTCTAGGCCAGTGGTTCTCAAACTTGTTTCAGAATAAAAATTTGTTCATGCCACACTGTTTTTTTTTATTGATAAGAAATACACTGGAAAAGGAAAAGGAAAATTCCCAGCAGTGCTTGATTTATTACATAGAACACAACTACTTTATACTGTGATCTTGGGATATCCAGAAAGTATAGAACAATGCAGCTACATAAGAACATGAAACATTCCCAGAAATAATTATAAACAAGCCTCTTAAATATGTACCTTAAGTATGTACACAAACACAATGAGAGGTGTAAGTTTGCTTTTTCCAGGTAATCTCATCTATATTAGGTCGTAATTTGAGACAAACAGACTCTCGTTTCATCAACATAAAGAAGCCTCTCTCTTTTCTGATCTTCCATATTTGTCAGAGTTGAAAATCCCTGTTCACAACAATATGTCATGGAGAACTGTAGAGTAGCCAATGCTCTTGAAGAAAAGCGTGAGTACTGTTCCTGGTTGTGTATCCAAAAGAAATTATTACTATACTATACTATACTATACTATACTATACTATACTATACTATACTATACTATGGTGAAATGTTTAAATGTTTAAATTGTCCTTGAATCTTTCCACCACACTTGCCTCACCCTTTGAGAACCAGTGCTCTAGCACACTGGTGGGAAAGTCTGCAGCCTTCTGCATGACATTAGAACACAACACCCATCAGCCCTGGCCCTTTGGGGCTGAAGGGAATTGGAGTCCCACAACGTCGGGTGCACCACATGTCTCCCATCCTGGCTGTGTCATGGGAGTCATAGGCAGAAAAAGCTTCCAAACTACTCTAACATGGCCTGATTCTCAGTAAATATTTTGCCAGGATAAGAGGGAAATATGCCCCTTCCATTTTCCTTCAGGAACCCGCCCCCATATCTCCAAGCCAAGGAAAACCCCAAGTGCGAAGCTGTCTGAAGCAACATTACCTCACCCTCCAAATTAGGGGTAGGGACTCTGTGGCCTTCCCAATGTTGTTGGACTACAACTCTCATCATCCATGACCACTGACCTACTGGCTGGGGCTGATGGGAGTTGAAGTCCACAGGCTCCCCAGCCCTGATGTAAGATGCATCTTCGCAGAAGGAGTGGAGCTCACCAGTATGTTTTTCTCAAGTACTGGAAGTAGTACATATAGCAGCCAGTGGAAGGGTCTTGGGCATATACAGCTTCTCGTTTCTTGGCATCCGTGATCTCAATGAGGTCCCCGTGATATTCAACCACAAACTCCCCTCGTTTAAAATGCTTGGTTGCAATGACCCCTCGCCCTTTACCAGCAATGAAGTCAATCTGCAGAGAAGAAGAAGACATGTTAACCTACCCGCAGGCCAGGGACGACTGCAGCTGTAGCTATGGACTTGTGGGTCTCCACTGGGATCTCCCCCGTTCTATCTTTGAGGAGCCGATCCCTGTTAACATATTATGAACTGCTTCTGAGACCTCCCAAATTTCTAAAATAGATTACTGCCTAAGACATCAAACACCCCAAAGCTCTGTGGGGAACCGGCTGCCCTCCAGTTGTTGCTGGACTGCAACTCCCATCATTCCCAGCCACTGGCTGTGCTAGCTAAGCCTGATGGGAGCTGGAGTCCAGTGACATCTGAAGGGCACCAAGTTGATTACCTTGGGGTCAGATTTCCCTTTCTTTTGGAGAAGCGGTCCAGGGACTCTGGCCCTAACAGCACCATATATTTAAAGCACTATGATGCTGTTTTACATAGTCATGGCTTACCCAAAGACTCCTGGGAGCTGTAGTTTGTTAAGGGTGCTGAGCATTATTAGGAGACACAGACACACACACACACACACACACACACACACACCGTTTGCCCTCACAGAGCTAAAATTCTCATAGTGGTTTAACAGCCAGTATTTCTTCCTAGGGAATTCTGGGAACTGCAACTCTGTGAGGGGAACGAGGGTCTCCTAATGATTCTCAGGACCAGGGCTGGCCCACCCATGAGGCAAGGTGGGGCGACTGTCTTGGGCAGCAGGAGCCACAAGGGCAGCAGTTCCGGCCTCCAAGGAACCCATTGCCTGCTGCTGCTGCCACAGTGGCAGCAATGGCTGCGGTGCCCTCCTTGGAGGCTGGAACTTCCACCTCCTTGGCGGGACCCCCCCCCCCATGGCAAAGAGGCAAATAGAGGGTGCTGCCAGTCTCCTCCCACCTTCCTTCCCAATGTAGATCTTCATCCCCCTTCGTTCCAGATGTAGATCTTCTTCACCCCCTCTTCCCTGGCAGGGTGTGTTGCCATTTTGTGGTTTGCCTCAGGTGCCAAAAAGTCTTGGCCCAGCCTTGTTCAACCACCATTCCCTGGATTCTCTGAGGGAAATTTAAGGGGTGGAACACTGCTTTAAATATGCACTGCTGGTGGGGCCTCTGAATCAGAAGCAGAACTGCACACGGGGAAGGCCCCCCCAAAAGCCAAGGACTTCGCCCTGCTGTCCTCAGAAGATTTCACCACAGAGCCCTCGGCGCAACCAGAGCTTCCCCTGCCCTGTTAGAGTAAAAGGCTGCTGGAGCAGGCTGGGGCCCTTTAACAGAAAGCAGAGTTTGTGGCTGGGACAGAACTGCTGCCTCTGTGTGGGACTCAGTCCAAGGCTGACCGTTGCTGCAGCCACACCCGATTTCCGCTCTCTTGTTGCAGTCGGCCAGAACCCAGCACAGAGCAGCTGCTACCTCACTGGAGGTCAGAGGAGGACAGAATTATGATTATTTGAATTTATTAAATTTGTTAGTTGCTTTATTTTGGTCAAGGCAACAACAAAAAAACCCTTTAAAAATATTTACATTACAATATTACAATAATCTGTTGTAATACTACAAACAACTAAAAATAAATACCTCCCACTTGGGGGGGGGTTACCTTAAAAATATCCTACCCAGTACCCCTGCTGTATACTAATAGCTAACTCACTCTCCACAGGAGAATCCCAGCGTTGCCAAAATGGCACCTGGTGGACTGGGAGGAGCTCCTGGGATTGCAACTGGGCTGCTTGGCACTGATGGGAGTTGTGACCCAAACGGGTTGGGGAAGGCTGCCCCAAGGCAGGAATGGGGAACCTGTAGCTTTTTAGTAGCTGCTGGGCTACAGCCTCATCACTCCTGCTCACTGGTCTTGCTAGCTGGGGCTGATGGGAACCATAGTTCACCTGGAGGTTCACTGGCAGCCCAGGCCTGCCCTTGGAGGACAACCACTGCCAGCCGCAGTGCCATGATGCTGTTGCCGTTACCTGCATGCCATCTTCTTTGCCGCTCTCTATTAAGTCATCTATCCGTTTTTTCTCCTCTATCTGAAAAGAGATCAAGAAACATAGCAATGCTACTTGGAAACACTACATTTATAAGAATGAGCCTAGGGCTGTGATCCCATGCACACTTTCTAGGGAGGAAGCACTGCTGGGCTCCATGGGGCCTACTGCTGGGTAGACATGCAAAGTGTGCACAGGATCACTGCCTAAGTGCTACTATTTAGAAAGTTCCTGAAGGCTTGCTCCCAAGCAAACATGATGAGGGATACAGCACTTAAGCAAAAGAGTTGGGCTGCAATCCTAACACACAACCACACACTTATTGGGAAGTCAAACTGATCACAGCGAGACTTGTTTCCCTGTAAATGCACATAGGATTGCTACTGCACAATGATAAAATCTCCCATTTCATATAAGCATTCCACAGCCCTTATTTTGTGTAAGTTCAGGAATATAAATACGATACACACACTGAAGCAAAAGTCTTGGCTTTGTTATATGCATGAAGTGGCAAAAGGATTCTCAAAGCCTCATAGAATGTCTGTGGTGGAGAACCTATGATGTCCCAAGGTTGATGGACAACAACTTCCTCCAGCTTGGGCCACTGGCCATGCTGCCTGGGGCTGAGGGCTGTTGAAGTCCAACAACCTCTGGAGGGCCACAGGGTCCCTAGTCCCTACAGCCAAAATGTCACATAGAAACAACAGCATTGGGGGCAGCAAATAGTTCATAGACCTCCTCTTGATGCCACCCTTCCAGAAAGGCCACAGAAACCTTTAAAAATAACCCCCAAACCCCAATACCTCAAAACCCTCATGCAACAGAGGTGCAATGTAATGTAACGCAATTGCTTCGGTTACATGTGCAGTAGAGGAGTGGGGAACCTTAAGCCAGATCCTGATTCTCCCCCAACAGGCCAAACTGAGACTTCAAAGTGCTGACATTTCAAAGCACAGCACTGTTATTTAAATCCCCAGCACACATGGGAAAACTGAGTGGGATTAAACCCTCAGGTTGTCAGGGGATGAGAGGAAAGTTTGACCCTGCAGGGGTCTTCTCTGCCACTTCCTGCCTGACAGAGCTGGCAAAGCAAACCCCATCAGGATTGGTGAGCGAAGGATTTAATCCTGCTGACTGCCAGGGCCATACAATTTTCTACTATTGCCTTTAAGAGAACGCTGATGATCTAACTCAGCACCTCCCATGCATCTGTATGTACGTATACCTTAAGTTTCTCTCTGTATGTTGCTTTACTAGGCTTTGCTTGGCCCTCAAAAGTGACTAAATAAGCAAGTGGAATTAAAAGAAAACAAAACCAGAAACAAGGAACTGGGCTGTCAGATGGGGCAGTCATTCCCATGGTACCCTTTGTAAGAGTTTTCACAGTTCCTTGGTGGAGTATCTGTCCCCAAGGGGTGTTTGGGGTTTGGCAAAGTTGTTTTAAGAGGCACTACAAGAGAAGACAGTACCTGTAATTCTTTTTTGCTCTTCCGGGAGCTTCTTCTAACAGGGTAATAATCTGTGACCTTTCGGTTCTGCTGCGTTTTCCCTTGGGCTCTGAGAGAGATGGAGAAAGCCACATGAACGCCCAGGGGCTCCCCCACTCTCCCCTTAAATCAGCCTCGTCTCTCCCAGGGTGAGGCATCTCTGTGCTGAGTACGCCTATGAGGTTGCCACATCCCCATTCTGCTTGGGAAAGAGCTCAGTGTCCCCTCAAAGCTCTGCATCCTTTTGGCTTGGAGATGGGGGAGGGGGGCTGTGGCTTTTCAGAGGTTGCTGGACTCCCAACACCTCTGACCTTTGGCCATGCCAGCTGCAGCTGATGCAAGTTGGGAGTCCAACAACATCCAGCAACCACAGATCCTCAAGCCCTACATTATACCGTAACAACACCCAAAATCACCTTGCAATTGAAATCACCGCTTATACAGTCAGTTTATGTGATCAATTTTTAACTGTCCTACCTCTTTCCTGTGATTTAGCTGTGATTCCTAGGTTGCAGGAGGTTGGACTAGATGACCCTTGAGGTCCCTTCCAACTCTACAACTCTATGATTCCCCTCTTCCTCTTGTGTGTCCTTTTTATCCTCTTCACGTTATGATAATTGGTTATTCCCACTAGGTGTCATTATTGCTATGCCTGGGAGTACAGGCAACCCTCGTTTTGCACAGGGATTACATTCTGGGTCATCATGTGCGTCGGCAGAGCATGCATAAACCCACCCCACCCCCTTTTTCTGCCACTTCGAGGTTTGTGGTGATGCTCGTGAGCACAGTTGCGTGCTCTCAGAATGCATCCAAAACAGGAGTTGCATGTACAGTATTTTTTTACTGTTTACAGACTGCACTCTAATGGCACCTACTGACAATAAGCAGGCATTAAAAGGTAAAGGGACCCAGACTGTTAGGTCCAGTTGTGACCCACTCTGGGGTTGCGGCGCTCATCTCGCTTTACTGGCCGAGGGAGCCGGCGTCCAGCTTCCGGGTCATGTGGCCAGCATGACTAAGCCATTTCTGGCGAACCAGAGCAGCACACGGAAACGCCGTTTACCTTCCTGCCGGAGTGGTACCTATTTATCTACTTGCACTTTGATGTGTTTTTGAACTGCTAGATGGGCAGGAGCAGGGACCGAGCAACGGGAGCTTACCCCGTCGTGGGGACTGTGGTTTAGACCACAGCGCCACCCGCGTCCCTAAGCAGGCATTAGCCCCATTTAAAAAGTGACAGCTTTATTAAGCCAAGAAAAGCCATTCCATCAGGCTACAAGAAAGGAAGAAAAACGGGACTGCAGGGTCTTGCCATCAGCCCTGCTGAGAGACCAGCAACATGTGGTCCTCCTCTCTTCAAATTATTTTCCATTCCAGCTGGATATTACAAGAACTCCCAAACTAAGGAGCAGTGCTCGCTTTCCCCCACTCCTCCCTCAACCTCTGCTCTTCCTTTTGCGTCATGACTTTCAGACTGTAAGCCTGAAAGCTGCCTTATCAGTTGCATTCCACAGCCACCCTTGGAGCCACACTTACTTTCTCTTGGAGCCAGGTTTGGTCTTGCTACCTTTCTTCTGGGCTTCCTTTCTGTTTGCTGCATCAGCGGGCTCTGGAGGCAGGGCTTTTGGAGGCTGTGGGGCTTCAGGTTTGGGACTAGAGAAGGAGGCTGGAGATTCACACTCTTTGCTGTTCTGGTCCTCAGATTTCATAGTGTTGTCGGCTGCATTGCCAATATTTAGCCTGTCTGCAAATGATGGCCGGGGGGGGGGATGCAAATCAACATGAAAGGAGATGAGGCTCACATCTGCTTTGCTCCATGTCAAAACAGTGCTCCAGCTTAAACATTATTCTAACCCGCAGGAGGCGAAAAAGGCTGTGGAGATAAGACAGATGCGTTTGACGGCTAAACCCGTCCAACAACTGAATGGACACGGGAGTGCTGAAGTCAGTGAGCTCTGCTTCCCACCCAAACCTTGGTTCCTCTACCGCACGTCTCAGAAATCTTCTCTCTCTTTTTGCCTCAAGGGCTACATTACCATCTGGGCAACATTCCTCAGGCCACATGCCAGGAATAGAGGAGACCAGAGGCAAAGGTGTGCAGAGCAACAAACCTGAATGTTACCTCTGGGCTGTATCCAGTGCTAGTGGACAGATGGGATTTAACATTGCGCAAGTGAGAAATCCAGCACAACCATTTTGTGCAAGCAGAAGCCCATTGTGCAAGAGATTGCGCAGTCTGTTATGTCACAGATATTGCCAGCATCCTACTTAGGCATTCTCTAGCGCAACAGCGTTCCACTGGGGAGACACTTTTCACCAGTGCAACAAGTCAGTCTGTAAGTGACCTCAACTCAGCACCACAGTGGACACAACATGGGACATATTAAGACCTTTAGAGGCCCTAACGACTGAAATGATTATTGCACCCTCCCTGGTATGTAATTCAAAATAAAAACAACAAAGAAACCAAATTGCACAATATTCATCGGGGGACGGGGGATGAGACCAAATCAGGAACATATAACTCAGAATACTATATCAGTAATAAAACATATATTTATTACAACACAGGATCTGATTCCTTTGCATTAGTTAAATTAACGTTTGTAGGATGACCCCTGGTTTAGGTGGGAATAAGTAATAAAAAGAGAAGAGAAAAGAGGGGGGCGCGTGGGGAGAGTATGAGACTATATTTTCCCGTGATGCTTCTTCAAATGCCACATTATTTTAATAAAACATCTCATGCCCCAAACATGTACTTAGCCTACCTAATGGGTAATCCAGCACTGGATACCACCCCATGTCTCTACCTCCACCTTAGGAATGCCCTGGATACTAGGATATGCAAATCCTCCCTGTAAACACCAAACATGTTGGCTTGGGGTTGGGGAGGTACTGGTCCCCTTCCCCCTCATTTTTTTTTCCAACTAAGCAATGTGGCCCTTGCAATGAAAAGGCTTAGCCTCTCTTGGTCTAGACTCTAGAGAGCTTGAGAGTCAGTGTGATGTTGAAAAGTTGAATGTGGATGGGCTGGGGGGGATGAGCTGTGTTCACATCTCTGCTCTCCAGATGGATCTGGGCTCATCCTTGTGTCTCAGCCTAACCTACCTCACACGGCTGTTGTGAGGATACAACATGGGGTGGGGAAGGGGAAAGATGCAGCGCCCACAGAGATGATGCAACATTACTGTAAGAAACCTCTTATGGTGCTTGTGAAAAAGCGTTTTCACTCTGAGTGAAATCTAGGCAACAAATTTAAAAAGAAACATACATGTGCGTGCAAACACACACACACACACCTTGATCGAAATGGGTTTGGCCCCATTGCCAACCAAGTCGCTAATAACAAAAGCTCATGCTTACCGTCTCCTTTTCTGTAGCTTTCATTCCCCATTTTGCTCTGGCATTTTGCCTCATGATGTGTGGCAGAGTTTTCCTCTTGAAGTGGAGGTCGTACAGAAGGAGGTTTGTTTGGACTCATGTAGGTATAGATTTTGGACTGGCAAGTAAATATGTTCTCCTAAAATGAAACAGTCAAAATATTCTAGTATGCAGGCACATGGGTTCTCTTGGCCTATTTTTGTGCTTCTTAAAAATGCAACTCTAGAATTGTGGTGGATAACGCCAGCTTTCTTTTGGGGGTGGGTGGGCGGGCAGAGTGGGGAACTCACCAAGTTTCTAGCCCCTGAAGCTGAGGTTTACAACAGTGTGTACAATTCCCAACAAAATATCAGGACGCAACACGTGAAGAGAGAAACATGACTAGGATTCTTAGTGGCAGTGCACATGCATACAATCATAGCACACTGACATGGCAGTAACTGCTACTGGACTCAATGTGAATTTCTTCCACGTCATGAATAGGACTGAGCACATAAGAAAAGCCCTGCTGGGTCAAACCAAAGATCGAATCCTGTCCAGCATCCTGCCACTCCCAGTGGCTAACCAGGAAGCCTACAACTGAGGCAGGAAGGCAACAAGCCTCTCTGTCACATTCAGGGCTATATAGCTCCTGACCTGCCCTGGTACCTTTTGGTGAAGGGCAGGTGATAATCTAGTAACACTAACAATCTGCAAACTGGGGAAAATATCAGGGCTCTACCCAGACACAACTAAGTGTACACCATATCCTATTCTACTAGGGAGAATAGAAGGGGGAGCCTCTGTGGACACCACAGCGGTAACTCCTGCCTTAGGGAGTAATGCCCACTAAAACAGTGGGGATTTGTTTCCAAGTAAATATTACACTTTCAAAATGGTACAAGGGACCAACAGTTCTATCCCTGGAGAAAAGGTCTAATTTTGTACAGCATTTAGCTTTTGAAGCACTTTAGAAATAACAATAACAGTAGTGATAATGAAAGTAGCAGCAAGCAGAGGGGGGTGAGGAGAAAGGAAGAAAAATGACTCATGTTAAGACCTAGTGCTGTATTTCTGAGCTTGGAGCAAGGAGCTCAAATTCTTGCTCAGCAATGCTGGCCTCGGTTACCCAATTCCTTTCTGGCCTCATCTATAAAATGGGGATTGATGCAGCCTGCTTGATCAGAGTTGCCCTGGGTGGACAGCATACACAATCTGGAGTATAAAATACTCTTCGTGGGGGGGGGGGAGCCCATAAAAGGCTACCATCCAGATCTGTGCCCCAACTAATTTTTAAAGTTCCTGAGAACCCTACTTTAAAAGGCTCTTTTCCAAAACAGGATCTTGAGTTGCCATTTCCAACCTTCCGACTTGGCGGGGAGGATCCCAGACGGCGCCCCGCCGCCAGCAGCAGCAGGAGGAGTCCCTCGGCCCCCGACTGCCGCACAGCAAAGGCCCTCGCGGGGGCGGGTGACCCGGGGGGGGGGAGCCCCCGGCGCGGCGTCCCCGGCTGCGCTTCCGAGCCCACGAGCCGGGCGCGCCGGGCGGCGCCAGAGGCCTTTTCCGCCCGCTTCGGTGGCGCCGCGCTGCGCCCAGGGCGCGCTGGAGAGGCCGAGCAGCCTCGCCGTCTCCTGTCGGCAACTGCGGGGCAGGAGAGAGCGAGCGAGCGTGCGTGTCCCTGCGGGGAAAGGGCAGGGGGAAGATCCGAGGCTGGGGGAGAGGAAGGGAAGCAGCGATCCCCCCGGCTTACCCCGTTCATCCTGGGCCGGCTGGCGCCCCGCTTCTCGGCGCTCTCGGCGACCACCTCCGCGCCGCCGTCGGCTCTGCCCTCTCGGGGTCGGGACATCTTCCTCCTCCTCCTCCTCCGGCCTGCGGGTGGAGCGGGGTCGGGTGGCGGGAAGAGGCCGGGCACAGGCGGCGGTCAGAGCGCGGCGCCGGCTCATGCCCGGAGCCCCCGGCGCGCAAGAGGAGCCGCCGCCGCCGCCGCCGCTGCCCCGCTTCCCACCACCGCCATGTTTAAAGGGCTGGCCAGGCTCCTTCCCGGCCACCAGGTGGAGCCGCTGCAGGCAGCTCAGCAGCCAGGGGTCATCTCCGACCCCACGGATTAGCCACCCCCGCCCCCGATTCCGTCTGCCGGCAGCAAGCAGCCTTCAAGCTCCGGCACAGACCAAATCGCCATTCATCCCAAGTCCCGCAAAAGCCTTTCTCCCTTTGATTTTCCGCCCCTCCCGCACATGCCCCCCCAAACAGCGGCCCTGATATGCACTGAGCATAAACTACCCCACTTCCAGACCCCCAGATATAGTTTCCAGCCTCTTCAAACACACATAACGCTGGATGACTTTCCCAAGTTACCATTCCTTCCTGATATTTATGACAGCGCCTGATCCATAGCATGGCTTTCCCCCGGCGCCCCCAAAACAGTCCACCTCCTGCTACCACTCAGCTTCCCCCTTCACCCCTAGAGCTCACACCTTTGTATTAGGACTTCAGATTCTTTAATAATGGTGCTGCAGGAGGACATTGAAGAGGCACTGACACCAACAAACGCGACTTGTTGAATTTCTGTATGCCACACAAGAACCTGCAATTGTATGCACCCCCACGATAGTTTTTTAAAAAGCTGCTTTTTTCTTATTCCACAGGGAGCCCCAGACCCCTTACAAAGTAGAAACCCTCCTCCCCAGAGAGTTCTGCTGTCATTTGCACTTTATCTGCCAAATAACTCTTTGCCCTGCCTCTGTACCTAAACATGCTCCACAGCCTATAGACTAAAATATTGTGGCAGGGAAACAGAATAATTGCAAAACAACCAAGTCATAAATACAGGCAGCCTCAGACATTTGACATTTATCTGTGCATATTCACTGTGTTCAGTTTTGCACTACAATTCAGATTATTGATGACTGTTGGCCATACAGACTGTGGCTGATGGGAGTTCTAGTCCAAAAGGCCTGGAGGGTGCCATGTTGAAGGATCCTTGGTGTGTAGGATCACAAGTTTATTTGTGCCTAGCTGTCAACGTTCCCCCCTTTTTAAGCAAAATTCCCTTATTCCGAATAGGATTCCTCGCAATAAAATGGAAAAGTTGACAGCTACGTATTTGTGTGATGGCTTAGTCATGGAATAGCTCCAGTCATAGAATAGCTCCTTATACCTCTTTAAGCAGAAGCAAATTGCTTCCTTGGAAGTGGTTGGGCTACAAAATCTGGGACCTCAGACACTCGCCCATGGCTGCAACCTTACACATATAACTGCCTCAACTCCATATTCCTTCAGATTTCCCATCACACAGTATCACGGTTTACATCCTCCTAACATTTCTGCAAGGTACCTCAGTTCCATAGTTTAACTATGCACTGTGTAAATAAGTACTGTACTTTCCTGTGTCGCTCCATCTCCTTGATCATTTTGGGTGCCCTTTTCTGAACGTTTTCCAATTCTTCAGCATCCTTTTTGAGGTGATCTCATAATTATGCATTCCTTACAGTGCCCCCCATCACCTGAACTCCTAACCTTAAACAATTTCTAGAGGGAGATGCTAATGTTCTTATTTGTGGCTACACATCTGGAAGTAGCCAAATCTTGGGGGTCTGCAGCAGGTTTGTCTGTTGATTCTTGGTACATACATGTTTGGTCAGTTGCTCAGGTTGGGAAATTGACATGCCAGATCAAAGCAGCCAGTGGCAAAATGGATCTTTTATCCTCCTACACTGCTTGGCATCCATTCATCTCTTAAAGATGATGTGATTATCAAATCAGACAACCACATCAAACTCATGGAAACCTTTGGGGAATTTACTGGACTAATGACCTTAATTCACAGTGTAGGCATTCTCTTTGTATTGGCGTTAACCTTAAGCTGCCTGTTACACTTTCTTCCATGAGAATTAAGCAACTAGCTGCTGTTGCTGTTTTTTTATTTGTCTTTCAAATGTTTGTTGTACAGTATGTGAAAATGCAAATTTAAAAAATACCAAAACAACAACAACAGTTTTCAGAAGGGTGAATTAACGAAACACTATATTTTATTCTACGTACAAATCTTAATTTCGGCAGCTTCCACAATTTATCGATTCAGATCCTTTTCCTTTATTTATTTATATTGGAAGTGCTTCCAATATTAATTAAACAGCAGACTTCTTTTTGATTTTTTTAAATTAAAATTATGAAAGCCGTGGATGGGAGGGTTCCCCTTTAGAAGAGGCATTATCTCATATTCAGAAAGGAATGCCTCTCCTTAGATAGGGCCCTTCAGAACTGTCAGGTAGCTATTTACACAAACTTACAGCACAAATCCTAACCATGTTCCAAGTAAGTCCTACTGAATTCACTGGGGCATACTCCCAGCTAAATGACACTGAGAGTGCAGATTTAATCAATTTTAAAAGCCATGCTGCTAGACAACTAATCCTAGATGCAGGTAACAACCACATCCCAACACCACCCCCTTGACCACTGGTCCTGCTAGCTATGGATTATGCAGGGACAATGTACATAGCCTCAACAACAGCTGGGGAACCAAGTTTGAGAAACACTGGTATAATTCAACTCCCTTCAGCAACTATCCATTACAGTTACACACTGTAAAAGCTCAGAAGATATCAGAAGAACTGGTAGAATCAGGGCCGGGGGGAAGCCCCACGCCTTTTGCTGTTAGATCCCTACAGAAGTGCAATAATCGTCTAAAACTGGGGACCACCCTCCATGGTTCCCGCTTGTAAGGTGCCCCTGCTCCCCACCCCCAGGACAATTTGAATTTTTCCACCCACGCACCAAAAATCCCATCTCCCATCCTGCAGCTTAGCTTCCGTTCACTTTTAAAAATTCACTCCTCAAAAGGCAGACCCCTCCCCACTTCCCATCTTCGCCTGCTCTCCAAAGCACACTTTGCCCCCCACTCCCCACCATCTCTCTCCATTTGGGACCCCCTCCTCCCATATCAAATTCTTCCCGAAACCCCATCCCATAATAGTCCTCAAACCAATGGGGAGGAATACCTTTGCTCATGGTCGCCAGTAGCAAAGCTCACAGCCAGCAGCAAACGGGGCAGACGAGAACCAGCCGAGGGGGGCTCCTTTCCCCCCGTTTTGGACAACCCGCAGCAAAGATGCGGGAGGCTTTCCCCAACCTCTCAACCGCTTTCAAAAAAATGGATACAGTGGAGTTTCTCCTTGTTCGATTGGTCCGGCTGCCCGCCGCTCACGTTTCCCCGGCCTCTGGTTGGCTACGGCTCCCTTTCTGCACTCGAACCTCAGTACAGCTTCCCGAGGAGGAGTGTTTAAAATTGGCGTTCGGCTGCCGCTGATTGGCGAGCGAGGGGGAGAGCAGGCGCATGATAGGAGGAGAAGGGTGATAGTTGTCCCTCCTCTCGGCGGGACTAACTCCACGTGTGTGTAACAGTTTCGAGTTATTATGTGTAGCAGGCGGAAGGACCCAGCTGTTGTTGGACTACAGCTCCCATTATCTCCCGACCACTCGTCCTGTTAGCTAGGGTTGATGGGACTTGTAGTCCAAAAACAGCTGGGGACCCAAGTTTGAGAAACGCCGGCATAAGGAAACACGTATCTGATAGAAAGTGCCACAGAGTTCAAGCTGAGGCTTTTCTCCAATAAGGGGATTTAGGGTTGCACCCTAAGACTGTAAATCAGGTGTGGAATCTGTTTGCTTGCTTGCTTGCTCGTTTCATTAAGGTAAAGGTAAAGGGACCCCTGACCATTAGGTCCAGTTGTGGCCGACTCTGGGGTTGCGGCGCTCATCTTGTTTTATTGGCTGAGGGAGCTGGCAAACAGCTTCCGAGTCATGTGGCCAGCATGACTAAGCCGCTTCTGGCGAACCAGAGCAGCGCACGGAAATGCCATTTACCTTCCCGCTGGAGCGGTACCTATTTATCTACTTGCATTTTGACGTACTTTCGAACTGCTAGGTTGGCAGGAGCAGGGACCGAGCAACGGGAGCTCACCCCGTTGTGGGGATTCGAACTGCCGACCTTCTGATCAGCAAGTCCTAGGCTCTGTGGTTTAACCCACAGCACCACCCGTGTCCCTTGCTCGTTTATTGTTTGATTGTAAAAAACCCACCACTCAAATCGGTTTACAAAAAGATTAAATAATAACACTGAGGAAAAATTACAAACCTATTTTAAAATATGCAAAGGTTAAAATACTGAAACATCTTAAAATTACCCTACCCTTCCCTCATTTTCCCTCCCACAATCTATATTTTCTCATACTGTATCAGGGATACTCCATAAAGGAGAGGGTAAGAGAAAGTCTGGATTGAGGGAGAGGAAAGCAGTGATAAGCAGTGAACGAGGGAGAGGAAAGTGTGGGAAAGCAGTGATATAGGACTTGACAACAAAGGTCCGTATAGTTAAAGCCATGGTTTTCCCAGTAGTGATGTATGGAAGTGAGAGCTGGACCATAAAGAAGGCTGATCACCGAAGAATTGATGCTTTTGAATTATGGTGCTGGAGGAAACTCTTGAGAGTCCCATGGACTGCAAGAAGATCAAACGCATCCATTCTTAAGGAAATCAGCCCTGAGTGGTCACTGGAAGGACAGATCCTGAAGCTGAGGCTCCAATACTTTGGCCACCTCATGAGAAGAGAAGACTCCCTGGAAAAGACCCTGATGTTGGGAAAGACTGAGGGCACAAGGAGAAGGGGACGACAGAGGACAAGATGGTTGGACAGTGTTCTCGAAGCCACAAACATGAGTCTGACCAAACTGCGGGAGGCAGTGGAAGATAGGAGTGCCTGGCGTGCTCTGGTCCATGGGGTCACGAAGAGTCGGACACGACTAAACAACAACAACAACAACAGGACTTGTCTATGGGACAACATCTTATAGACAGGAAAGAATCAATGGAGGTACAGGGAGCTTTCTACCCACATTAATCAGCAGTATGGGTGAGCCCTAAGTGAACGTCTCTTTCGCCTGACTCCTGTTGGTGAATCTTGGAGCTCGAGTAAAACACACTGCAGACCTTGCTGCCTTCTCCCAATATGCAGTGCATAACTACCGAACCACCAATGAGTTTTACTTCTGAGGAGACATGCAACTATGGCGCTGCTGAAGTTGTGAGTATTCTTCACAAGTGAAATTATTCTTTAATAGCTATTATTTATTATTTAATAGTTGCTTTTTATATAAAAAGTCTCAGAGTGTCTCAACATAAAATACAAGTTAGAATCATAGAATTGTAGAGTTGGAATGTACCATGAAGGCCAATTCATTAAAACAATTCATCTAATATTTAAATAAACACAAAACACCTCAAATGTGCATCCTGTAACATAATGGTGTAAACTGGAGTGGAGGTTAGGCTGTATGATGCCTGCATCCCTTCTAATTCTTGAATCCAGCAAGGGTTAAAATCCTTTGGAAGATTCCATTGTTGAATTAGCCAGGGAAAGGTCATAGTTATCATCTAAGTATGGAAGTGGCTTTCTGTCAAAAGGACAAATGGGTGGGGGTGCTCCCTCACCTGGCTCCTGTAAGAAAGACAAAACCAGAGTCCTGTGAGAGAGAGAGCTGGGCTAGAAGCAGGCAGAAGTTGAGTGTGAGAGCCAGGGCTTTTTTTTGCAGCTGGAACTCGCATGAACTCAGTTCCAGCACCTCTCAGGTGGGGACCATTGCCATTCTAAGAGACTGAGGGAGGTCTTAATGGTGAGTTCCAGCACCAAATTTTCAAGAAAAATAGTGGTGAGAGCCATGTTTGAGTTCTACTTGAATCCAAGGCTGAGAGAAGCAATACATTTTTATATATATTGCTTCTCCCAACATATGTATATGCATAGCTGTCAACATTCCCTTTTTTTGCGGGAAATTCCCTTATTCCAGCACCATTTCCCACTGCTTCCTGCTGCTATCCCGGATTGTTAGATATCCCATAGACTGTCCCCGGGACAGGTGAGGCTGCTGATCCCTTATTTTCAAATCTGAAAGTTGACAGCTATATATATGTGTGTGTATGTAAGTATATGTATGTATGTTGTTGTTGCTATCCGTCTGTCTCAGGAGAATCATAAAGACAGAGTCTCCCCTGTGTTGTAAACAAAAATTGCCCTTTTCCCTTATGGGGTATCCAAGAGCCCATATAGAGTCCTTACATAGGTTCCCTATTGGTAAGAGAGAATAACAGAGGCCAATCAGAGAATATTGAGAAGCAAAGTAGCTATTAAGCTTGATCTTTATTGATCTATTGCAACAGGGTGCTCCCCTCACCCACAGGAGAGAGGAGGGACCCAGAAAAATGGTATGCAAGGCCTTATAAAGACTTTTGAAATTCCCATCCTGTAGATCAGGACCACCCCCAGAAACATCATACAGTGGTGCCTCGCAAGACGAAATTAATCCGTTCCGCGAGTCTCTTCGTCTTGCGGTTTTTTCGTCTTGCGAAGCACGGCTATTAGCGGCTTAGCGGCTTTAAGAAAAAGGAAACAAACTCGCAAGAACTCGCAAGACGAAACGTCTTGCGAAGCAAGCCCATAGGGAAATTCGTCTTGCGGAAAGACTCAAAAAACGGAAAACTCTTTCGTCTTGCGCGTTTTTCGTCTTGCGAGGTACCACTGTACATACATCACAGAAGGGGTGTAACCTAAGACCATCCCTCAGATACATCACACCTACATCACAGAAAAGGCGGTCTAAAACAGAATTTTGAATATTGGTTTTCTCCTGTTATCTCCTATCTGGCAGGTTACTTAATTGGATTGCCTGGGGAGCCTGGCCGTTCTTTTGTAGTGATAAATACTTAGTTCCTGGGCCAGGTCACAGACTCACACCCTATTCAAACACAGACATACCCTTAAGACAGGATTTGTGAAGGAAAAGTCAATGGGGACGCTTTTCCAGTTTGACCTTCCTGTGCTGATCTATGTATGTGCTTGGTTGGTACACTTATGAACATTATCATATATCTAAGACAATAAAATTCCTATCACACTGTGAGTGAATAAAAAGATGCCTAAAATATTGAAGAATGCTCTACACCACAGAAAATGAAAACACTGAGAACTGGCAACAGGAAGATTTATTTCAGAAATGGAAAACGACTTCCAGATCCAGTCTTAACCTTTTTTCCATAGCAGTCAGTGCATTTAAAACACATGGCTTTCCCCCAAGGATCCTGGGAACTGTAGTTTGTTAAGGGTGGTGGAAATTGAAACTCTGAGGAAACTACACCTCCCAGGATTCTTTGGAAGAAGCCATTGTGCTACGGATATGACCAGAGTCCCATTTGATGGGCATCTGCTGTTTCTGCCCCTTGTGTGATGATGAGACTCCAACAGAATCAGACAAGATTCTAAATAAAAACACCAGGAAATTTTTTACACAGCTTTCCCCATGAGACCTTTATTGGGGAGTTTTGCGCAGTGCAACACCTGCGTTCATAGTATAAGTCACAGTATATGTGGTAACAATAAGATTCTCTGTAAATACGGTAGGTGCCAGACAAAAACATTCCTCTACACCAACGGCCTTTGACCCATCTACGTACAGCCTTTTAAATGGTTTTGTGCGTGGGTGGAGTCACAGTTTTTTGTTATGTATTTTTGTATTTCTATACTAAATACAGTAGTGGTAATAAGAAATAGCGTGTGCATTTTCTCTGAAATGGAATTCGACTTTGAGAGGCGGAGAGGCAGAGCAACTGGGCTTCAGTTTTTACGCCGCGCTGGCTCCAGAAGACGAGGACGTGCAGCTACAGTTAGGGAATGGGGCCAAACGCGACACGCGTTGCTGCGGATACTTCCCATGGGAAAGAGAGACCCGCGTGCGCGCCTGCGCGGTGCCTTATCTGCGCCCCCGGACCTTCTCCTCATGGCTCTCTCGGGAGGCACGACTCTCTCCCGTCAGACCACACGAGTAACAAACTCTCGCGATGCGGCCGGACGTGTGACCTCTTAGTCTTGCGTGAGCACGCACGGCGCCGCCATCTTGGGAAGCAGCATCACGTGACTCCCAACGGTCGTCTCCTCGACCTCCTCCTTTTTGCCCCTCCCAACGGGGAAAAAAATCGGGCCTAGGCCGGCCCTCGAGCCTGAGGCGGCATCTTGCGGGTTACTCCAGCGAACTACGAGCCGGCGTCGGGATTCACGGAGGGGGTTCGCATTTGAGAAACCTCCCCCCGCCGCGCCTCCCCCTCCCCTTCGCATTCCTCCGAAGTGAGGGAAGAGCGTGAGGAAACGGCGGGCCACGTGACCGAGGGACGCGGCGAAGGATCGTCCGGGCAGCCCGCCACGTGATGCGAGGGAAGGCGGCGAAGGAGCTTGTGGTGACGACGCCGAGGAGAGCAAGGAGCACGCGTGCGCACTGGCGTTTCCCTGGGCGCGAGGGGCCAGGGAGACGGGAGGGGCGGCGGAGTCCGGGCGATGGTCACGTGGCTGCGCAGTGGCGTCGCGCGTCTCCGGGCAGAAGAAGGCGGCGGCGGCCGCAGCAGCTCCGGCAGCCGAGGCGTCCTGCTGAGGTCACGTGGCGCAGCGTCACCCGCCGCCGCGAGCCTTTCCCTCGTCGCGCGCCGCCGCGCCGCCCCCTCCCTCCCCCTGCCCTCTCTGCGCGAGGGGAGGGCAGGCGGGCGCGCAAAGATGGCGGCGGCGAGTTAGAAAGCGGCTGAGGCGTCGAGGAGGGAGAGCAGCTCGGCGGAAGGAATCCCGGCCAGAGTGAGTCCCTCCTGCCCCGACCCTTCTGGGGGGTTTTTGGTTTTCATTCGTCGGTGGGGGGTCCCTCCGCTGCCGCCCCGCCTTCTCTCTCTCTGTCTCTCGTAGCTTTGCTGTATTGAAGGAAGAAGCGCCCCCCCCCGCTCTCCTTCCCCACACGCACCGTCTCTCAGGTGTTGCTCTCGGGTCCCCTCCCTCAGTGCTGCACAGGGGAACGTTTTCTGCCGCCTCTTCCCTCCCCTCAGCGCACCCCAGACGGGCTTAAGAACAACACAGCGCAGAGCCCTGAAGTTCTCCGTTGCATTGCGGGGAGGGGGCTCTTTCTTCCCCCAGCCCTTCAGCTTGAGAATAAGCATAACTGGCCCCATATAACACACATAAAAGAGGAGGAATTTGCTCTAAAGCCACCCCTGGGAAGAAAGTAACTGAGCTGGTGTGTCGTCTCCTTCGCACACTCGCCCCCCCCCCCCAAAAAAAATTCTTACGGGTTTTCCTTTCAATTTGTCTATGGTGCAAGGGGTCTTCTTCCCCATTAGGAATGGGTTTTTCTACTTTCTTTGCGGTTTATGCCAAGCTGTTTTACTGTTGGAAAAGCCTTGCAGCTCCTGGTGCGGCTTAGCTTGGTGCCCTCGAGTTACTGTTTGACTGCAGTTCCCATCATGCTTCATCATTGACTATGCCAGCTTGTACTGATGCGTATTGTAGTCTAGTGAAATATGGAGGACAGCACATGGGCTACCACTGACCTAGTGTCTTCGTTAGGGCAGGGTCTTGTTTCCACCTTAATTGAACTAATCATCTAGCACCCCCTGCTTCCACACAGGCTGGGCAGAGAAGAAAGATGGTGAGGACTGAGTGTGTAACAGGTAATCCCCTAAATGTATAGCACTGTAATTGTATATGGTCCATTAAAAAAAATCTAATCATTTCTAAACCAAGGTCCTTGCACACACCTTGCTTAAATTTAAATGTTAATATCAGTGGATACATCAAGATTAGAGATAGTAAAGAAGCATGGTCTTTCAACTCCAGTGTTTTGAAATAGCAGCTGGCTGTTCTGGCTTGCTCTATAATGTATGGAGCCTTTTTCAGTGAGCTGGGATTTATGCTTCTTTCTTTTGTTTGTGAAAGAAGTTACAATCTTCAGCTTATAGCCCTTTGTCAAAGGATGCCTTGAGCTACCTTGTTGAGGTGTGTAAGTTCTAAAGAGAATTGGCTGCATTTAAACGTGGGGACAGCTGTAGTTCTGCCTGCCTGACTAAGCAGAAATCATTTTCATTCCTCGATGTTTCTAGTTCTCTTTCCTTATCTCAGCAAGCAGACTTTCATCTTTCAGCGAAATGTAAAAGTCTGCTACTAAGAGGGGGTGTTCTAGTTGATCAATCAATACCATGTGTATAACAATTACAAAGGTGGATCTAACCTAACCTGGAGGTTTATGTCCTGCACATGTGGTTTATGTGGAAGGCTAAGATCTGGTGATCCATATAGGAACTTTTTCGCGGCATTCCTGTGGAATCATCATTGTTTGGAAAACATTAATTTGTGAAATAGATCCAAAGTCTGTTTAACCCAGAGCCAGGGAACTTGTGGCCTTCCAGAAGTTGCTGAATTGCAACTCATATCATCCCTGGCCATTAACCCTGCTGGTTTAACTTTGTGAACATAATTCTCAGAGTTTGATAGGGGAGAACAACTTACCTGGATCTATTTTGTGACATGAGTATATTTTCTTGCTCCAAAGACAGAAAACATTCTGCTTGAAATAAATGGCACTTTTTGAAAGCTGTTGTATTCAACTTAAAATCCTGATAAATGACTGTGGTAATTTTCACAGGCTTTCCTGAGATTCTCTTTTAAAAATGAATATATTTTATCCATGACCTAGTTTCATATTATTAGTTATTAAATGTATTAATCATTTGTTACCTAAAATGTCTGCAAGTGACTTGCATTTAAAAACATATACACAATACATTGTACTGTAGGCAAGAGGGAAATGTCTCATGCAACATATAAAAACCCCACCCCCAGTTACAGCTACAGGAAGCTTTGGTTGTAAACCAAACTCAACTGAATTTATCAAAGGCCTGGGTAAATTGTCTCTTAGACTGGTGCTGAAAAGATTTCAGTGAAGGTGCCAAGCAGGCCTCCTAAAGAGAGCATTCCACAGATGTGGGACCACTATTGAAAAGGCCGTCTCCCTTTGCCACCACCACCTGTGGTGAGAGCCAGTGTGGTGTAGTGGTTAAGAGTGGTAGTCTCGTAATCTGGGGAACCGGGTTCGCGTCTCCGCTCCTCCACATGCAGCTGCTGGGTGACCTTGGGCCAGTCACACTTCTTTGAAGTCTCTCAGCCCCACTCACCTCACAGAGTGTTTGTTGTGGGGGAGGAAGGGAAAGGAGAATGTTAGCCGCTTTGAGACTCCTGAAGGAGAGTGAAAGGCGGGATATCAAATCCAAACTCCTCTTCTTCTTCTTCTTCACCTTCCAAGCCTCCCTCAGAGGAGGGACCTGGAGAAGGGCCTCACATAATGATCTAAGGGTCCAGGTATGTTCATTTCTGGAATGCCTTTCCCAATAATATTGGGCTCCTGAACCATAAAGAATATTAAAAGTCAAAACCAGCACTTTGAATTGGGCTCAGAAGCATACAGGCAACCAATTTAATGTGAACAGAATTGGTGTTCTGTTCTGTTCATCTTAAACCTGTGAGGCTGCAGTAACTGAAGCTTCCAAACTGTTTTCAAAGGCCCCATCCATCAGTTGGAGGGCAAAGTGTTGTACTTTATTACAACCAGTATAATCCACCTTAAAAATGATTCAGGTGGAAGGCTTCATATATATATATAGAGAGAGAGAGAGAGAGAGAAATTGTCAAAACTTAGTAGAGCTCTTGATGAAGCTGCACACAACTTTAGAGACCAATTCAGTTCATTCAAAACTCAAGGGAGAATAACCTTTATAGTAAATGTGTTTTAGTATTGCTTTTTGATAGTTCACTCTGTGCTCTTCATTACTGGAAACTAATGGTATCACCTTGTTATGGGAAGGGTTAGTCTAATGCAAACAGTTGTAGTAAACGAAAGAGAAATTGTGGCTCTGCGTTTAAAGTTAACAGTATTGAATATGGTCAGAGTATAGCAACCATACATGCTGAGCAGACTTTACAGAAAAGTAGAACCAAGTGATAATGTCCATATTAAGGACCCAAAGCAGAAAAATAAAAGTATTGGGGGTGATACTTTATAATTTGGCCAACTTATCCAGGTGGCTGTGGCCAACATGTGATACCCCTTTCTTATGTGACACAGGCACTCCTGGAAGAGGGTAGAAGAACCCACTAGCTTACATGTGGCATAGTCATGCCTGCACTCCTGCCTACTATCATGCGCAGAAGACAAGATCCCTGGCCATTCGCCATTCTTGCTAGGGCTGATAAGAGTTGTAGTTATAAGGGTTCCCTACCTCTGACCTAATACCTCAGACTTTAGGTTCACTTGTCAAAACAGTTGGCCATCACTGGCTTGGCGAAACAAGGCGTGCAGTCCTCTTAACTATGAACTGTTGTCAGAATCCCTCTATATCTAACAGCATAGTTATTTGTAACTTAAGTTCCACTGCTCTGACCAAATCTTCCAGTGCCCTGATTTTATACATGTTTATTAGAAGCAAATCCCAGTGACATTATGGTGGTTCTTTGGAACAATAGAAGTGTGACCTAACCTAATAGACTTTACCTAACAGGAACAACAGTTCTTCACCTAATGCCGTGAAGACTTAAATGCTTTATGAATAATTTTATAATTTTATAAGTATTTGTAACTTCATAGGTGCTGTATCTGTGCTTGTGGAAAGTGCACAGGAGGATTGTCTTCTTGAGTTCTTGCCACTTAAACCACCTAATTGTAAATTTGCTTTGTTTCAGAGATGGTGGAACCAGGACAAGATCTGTTGCTGGCTGCTTTGAGTGAGAGTGGAATCAGCCCAAATGACCTGTTTGATATTGAGTCTACAGATATGGGTCTTGCAACCCCAGCTCCAGCTGTTCAGCAGGTTGATAAAACAAAAACACTTAAATTCGTTACTGTAATAACATTTGAGCTGCCTTTTCTTTTCAAGTACAGTGCTGATACTGGGTGATTGAAAAGGGAAAAGAATGGTATTTTAAAAGTTACCTATTCTACACTAAAACAAAGTGATAGCTTGGATATGAAGTAACATGGCTGTTGAATAAGTGTGCCTAACTTCAGTTTGGGTGCAAACATTGTATCCTAGCCTCTTGTACATTAAATTTGCCCAGTTCCAAGTCAATAATGTGCTTTAGTGTTGTGGCTAGAGATAGGGTGATAAAACCTAGGAAATAAACTTTTCGGGTTATGTGCTGCTCCTAGTGGTAGAACGTTTAGGAAAGTTTCTCTTGTGACATTGTAACATTTTGTATTTCTGCCTGTGGTGCTGCTTACGTCTTGCAAAATTTTAAGCATTTAATAATATCAGATCCATCACCTGGTCAGTCTTGTCTTCAAAATTAATTGCAATAACCTAGCGTCATTTAAGCATTTCGATTCATGCCATTGAAGTCATATGGAGAGAGACTGTGTGCTTGTCCCACGCTTGCTACTGTTCCCTGTGCTGCCCTCCTCTTGATACTGAGGAGAAGATGTGTGTAGGCTAATGGTGTAAGCTATAGCATTGTTTCTCAACTGGTGGCCATATGGCCCCCTGGGGCCCCCCCAGGTTATTTCAAGGAGGCCACGGGTAAATGGGGGGGCCATGGCACAAACACAAGAAAATAGAAAACAAGTAGCGTGAACAGAGAAGTGACCACGCTTCCCAGTGGATGAATCGCCACGCATACTCTATGGCAGCATTGCTTCCCCTTCTCCTTCCCACTTCCACACTCCACTACTGTTTGCACCAAGCTGTCCAGTAGGACAGAAGGGCCACAGGAAGGAAACAAAATCGGAAGTGAGCCATGGTCGGAAAAAGGTTGAGAAACACTGAGCTACAGCACTGCGCTTGCATGGAGGGTGAGCGTGCAGGGCACCACTGTCACTCCATATAGAAACTCCATCGCAGATGCCTGAAGAGGACTCGTACAATCACTATATAAAAATATGTGTTGTCATCTAGACATTGCATGAGGTCACAGTTGTCAGTGTTTTTTATTTTTCAGTAGTAAGTGCAAGAGTATCTTGTGTGGAATATCTGCATACCTGTTGTGAACACATATTGCATGTCTGCGCATACAGTATCTTCTTTGGGATATATCTAAGAAAAAAAGCTCTCCTCCAACTGTCATTTGGTATTAAGCCATTCACTCAGGTTGCAGAGCAATTTCATTGCTGGCTGAGAGACCAACTGCCTTTGGCTTCCTCTTGACTGTAGACTGTGTTAAATAGATAAATAAAAAGGCAAAGCAAGTCAGATGCTTGTCTTAATTGAATGCTGTTTCCAAGATATGTTCCACAATGTGACTTTATTCTCTTGTCTTTCTTTAGTCAGCCCCAGTTAGTGCCTTAGAACTGGGCATGGAGACTGAAGCATCACTTGCTGTTAAAACAGAACCACAGACTGCATCTTCTCCAGCTGTACTGAACATCAGGGTAAGAGAAGTAAAGCCTTAATTACCGTATTTTTCAACCTTCAGTGGTGCCCCGCAAGACGAATGCCTCGCAAGACGGAAAACCCGCTAGACGAAAGGGTTTTCCGTTTTTGAGTTGCTTCGCAGGACGAATTTCCCTATGGGCTTGCTTTGCAACACGAAAATGTCTTGCGAGTCTTGAGATTTTTTTTCCGCTCCCCCCCCTTATCTAAGCCGCTAAGCCTTTAATAGCCTTTTAGCAGCTAATCCGCTAAGCCGAAAAGCCTTTAATAGCCGCTAAACCGCTAATAGCGCTAATCCGTTAAGCCGCTAATAGGGTTGCTTCGCAAGATGAAAAAACCGCTAGACGAAGACACTCGCGGAACGGATTAATTTCGTCTTGCGAGGCACCACTGTATAAGATGCCCCCTATTTTGGGGGACTCCAATTTAAGAAAATGGGGAGAGATGTATCCGTGTATAAGATGGCCCCAAACTTTTGACATTATTTTTTAGGGGAAAAACCTAGTCTTATACACGGAAAAATATGGTAAGTGTGTGAGTTGGAAATTTGCCTCTGATGGAATTGATTGCATGAAGAAAGAAAAATGAGTAAGCACAGATACCTTTTATCACAGAATGGCTTGAGCTATGAAGAAACAGTTTTTTCTATGGGAAACGTGTTAAACTACAGTGCAGAGTTCAGTGTTCACTGTCTTGCATATCATGCTGATTCATGTATGTATTGTATGGTTAGGGCCAAATCTACCTTGGGGAGACAGTTTACTTGAGTATATTTGGAACCCTTAGTATTGTACAGTGTATGGTGCTTCTTAAGACCTGTTGTACTAAACAGGTCCCAAACTGCCAACACCATCAACATTGTATAATGCACTGTTCTTGACCTGTGAATGAAACTCAGAACAAAAACATTGGATGCCACCCACTATTAAAATGACAGCTCAACAAAAAAACTAAATAGTAATTTGGAGGCGGGAATCCAGGAAAATCTTTTAAAAATTACTTAACTTTTACCTAAGTTAGGAAACTTGCATAGGGTAAGTTGTGTTGAGAACTTTTCTGATGCCCCAGAGTTAACTTAGCATGTGTTTTTAAAAACAAAAAACAAAGCTTTATAAGTACCCCATCTTAATTCCCTCCCCACCAACTCACAGTTGCTCACAGTTTCTGCATGCCATTAATTTTTTTTTCATTCTTGCTGCATTGTTGGCCAACTCCATTTCCTCCATTCACTGCTTTCATTATATTAATTATTGCAAGCACTACTTTTTATTATTAGATATTATAACCAAATTTCTAAAAACTTAAGATTTTATACAAACACTTGCCCAGCTCAAGCAAACAAATGAGACACTGCTGTGGAGTCTGAAATTGAAACCGGAACTATTCAGTTTTACGTTTTGCTTTCACTTGCAAGCCAAGACTAAATAACAGTTTTAAGTTTGGTTTTCCAGCAAACGGTAATGATCTTTCTGTTCTTTCTGTAGCAACCACCATCAACTACAACCTTTGTGTTGAATCAAATAAACCAGCTTCCTACTCTGGGAACTACCATAGTAATGACAAAAACAACCCCAGTCACCACTACCAGGCAGACGATCACTGTAGCAAAAATTATACAGACCAGCACCACTACTAGGCCGTCAGTTGCAGCGCCAGCAGTTCGGAATGCCCTGACTTCCACAACTCCCAAGGACCAGATCCAGCTAAAAGATCTGCTAAAAAACAATAGTCTTAATGAGCTGATGAAGCTGAAGCCACCTCCCAACATTGCTCAGCCGGTTGCGACAGCTGCAAGTAAGTGGCTTAAGAAGCTGACTGGATGGAGTATTAGTTTTCAGGGGACTTGAACAGAATAATCTAGCATGCTCATTGTTGCCTCCTTAGCCATTTGTCTTTATGCTAGATCACCTTTCCTCAGCAGTCCAAGTTTTGGACTGCAGCTACCATCTCCTCTTATCATTGGCTGGGGATGATAGTTCATAGTTTAAAACATTTAGAGCAGGCTTCCTCAACCTCGGCCCTCCAGATGTTTTTGGCCTACATCTCCCAGGATCCCTAGCTAGCAGGACCAGTGGTCAGGGATGATGGAAATTGTAGTCTCAAAACATCTGGAGGACCGAGGTTGAGGAAGCCTGATTCAGAGAGTACCAGATTGGAGAAGGCTATGTTAGATATTTGGTATTCAGCCTGATTTCTTTGGTACAGCATCTTAAAACAAAATGGTGTGCAAGCATAAACTGGACAGGCCAACTATGTTAATGTGACGCTTCTAAATAAGTAGTAAACTTTGTAGCATGTAATACTGTAGGCAAATCTCTGCCAACCTGATGACCTTCACAGGCAGCACTGCTGATAGAACTTGTAGTCCAAAATGTCTGGAGGGCACCAAGTTAGTGAAGGCCAATGTAGGTGAATTGCTAGGCATGGTGTGCATTAAAAGCTAACCTGTGTCATGAAGTTTACATTTGAGTACCTTTGCGAACGGGACTTTTGTTTAGAACATACTTGCTCTGTTTCATTTTCTCTAAATGCAGACTGTGATGGAAAGCAAACTCTTGCAGAAAGATAAAGACTCCTCGGGAGGGGGGCATTATTTCTGAATGAATAGACTCTTCTTAGGTGGCATAGAAGCACATGAATGTTAAAAAGCATTTACGCTGTTACCTGTTGTGAAAATCTCCTGTGAAAATAGAGTTGCATTTTAGCCTTACATTCTGATTCATAAAGATGTGGTGAAATTGTTTTCTTTAAGTACACTTTGTCCAGGGGCCATGGATGTGACACATAGAAATTAAATAATTTCTACAAGTCTTTGAACATAACATACACATCCCAGAATCATATCAAGTGATGAGTAATATTGCCATATTATTGATTTGGATGAAGAGAGACTGCTAAATTATGTGTTCATCTAAATAACGTAAAAATTATTTAGACCCCAAAATGTTGACTTTCTTCCAGAAATAATTGTAGTTTCTACAATGGTGGTAAATGCCACCAAATCAGGTAAGATAAACTTTGGTTTCACTGCTAAAACTGGGAATTGGGGTTCCTCTCTTTAACCCACCCTTCAAGGTGATCCAGATGTAAGTTTGATTTAACGGTGGCACCTGCACTAGTAGCCCTGGTCTAACAGCCAGCAACCTGTTTAGTGTTGCTGTGGCAGAACCTGTTGAGAAACGTTTGTTTGCTTGTTTGTTTGTTTAAGATTGGCAGAAATTTACATGCTCTGACTCAGCATTCAACTATAGAGAAGATTTGATTGTATTCTAGAAAATTTAATTTGTTATATATTAACTTGGAAATTTTCTCTTTGTAGCTGATCTAAGCAATGGTACTGTAAAAAAGGAGGCATCTACTAAAGAGGTAGCAAGAATATGGATAAATGACATGAAAATGAGAAGCTTTTCTCCTACAATGGTAGGTGCAACTTCCTCAGCAGCAAGGTATACATTGCTCTCTAACTGAACACTGCTCTTGAAAATTTTAGTGCCCTGCACCCAGAATCCAAATATAGAAGCTACTGAAGGAGTGCCCTGCTCCTGTAACAAATAAGTCTACTCCTTAAGATCTACTGAGGTCTTACTCTGCTTATCCAGAGATTAGGGAAAGCCTTTCTCTTGTGGTACTGTGACTTGGGAATTCCTTACCCAGCTATATTCACAGGTGCCTACAGCTGTCAAGATTTAGGTTTATTTAAAAAAAAAAAATACCCCACCTCCAAATTGTTTCTGGTTTCTATTGGACCCTTATAATGATGATGATGATGATTATGGAAACAACAATAGCAATAATAAATATATTTAACCATCCATTTATGGCATGCTCTAAAAATATTTCCGAGCCAATCCCAATTTAATATTTAAATTTTAAATGCATACATACAGTGTCTGTCTCATTTAGTTCATAAAAAGAAACAAATGAAATAAAGATGTTTCTTTAAAGTATTGATAATCCACAAAGTTCACGTCCTGCTTTCTTCTCTTACCTTTCCAATGTTTGGCAAGCTTGCAGGAAAAGAACTTTAAAGCCTTAAATTTATGCATCCAGTATTAGCTCAAATTACAATGTTAATTCGATTCATCCACTGGAATGCTTAAAAAGAAAAATCATTAGCAGGTATTTTATGTATTCTTCTCTTAGTCCCTGCAGATTTTATTCCATGCAGATCAATAGCTGCTTGCAGGGCGGCCCTCCTCTTTCCCTCCTGGGTGTGGATCCGATTGATATATTCTTATTAAATGTTGTTGTTGTTGTTTTAAATTGGCCCAAATTCCTTTTACTTTTTAGAGAAGTCGCTGCTTTAATGGCAAAATGCTTTAATGAAGCATTTTGTTGTGAGGTCTTGATCGTGCCGTGTGTCTGTGCTCAATCTCAGAGCTCCCATGGCTCCCTCCGGAGCTTTGGGGGCTACTAGAGGGTGTTCCAGACACCACTGGAGCCTTCAGAACCTGAATTTTCCTTTTGGGCTTTTTAGAGAAGGTGCTTTGCCAGTGCTCCCTTCCCGCCTCCTCGCAGCAGTTGGGTTGCTCAGGATGAGCGAACCCCATTGTCCACCATAGCCTGCAGCACACTGGAAGTCTGGCATAGCACTTTTAAAAGATAAGCATTATTCTCTGTTGGTGTAGCAGAGTCTTTTGGCTCCATCTTGCTGATTAGTCTTTAGCGTTGCTGTTTCTGTATCAACACAATTTACAAATATTCATCTTTGCTGCAGAAAGTTCCAGTAGCAAAAGAGGAAGAAGAGCCTGAAGAAGAGGATGAAGAAGAAATGGGTCATGCAGAGACGTATGCAGAGTACATGCCCATAAAGTGTATGTTATTCAACTGTATAGGTTATTCAACTGTTAAAAAATATTAAACTACAGTACATAGGTATACCAATATCTTTCTTGTAAGTAGATAATTGTTGTAGTCTGTATTTGTATATCTCCTGCCTCTTTTCATTTGAAGACTGGGTCTCAATGAATCTCTAGATTCATTCATTCAGCCTTCATTGGCATAATTTAGACAATAAAATCATAAAAGGGGGAACCATCCATACAAGATGTCACTGAGAACATCTGCCTTCGCTCTCCGCAGATCTCTAGATGTTTTTCGTCCTAGTGTTGCGGGGGCTAGCATGATGTAATAAAACATACTGGGTAGTTACACAAATGGAAGTATGTGCTGCCCGAGGGGAAATGCAGGAATTTAGAAGAGGGAATTCCTTGCATAGGCAGAATTGCCTTTGTGTTTATCCAAGGCTCCTTTTAGGATATCACTTCAATGAATTATTTCTTCAGGGCATTTTTGCCTCTTGCTTGAGTAAGCAATCAGCAGATGTTTGTTTCATGTGTTAAGTACATTTATGTCCTGCATATTCCATCATGGAGCTGAAGGTGACATACATGGGATCTCCCATCCAGGCATTCTACCAACTCAAACCTCATTAGCTTCAGCAAGGTGGCTTTATCATGTGGTCTAAGGCAGTGTGGTTGCTTTGCATGCATCTGATTTTTTTGTGGAGCATCTTTAGTCCCTTGCATTTCTTCAGGAGATAGGACTAGGCCTGTACCATCACATGTAAATCTTGCAAACAAGGCTGTATATAAATCATGAGTCACACTGAGATAGAACTCTAGTTTCTGCCCTTTACTTCATAAACCCTCAGAATTCTTGCTGGCTTTGTAGATTAAGAGCCTTGTATTTAGAGCAGTTCTTAGCTTTAGTTTTATAAAGAGCAAATGTTTGAATTAGAGTCACTAAAAATTTATCTTGCTGAAGTAACCTCTGATCAGATGTTGCCTATAATATTTGTATTATATTCTACAAACAGTAAAAATTGGTCTGCGTCATCCTGATCCAGTGGTAGAAACCAGTTCTCTCTCCAGTGTTACCCCTCCAGAAGTTTGGTATAAGTCTTCAATTCCTGAAGAGAGTATTGATAGTGGCTGGCTGTCAGCATTGCAGCTTGAAGCTGTTACATACGCAGCACAGGTATGTCATGGTTTCATGTTTACTCAAAACGAACCAAGTTCCCGCTCAGCTATAGAAGGTGTGGGGTTGGTGTGTCACTGAATCTTTTATCTTCCTTTTTTTAACATTCTGCAGCAACATGAAACATTCCTACCCAATGGAGACAGAGCTGGTTTCTTGATAGGTGATGGTGCAGGTGTAGGAAAAGGAAGGACCATAGCTGGAATAATATATGAGAACTACCTCTTGGGTAGAAAAAGGGCAGTATGGTAAGTAGAGATCACTTAAATGGGGGGGGGGAATGCTAGGCAAGCAAGATCCTTAACATTTTTTTTGCCTGTATCTTCACAGTTGTGTTTGCTCTCTCCTAGGTTTAGTGTTTCAAATGATTTGAAATATGATGCAGAAAGAGATCTGAGAGATATTGGAGCAAAAAACATTTTGGTTCATTCATTAAACAAGGTGTGGATTTTTTTACTATGTACAGTTGAAGCAAAGTATTAGGTATGCTTGTGTGAGATGCACGTTATGTGAATGCTGTATATCTTAGACATGCTAAAACCTGCTGTTTATGGTTTTGTTGCCTTCCTGCCTAAGTTGCAATAATAGCACACAGTTGCTTACAATGCCGCTATTCCAGTGCAGTATTATAAAATCAAGATGTTGGCATGGTGTTAGAACACTGTTACAGGCTTGATGAGCACTTCAGGATTGGGGTGGGGGGGTGTCCAGTTATTAAAACACATGACAATTGCTTGAGCTTTCTTGAGTTTATTTGGGTAGTAATTTGCTTCTGAACTCTTCCACTGAAATTTGTAGTTCTCAACAAATTTAGTTGTGGGAAATGCTTCTTTAATCCTTTGCTTTACAGCATTGGATATCTTGCTAGACTTATTAATTAATTAATATGATTAGTTTTATGAAACATCATTTACATGAGTCTCCCATGTCTTAACTATCTCTTAGACATTCATAGATTTAACAAATCTGTTATTAAACTTGCAAGATAATAGTAACAAATGAGTTAGTGGCAACTAGATGTTAAATATACAGTGGAAAAGAGTCTTATTGATCTGGGTGGAAGCTCTGCATAACATTGTAACAAGTTTTTGGAAAGAACTGCATTTGTGCAGGTTTCTAATTGGGAATGGACAGATCTATTTCTAGTCCACTTCTGTTTTGCATGTGTTCACTCATAAATCCACTCTGTTCTGCATCAATTGTGAATTTTCTTAACCACACTACAGTACAGTGGTACCTCTGGTTGCGAATGGGATCCGTTCCGGAGCCCGTTCGTAACATGAGCAGAACATAGTTGCTTATATTGGGTATGTGCATCCTGTTGCAACTTTACAATAATTATATTGATGGAAATTGAATGTTGGATGTACAGGTTTGTAAATGAAGTTTAAGGAACTAATAGTTGTGCCAGTTGCAGGGTGTCTTTTATACTAATATGGTATTTTTATTTTAGTTCAAATATGGAAAAATTTCTTCAAAACACAACGGGAGTGTGAAGAAAGGTGTCATATTTGCCACCTATTCCTCTCTTATTGGAGAAAGTCAGTCCGGGGGTAAATATAAAACCAGGCTCAAACAACTTCTTCACTGGTGCGGAGATGACTTTGATGGAGTTGTATCTTTTCAGTGTTCTAACTTGGTACAATAACAGACTCTTCCCATAGCTCTTTAAACCTGTGCCTGCACTCACTTTCTTAAGCATGTGTGTCTTGCTGATTTTAAATTATTGGACTCTCAGTCACTTGGGAAAGACATCTGTCAAGTGTAGAAGTGTTTCCAAGCAGTCAAACTTTTGTATTTATAATTAAATGTAAAGACATGGATGTCTAGTTAATTAATAAAAAGCTAAACTGATCTTTAAGCTGCAGTATTTGATTGACTTTTTAGCTCTTAGTTGATTGTCCAGATGGAGCACCTTTTCTTACTTGCAAAAACTTCTAAAAACTGTGTATGTTAAACATTGTTTTGAGGTGTTCCTCATTCTCTTCCAAATAGAAGGAATGATCTTACAAGGTGTCCACTGAAACACATGCATATATATGTCATACCAAAACAACCAATATGCACATTTGATTGACTAAAACTTGTATGATTAATCGGCTGCTGTTGCAACCCTGTCCAGTTTATCTGGGAGAAAGTCCAACTGAACATAGTGAGGCTCACTTGCAAGGAGAAGTGCTTAGGATTGTGCTGCATTATTTATTTATAATTGGGTAACATTATGACCAATCTTTCTGTTTCACTGTAAGTCAAAACTTCCTTGGGAGTAAGATTATTTTTATTATTAATGTCTATTCCTTAACAATATGTTCAGATAGTATTTGATGAATGTCACAAGGCTAAAAATCTTTGTCCTGTTGGGTCGTCAAAACCAACTAAGACAGGTTTGGCGGTTCTGGAGCTGCAGAATAAACTTCCAAAAGCCAGAGTAGTCTATGCTAGTGCCACAGGTATGTACTCTGTTTTAAATGTGGTGTTGTTTTGTTACTTAAGTTGGTGGAAAGGTATGAAATTTAATCTAGATATTTGTTTTCAGGTGCATCTGAGCCACGCAATATGGCATATATGAACCGCCTTGGGATATGGGGTGAAGGAACTCCATTTAGGGAGTTCAGTGACTTTATTCAGGCTGTTGAAAGAAGGTAAGTTGTCGACTCCATATGTCAACTCTTGTTGTATAATATGCAGGCTATAACTATGTGGTAGAGCTCAAGATTTATATGAAGAAGATCCAGCATGAAAATGGTTATCCTCAGTAAGATGGCTCATGGGAATAGTCTGACTCTATAAGACAGTTTCATATGAGGTGTTATTTGTTATCAAGTTGCACATGGCTCTTGAAGATTTCCCTGTTTTAGGGGGACAACTCAGGGCTTGAATTTGAAGGCAACATTATTTGCCAGAGGATGTAAGAACAAACGTTTAATTCCTAGACAGAGGAGGGAGGAGTATTTCATGTGACTCAGAAATGAAACTGATACGATACTAAATCTGGGGAGCTGCATGAAACAAAATGGAGACTTGCTGTAGGAAAATCTGAAATGCTTTCTAGTGAAATATAGTGAATTGCCTTATTCAAAATTCATGCTTGTAAGTAGAATACCTAAATGTGAAGACTATTCAGTTCAGTGCCAAACTTCCTAGAGATGCAAAAGCAGTTGTGGGATGATCTTGTCTGTAGAGGTCTCTGTCAATGATGGCAAGTAAAGGACCCATTTCTACCTTCAAAAGCATATACTGCATTGCATTGTGTCACTTGGAAGTTTTATTTTTTTAAAAAAGTATCTATATGCCACCATACTAAAATATCACTGTGGTATAAGAATCAGACATAAAACACCAATATAAATGGTCCAAAACAATTACTAAAGTGATTAGTCAAGAAAGTTTTAAATCATCATCAACCTTTATTATGGTCCAGAGACCCAACAAATCGTTACAAAGCAATACACAATTCATACAGCCTACCTCCAGGTTAAACAAGCATTTCGTTCAGGAAGGGGGTGAGAATGCCTTCTGGTTCCTCAGTTGTATGATCCCAGGAGACTTTCTTATTTGAGGCAAAGTCCATGTCGTCCATTGATGTAAATAATAGAAAGCTTGACAGATTCTCTCTTCTCATGTCTATAGTGTGTTTTTAAAATATGGTGCTTGCAACTCAGTCTGGTGGTGGTGTCATTTTGTGATAGTGCTTGAAGATATTTGTTCCATTGAAAAATCATATTTAATCAGGCTTTAATACAACATTAGCTTTCCCTAATAAATCCAAGAATTCTCTATTTTAAAATAATTTCCATCTTATAAATTACCTTGATGGTTCCTTTCTGTTTGTTTGTTTTCAGAGGTGTAGGTGCCATGGAAATTGTTGCTATGGATATGAAGCTACGAGGAATGTATATAGCAAGGCAGCTGAGCTTTTCGGGTGTAACCTTCAAAATTGATGAGGTTCAGCTTTCACATCACTATGTTAAAATGTATAATAAATCTGTAAAAATGGTAAGTGTATTTAAATACAGCATTTTACATGTTAAACTAGGCACTGTACCTTTTGAATTGTAGTTGAACACACAGACCCTAATCCAGACTGGTGTAGGGTGGCTGACCAGGTGGGTCCAAGGTGTGGTAAATGAATATTTGCAGGATGGGGAGGTAACTGCCACTCTTAAAGATGCAGTAGTGTGCCTGCTCCTCAGTTGGTGGGAGGGGGAGAGTGAACCCCACAGTTTGTGAAAGCTGTTGCCCAGTTGCACATGTTCTTGGGGAAGGTGCTCAAGAGGGTGATGGCCATCCGGATGTTATTGAAGGACACAGATTATCTGGACTCATTCCAGTTGGGGTTCAGGCCTGAGTTAGGGACTGAGCCAGCCCTGGCTGCTCTCATGGAGGGCGGAAGGGGAGGTGCCACCCTCTTTCTCCTCTTTGATCTCTCAGCAGCTCTTAATACCAACACCCGTGGTATTTTGCTAGATTGGCTGTGTAGGTTGGCAGTTGGCAGTACGGTGGTTCTGCTCTTACCTAAAGGGTTGTGTTAAGGTTTGTGGTGGTGGCCCTCCACATATGTTGAAGCATACGATGCAGTAACCTGAGAAAGATCCTTCTTGGTGCTGATGCTCCAGTTGGGGAACTTCTTCCACCTGACACATTACCATTATCATTATCAACTGAAGACATTGCTGTTTGTTGGGTATTTGAAGCCTGTTAATTTAATGTTGCCTGTTAAGACTAATACCACTTGATTCTTTAAGTAGTGTGTTTTAAATTTATTTATTCTACACGTGAGATTGATATTACAATAATAAATAATATTTTAAATAATTCAAATTAGTCATGGCTAACTTATCCCATTGATTTCAGTGCTATGTGTAAATTCTCTGGATTGAGACATGCTTGTACTATGGAAATAAAAATATTTCCTTGAAAAGTTGGTTTTCATGCTCTTATTGGTGAAGGCTTAGAAAGAAGATAGGAGAACATGTTTTTAAATGTTTCAAATAAGTTATTTTATTATTTTATCACTGATGTGTTTCCCATCCTTTGAAAATGCGTTTTTTTTTACTGGACCTCTCAATGCATATTTGTAAAGCCTGTAAGAGATGGCTGTCACTTGTCCTGACTTTTAAATATTCAGGTGTGTGTGTCTTGTACATCATAATGTAACTGCAGTCTTCAGAGTCAGATTAAAAGCACTAATGATAAAATTATTGATTTGAACAAAGTTACAGCGATCATTCTATAGTGCAGTAGTTTAGAGGGAATCCTGGGACTCCTCAATGAGAAGATCAGTGCAGTGAGTGAGTTCCCCTGAAAGACAGGAGACTCATTGTTGCTAGTCTTCTTTGGCAGTGTTTTATCATGGGGTATATTCTTGGGTGGGGATGGAGAGTCTGTGGCTCTCCAGATGTTGGATTTCTAACTCCTGTCAGCGCCAGCCGGCATGGACAGTTATTAGAGAAGATCAAAGTTGTAGTCCAACATCTGGAGGGCACCAGGTTCCGTCTCCCATTTTAGGGTGTATTCAACTCATAGAAGGCAACGCTGAGGTCCTGTAGTTATTGGCAGCACTCTTTCTGAATTGACTAAGCACCTTAGAACAATACATCCTTGATTCCCTGAAGGTAGCAAGTTAGAAAACAACTGTGATAAACTGAAACATTCTTGGACAAATCATCTCAGGTTAATCCTGCTGTGATGGTAAAGTTAAACTGTAGAAGTTCATCATGTTTACTTATAGAAAAATTTCTGGTGTTCCTTTTTCAGTGGGTAAGTGCCAGGGAGAAATTCCAGCAAGCAGCCGACCTCATTGATGCTGAGCAGCGGATGAAGAAGTCTATGTGGGGCCAGTTCTGGTCTGCCCACCAGAGATTCTTCAAATACCTCTGCATAGCTTCCAAAGTGAAAAGGGTGGTACAACTAGCACGAGAAGAAATAAAGAATGGCAAAGTAAGTTTCAGGTTGGCCTTGACTCTAGAATGTTTTCAAAACATGGCTTCATTTTCTCAGGGGAATGTCAGAGTGACCGGATGTGTGTGGATGGGTGGGGTTGGATATGCTTTGTATATTTGGAAGAGCTTTAAACTGAGTGTCCTTTTCTCTCTCCAGTGTGTAGTCATTGGGTTGCAGTCCACAGGGGAAGCAAGAACCTTAGAAGCTTTGGAAGAAGGTGGTGGGGAACTGAACGACTTTGTTTCCACAGCAAAGTAAGTCTCCTATCAGTCATACAAATCTGGGAGAAGTAACTTAGTTTTTTAGGTTCTTGTAAAATGCAGAGAAGTGTACAATAAAAATCAATATAGGTTTCGCCAGCAAGCTTACTAAAAAAGGAACATGAAGGGAGGGAGGGCTCGCTAAAGTGGAGGAGGAAGAGGGCAGGCTAATCAACTGCACTTAGTCTTTCAATGCTGTTTTAAAACTGCAAATGTCGGAGATGTTTGTCCAGCAGTTGCCTTTTTTCTTCACCCCAAGCAATCAGAATTTCTGGAAACTCTTGGAATCCGAATGAGAGCGTACAGTGATTGAGAACAATAGGAAAGAATATTACAGAACTTAATTGATCTTTTATCCTGAGGAAAAGTTCGTGCCAGCTCTAAAATCATCGCATAGCTGCTACAAGTTTCTTGTCTTTCATTATAGGTGCTGTACATAAGTTCATGTATTCACTGGGTTGTATCCAGCAAAGTCATTGCATAAGTAGAGCAACCTTTGCTTCCACACCAGAGCATCCTCCCCCTGCACACCCCAGATTGCTCTGGTGTATTGGGAGGAACCCTGGGAGCAGACCTGAGGTGTATGTGGGTTGTGGGACGAAAAGAAGCAGAAGCCATGCGACTTGCACAGTGACTTTGCTGGGTATAGCGGCACCTTGTAGGCTGATTTTAAGTTAATTTTAAAAATCTTATCTCTGACTGCAAAATGTTCTTTTAATTATGCAGCCTTCTGCTGCATCATTGTTTATAGAATCATAGAATTGTAGAGTTGGAAGGGACCCTGAGGGTCATCTAGTCCAGCCCACTTCAATGCAGGAATCTCAGCTAAGGCATCCATGGCAGATGGCCACCCAATCTCTGCTTAAAAACCTCCAAGGAAGGAGAGCCCAACAACTCCTGAAAGAGTCCATTCCGCTGCCCAACAGCTCTGTCAGAAAGTTATTTCTGATGTTTAGTCGTAATCTCCTTTCTTGTAACTTGAATCTATTGGTTTGGGTCCTGCCCTCTTGAGCAGGAGAAAACAAGCTTGCTACAGCTTTTGACAGCCCTTAGATATATGAAGATGGCTATCATAGTCTCCTCTTTTCCATGCTAAGCTTACCCAACTCCCACAAACATTCCTCATAAGGCCTGCTTTCCAGAACGTCAATAATCTTGATCACCCTCCTCTGCATACATTCCAGCTTGTCAGTATCCTTAACTTGTGGTGCCCAGAACTGGACACAGTGCTCTAAGTGTGGTCTGATCAAGGCAGAATAAAGTGGTACTATTACTTTCTGTGATCGGTTTGCCTCTGGAGCTGTGGAAATTGCAATTTCATGTAAGAGGGGAGATGGTTTCTAAGGTCTTTGGTTTCTTAGTTGATTGGTCTTTGTTCAAGCAGCATATAATATAGTGTGCTTTCAGTGACTCTCACATGCCAAGTCATGGTCCTTCATAATTTTCTGCCATGATGCAGTACTGTGGATGGTCTTCTTTTGAACAGTATTGACCCAAGACTAACCAGTCCCCATCTGATTCATTGCCGCTCTTGGTGCGGCAGTTCAGACTGAATTGAGATTTAATAGCATCTGCCTGAAACAAGTCAGACCTTCAAGAAGATACTACATAAACAGCAGCATTTAAAAATGCTGGGAGAAGAGAAATTTTAGGTTGCCCATTCAACCAAGCAAAACTGTTTTTTCTTTTTTAAATCTGCAGGGGAGTATTTCAGTCTCTCATTGAGAAACATTTCCCAGCTCCTGACAGGAAGAAGCTTTTTAGCTTGCTGGGAATCGACTTGTCTGCTCAAAGTAATAACAACTCTCCTAGAGACAGCCCTTGCAAGGAGGACAAAATGAAGAAACGCAAAGGTACATAGTTGTAATGCTATTCTAATATAGTTAAGATAGTGGTTAGAGTTTTGGACTAGGACCTGGGAGACCAAGTTTCAGATCCCCACTTGGGCATGAAGCTCACTGGGTGAACTTGGGCCTGTTTCTCATTCTAACCTACCTTACAGGGGTGTTGTGGGGAGCAAATGAGGGGAAGAGCCATGTACGCCACCTTGAATATTGGATACAGATGAAATGAAATAGGAAAATCTAGCAGTATTGGCAAGTAACTGTGTTCACAGGTGTGCAAGGAAGACTAATCAGCAATTGTATAGAGCAGGGAGTCTTGGCACTGGGTCACTGAAGAACTAATTCAAGCTACCGGTACACTGATTTTTACCCACACTCAGCTGCAAGTTCTTCCTTATTTGAACAGACCATAGCGTCTGTCTTCTGCTGTGAAGCTTTTTGTCTGAAATACTTACTATGTTTGTCACTTTCTCTAATGCCTGAACTGATTTAAATATCAAGAGATGTGAAAGGCAAATCTCATTTGAACCACCCCTTTTGTAAGTGGTGCTCATTTAATTTTGAGTGTTCAGAAATTGATTGCAGAGGGCTTTGCACTGCTCATTCTTACTATATAGGGACTTAATAGTCCTGCTGCACCACAACAAACAATAGAACCTTCAGCAACCCCTGCTGTTATATATGCCTCCCATCCCAGTTTCCATATCAGAGTGACCAGGGTCTTAAACTGCTTTGCTCCCATGAGGACCCTTCTCTCCAGCTCCTTAACTTTGTGTAAAATATTATAATTGGTACAGTAGGTGATAACAGCAGTGAAATATCATGACTTGTTACAGGAAAAGTCTCCATACAGTTAGAACAAGCAAAGGAAAACTCACACACATACGTACGACCTTGGGTTTTTAACATTTGGCTTGTAAACTTGGCAATGTCCTGTGAGGTGCTCTCATCTCCAGCCCTTTTTTATCAGTTCCAGTGAAGCTGTAATTTTATACTTTGAAGAAGACTTGAAAGGAAGCCTGTTAATGTGCAAGGAATACAACAGGACCCTTTCCCCCCTTTTTCTTTTTTTCTTTTTTTTGATATGGTTTTCCACCTTGTTAAACATACATAAATAATAAAAAATCTACAAAGTCTTTGCTAACAACCCATAGAGAGAATAGTGGGGGTAAATGCCACTCAGTGATAGCCACCTCTTAATTACTTTTCATATGAAAAAGGTGAAGAAATAAGCAGAGAAGCCAAGAAAGCGCGTAAAACTGGCGGGCTAGCTGGGAGCAGTTCTGATGAAAGCTACAGTGAGTCGGACATCTCGGACAATGAAGAGAGTGACAATGAGAGCTCCAGGTTTTTAAGCTCTGGGGAAGATGATGACTTCAACCCATTTAAGGATGAATCTAGCGAGGATGATGAAGATGGTGAGATAATAATGGGTATCATGTAATTTAGTATTTCTTTTCAATTGTTGCTTTGTTGCATGTGCTGCCACTATTCACTGTAGTATTACTTTGCGGAGGCTGAGTATAGTACCATCACATTTTGTGGGGGGATTACGCTCCAGGGATATACACACAAGCATGTATACTTGAACTACTCGCCATGCAAGCATCCTTACCTTTCTGGAGCCATCTAGTAAGTGGGCCTTGATCAGTTCTAGAATACTCTTGTTCAAGCTCTGGAGTGCTCTCGTAAGAGAGTTCAAGTTCAAGAGGCTGTTCAAGTTCCCACAAGATCTTGCAAGAGCCATGTAAGCAAGGCTTGGAAGCTTCTGTGCTGGGAAAACCCTGCACAAAAGATCTTTTAAGCTTTCTGCTTTCCATACATTTCCATACATTTAATTTGTGTGATTTCAGCCGGCCAACCTTTAACCACATAGAGCTGAAACCGCATGTGTTAAATGTGCATAAGTTACAATTGTACTGTTTTTCATTAAGCTGATACAAGATTTACCTACAAAAGAAATTGCTCTGGTGCATAATTTTCATATTTTTCCAGAAGCCTTTTTTCCTCCTTTAATACATTTTATTTTTTTTCAGACCCCTGGCTAATTAGGAAAGAACATAAGAAAAATAAAGAAAAGAAAAAAAAGAAAAGCATAGACCCAGATTCCATTCAGAGTGCCTTACTAGCGTCTGGACTTGGATCCAAACGGCCCAGTTCTCTTTCTTCCACAGTAGTTACCTCCTCTACTACAAATACGTCTGGTATGTTGAATGTGCAGCTTCTGAATTGGCTTTTGAAGCCAGAATGCTCCTTCCAGCAAGGGAAACAGCACTTTCACATTTCTAAACACCACCATTCCTTTTTTTATATATATGCTGCAGCTAACAGTAATACACATACCAGCTATGTAACAAGTCAGGATGCTGTTGAGAGAGCCCAGCAGATGAAAAAGGAGTTGCTTGATAAATTGGAAAAACTATCAGAAGATCTTCCTCCTAATACACTGGATGAACTTATAGATGAACTGGGTGGTCCTGAGAATGTGGCTGAGGTAGGTGCTGGAACTCAAGTAACTGTGTGGGAAGCAGACCTGTAGTTTGAGGTGTTATGGTGTGCAAACATAAGAGCAGGAATTGCTACAGAACATCCACATACCTTAACATGTTTAACATTAAATGCAGTTAAATAAAGATTTGATAAACCAAAACATAATTTTATAAAATAAAGCCTAGTGATGTTCATTCCAGTGCCTTTGCATTAATTGGCCTAGAGTCAAACTACCTTCCACTAATAACAGGGGTAGCAAACCTATTTTAGCCTGAGGATTACATTCCCTTCTGGGCAGCTGTTGATGAGGACTGCCTGTCCACCCGCCCTTTCTTTCACTCTCTCTCTCTCTTATATCAACAACACGGATGGTGACATTGTCAATAAAGAAAGAAGGTATTGCCTTCAGTGATTAGAAGTCCAGAGTTTGGGGTATCCTGAGCTTTAGGTGATGATGCTTCCAAGTGGAAATATAAGACACTAATAGATAAGGAATTGAATGGAAGGCAAAAGTTATTGGGTGGAGAAGTAGGCTTGGATGTCTTCAGCATGTAGGTGTTTTAGAAAGCCAGCACTACTGTCCTGACTGCCCTGCTCCCCCTCTTTTGTCAAATAGGAAAAACCAAACAGTTGCAAAAGCAACCTTTTGTTCATAGAGAAGTTATTAAACACAAGTTCTTCTGTGTCCCTTTAAAAATAACTCACTGGCTTCTGACCGGTCACTATTTCACCCCAAACCCACCAACCCCTCAGTTCTTACTTCCGTTGGAGTGAGCCTTCAGGTGTTATCAGGACACATGAGGAGAATAAGGAAACCAGAATTTATCTTAACCTAAATGTTTGTTAGGGCGAGTCAGGCTTTGGACACAAACTCTGCTAGAAATGGGCAGCATGTTTAATCATACAAGCTTTCTCTTGAGTGCATGTGAAATTGCTTGGAAGTATTTAATAGATTCCTAAAAGCACTATTTAGCATGCTGAAACAGGTCATTCTTCCCAAGATGACAGGTCGCAAAGGGAGAGTCGTGAGTAATGACGATGGCAGCATTTCTTACGAGTCCAGGTCTGAGCTAGATGTTCCTGTTGAAATCCTAAACATCACAGAGAAGCAAAGATTCATGGATGGAGATAAGGTAACCATTTTCATTACTCTACATCAGTTCTCAAGGAAAGATTCATATAAAATAGATGGACAGATGTCAGGGAGATCTTGGCAGTATTTTGGTTGGGTCTGCACTAAGATACAGCCAAAATGGTCCCTGTCCTCTTCAGCAGCCTCACCTTTTGTAGCTGGAGTCAGTCAGGGTCCTGCCCTCCCAGGACAGGTGGAAAAGGCCTGCAGGTCTTCCAGGACTCAAAGCCAAGATGGTCTCTATCAAACAAGAGCAGAACAGTAACAGGAAACCTCTGACTCCGTTCTCGATAAAAGACTGTTAAAACAGTTACTTAAAACATTCAAAAGATTATTAAAGTTAATAGTAGCTAAAGAGGTAAAATAGAGATAAAACACATGTAACTTCTGTTTCATTAAAGGTGACTTGGAGATCCCTTCTGCATGCAAAGAATGTGATCTGCCTTTTGAATTACAGTCCATAGACATATTAAAATTTAAAAATCCAACCTTTCCATTCTTTCTCTCTTAAAGAATATTGCCATCATTTCGGAAGCAGCCAGCTCTGGTATTTCATTGCAAGCAGATCGACGAGCCAAGAACCAGAGGCGAAGGGTACATATGACTCTGGAGTTGCCGTGGAGTGCAGATAGGGCAATACAGCAGTTTGGTAAGCAGTTTTGTCTTGGCTTTACTTGGAAATGATGCTTCTTTGTCAGGCACATAATGTTGAGTAAGATTTGCAGTAAGAGAGTTTTAGCAGAGTAGCCTATTTTTGCAATGCTGCTAAACAGATGTGTGTAGGCTCTCAAATTACATAGTGTTCTGATAAGTAAACTAGAGTTCAGTCTATGCTAGGTTTTGCACAGTACCAGAAGATAATGAAATCTGACAACACATTGATCTGTACATAATGGTAGGATTCTTCGAACAGAGTTTTCTAGTTCTGTCTAGTTTGAGTTGTATTTCCATTGCCACAGAGACAAACTACTGAACACAATTCAATCTGTGTCTATGGAAGAAGTGACTTGCAAGGCAGTTAAGTATTCACTTCTAAAACAGTTTCCTTAAAAAGTAAAGTTTAAATTCTTGTTTCTTTACTTAGGGTATATCTGAGCCAAAATGTAGCTTCAAACACAAGCAAGTTGAATCTTCATAGTTCAATAAAAATTGTTTGTCTTCAAGAGTTAGTCCTCCTACTAGCTCCAAGGATAGAGTGATTCAAATTTGCTTAGGCCTGGTGTTGCCCACTCCGCAGAGAGTGGTCTTTCTTTCTTTCAAGTCAATACTATGTCCAGACTATTTTTGGCAATGAACATGGGGTTTGGACAGGTTCTGGTGTTTGTGGATTGTGTTCCCTTCTTGGTGTGTGTGGGGTCTTATCCCGCCAGTGTACATTTCCTAGGCCTGTTGTGCCTCATATGAACTGACTATGGGGTGTGGCACTCATCTTGCTTCAGGCCAGGGGATCTGATGTTTGTTCACAGACAGCTTTCTGAGTCTAAACCGCTTCTGGCGCTACAGTACACCACGGCAGAAGCCAGAGCGCACGGAAACGCCGTTTACATTCCTGCCGCAGCAGGACCTATTTACTACTTGCACTGGCATGCTTTCGAGCAGCTATGTTGGCAGGAGGTGGAACAGAGCAACGGGGGCTCATCCTGTAGCACAGATTCAAAATGATGACCTTCCAATCAGCAAGCCCAAAAGGCTCAGTGGCTTAGACCACAGCACCACCCGTGTCTGTGGTTGTATACTGAAAGGAGGATATGATAGCAGTTAGCAAGCTATTGGCTATTCCCGATTTTCACAGAGGAAGCTTTTTTTCTTGGCAGGCCTGTGTGGCTGTTTAATTTTAAAATTTTTGATCAGCTGCTCAATTTATTATATGTATTGTTGTTTTCATAGTGTTTTCTATTCTCCTGTTATACCCCACCCTGGTATTTTATGATGTGGCAGTAAAGAAATGTTTTTATAATCATAAAATAAACCTCTTATTAATTTGTAAGGAACCACAGAATTCCCTGGAAAACAGTTTGAGATGGTTAATTGAATCATTTATTTTATTGTTGTGAAGAACGTGGCCTCCAAATATACCTTTGTTTTCCTATCCAATATTTTTGAGAATGGGTGGCTGATGCTGGGTGACTTGAGTGAACAAAACCTCTTTTTCTTCCTATCCAGGCCGAACTCACAGGTCCAACCAAGTGACCGCACCAGAATATGTCTTCCTAATATCTGAACTGGCTGGAGAACAAAGATTTGCGTCAATCGTTGCCAAACGCCTGGAGAGCTTGGTAAGCGGATTGTTGGGTGTAGCTTTGACTAGGAAATTCACTGCAAGCGAGCAGATTTTGATTAAAGACACAGAAACACATTTGAAAACACATTTCTCAATTATACCAGGTTCTGTTAAAGTTGAAAACAAAGGAGAAAACATCTAAGATTCTGTGGTCTAGAGAGTGGCTCTGGTATCTCAGATTGTGTGGGGTAGGGGTTCATAGGGGGATTTAAGCAATTCCCAATTTATGTTAATATGTTGGAGACTCAGTACAAATCATTGGGTAGATGCAGGATGGGGAATCTGGCCCACCAGATGTTGCTGGACTATAACTCGCATCATCTCCAATTGCTGGCTTTGCTAGGAGAATCTGGTGGGAGATGGAGTCTAGCATCTTCTACAGGGCAACAGGTTTCCTATCCCCAGTATAGATTGTACTTTACTCTGCAGAATGAACAGGATCTGTCTTGTGGACATGATCAGGTGTTCAAAATGTACCTCCCATCAGTGAGAGGTAGATGATGAAGGGCTCTGTGTGGGAGACAGAGTAGAAAAGATCCCCCAGGGTGGGAGTCTTGGGGAAGAAACAGAAGTTCCCAGGTGGGAGCTGGGGAGGTCTACCTTTTTGTATATGGTTAAAGGACATGATACAGTTGTGATAGAGGGCTTTTATATCTCCCCCTCCCCCTTGCCGTTTTATTTTTGTTTTCTCTTATTTTGGCTTTTCTGTATCTCTTTTTTTGATTAGTTTGGCTTTTATTGTATCTTATGTTGAAAACTTTCAATAAAAATATTTAACGAAAAAACAACAACCCATCTTTATTGGCTGTGGTCGTACAAGTCACTACCTGATGAGCCTTATTCTCTGACATACTTTTGGCTTCTTATGCCAACTTTTTGTAATATCTTCCATGCTCCTGGATGATTAAATTCTTAATCAAGTGGGCAAAATGTACCTCTCATCGAACAAAATTGCACTATGTTTGTTATGTGCTGAGGCACAAGCAAATTGGGTTGGATCCAGAAATAAGCATATCAAAGGGGGCTGGTGGAAACAGAATTTCCCACCCGCTCCTCAAGACTCGGCTTCCATGAGTGAGAGTTCTGCTGGAAGAAGGCACCTCTATCTAATTTTGAGAGCTCCCTTTGTCTCCTGCACTCCAGGTCTTCTCCAGTCAACAGGTCCCGACTCTCAGAGAGGAAGGGCTGGAGACTGCAAGAGGGAGGAGGGAGTGGGAAAGTCCATTTCCACCAGCCCCTTCATTATGCTTATCTCTGGATCCAGGCTGTTGGCTTCAGATGATAGGCATTCTTCAGCAGATAACTGAAATAATGGTGAATAAAGATGTGTTAAGCATTTAGGAGATGATATATTATAAAAACAACTTGGTCTCAAAATTATTGTCTCTTGATAGGGAGCTCTCACTCATGGCGACAGAAGAGCAACAGAAACAAGAGACCTCAGCAGGTTCAACTTCGACAACAAGGTAAGCAAGACACCTTTTGAATAAAGCACGCCTATCTTGCCTTGACACTTTAAAAAAAATAGGCTGTTATGGGGGGGGCGGTTCTTTGCATCATTATCCTTTTCCCTTTTGGGGTTATAAGCTCTGGAAGTTCCCCAGGCATCCTGGGCAGATTACAGCACATACAAAAACATAGTAAAACATTAAACAATAAAAACTGCCTGTATAAATTGGCCAGATTTTGGATGTGAAAGGCAAGTGTCCTAACTTTCTAGGGGACAAACATAATACTTTTAAAAGAAGGATGTTTGTATTTTATGGTGGCTACAATAGTTTTCCCCCGCTCTCATTAACAGTATGGCCGAAATGCGTTGGAAATAGTGATGAAGTCCATTGTGAACTTAGACTCACCGTTGGTGTCTCCACCTGCTGACTATCCAGGAGAATTCTTTAAAGGTTTGTGAATTTTTTGAAAAAATACTGAGGTGATAATCACATTTATCAGTGAAGGGAAACAGTTTCATAGAGTGAATTAAAATTATGTACTCTAATTGTTTGGTGAGACTATATGTCCCTTTTCCTAACAACTAAATTCAACAGTTCCTTTTGAAATTGCATGATCTGTTTTCAGAACTTGGATATGAGAGTACAAATGGTTTGGGTTAATTATGGCATTCCAGCTACGGAATCGTTGGGCCTTTGGGTAGTAGATAACAACACCTGTTTGTACTGCCATATGACCTCTCTTGCACATTGAATCAGTTGTGTTAGTTTTTAGGGGAGGGAAACCATCAAAGGTTTGGTTACATTTCACAAATACTGATGGTACTTAAATTACCTTAGTAAACTAGTAAACAGCAAGAATGGAACCCATGACAGCTTCACTTTGTTCTTCCTAGATGTCCGTCAGGGTTTAATAGGTGTGGGCCTAATAAATGTAGAAGACCGGTCTGGAATTCTCACGCTTGACAAAGGTACTTGCTCCTTTTTAATGTCTATGTAACTGACTTTAAAAAAAATTTTAAAAAATCTGTAATGGCCTTGTAAGTCAACAGCAAAATTTGAAAGGGTTGTTTTCTATGAGTAGACCCATTGAAATTAATACATGGCTAACTTTGGTCCATTCATTTCAGTGGGTCTACTCTAAGCAGAACTTGGCTGGATACAGGCCGAAGTCTTCAAGTGTGACTATACAAAGCAAAGCTACGCTTTCAGATAACACAGTGATCTGAAATTGGTAGTGTGCTTTTGAAGTCCTTTATGGCTCTAAAGACGGAAGCCAGCCTGTCTCTTTCCCTCTGCCTCACTGACCTAATACAGAAGGGGGCTTGGGAGGGGGAGGAGAAGAACTTAATGCAGCTTTTATGGTTAGATTTGAGGTTGGTAGGGTGGGAAGAAACTGCTCAGACAGAGTTCAGAAAGAGTGTGTACCTCATACACTTGCCTATATCCTTGCTCATAAAATAATCTAGAATGCCTAGTATAACTAAGGAAGAAATACTACAGAGTGCAAATAACTTACTGAGCTAGAAAGGTGGGCAGTTGGTGCCTACACAAGGGGGTTATAGGGATACGTCAGCTATGACCTCCATCTGCATCTACATAATGCAGTTGTAACCTTGTGATGAGCCATGAGACAGTGGAGTAGGTGCCAGACAGATCTGCCTCTTCAGAGAATTGGAGAATACCCATAAATGTATTCTGTATGTCTCTGAACTTTAAGGGAGATTGTTTCACGATTTGTCTTACAGTTAACCAATCCATTTATGTAGGATCTTGGTTGCATTCATTGTGGGTGGATGACTTGCATTTATAGCGAGGGTGGGGCTGTGTGTACTGTGTGCTTCAAAAAATAAATTATTTTCCAAGACAGCTAACTTCATCAACTAGTTTTAATTATACCAATCGAGGAGATTTGTATTCCATCATTTCTCCTGTTGTGCACAATTCTGGTTTTACTAGCAGAGGTGCTTGTAGATAAAGTTGAGCCAAAGAGCTATGGAGAATGCTGCCGTGCTCCCCGCAGCTACGGGAAATGTTGAAAACAGGAGCTGAATTTGGTACCCAATACAGCACACTGCAGGTGTTTTGTGCTTCTGTAGAATTGTGGCATGACCCTGCAAAGAATTGGCAGACTCCTCCTTGTTCTTGTGGCCCTCCAGATGTTGCCAAACTATGGCTCCCATCGTCTTTGACTGTTGACCATTCTGGCTATGACTGATGGGAGCTGGGAGTCCCAAAAACATCCATATGGCCATAGGTTCCTGCCTTCTGTTTACACTGCCAGGATTGTGCTTTTCCACCGATAAAACAAAGATGAAAGATGAAATAAAATGCTGTGTTTCTCCCCTCCACTCCCCCCCCCCAAATATCTGTCTTAAAGTGCTTCATCTCCTCTTGTTCTAGATTACAACAATATAGGGAAATTTCTAAACCGGATTCTGGGTATGGAAGTGCACCAGCAGAATGCTTTATTCCAGTATTTCTCAGACACGTTAAATGCAGTAATACAGAATGCTAAAAAGAACGGAAGATATGACATGGGCATTTTAGGTAAGAGCATGAGTTTGTTCGCACAACCTGCTATGCCAGGCTTTTTTCAGAGCCCACGTTCTTCCACTGCCGGTAATAGAGGCAGATGGAAACCAGCCACCACCTCTTTCAGCCTCTCCAAGAATGAGATGGTGCCTTGAACGGATAGGAAGTGCTCCATGGTTTTAGTAGCAGCAAGAGCCAAACAACTGAAGTTCTTCAGACCTCCTGCCTTGATTAGTCCCCCGTTTGAGCTCTCCGTCTTTCTGCCATTCTGGCACCGCATGCATAGTCACTGTTTCTTGTGCTGTTCTGTAATGCTTACTGAGGATTGCAGTGCCCCAGATGCCTGGCCTCTATCTCATGCCTCTGTAGCCCTGCTCATGTATTTCTTGTGATGGCAAAGCAGGCAGGCTTGAGTAATGCTGCTTTTATGTGCCGTGCTGCCTTCTTTTCTTCAGAAATGCCTCAGAGAGTGATACGCTGCCTCAGTAGAGGAGGCTGTTCAGAGACTGGTGATTCCTCCACACAGGAATCATTGCAGACTTTTGTTCTTCTCTATGTCCTGTACTCATACGCACCTTGTGACTCTCTTTCTTGAAGATCTGGGTTCAGGAGATGAGAAAGTGAGGAAGGCAGATGCTAAAAAATTCCTCACACCAGGATATTCTACCTCAGGACATGTTGAATTGTATACTGTAAGTTTCTTGGTTAATTGTTCACCTTTGCATGAGCCACTGACATTTTTTGTTGACTCTTAAATGGTAAAACTTCTTGCTAAGTACCCTTTGACTTTTAATGTATTTTCTAGATAAGCGTGGAGAGAGGGATGTCTTGGGAAGAAGCAACTAAGATTTGGGCTGAACAAACTGGACCAGAAGATGGATTTTATTTATCACTTCAGGTGAGATTGTTCTCTGCAAACTTCCACCCAAAAGCATGTTAATTTCATTGGACATTAGTATATCTTGTGTGTAATAAAAACAAAAAAAGAAAGGTAAAAAAAGGAGCGGGTGGATGCTGTGTTCTAAACCACTGAGCCTCTTGGGCTTGCCGATCAGAAGGTCAGCAGTCCAAATCCCTGCAACTGGGTCAGCTCCCGTTACTCTGTCCCAGCTTCTGCCAGCCTAGCAGTTCAAAAGCACACTAGTGCAAGTAGATAAATGGGTACCACTGTGACGGGAAGGTAAACACTGTTTCTGTGCGCTCTGGCTTCTGTCACGGTGTTCCATTGTGCCAGAAGCAGTTTAGTCCTGCTGGCCACATGACCCGGAAAGCTGTCTATGGACAAACGCCGGCTCCCTCGGCCTGAAAGCGAGATGAGTGCCGCAACCCCATATTCACCTTTGACTGGACTTAACCATCCAGGGGTCCTTTACCTTTTACCTTCTTACAAACCTAATAATTTCTTAAGGTAATAAAGAAATAATACTTGACATTTATGCAGTGTCTCTTTAAGCATTTGAAGCACTGTGTAGTCAGTATTTCAGGTGGGAGCCTGAGATTGAGAGTATGGTGGCAAAAGATGGATTTTCCCGGAATAGCAGCCCCCTCAGACCAGATCTGGGAGCAGAGCTGAGGTTTGGGTCAGAAGGACAGAACTATTGCATGTGCCATAAAGCTGCCTCCTTGAAATTTTTGTTGCCTCCTTAACTTCATCCAACAGTTTCTTTTTTTTCTTCTTCTGGGGAGTGTAGTGTGATTTATTGACTGCTACCACAACGTGTGTGTAAACAAGCCGCCAACTCTGCTTCTGTATAAAACAAATTCTGTTTTGCGTTTAGGGATGTGTTTCACCATCGACAGGACTGTTTTCTTTTCTTTCTTTTTTCCTTTTAAATTTTTTTTATTCATACTTTTCAAGTTTATACATTTCACTAATTTTATACATTTCACTAATTTTACAATCGTTTTAACATTTCAAAACTTGACTTCCTTGCCCCTTTCTGCGGTTCCTTAAATTTATTTTTAATATTTTCTGCTTATCCAAATTAACTTAATTTGCTCATTTATTCATTGTCTTTAAATATATACTCTTATGAAACCAGGTTATTACAATACTCCTGCCAATGTTTTTATCTGTTTACAATGTATAAATATTCAATAAACCATTTCCATTTTTTTAATAAAAAGGTTGTTATCTTGATTTCTTATTCTTCTGGTAAGTTTTGCTTCATCCAGCACATTCTAAACCTGGTCTGTCTTTAAATAAATGTTAAATCCTGACAGTATCGTAAGTAATGCATACTGCATTTTCACAGTATCCCCCCCCCTTTTTTTCTCTTCCAGATACGAAACAATAAGAAAACTGCCATCCTGGTGAAAGAAGTGAATCCCAAAAAGAAGCTTTTTCTAGTATATAGACCAAATACCGGAAAACAATTGAAATTGGAGACGTATGCAGAAATAAAGAAAAAATATAAAAAGGTTACTTGCTTTTTAAAAACAAAATTAACTATAACATGTGGAAAACATTAAAATACCACATATGTATTAAACCTATAATCTTGCGGAAGGGAGAAACAAAGTATGCATGAATACCCTTAATATGCATTCATTACATTTAAAATACACAGATCCTAGATGTAAAGAGTAGTTTATTCACATGACCCATAATTTGTGCACATACCCCACCCCTGCTGCTTGCCTCTTCTCACCTGGGCTGCCCTCTCACACACTGGCTAACTACCCATCTTATTTACTTCCTACACAAGTAAAGCATGCCTAGGATTGCAGCCATAGTCAAATGAGATGACCTTGTGGAAATACTTGGTGCTGAATAGTTGGTATTACAACTAAATTAGGCATAATGCCAAACCATAATTTTGGTGTTAAATAGTCCTCTTCTGCAGGGCCTTCTGTTCACATGTGGCATCCTCCCTCTCTCCCCCTGGCAAAATAAAAATAAAAATGATTCTTGTTCCAAATCAGAGTTGGCCAGTTCTTCCAAACAAGCAAACTCTGATTTGTGCTTTTCTGCAAGCCATAGATCACACCTTCAGACAACTGTTGAGCTATGGTATTCTATCATTAAGGACTGGGGGCTGCGTGGGCAGGAAGAGCATGTGAGCCTGAGGTGCCCTGGGATTCTTCTCATCCATGTACCATGAGAGCATGGTTTGGCCGTGCATCTGAATGGGACCTGTAAAGTTACTCTTAATCTTGGAAATCAAGAAGCCAAATCTGGCTGTAATAAATATGTAATATCTAATTTATTTCATTTTCAGGTTCCTTCTGACGATGCTGTGGCCCACTGGCTAGAGCAGTACACGTCATCAGCAGACACTTGCACCCATGCTTACTGGTGAGTTCTTGAAATGCTGCGGTACAAAATGCCTAGTGTGGTGTGCTGGGCTTTTCTGAGAAAAGAAACTTCGCATGGGAGCATAGTGAAAGCTTCACCACAGCGTTGCATTGGCAGCTTTTCCACAAGAAATAGCGAGCCTGAGATTTGTGCTAGTTCTAACTAGGCTTGAGGAACCTTCTTAGTTCAGAACTAAGTTTATCCTCTATTCTTGTCTGACTTGCGTGCTTGAGCAGCTCATCCTAGTCTATTGTGTGGCAACAATTTGTTATGTAAAATCAAAGTGTTACTCAGAAAATATTGTGGGACATCAGTATCCTTGTGTGTTGCTTTTCATTAAAAATTGTGTATGTGTTAAAGAAAAGGATCTATCTTTAAGTTTTCCTCCTTTCCTTCCTCTTTCAGGAGAGGCAACTGCAAAAAAGCAAGCCTGGGCCTGGTGTGTGAAGTTGGCCTGCGCTGTCGGACGTACTATGTCCTGTGTGGTTCAGTCCTAAGTGTCTGGACAAAGGTAGAAGGAGTTCTAGCCTCAGTAAGCGGTACAAATGTTAAAATGCAGATCGTTCGGCTACGGACGGAGGATGGACAGAGGATTGTAGGCAAGTCTGATAATTTGTCATTACCTTTTGGTCCATGTGGCAGTCTTAACTCCTGAAGTCTCTCTAACCTTAAAAAGTGTACAACTAGTTTTATGTATTGTTGGTTTCTTGGAACAGAAGTCTCATTTTGCATTTTATTTTATTTTCCCCTCCAAGGATACATTATAGAATCTGCAGCATGTTTCTTTAGTGTCTTACACTGAGGAGCAAAGGGCCTGCATTTCATAGTCCAAGAAAAAGTAGGCCTAAAAAGACTGATGAGAGCATTTTCAGGATATTGTCAGAGAGAACAGCTGGCCGTGAATTACAAGAAAACCAAAGTCATGGTTTTCTCAAGAAACTATAGGGCCCATAGATGGCGCATGGACAACCAGCTAATTGAACAGGTCAAAGTTTTCAAATATCTTGGCCTTATTTCCCAGTCTACGGGGTCATGGGGAGCACACCAGAAATGCAAAATTCTGACATGCATTTTCTACACAAAAGGTGGTAAACCTATACCATCAGTAGTGGAAGTGTTCCAGAGCTAAACCACTAGCACAGTTGTTATATGGGGCTCAGATTTGGACAGGCACTCACCTTGAATCTACGGAAGCTGTCCAATCAAAGTTCGTAAGGCAAATTATCTGTGTACCACCGAGTCCCAAACGCATCGTTGCGCCTAGAGGCTAATCTTCCCTCAGTAGAATTACGGATCTGGCGTAGGACACTTAACTATTGGCTTCGCCTAAACTTAAACCCCCCTGGTCTAATATCCCTAGTGCTGCAAGATTGTCACAAGAGCGCCTGGACAAAAAATGTCTATCAAAAACTTCACTCTTGTGGTTTATCACCACAACAGCTACTCACTTTGGGTTTTAGTAAAGCAAACAGTCTAATTTGTCAGTGCCTAAATGATATTGAGCGTCAGAAAAACTTGGCCACAATAAGGAAATTTTGCCCATGGTATGACTACAGTGGTGCCTCGCAAGACGAAATTAATCCGTTCCGCGAGTCTCTTTGTCTTGCGGTTTTTTCGTCTTGCGAAGCACGGCTATTAGCGGCTTAGCGGCTATTAGCGGCTTTAAGAAAAAGGAAACAAACTCGCAAGAACTCGCAAGACGTTTCGTCTTGCGAAGCAGGCCCATAGGGAAATTCGTCTTGTGGAACGACTCAAAAAACGGAAAACTCTTTCGTCTAGTGAGTTTTTTGTCTTGCGAGGCATTCGTCTTGCGGGGCACCACTGTATTTTCCACCGTCCCATTTTGACTCTTTGGCACCCTATCTGCATAACCTAGCAATTCTAAAATGTAGACACACTTTTACTCTCGCTTCCACACGAAAAACACTTATGTCCCTGTGGAGATGGCAGTACCGAATTGGTGGCGCATCCCCTTCTGGCTTGCACTCTTTATAAAGACTTGAGGAATGAGGTTATCACCCCTCTTTTATTGTCCATTCAGGGTCGCCTAACCACTGCCACAGTGACCTTTCTCTTGGCAGATCAAGATGAGCAGGTGTTTGACAGCAAAGGTTGCAAGGTTTTTAGCTGGGGCAGTTAGGAAAAGATCCACTATTTGACTATTGATTCAAAACCCTAAAATGTATTTTATATAATTGACTTTTCATTTCTATTCTTTGTATATTGTATTGTTGTTTTATTGCTATGGCCAATGGCTGACGTAAATAAAGATTAATTCATTCATTCATTCATAGTTGAAAAGGTGGAGGGATGGGTGTACTGGGCTCACCACAAGCCCTTGATCATGCTTAAAGTAACCTTTTCTAATCAGGCCTCTGTCCCCTAAATGAGGTAAAAAGGGAGGAGGAGTGGTCAGACGGCATTTCTTGTGGCCAAATTCTTCTTAAAGAAGGACAGTATCCCAGATGCACAGAGAACTTACCTGTTTCCTTAATATCTATGGCAGCAGCTGGTATCCCTGTGTGTGCACAGTATATGGGATTGGACATCAATAGCCACCATAAATCCACAAAGCTGGTGATTGTCCTCAGAGTAAAAGATTTTAGGTGGTCAGTTAATTGAGCACCACTCACTGCCTTGGAGTCAAGAAGGACACTGTAGGTTGCTTCCAAGCAGCATGAATGTCTGTGAAATAAGACCCAATCTTTTCTGTTGCAGGCTTGATCATTCCCGCAAATTGTGTGTCTCCCCTTGTAAACCTCCTTTCGACATCAGACCAGTCACAGCAGCTTGCAGTGCAACAGCAACAAATATGGCAACAGCATCACCCACAGAGCATTACCAACTTCAACAATGCATAAGAAAAAGAGAGTCTTTGGTATTTGGCTGTACAAGCGTATCATTGCATTTTAAAAAAATATCAGGGACAGATTCCAAAGAAATAACTTTCAGTTCCATCATGCTCTCTTAGAACTGTGCAGAAGTGGAGAGACACCTGAAGGGTGGTCAAACTGAAAGCCAAACATTGTTTTACAGTGGTCCATGTGTCCTTTTTTTACCCCACCCCCCCAATGCTCTTTACAGAGCTGCTTCTTTTTACAAAAAATGTTTGTCCTACTTAAGCTACAAACCATGACTTTTTGTTTTTGAAGAGGCTTGAAAATTCCCAACCAACCTATCCATTCACCTTGTCATACAGTGCTCAGGGTTTAATGCAGTACATCGGTGCCATTGCTGCGGGAGAGGTCCTCGGATGCATGTATTTTGAGTTCATATTGTAGAGATGATATATATAATTGTGGCAACACAGGTTTCAATAAAAAAAGTACATTTATTTAAAAAGCAGCATGAAAATTTAAAAGTTTGCAAACCACACATTCAAGTTTGTTCCCGATTTTTGTTTGGGCTGTGCATGTCTTTGGATTAGGCATGAGCAGGATCTCCTACACAAAAAGTCAACATGGAAAAGGAAGAGAGAGACGATCTCAGTACAGCATTGAGGATTGCATTTTAAGAAAAAGGCCCAGCAATTGCATTTTCTGGCTTTCTTCTAGAGGTTATATATTTGAATCTGCAACATGTTTGTGTGCGTGTGTGATGAAAACATCTTAAATTTTTAAAGTTCCTTTTTTAAAATGTGTTAATGGTGTTCCTAATTGTGTGCTGCAAGAATGGCTTTAAAAAAGCCTGATTTATTTTCTTTTTTCTTTCCTTCTCAAATGTTTCCTTTATCCAGTGAGGTTTTTAGGAAACACAAGTGCAAATTTACTTCCATTTCACATTACAGCCCTTTTAAAAAAAGTTTTTGTTTTTTGTTACTCAATACTTGAGCTGTAAATTAGACATGGGGGGGGGGAGGGGGGCAGCAGCACGTGAGGGTTCCGATGTGTATGCTGGGTTTATTTTCCCTCCCGTTGCCCCGTAACTTGAATACTTTTGTTTATGTTGTAAGACATTGTAGAGTTTATCCTGGAGCTGTTTAAAATTGTAAATGTACAAAATGTGAATAGTCACTTATCTAAAAAATATGGGTAAGTTTTGTTTTGCCTATAATAGTAGATGTTTATAAAGAAAGTGAAGGACAATGTTTGTCATTTTTCTTCTTGCTTGCACAGGTTGCACTATTGAAAATTTGAGATTGTATAAACCTGTCCACAGAACTGCAAGATACCAAAATCTTGTAGGTGTCAAATAAATAAAAAAAGCTATTGTTCTAACAAGCAATGAGTCCTGTGTTTTTCATCAGTCTGTCACAATTCTCAGAACATTTTAGTGATTGAGTCATGGGTTAAGTTCACACCAGAAGGAAGCAGGTGGCGCTGTGGTCTAAACCACTGAGCCTCTTGGGTTTGCCAATTGACTGTCTCCATCGGCGGTTCAAATTGTGTGACCTGCCCCAGTTCCTGCCAATCTAGCAGTTCAAAAGCATACCAGTGCGAGTAGATAAACAGGTACTGTGGCAGTGGGAAGGTTTCTGTGCACTCTGGCTTCCGTCACAGTGTTCCTTTCTGCTAGAAGCAGTTCAGCCGCATGACCCAGAAACCTGTCTGCAGACAAACGCCAGCTCCCTCGGCCTGAAGCAAGATGAGCACCACACCCCATGGTCGCCTTTGACTGGACTTAACCATCCAGGGGTCCTTTACCATTTTTTTAATTTTTGTTTTTGTTTTAATAGTAATTATTAATAATTTCAAAATTACAAAAAAAGAAAAAATAAAGAACAACACTACAACACAAAAAAAGAGAAAAACGCAGAACATAAAAACCAATACATCAATACAGCAAAAGAAAAATAAAAAGAAGGGGAAAAAAGACACAAATCCCAAATTGCATATCTATAATTTCCATTTGCTTGTTTCATTGACCTCCTCACACCTCCCTTTTTGTATTCTAGTTTAATTAGTTATTTCAGCAAATTCTTTCCATCTTTCTCAATTTTTGTTAAAAAATATATCTTAACAATTTAACCTAATAATTAACTCAGCAAATCCTTTCCATCTTTCCCCATATTCTGTTATTCAAATTACCTTAATTTATTTAACCTTATCTTACCCCAAAATACCTTAAAGCTTAAATCTTAGTTTTCAAATATACATAGCTCCTGATATCATTTCTGCTAGAGTCATATAGTTTCATTCCAACATTTTCCCTAATATTCATTAAGCTAATTCTAAATAAAAAGTTTCCTTTATAAATTTTCTTCCAATCATCATCCAGCGTCTCTTCTTCCTGGTCTCGGATCGTGTCAGTCCTTACTGTCCATTCCATCTAGTCCATCAACCTGGAAGCCTTATGTCCGAGGCCCTTAAGTCTCTTCCATGTCCCTTCTGCAGATCTTCTTCTTCTTGTTTATACTTGCCCTTTTCCTTGTCTTTTGTTGGTCTCTTTCTTAATTTCTTTCCTTTCTCATTGAGGAGTAGATCTCTGGGGGATTCCAACCCAAAATTGTCTCCACCTCCCTTCATCCAGCCCGCCCATTCCCCACAGTCCCACTCCCCACAGTCCTCGATATAATCCAAAAAGTATTTAAAATCATATTTCAAGGTCTCTCCGAAGTTAGGAACCTCCTCATCTCCAAACTCCCCCTGGCCCACTTCAACTTCAATCTTCAATGACAACGGCTTATGCTCCTGTAGGGCCTCGGGTCTCTCCATTTGTATTATTTGAGGTGCAACCGCATCTTCCTCCATTGTCATCTGCACTTGCCCAGTCAGTACAGAATCATAGATTGGTCCCTGGATGATTTCTGTATCCATGTTCCCTGTTTGTCCACAGTTATTAACCACAACAGTCAAATCCATTTTCTCATTCATCAAGTCCATCTTCTCATGCATCTGTTCCAGCAAGGCATTTGTCTTGCATAAAGCAAGCACCCAATCTTCCTCCCAGCTCATCTTTGGTCAAGGTCAGAAAAGACTGTTCCCACGATCTTAATCTCACAGATGTTGGGTCCTCAAGTATACTGCAGCAACAATTTAACAAGCTCCCTCTAGAGGAGACTTTCTATTTATATCCTTTTTTTTTTTAAAGGCGAAGGAAAGTTACTTTCATTTTCCAGATATTTCAGATGTTTTTCAGATATTTTGTTTCTTTAGAATGCAAAAGGCAACATTAGAATCAACTTGTCTCTCGTCATTAGCTATCTGTCAAAATATTCCATTCACAGTCAATGAACCTCTCCAGCAGTTTCTGTCTCTGACACCCCGTTCCCAGGTTAGAGACGGTGGAAACTTATCCTTCTTCACTCCCTCTCCTGCTAGGGTTAAACAGAGTTCCCCCCCCCCTTTTCTCCTGCTTCCAAGGGGGGTTTCAGTGATTCTGAATGAAGGAAATTTAGGCTTTTTTGACAGCTTTCCCGGCTTTAGCTTACAAAATTTTTGCTTTAGTCTATATACAGAAAGCGGAAGGCGGACTTCCTGTTTTGCACCTTCCCGCTTCGATACCAAATTAAGCAATTTCTTGATCCAATTTTCCGTTTCTACTCACGGGTACTTGTTTTAAGTCCAATTGTCCACAGGAAAAAGTCAGCGCTCTCTGGCAATGGCTGTGCGGCTTCACTCCGTGAAAGTAGCAGTCAGTTCGCAGCACCGCGCTTCTCACCCCACTTCGCTCCGGAGCCCCTAAATGGGATTCCCCGCGAGTAGGGGGGCGCTTCTGGTGCCCTGCCGAACCCCACGTTCCCAGGCTTCCTCTGCCTGGGATTTCTAACGGGTCCCCACCTTCGCCGCGGCGGGTGCTGTTTCCCAGTTTCCACAGAGCCCGTTCCTCCGGTCGGAGGAACTCCGCCATTCACCAATGGCGCTGACCCGGAAGTCCTTTACCATTTTTTTTAACCTAAGTTCACACCACTAACTCCCAAACACTGCCTGGATTCATGAGCATGTCTCAATTACTCAGGATTAAACAAGTGAAGGCACTTGTGAACCCATGCAAAGGGGGAGGTGGCCAGCTTGTCACTGATTTACCACAGTACTTGCCTCTTTTCCATTAACCTGCATAAGGTGTGGTTGAATCAACCATTCTCAGCACAGCGGCATTTAAAAAAGGTAAAGGGACCCCTGGACGGTTAAGTCCAGTCAAAGGCAAATGTGGGGTTGCGGCGCTCATCTCGTTTTCAGGCCGAGGGAGCCGGTGTTCGTCCACAAGACGGCTTTCCGGGTCATGTGGCCAGCAGGACTAAACTGCTTCTGGTGCAACGGAACACCGTGATGGAAGCCAGAGCGCACAGAAATGGTGTTTACCTCCCTGCCGGAGCGATACCTATTTATCTACTTGCACTAGTGTGCTTTCAAACTGCTAGGTTGGCAGAAGCTGGGACAGAGCAGCGGGAGCTCACCCCGTCGCAGGGATTCAAACCACCAACCTTCTGATCGGCAAGGCTCAGTGGTTTAGACCACAGCACCACCCGCGTCCCTTTACAGCTGAATTGGCCACGCTCTGGAGTCCGTGCTCTGGGCTTGCCTCATAACAACCAGGAGGTATGTTCAAATCAGTGGTGACTCCAGTAGAAGTGGTGGGATCATCTAAGGAAGGTTCTAATTCCAAAAAATAAATCTTGTTTTGGTGGGAGTGAAATTAGTCTCAGTCTTTTCCTCAAAGTGTGTGCCTTCACTTACTGAATTTGAGAAATGCTTGTTCAGTTTATATCCTACCCTTGGTTCCTAGAGTGATTTACACAAACTTAAATAAGACCAAAGTTACATGGTCAAAAAGGATGTTGGCTTTTGTCACGGCTGTAAAGCACAGATGGGGGACTTCTGGCCCTCCAGATGTTGAACTGCAATTCCCATGATCCCTGACAATTGATCATTTTGGTTAGGGGTGAGATGAAGGTTCAAACCCAACTGTAAAGTTTTGCTCCCTCCCATTTGTTTATTAACAATCTCCTCCTTTTAATGGACCTACTTGTGCTTTGCCAGAAGGTGCCGCTGAAGCCCTGCAAAGCTGGACAAAGGCTACAGCAAAAGCTAGCAAGGCACAACAAATAAATAGCATTGCACTGCTTTACATGGACAAAAGCAGAGGACCTATTCCAGTTCAGATACTGCTTTCATGAAACAAGTCTGCATTCTGGTTCTGAATTGGGGCTGCAGAGGCTGTTCAAATGCACCTCGTCCTGGAATTTGCTGTGTTTATGCAACCTTAGCTCTTTGCTCAACCCTTCTTGAATTCTGAAGAACTTCACAAGATGGTGGGATGAGAGAGGGAAATCCAAACAGAATTTAACAGGGGCATATGCTGTCAACAATCAGCATCTAGGATTGAGATACTTCTCAGGAAGGAATTGTGGCTGGACTCCCAGCTCATGAGTCCCAGCTGGAATGGCCCAGTGGCCAGGGATGATGGAAATGGTAGTCCCAGCAACACCTGAAGGCCACATGTCTCCACCCTGGGTTCTGCAAGCCCCTTCTCTGTGGTAGCCCCGGTTCAGAACCTTCTCCCCAGGAGGTTCATTCAGCTTATTCCCTCTTGTTGTCTTGGCGATAGCTGAAAATTACTTTTTTTGTGGGGATGGCTTTATTTCATAGTCTTTTGCTGCTTTTCCTGGTTTGCTGTGTTGATTCTTCTGGTTTAATGTAAAATGATTCATTTGCCTGTTTTAGTGTAGGTTTTAGTTTCAGTCTGTTCAACTGCTATAACGTTTTACAAAGAGCAACATGCATGTATTTCAAAATATACTCCACTGTCTAAAATTTAATTTAAGCTTACTTGGACAGTGTTTTGAGTGAAAGGGGAATAGAAATGTAAGATTCCAAGTTAAAATAAAGTCTTTGTTACCACATAGCAAGAGATCAAGTAACTGTGCCTTGGAATAAATTCCCAAATGGGTTGTCGCTATCTTGAAATGTGCAACCCTTGAAAGGTGGGGATGAGACTGATAGCGACATAGAAGCAGACCTGTAACTTTTTGTGTGGGTGGGTGAGAAATAGTCCCTTATGGCTACAGTACAATGCTTCATTTTCTGCTCTTCCCCTGCCCCCCGCCCCCCGATTTTCTATTCATTGAGTTGTCTGTCCACTCCGCTTCCGGTGTCTAAATTTATTTATTGTCTAGAGTAGACAAGACTTTGCCAACATGGCGCTCTCATATGTTTTGGACTACCACTCCCATCAAGTATCATACCCTCAGGTGAAAATAAGGACATTCTTCACTCCCCAGGAACTGACCCTCCTTGATGCCCCATTTTTGTGTGTCCCCACCCCTTGCAGAGCATTTCCTATCAGTAGAAGGGCGAGTGCCACCAGCACTACTACACCATGCTGAGAAAACCACTTAATCCCGGTTTTATTTTATTCTTTGGTAGATTTACAAAAAGAAAAACACACACCATAAATAAATTTTGGAAAGGGCCAAGATTGGACGCAGGGGCAAAAAGCATTAAAAAAATAAAACAACCCCAAGCCTTCTTGTGCTCTTCTCCCCCTTTCTTCCTGCCCAGGGTGGCCCTGCCTTCTCAGAGCCAGTGTGTCATGTGGGGCTGGGTCTCAGGGGCAGGGGCCGCCTCTCCTCCTCCTCCTCGCCCGCTCTCCGGCAGCCACTAAGAGCTGCCATGGGGAGGAAGTGGCAGCACCAGGAGAGGCAAAGGGGTGCTCCCTCACAGTCGCAGTTTGAGATGGCTCATCCTTTCCCCCTAAGTTCAGCAGCAGCAGCAGCACTGGCAGGGGAAATTGGGACGTTCTGGGATCAAATCAGAAGCCAGGATTGCTTTTGTAATTCCAGCACTGAAAAATCAGGACACTTGGAGGATATGAAATATGCAGAGGCCATGTTGGTGAAGACTCTTCTAGGAACAAAAAAGGAAGGGGAAGGTTTAAAGAAGGTGTGCAATCCACTAGGAAACTTCCTGCTTTGGATAGTAGACGCCTCCTCTGTGATTCGGTACTTTGCAAGGATTATAGGAATTGCTGCAACATAATGATTTGCAAAGATTTGATGCCAATTGTTTTGACAATCCCAGCATCAAAACGGCTTTTAAAATGTAAGCTGGGTTGCTTAGAACATGATTTGTGGGTGTGTTTCTGGGCTACAGCGGCCTTTGTCCCAGACCGTCGGCCAGAACGGCTGATGAGAACTGAGAGAGCCCAACAATCTCTGGCCTACAGCTTTAAAGCTTAAGCCAGTGGTGTCCAAACTTTTTTTCAAAGAGGTCCAGATTTGATGAAGTGAAGGGCCGTGGGGCTGACCAAAGGACCAACCAAAGTTGTTGACCTTTTTTTAGAGTTTAAATTGTTGAGCTTTTTTTTAGAATTGGAGGGGTGTTTTTTTTAGGATTTTACCCCAGGAAATAAACTGCCACAGGGGTTGGATTAAACCAACCAGCGAGCCACATTAGGTAGGCCCCCGGACTTTGGACATGCCTGGCTTAAGCATTTCACTAAATATCTATTTACCTAGAAGACTATACCAGCTCTGTAGTTGCACTTGGGACCAGTGTAAGACTTCCTTCTTCTAAGGTGGAGCACCAAATGGCACTCCCCCCAACACACACCTGTCCTACACAATCAAGGTGTATAGTACCCAAGGCCAAGCAAGGTATTTTGGCACCCGAGGAGGAAAATCCCACAAGGAAAGCTACAGCAACCAATAATTTTGCTGCCTTTAGCATCACAAATCAACAGCTTCTGAGACACTCTGTAAGTATCTTTACAGGTCAATGACATGTGTTTTACAAACCACTCAAAAGAAAGTGTGCACCCACTTTCCAACTCCCAATTTTCAGGAAACCTCCAAGCCTGTTATCTTTTGTTCATATTAAGTACCCTGGCATGGCTTTTGTCAAAATCCTTTTAATTCTAAAGGATTCAGCAGAGAGACTCAGTATTTTGTAGTATGCATCTCTTAATTTAACTTTATGTCAACCAGAAATTTTCAAACTCTGCCTTGAGAAGCAAGAGAGCATTTTCTTAGCCCAGTTGCTCATCTCAGTAGAGGCTGTTACAGATTAACTACTTCTAGGCTTCACTGCGGAAGAGAATTTTGACCTATCCCTGTATCAAGTATGCATTAATCCATCCTGATACAAAGACCTAGCAGAATTGCTCATCCTTGGAGGGGGTTGCATGTTCTACATCTGCACAACTCACTACTCTGGACCTGCCTTCTTGCAAGCATGCCCTGTGGGAAGGGAGCAATAATTTATTTCTTACGTTGAGGCACAAGTGCCAATGCATTTGCAGCCAAAATGGCACCACCTCTGCACAGGATGGGACGTACACTCAGTGAAGTCCTGAGGTTTGCAGAACAACATCAACATTTAAAACCAACCAACCAACAAACAAACCCTAAAGTGGACAAGGAAATGACCTACGTAGCCAAATGAAGAGTGAGCATGGTTAGTGGTCATGGGATGTTGACTCTTGGGAGGATAGATGGAATGGAGTATCTTGAAATAGGGCATATATGCTGACTGGAACAATGAACAGGGGGACTCCACACTTCTTATAAATGTTAGGGTTGTAACCAGCTAAGTCCTACTCAGAGAAGACCCATTGAAATTAGTGGATAAGGTCCATTAATGTAAATAGGTATACTCTGAGTTGGACTTCGCTGAATACAATCCTAATCTAGTTTAATTCAAAGTATTACAGAAGAGCCACCTAAAAAAATTAAGTGTTTTACAAACTGCCCCTCCTATAGCCAAAATAAACACCAGCATCTCTCTCTCCCCTATGCTAGAAAGGCTGCAGAGAGAGAGACCGATGTTTTCATGCCTGGTGGAGTTGCATGTCAGTGTACTCCTTTGGGAAAAAGGTGTCTCACATTATTTCATATTTTATTAACATTACACAGCAATGTCTCACCCAACTCAGCTCTCGCCTTATTATCATTAGACCCAAATTCAAAAAATAACCTTAAATGCAGAGACTTACTATTTATTCTGTTAGCAGCCTGATTAACAATAGCCTGACAAACACGTAAAGCTGTCTCATGGTTTGACAAAGAATGCCATCATGAGAAATCTCTTCTGAGACGAGCATTTCAATTACAGTCATACCTCGGGTTGAATATGCTTCGGGATGAGCGCGTTCGAGTTGCGCTCCGCAGCAACCCGGAAGTACGTTACTTCCGGGTTTCACCACTTGCGCATGCGCAGACGCTCAAAATGACGTCATGCGCATGCGTAGAAGCGCCAAATGTAATCCGCGCAGACACACGGACATGGGTTACGTTTGCTTCTAGATGCGAACGGGGCTCCAGAACCTGGATAGCTCAGTTGGTTAGACCATGGTGCTGATAACACTCAAGGTTGCAGGTTCGATCCCTGTATGGACCAGCTGCATGTTCCTGCATTGCAGGGGGTTGGACTAGATGATCCTCAGGGTCCCTTCCAACTCTACAGTTCTATGATTCTATGATTCTAGAGGTGCCACTGTATTCCAATCCAGGAAGAACCTGAGCCATTTAAAAGAATACCTAATATGAAAAAAAAAACACCTTTCAGAGCTCTTCCATAAGAAAAAGAAATCTTTCTATGAAGGCCGTTGGCATCATCTGCTCAGGGCAATTCAAGTAAAGGACAGCAAGGAATTATTGAGGATAGTTTCTGGTGCCCTTCAAGATGGTAGCAACCAAACAATCACCATCATTCCTGCCTCTAGCTGGTTTAATCACTATTCTGCAATATTTACAGCGCCAACAAATCTATCAGCTATGCAAAATGGGCCCAGTTATGTACATCTTCCAGACTGGACCCTAGTGGAACCAGATGAAATACTCTCAATAATCAAGAAGTTAAGATCAAATAAATCCCCAGGACCAGACGGGATCCCTGGTGAACTTTTTAAGCACATTCCGGATTGGTGGGCCCCTCTATTAGCCAACTTATTTACTTTAATTGACAAATTCGGGATTACCAGATGTTTGGCTAAACTCCATCATCACTTCTATTTTTAAAAAAGGTGACCCGAATCTGCCTGAGAATTACTGTCCAATAAGTCTCCTATCAAACCTTGGCAAAATGTATACCTGATTTTTGGAAAGGAAATCTAACAAGGTTCTTGGGCCTGAACAAATAGGCTTTTGCCATGGCAAATCAACCACTGATCACTGCATAGTCCTTTCACACCTCACAGAAAAATTCATGGAAAACGGGAGGAAGGAACTTTACGTAGCCTTCCTAGACTTAAAAGGAGCTTCTGACCCCTGTGATCTACTTTGGCACAATTTATGTAAAATGGGAATTGACCAATGCCTGCTGTTTTTAATTAAAAAATTACATACTGCTACATTCTGTCAAATTAAATGTAACTCTAAAGGCGAGCTGATAAAAAGAATAAATATAACCAAAGGAGTAAAGCAAGGATGCGTCTTGGCACCCCACTTATTCAACCTCTTCTTAAATGACCTGGCTCATCACTCTAAAGATGTAAATGGACATCCACCGACATTATGCCAACATAAAATAAAACTGCTTTTATACGTGGGCGATACCACAATTCTTTCTCATACCCAGGTCGGCCTTAGAAGATTTCTGAACTTGTTTTCTTCCTTCTGCCAGATCAACTCCCTGGGAATTACGAAAAATTTAAATTATGATTTTTTCTTAAAGTCGTCAAATTGTCAAATGGAGACTAGATAATCACCCCATTGACCAGGTAAAATATTTCAAATACCTAGGGATATTCTACCAGTCAAATTTAAACTGGACAACACACAGATGCCAAATGATCATCCAGGCAAAATGCACCACATCTGGGATTCTTCATTTTTTCTTTCTCAGAGGCAACCGGATGGTCCCTGCTGCAATAAATATTTTTAATGCCAAGGTCCTTTCTCAGTTATTGTACAGCATTCCAATTTGGATACAAGCATTTAATAGAGAAGTTGAACAAATTCAAGCGACTTTTCTTTTTAAGATCCTTGGTGCCCCTAAATACATGAGTTACTTAGCCTTATGTGTTGAAATCGGTCAACATCTGATGGAAATCAAAGCATGGCTGACTACAACCAAGGCCTGGCTGAAAGTCCACTTCAGAACAACATCTAACTCCTTCTTAACCTCTGTGCTTGAAGATCGCATTTCATTTGGCTGGTATAGAGCAATTCAAGATAAAATTCGTAGTTTGGGCATTGCTCTCAAGAGCCTTGAAGCATGTGACAAAAGTTACATATTCCAAATAATCAAGCAGCTGCTCTACGACCACGAAAGACAGCGCTTGTTACCTCATTCTCCAAGATTCTGTTCTCCGGAGGCCTTAGGTATCACAACACCCTATTGGAACCTGTGCCAAATATCTAAAGGATCTACTACTCCCCTCCCATTAAGGAACCTTTATGCTCATGAGATTAAATGCTTTCCCTTCTGCAGTGACCAAAGGCAGATTCTCACATACTCCATATCAAGCCTGTTTGTGTGCCTGCAACCAAGAAGTACCTGATTCAATGGACCACATTCTCTTAGATTGCTCTCTACACAGCAGACCTCGCCAACTGATGCTGAGCAAAATGTTGGACTTCCGGCCTATAACTCCAAGAAGAAGTCAAATGAGGTTTCTCCTGGCAGATCCCGGGACAAAGATATCACTGCTTTAGTAGCCTCCTTTTTAGCCACAACCTTACCAGAAAGGTTTCCTAACGATTCATCCTTTTGGGGAACAGACAGGGCGAAGCAGAATATCTAAGTGCACACAATCACAGTGTGACCTTATGACCCTCAACAACTTCACCCTTGTCCTTTTAATTATCCCAGTGACTTGAAATGTTTTATACTGTGATGCCAATAAAGGTATTTGATTTGAACAATAGCCTGATATTGGAAACAGTCCCTAGAAATCCCCATTGAAGTCTACTTAAATAGTATTTGGAATGTGGCTCTACCAGAACACCTTACTCACCACAGAAGGGTAATTAAAGGCACTTCATCGATGGAAACTTTTGGTGGGATGCTGACTTCCTTTCTTTTCCTTTATAAATGAGACGGAAAATATTTTAATTCCACCATCATCAACACAAGAATCTCTGTGGAGAGGCTACTTGAATACATAAATAAATGTATTGCTTGTGTACTATGTACTGCATATGAAACTTAATAAGAATGTACCATTGGGCAAGTTACTGTAGTTAGAGGTTGTTCTTGTATTTAAATGAAAAACAATAAAAATTATTGGGGGAGGGGTGAAAGTCACCTTCCTATTTAGATAACTTTTTAGCTGCAATAATGCATCAAATTCCCTCTCTCACATACCCTCCAATATCTCTCCAATGAAAATAGGGACATATCATCATCATCATCATCTGCTTTTTTCTAGAAAATGTTTAGGGGTACTCTCAATTTCTTACTCATACAGTGGTACCTCCGGTTAAGAACTTAATTCGTTCTGGAGGTCGGTTCTTAACCTGAAACTGTTCCTGACCTGAAGCACCACTTTAGCTAATGGGGCCTCCCGCTGCTGCCGCGCCGCTGGAACACAATTTCTGTTCTCATCCTGAAGCAAAGTTCTTAACCCGAGGTACTATTTCTGGGTTAGCGGAGTCTGTAACCTGAAGCGTCTGTAACCCGAGGAACCACTGTATTGAAATACTGCCCCTCAATGAGGCCAAACTTAGATTCACAAAATGTTTAGGGGTCTGCCTGCCCCTGCATCCCCCTAGAAAAAAGCACTGATGATGATGATACTATTTATATCGTGTCCATCTGATTGGGTTGCCCCAGCCACTCTGACCAGCTTCCATCATATATAAAACATAATAAAACATTAAACATTTTTTAAAAAACCTTCCCTATATACAGGGCTGCCTTCAGTTGGGAGTTGGATAAAAAGAGGCAGCTGTTAGTTCTACAAGTCATTGGAGCAACCTGAAGGAAGGGAAGGGAATGCAAGTCACTGCCTAGTTTTCTTGACAATAAGCAAGGGGGTTGCAGTGTTGGGGAGTTTATTGCTGCTATCACTAAGGTTTGGTACTGTTTGGTAAATTAACCAATTAAATGTTGGCTGGTGGGCAGCCATTTAATCAAGGAGGGCTAAATTAAATTGATGAGGCTGTCTCTATACTTAAATGAGGACACACTATTATCTTCTTAAGTAGATTTGGTTTAGGGGTGTTATTGCACAATCACAAGGTGCACCGCACACACACCATTTAAACAGCAATGCCCATCAACTCTGGGGGGACCTTGCCCCCTCATATATTTTATTGGGGAGCAAAGGGACCTTAGCCTCTAGGAGTTGGTTCCTACGACAGGAAAATGTTAAAGATGACTTCCCTTTTAACTATAAATAGCAACTTAAAAACAAAACCTCCCTTAGAACTCCATCAGCATCTAGCAGACAAAATGCATATGTTAAGATTTTCAGTACAATCCTATGCACTTACTCAAAAGTTAGCCCACTGTTTCCATAGTGTGCATGTGTTCAGAACTGCAATTTTATGTGGGCAACTGGAGTGCAATTGTATGCTTGTCCACTCAGAAGTAAGCCCAACTGAGCAGATTAAAATCATTATTAAATATATAAAAACACACTTGCCTGTACCCTATGTTCATTGTCAAAACACCAAGCTGAGGGCAGGTGGTATGGCAGGGATTGGAACCTGTGATTCTTCATGTTGTGACGTGGGGTTTGTGATTTCAGCTCTCCTGATATAACATGCTGGAGACAGTTCTCTGGTAACACTTCTTTATTAAAGCAACAAGACTCCAGACTGGGGAGAGGAAAGCTACATTTATAGGGACAGGGAACTAGCAAGAAAGGATACATTTTGGAGGGAACAATATCAGGCAATCACAGTCCTGCCTTTTGGAGGGAACCAATAAGACAGAGGATCCAAATACAGCAGCTTAAATGAACCAATAGTAGCTGTACCCTCTGGAACCAAAAGGCAGTTACTTTACCCTAATGCAAATACAGACAATAATAATACAGATATAAAATCCTTTGACTCAATACACAACACCCCTTCCCCCCTAGTGAGCACAGCAGACGTAATCTCTCAGGTACTGTGGGGGCCTACAACTTCTACTTGATCTCCTGACAACAGGTGTTGCAGGTTCTGAATTGGGTGTTACCTGTGGTAGAGGGGCTGCTCTAGGGGTTTCGTCAGGAACAGATGGAGTTCCCGACATCTCAGGGTCCCCTATCTGTACCTCGTCATCGTGAGGACTAGCAGACCCTGGTTCATTTGTTAAAGCCCCTGGTGCTTGCACCTCTGGGCCATTTTCACTCTGGTCTTGCAGCTCTGCGTCGTTAGCCAGGGATGAATTATCTGGCTCCTCCCTGCTGAGCGCCCGGCGCCTCAGCTGATCTATATGTCTCTTCCACACTTGCCCATTTTCCAAGGTCACATAATAGGACACAGGTCCACTAGCCCGGGTGACCACACCAGCCACCCACCGCGAACCTCGTGAATAGTTCCTCACCCAGACCAGATCTTCAGGGGCGAGATACCTTGTTGTGTCAGTCTCAGCCTGGGGGGTTGCTCTTGAATTATGGTTTGGCATTTTATCCGGGTGGACATAATCCAGCACCGTTACCAGTCTCCTACCCAAGAGCAGCTCAGCTGGCGACTTGCCCGTTGCGGTACACGGCGTCGCATGCTGCAAAAATAACATTCGCGCGATGCGAGCTGACCAGTTACCCTCCATTAAGCGCGCAATGGATTCTTTGGCTGTTCTTACCATGCGCTCAGCCTGCCCATTGGAGGATGGGTGAAAGGGCGCGGATGTGACCCCTCTTATGAAGTTATCAGCCAAGAATGCCCTGAATTCTTGGGATACAAAAGCTGCCCCATTATCTGATACAATGGTCTCAGGTAACCCGTGGGTTGCAAACAGCTGCCTCAACACCTTGATGACGGCAGCTGATGCCATGCTAGGGACCATCGCCACTTCTAGCCATTTGGAATATGCATCAACGATAACCAAAAAGACCTTTCCTTGGAATGGCCCAGCAAAATCTAAGTGCAGCCGGCTCCAGGGAGATCTGGACTGCTCCCACCAGTGGACTGGTGCTCTGGCCACTTCTGGCCGCACCTCTTGGCATGCCTTGCATGTTCGTACCCATTGTTCTATGTTCTGGTCCATTCCAGGCCACCACACATAACATCGGGCTAGCGACTTCATCCTGACCATTCCCGGGTGTCCCATGTGAAGCGTCTCAAGAACCCTGTTTCTCAGTGGTGCTGGGATGATCACCCTATCTCCCCACAGGAGACAACCCTTATGCATGGACAACTCGTGCTGCCTAGTCGCATAAGGCCTGAATTTGTCTTCATGCGGACCACCTGGCCACCCCCTCCCCACCCAAGTGAGCACACGGGAGAGAACAGCATCTTTCCTCGTTTTCTCAGCTATATCAGTAGCCGTTACAGGAGCCCCCGGGAGTGTTTCCAGCATCATTATGTGCTCCGCTGGAGCAGGATCCTCAGTGCTCCCGCCAGGAAGGGGCAATTGACTCAGCGCATCCGCGTGGCACAACCGTTTCCCCGGCACATGGGTCAAGGTGTACTGGAACCCGTTCAGGAATATAGACCAACGTAACATTCTGGGGGAGAGAATTTGTGGCGTTTGTTTGTTCGGGTTGAACAACCCTAACAGTGGCTTGTGGTCCGTTTCAATGTAGAAATGGCGACCGTACACATAATCATGGAACTTTTTGATTCCTGCCACCATTGCAAGCGCCTCTTTGTCAATTTGAGCATAGTTGCGCTCCGTGGGCGACAACGTACGGGAATAGAAAGAGATGGGCTTTTCCGACCCATCCGGTTCCCTATGACTTAGCACCGCCCCCAGGCCGTATTGAGAGGCATCACATGCCAGGACCAGAGGCTTTGACTCGTCATAATGAGCAAGGACACTCCTGCTACTCAGCATTCCTCGCAAGGAGTCAAAAGCCTTCTGCTGCCCCTGCCCCCATCGCCACACAGTCTTTTTCTGCAACAGTCTATGTAATGGTTCAGCTACCGAAGCTTTCTGGGGTAAGAACGAATGATAAAAGTTAATAAGTCCCAGGAATGACTGCAACTCCGTCTTGTTCTGTGGTCGTGGCGCCTCGATGATGGCCTTAATCTTAGCATCTGTGGGGTGGATGCCTGATGCATCAATTTTAAACCCCAAGAAATCCACAGTTGGCACCCCAAAACTGCATTTTTCCTTTTTCAGTTGCAACCCCACCTCCTTGAACTTGAGCAACACTGCACGAACACGCGCAACCAGTTCCTGTGGGTCTTTTCCAGCAATCAAAACGTCATCAAAAAATGGCAAGACCCCCGCAGACCTCTTAACAGGTGTTCCATGAGCCCTTGAAAAATCCCTGGGGCCACACAAACTCCAAATTGTAATCTGTTAACTCTGAACGCCCCTTTATGTGTGACAATAGTCTGTGCTTCCGCTGATTGTGGGGTTACTGGCAGCTGTTGGTAAGCTTGTGCCAGGTCAATTTTGGCGAACACCTTGCCCCCAGCCAGTTTAGCCAATAGATGTGATACGACTGGAATGGGGTATGAGTTTCCCTGAGTGCCTTATTGATAGTACATTTGTAATCTGCACAGATCCTGACTTCCCCATTTGCTTTAAGGGCGTGACGATTGGAGTCTCCCACTTAGCAGAGTCCACGGGTGAGAGAACTCCCTGCTTGACCAATTTATCCAGCTCTGCTTCGATCTTGGGTTGCAGTGCAAATGGCACTCGCCTTGGTTTGAGCCGGATTGGGGCCACCCCAGGGTCCAACTCGAAGTCAACTGGGGGCCCTTTATAACAACCCAGTTTTCCATTAAAGAGACCAGCAAATTCTTTGCATAATGCCTCGCTCATCTCAGGGCAGGTTTGGATTGAATTAAGCCCTGATATACTCAGTCCCAGGGCGGAGAACCAGTCAGTGCCCAGGAGACTGGGGCGACTGCCCTTCGCAATCACCAGTTTGAGTACAGCCTGTTTGTCCCGGAACTGTACTCTCACGGCACACATTCCCATGACATGGATGCGGCCCGCTGAGTATGACTGCAAGGTTGCCGGGAAGGGTTCCAGAGGGGGCAACTTACCCCTGGGGAAGAATGTCCTCGCGGTCTGGTCTGACACGATAGTGAATCCAGATCCGGAGTCCACCTCCATGTCGCACTGCTGACCCTCAATCTTCACCTTGACATGTGCCTTGCCTTGTGCTGGGAACTGCACGACCCTCCCGTTGATCTCCGTAACGTAGTGGCAGTCCTTTAGAAAATGGGTTGCTGCGGGCGGTCTGCGATGCTCCGGTCTAGGTGCTCCTGTCGCTCCCAACGCCGCCGATCTACAGACTCTGGCGATGTGACCTGTCTTCCCGCACGTCCGGCACATAGCATTCCGGAAACGACAACTCTTCCGCTCATGGTTTCCGCCACAACCTGGGCACCTGCCTCGGTGATCTTTGTGCACTGTGCAGGCCTGACTCACTGACTCGACCCCACGGACTGGGCTCTGGCTCGGAGTAGCCTCTAGCTCGTCCATGGCATGCGCAACTTCTATCTGTGGCTTAGGGGCCTTGCGACTGGCATCAAGCTCCTCTCTTTCATAATTCTCCGTGGCGGTGGCCTCCTTCAAGGCTGAAGCAAGGGTAACCTCTTCTTTAGCCACGATGCGTCTTCTGGCCTTCTTGCTGCTCAGACCACCGATAAACTGATCCAGGAGAGTCTCTTCCAGATTTTGGAAGTCGCAGTGCTGAGCGAGCTTCCGCAGTTCAGCCAGAAATGCAGATACAGACTCCCCAGCATGCTGCTGCCTCTTATGAAACTCCATCCGCCGAGCCATCTTGGTCTCAGTAGGCGCCAAGTGGCTTGTTAGGCAGGCAAGAATATCTTTGAGAGATGTCTCACTTAGCTTCGCTGGAGCAAGCAATGCCTTGGCCAGCTTGAAGGTCTCAGGCCCACAGTAGCTCAGGAATGTGGCCCTTCTTTTGCTGGCATCGGTGATCCCTTGAGCCTCTGCGAAGAACTCGAAGCGTTCGACGTAGTCTTCCCACGTGTCGGGCTCTGATGGCTGGAAGGGCTCCAATACCCTTGGACTCTCCATTGTCCAGTGGCAGGGTCGTCTTCTCAGCTGGTCAGTGAGTCTTGTTCTTAGCTGCAATCCGGACTCTGAGGCAGGGCTGCATTTAACCGCTCCTCAGCATTCCGGATCCCATCCTTGTCGCCAGTTGTTGTGACGTGGGGTTTGTGATTTCAGCTCTCCTGATATAACATGCTGGAGACAGTTCTCTAGTAACACTTCTTTATTAAAGCAACAAGACTCCAGACTGGGGAGAGGAAAGCTACATTTATAGGGACAGGGAACTAGCAAGAAAGGATACATTTTGGAGGGAACAATATCAGGCAATCACAGTCCTGCCTTTTGGAGGGAACCAATAAGACAGAGGATCCAAATACAGCAGCTTAAATGAACCAATAGTAGCTGTACCCTCTGGAACCAAAAGGCAGTTACTTTACCCTAATGCAAATACAGACAATAATAATACAGATATAAAATCCTTTGACTCAATACACAACACTTCAGGCGTCTAGACTCCAGCTCCCATCAACCCCAGCCAGCATAAGCAAGAGTCAGGGATGATGGGAGCTGGAGTCCAAGACCATCTGGAAGCCGGCAGGTTTTCTGCCCCTAATCTCTGGTGTGCTCCTCCCGTAAAAACTCATCTGACACCTGTTTTTGTGGGGTGGTGGTATTGGTGCCAGATAACCCCCTTTTTATTTCCTCAGGTCATTTCAAACGTTAACTGAATTTGGTTTGATTCTGTGTTTTTAATTGTTGCTTTACAACTTTCAGATGCTGCTGTTGTATTTTCTTTACTTCTTTCTTTTATTTTATTGTAAGAAAAGGCTGCATTCTTTTTATTCTAAGAAGCCATGGGCGTAGGACATCATACACTTTTGTGGAAACTCTTAATATCTCAAGTATTCCCAATTTTGCTTTTAAAAATATTTTTGGCAGTTAATTACATGGATTACTTGTCCACCTTGAATCTCTCAAGTAGAAAGAATGTTGAGAACACCCTTAATACTTTTAGTTGGGGTCATTTATCTCATTGACCATTTCACATTGTCCCTTCAGGTTTCTAGCCTATGGAAAGAAGGGTGAGCAAGAGACCCTTTGACCCTCTTGCTTGCTTGACCAATGTTGCGGATTAGTTTATGATTTTTTTGTACTCCGTTGTACATGTTGTTATAAAATGCTGTTCACTATTTCAGGGGCCTTTGGGGTTCCAACGTGGTATGTAAATAAAATGCAATAATAATTAGTAATAAATCTGCCCTTGAATAAGATAGCTGATATAGAAAGAGGTTTTAGAAAAGGGGTGTGTGTGTGATAAATTGGGGTGCCTTCTAACACACTTAAAAGTTAATTATTTTCAATATAAATATAAATACTGCTGATGGCAGGCGCTGTCTGAAGAGTTTTCTCTTCACGCTTGCACTGGAAGGAACTGCCGCTTCTAAGATGTTGCCTGCTGCCACACAAATATAAAGCTCTTTTAAAAAACAAAACAAAACAAGTTTTTTCCTCTTCAAAACTATCATATAAAGCTAGCCCCCCTAACTTTTAAGATCTTTGTAGGCCCTGCTCTCGGTGTCCCTGTCAAAGAAAGCAAGGGAGCTAATCACCAGGGGAAAAGGTCTTTTTGGTAGTGGCACCCCAGCTACAAAACGGCTTCCCTGCCACTATTCTTGTTGTCTTTTCTGTGCCAGGTGAAGATCTTTAAATAACTTATACAGTCTGGGCCTGTTTTATTTTGGGGGGGGGGGGTTTGAGTAGTTGTTGTCTTTTGCTACATGCATGTAGCTTTTGATTTTATAGGGTGGGGGGAATTGTATTTAATTTTTTAAAAATAAATTCTTTATTTTAAGGTGCCCAAAGAACTTTGTTACTGAATGGTATACAACTATGGCAGATAATGAGTCATATGAAAATATATGTAAATTTAATTAATATTTATTTGATTAAATGGCAAGAGATTTCTGTGATCTGCTGTCAAGCCTACTTGAAAAAGCTATAAAAATGTGAAATATCATTATCATTTGGGCTGTCATCCAAAATGTTGGTTGATTGCTCAATTAATTAAGCCTGCATTAACATGCATATTAGAAAATTCGTGATCACATTATTCTGGGGCTCTGTCATCTGCACTGGTTTCCAGTCCAATTTTGGGTCCCATTCACATTGCTGGTTTTAACCATTAAAGCCATAAGCCAAGGTGGAGAACCTTCTCAGCTGAGGTCACATTCCCTCATGGACAGCCTTCCGGGGTTACCTGTTCCTCTGTTGGTGCAGTGCCCTCAGGCCCTCTCCAGAACAGGTGACCCACTGAATTCCTGGGCTTGGGGGTCATCAGCCCACAGCATCTTGTCAGGATTTACCTCCCGTTTGTTTCTCATTGTGTGGCCCATCACTGCCTTCAGAGATTAAGTAGCCTCACCTGATCCCAATGAAAAGAAGAAACAGCTGGGGAGACCCCTCCTGGGACAACTGCCAAGGAGTTGAGTAGAAGTCATCTCTAGGTTGGGGCTGAACCACCTGAACTCTCAACCCATACAGCGGTTGAGGAAGATACAGTGGTACCTCGGGTTAAGTACATAATTCGTTCCGGAGGTCCGTTCTTAACCTGAAACTGTTCTTAACCTGAAGCACCACTTTAGCTAATGGGGCCTCCTGCTGCTGCCGTGCCACAGGAGCACGATTTCTGTTCTCATCCTGAAGCAAAGTTCTTAACCTGAAGCACCATTTCTGAGTTAGCAGAGTCTGTAACCTGAAGCGTATGTAACCTGAGGTACCACTGTAGATGCTCAATGGTATGAAACCCCACTGAGAGAGCAAGGAGAAGACTCTCCCTGTCTTCCCACTGCAAGTCATCTATCAGGGTTACCAAAACTCTTTCATCAACAAACCCATGTTTGAAGCTAGGCTGAAACGAGTCAAGGACAACCAGCTTCTGCCAAGCCGAATACAGTGGTACCTCGGGTTACAGACGCTTCAGGTTACAGATGCTTCAGGTTACAGACTCCGCTAACCCGGAAATAGTACCTCTGGCTAAGAACTTTGCTTCAGGATGAGAACAGAAATCGTGCAGTGGCGGTGCAGCAGCAGCAGGAGGCCCCATTAGCTAAAGTGGTGCTTCAGGTTAAGAACAGTTTCAGGTTAAGAACGGACCTCCGGAACAAATTAAGTACGTAACCAGAGATACCACTGTAGAAGCTACCTGCCCCCACCCTCTCAAGGACCTTGCTACAAACAAGATGTTAAATATTTAAGACTCGGTGATGTTTTGTGTTAATTATATAAATTAATTTCCATATTAATTTCTGGTATTGATTGATAAATTTGCAAATAGATGACCAATCAGGTGATAAAATAAAACTATGAGAAAATAAAACTATTAGAACAAAACAGATAGGTTCTGAAAGTGAATAAAATATAAAAAGCAAAGGATTTGGTACCACCCACACAAGTAGCACGACATTTTTATTTATAGCCTACTGTGTTTATTACTTATCTTTAAAGCCTTTCCTGGATCCTAAACTATGGTTGCATGTATTTATTTTAAATTGTTGCAAATATTGAGCTTTTTTTTGTATTGGTGGGGAGATTAAACAACCAAGCAGTATGTAAACGTTTTTCAACCGTTCCATGCCCACCCTTTAATTTCTCTTCCTACGCTCCCTAATTTTTTGAAACATCCCTCCAAGAATGGCTGCATCTAAAAACTTCTTTCCAATTTTTTTGTTTTCCAAACTCTGAAAACTTATTTTAAGGGGGTAAAAAAATTGATGGTGATAATAAAGCTTGCACCTCTCTAGGCAGGAGATGGAATTAATTCCTTCCAATAATAAAGGAGGGAGGGAAATCTTGCACGTTTTGTGCACGGGATTCCAGAACTCCCTGGGCTGAGGTTCAACTTTTCCCTCCTCCTCCTCCTCTCCCCTCTTTTCGCCCCCCGCCCCTCTTTTCCTCCTCCTCCTCCTCCCGATGCATGGATGCGATCCTGCGCTGCCCAAGAGCGAGCGGCAATCTGTGTACATATAGATGTCTCCCTCTCTCTCTCTCTCCATATGTGACGCGGCCATATTTGCGGCGTGCGCTCGTCTCTGGCAGTAAACAAGCCCCAAAGTCTCGGGCAAGACAGACGGAGCGGCGGACAGGCAGACGGAGCCCGAGGGAGCCGCGCCGTGGAATTTCAGGACATTTCGCCGCCTCCTCCCGCCGATGTCGCTGCTGCTGCTCGGCATGTCTTACAAGCCAAACTTGACCGCGCACATCGCGGCGGCGGCGGCGCCCATCAGCCAAGGTAAGGCGCCAACTCCGCCGGTCCCTCTCCGGGGGCTTCTCGGCGCGGCTGCTTAAGCGCACGGAGGATCGCTATCCGGCACCGGCTCGCCTTTTGCAAGGGGGGGGGGGAGCCCCGCTGGCCCGGAGGCGAAGCAAGCGCCGCGCCGCGCTGCGCCCTGGCTACCTGGGCGAGCCCCGCCGCCCAGAGACGGGCTCTCGCCTCGCTCCCGCTTCCCCCCCGCTCAGGTCAGATCCGCCGAGCTGATTCATCTCCGCCATTATGCACTTTTGGGGGGCGCCGGCGGGGGGGGGGCGGCATCGGAGCGGGTGCAAAGTTTGGCTGGGCGGCCAAGCCTCCTCCTCCCGGGCAGCCCGGCCAGGCTGCGCCCCGGGAAGCCGGCGGCGGCAGCGCCTGGGGGGCCCGGGGGCTGGGCGGGGGGGGGGAGGGGATCAAGGAGCGGCGGGTGGAGGATCGGTCCTGACGCCTCCTCCCCCCCCTTCCCCTCCATGATCGCCTCCCTAGAGCGGCTGATTGATTCGGATCAAGGCAGGAAGCGAGGCGCGCTGCACGCCTGGGCGAGGGCCGCTGCTGGTGGCGGGGCGCAAGTGCGCGAGGAGCCGGGCGAGGAGAGGCGCGGGGTTCGGGGAGCCCACCACGTGCAGGCGCCCCGCAAATGATACGGGTTTTATTTATTGATTGCTTATATATATATCCCACCTTTTCCTCCAAGGAGCTCAGGGTTCACTGCCAACTCTCCGCGTTTAACTTCCACAACAACCCTGGGAGGTAGGCTCCCCAAGGGTCGCATCCAGTGAGCTTCTTCGTGGCTGAGTGGGGTGGAGGGGATTCGCACCGGGGCCTCTCCCGGGTCCCAGTCGACACTCTCACCACTACACCGCACTGCCTCTGATCTCATGCACCTTCCTGAAGATGAGAACCTTTGGAAGCGGCCTTATTGCGAATCACTATGTCTTCTGAGCGGCAGTGACTGCAGGCTGTTGGGTAGGGAATAATTTTCTCCCCGTCAGCTGGTACCTGAGAGCCTCTTACCTGAAGGTGCGCAGATGCGACCTGCACGCAAAACGTTTGCTGTGACCCAGGGTTCCCCCAGCTGCTTCATTCAGCAAGCTTCATTCAGTGTGTCCATGGATTTGTGATTTAAGAGCATATTATTATTATTATTATTATTATATATTGCATTTCGTTGTGTTACAATTTGAATTGCTAGGACAGGCCAGAAAAGCATTAAGTAGTTCACCAAGACTGTCAGCAGTTTTCAAGTGGTCCTTTAGCAGAAAAGTTTGGGAACTGGTGCTCTGAGACACCTTGAGAGTGGCATGCTGCAGGGCAGGCTCACTGCTTGTTGAGTGTGCCATTCAAGAGACGTGAGCATCTCTGACTGATGGGCATTGCCCCAGGTGAAACTTCATTGTCACCAATATCTACTTCAGCGCCCATTCTCACATCCAGCTGCCTCTTGTGACCAAGTGATGTTCATGGATGTGTAAACTGCCCCTTAAACAAGCCTTTACTGTTTAGAAAAGTTGGGTGTTTTGACCTTAATCTTCTTATCAGTTAAACCTGTCATTTGTGTGAAGAGAGAGCCTGGGTTATTTTCAGTGTTAGTCATACTCCTAGTAGTCCCACTGAAAGGAATAAACATTACAAAGGTCCATTAATTTCACTGGGTCCGCTTTTGAGTAGAACTTCATTGGAGAAAACCCTGTGTTTCACTTTCACTTTTGTTTCTGCTGTTTTCCTTTATTTTGCCTTTCTCTTCCACATCTTCCCCTTCCACCAAAAAAAAAAAAAGTTTCCTTCAGTTTAAATTTGCCTCTTGCAAACTGCAGAAAACTCTCTGTGTTTTACAATACTTCTATCCAGTGCTATTTTTCTGGAAAAAGAGGTGCTGGAACTCACCTCATTCTCTTAGAATAGTAATGGCGACCATCTGAGAGGTGCTGGAAGTTCCGGCTGAAAAAAGGCCCTGCTTATATATCACGTGAATAAAACACACAGAACATGCTCAGAGGCACCCTGATATTTGTTTTTAAACTATACAGGATGTCTTTTACACATGGCTCTGGTTGATTGATCTTGAGTTTCCAGCAAAAGACAAAGTAAATTCAGCAGGCCTAAAATTTCCCGACTCCTGGTTTAGCATACTTAGTCCGGAAAGACTCTCACAGCAGCTTTCCCAAAGACCCTCACACTAAAAAATGCATTTGAGGCTGCTATTGGGAACAGAAATAGTGTGGTGTCTCTATGGTGTACTCATACGGGATTTCCTTGATTGCCCTCCAGCCTCTGTCTACAGAGCCCACTGAAGTCCTTTGAGGCAAGGGGGGGGGGGAGCTGAGCTTTGGAAGCTGCTTCATCAGGGCAAATGGGTCACTGCCCCACCAGCCTTGTCTCTCCCTGCAGTTAGAATCATAGAATTGTATAGTTGGCAGGGTCCACTGCCGGTCAGCTTCCTCACAGGGGAAGAAGGTGGGCAGAAACCTAGAACGAGCTGGCTCTGCCCCTCCTTGGCTTCACCCTCCTGTCGGTTCCCCCCCTTCTGCGCTGCTGGTCCCAGGGGGGTCTGGCCATCACTGCAGCTGGAAGCTCTTCAGGCCCAGAGAGAGGCAAGCCTGCCTTTGCTGGGAATTGCCAGGCAACCGCTCCCACTGAGTCCTCTGAGGCAAGTGTAATTATTTCTGTGGTCATCCAGACTTTAAAGAGAAATTGCTCCAACCATAAGCAAAGGGGTGGGGGAAGTGTATGCAAAGTTGCTCCGGGGGACTTCTTGATGGACAATTTCCATTTGCCTCCATTTCTTGTAATTGGAGAGGCTGAGGATTGGACCTGGGGCTTTCTGTACGGAAAGCCTGTTCTCTGCCCCAGAGCCTGGGTCCCCTGGCCTGGCCTGGCTGTACTTTCCGCCATGCACAGCTCAGCCCTCTGCATGTGGACTCAGAAGTCAGTTCCGCTGTGTAGGCAAAAGCAGGCAAGTTCAGCAGAGTTACTACTATAACCAGATCCCTGTCAGATGCAGATTTTTGTGACTGAAAGAGGACCCTGAGAAGGAATATCTGCCCCAAATTGCCATTTGGGATTTCCTCTGTAACGTCTCACCAAGGCTAAATTGGTCTGGCGTTCTGGTGTTCCTACAACTCTGAGGCAAATTAGGATTGGAGAGAGTGGTGGGCCTGTGACACACAGTGAGCTTTATGGCTGAGTTGGCATCTGAGTCACATTCCCCTTAAGTCTGAGTCCACTATTCCATCTCTCTTTCCAAAGCAAGCAGAATCACTTTTTGACGCATGTCCTTGAAGGCACGTGTGGAGAACCTTTGTCCCTCCCGGTGTTGCTACAGCTCCCACCATCCCTGGCCATTGGCCATGCTTGCTGGGGCTGATGGGACTTGTAGTTCATCAGCGACTGGAGGGCCAAACATTCCCCACACCTGCTGTGAGGCAGTGGGTCAGGACTTGCCAATAGGCCATGGGCCACTTTCAGGTGGGCCTCAATGCCACAACCTGCCCACTTGCCCACCTTGTCGCTGCGGCCCACAGCTTTTTGGCTGGAGCAGTGCCAGCACCAGCAACTCCATCCATGCTGAGGAAAGGTGGTCAAGAGGGGGAGACTGAGGGAAAAGGGCCAGAGGAGGCGTTGAAGGAAATTAGAAAGTGAGAGAAAAGAGAAAACACTAGTATTTCATCATCATCATCATCATCATCATCCAACTTGGCTGTTATCTACCCACCCTTGGCCTGAAGGTCCCAGGGTGGGTCTCAGCAATTTAAGATACAACATCAAAAACCATTTAGAACAAATTGCAATCACAAGGATAGGACGGAGTCAAATAAATAAGGAATTGAAAAGGGAACAAGAGGGGGAAACTCTAATAGAAGAAATTAATGAATGGAAAAGGTGAGGAAGGTGGAAAGACTGACAGTTTTTTGAAGAGGAGGGAATAACTTACAAGTTGAGCGTGAAAGGAAAATGGGAGAAGAAATTATAGGACATGGGTAAAAAATACTTTGAGAGGCGTGGGGTGGGTGGGAAGGGGAAAATATAAAAGAAAAGCTGCTCCATTTACTGCCTCTGGCTCAGAAAAATCTGCTCAAAACTGAGGTTGGGCTGTCACAGCAGCTCCAAAGCAAATGTTTTTGAAGAAAAAGCAGTGGCAAAGAATTTACCAATTTCCAAAGATGGATTGGGTATCTGTAGAAAATTCTATCAGTAGTCGCCAGGGCACGGCTTGATTAGCCCTGCCCTCCATGTGCCAGCATCTTGTGACTGCTGTTTTCAGCTCTCTTAAGTGGGCCCTGGAGCTAGAAAGTTTGCAGACCCCTCTGCTTCAAGGTTTAAGCTGTCCTGTAATAAGGTATTGTTGAAATTAATAATTGGGGCTATCTATTGTTGTAGCAGAAACTTAGACTTTGGTTTCTTAAAGCAAATGCTGCTGATTAAAGAGTTGTTTGAGCACATTTGAAAATTAATTTGTAGTTCTCTCTTTCTCTCACTCTGTGTGTCTAGTTGTTTGTTTACTATGCATTTGAACACCCCTTAAGATACCATAACCAAATGTTGCATGTTGGCTCCTAAGATCAAGCTGCAGGTTTTCACCCATGTTTGGATTCAGCTGGACACCATTTTGAATCAAGATGGTGGACTGAACATTTTCAGTCTGCACTGATTTGAACCAGTGATGTCCAAAGGGACCAGGCAGACGGCCTTCTCGGTAGTCGCGCCCTCCCTGTGGCACACACTCCCTTCATGCGTCGTCCTGGTAATTTGCAATGGGTTTTGTACAAGAGAATGTCCTGACGGGTTGGGCCCTTCAAGACCCCTTGTCTGAGCCTTGTGTGTTCGTATGCTTGGAGCCTTGGATTTGCAAATGTTTTTCTTCAGATGCCTCATTTTGGCTTTGGAGCTTCTAAATAGGACCCCTTACAGTGAGCAGAAGCAACATTTTATGTCTTTTAAAAAAAAACCTAAATCTGAGTGGAAACAAGGTATTTGGAGAGAAGACGTGTGGTGGCAACAGAGTCTCTTGGGCGTCAGTGGAAGCCCGTTTTTAATTCCAGTTTCTTGTGTAGGGATGCTGGTTTGGTTGCCCATCTATCCCCCCGCCCCCAGCAAAACATTTGCTTTTGTCCTGTGTTTTGGACAGAAGAATAATTGTGATGTTTTAGATGTGCTTGGATCAAGGGACATCCTGCAAGAGTTGACCGAGGCAACTGGAACCAGTCGCTCCCCAAATCTCTTATGCTCTTTAACGAAACCTGATAATATAATAATTGCATTGTTATTGAAGGCCCTTCCACAACCATTTCCAGGGATGCTCAGCCTGTCCCCATTTCACCTGTACCGCTTCTTTGTGCCTCATCCATTCTATAGAGAAACTCTTTAGGTGGAATTGGGGAAGGGGGAAGGGAAGTAAAGAGCACTCATCAGTTTCCAAAATGGTTTCTCTGTCTGCTTTGTACACCAGCCCTTCCTCTCGCTAAGCGCTAATGCCAGCACCCTGGCGTAAGGCCAAGGGAGTTAGACAAAGGAGCCCTGGCAATTGAATATCTCGGATTCTCAGTGATATGACTGCAAATGCTCCCTGTCTCTGATTAGGCAGCTTGGCTTGAGCGGTCAGGGCTGGAGGGAGCCTCTCTCAGCCATCCAAATGAAATACTAACCCCCCTTAACACACACACACACCCCAGATTCAGACCTGTAAACTCTAACTTTGCTTGCAGATGTGAAGGCAGATTTCGCTTTTTAAATGTAGCAGGAATTAAGAATGATTGCTGTGGCTTCCCTTACTCTCTTAGCCTGAAAAAGGCTGAAGAAAGAATGCTTTCCTGGTCAAATTTCTGCCTGTTGTGCTAATATTAAAGACACAGGAATTCTGGTTTTCAGAGGGGGGGGGGACTTAACCCCAACCCCTTCTTCAAGCCAAATGTGTGGGAAATACAAAGCCAATAATCATCAGCTGTGACCCACCCACTGCTGTGGGGCTGGAAAGTTTTGAAGGCCACTGTAGGCTCAGTAATGTCTTTTCTCTCCTCTCCCCCAGTGTCTTGCTGCATCTGACAGTAAGTGTCCTTATGCATTCCAGGTGGCTATGATGTGGGGTGGGGGAGGCTTTTAAAGGGCTTTTTTGCTGCTGTTAATTACCCACTTAACTTTGATTTCCCCATCAATTAGGAAGGAGAGAGAAGGCAGCTCCCAAGCTCTGCAGAAGGGAAAATTTACTATACTGATGTGTATAACCTCTCTTAGGAGTGTCTCCATTGGACCTTGATGTATGCTCGCCCCCCCCCCCATTGGTTGCCCATCACTCTGGCAAAGTTCCTCATTAACACTGTTTGGAGGTGCCAACATTTTAAAAAATCCTGCTCCTGTGGCTTTATAAACAGCCCAACATATGGAAATTAAGCGGGGCTTTTCTTGGCAGGGAGCAAAACAACGGAAAGGCGGAATTTGTCTGTATCGGGCTGCTGTTGAAGGCACAGGAGCTTCAACACTTAACAGCAAAAAGAAATAAAAGCTGGCAACTTCAATACCAGTTCTTTTCCTTCTCTTCATGGTTCCCCTGCAAGAATAGCCACTTTTCGTTCTGGCAGGACTCCTGAGCCTTAGAGGGAGAAATGCAGCGGGCAGACCCTTTTCCATTGCTACACTGCAGTTGTTTGATAGTAAGCAACACCTGTGGAATATATCTTTCATATTATTTTCTTAAGTCACATTGAGTCATGCACATTTGTATAAATAAAGCATCTAGCAAATTTCTTGCCTTGGTCATGGCCTGGATGAGAGTCTCAAACTGAAGCTCACTCCAGATAAGACTGAGACGCTGCTAGTTGGTGGTTCCCTAGACCAGATGGCGGAGAGGTTGTCTGCTCTTGATGGGGTAACACTGGTTCTGAAGGAGTTGGGTACACAGCGTGGAGGTCCTCCTGGGTCCTTTGCTGTCACTTGAGGCTCAGGCAGCCTTGATGGCACGGAGTGTCTTCTGTCAGCTTTGACTGATGGCCCAGCTGTACCCTTATCCAGACAGGGACAGCCTAACTTCTGTTGTCTATGCTGTGGTAACTTCTAGATTAGATAACTGCAATGCCTTTTAAGTAGGGCTGCCTCTGAAGATGGTTCAGAAACTTTAGCTGGTGCAGAATTCAGTGGCCAGGTTGCTCACCAGGCAGGACGGTTTCAGCATCTAATGCCAATCCTGTCCCAAATGCACTGGCTGCCATTTAGTTTCCTGGTCCAATTCAAAGTGCTGGTTTTGATCTATACATCCCTAAGAAGCTCAGGACCATAACCCCTCAAGGCCTGCCTCTCCCCATATGCACCGACCTGGACCCTGCAACCATCCTCTGAGGCCCTTTTTTGTGTGCCTTCCCTTCAAGAGGTCTGGAGGGTGGCAACACGAGAACAGGCCTTTCCTGCGGTGGCTCCTCATTTGTGGAAATCTCCCTGAGGAGGCTCATCTGGCACCTTCATTACATATATTTAGCTGCCAGGTGAAAACATTACTCTATGACCAGGCTGATTAACATTCTATGGTTCCTAAAAATGTGTTTGTGGGAGAGAGGAGTTATGGTTTGTTTCTGTTTTATGATGTATTTTGTGTTGATAAACCTGTAATCTTCAGATGAAGGGTGATATACAAAAGATACTATTACTATTAATGATACTACTACCAATGTATTACATGCCCTGGGAACTTATGCAGAAGGACAGGTAATTAACAATAATAATTTGCCAGTCATGTGGCTGTTAATAGCAAAGGAACCCTATCAAAAAAGAGAGTGGAAATCCTAGCTGGAAGCCACTAACTATGCTGCCTGCCCAAATTATTTATTTATTAGTTTTATATACTTTACCTTTGCCTAAGGTATATTACCGTGGACACGGATTCCCCACTGGAATGGACTGACTGGTGCATCTGGCGAGGGGGGTGGGCTGCTGTCCTCCCTCTCCACCTTGGTACCCTTGCTCAAGAGGGGTTTGTCTTGTTCCTCCCAGCAGTAGATTTGGACATGCTTCATTCTGGATTGCTTGGGACAGAGGGCCGGCTGGCTTCTGGGTCTTGTACCAAGCAGCTGGGGGCAAGTGGGGGTGGGGCCCCTGCACGTTTAATAGGCAGCTACACCAGCTAAAATTCCCAACTACAATTTAGGTAGTTGTAAGTTGCCAACTTTTAAACGCTTGCTGAAAACTTATCTATTCCTCCAGTCTTAAGCAGGCAGATGAGAGGTACACCCCCACAATGGTCTACTGGTGTTTGTTTTTCATTTCTCTTTGCTTTTAACTTTTTTTGATTTTATTGTCTGGCTTTATGTTTTTATATTGTTGCAGACTGCTACGATATATTTTTATGATACAGTGGTATATGATTTTTTTGTATTTTATGGTTATGGATATTGTTTATGTATTTTGTTACGCAAATCACTTGCTATGGATCTTTCAGATAGTAAAGCGGTCTATAAATGGAAACAGCAGCAATAATAAGAGAGTAATGCCCCAGTGTATGGGGTGTTAGGCTTCCCTCTGGTAGTACCTCTGGTGGGGGACGCGTCATTCTCCTTCTGGGTTAGTTTGTCCACCAGTGGTCCCCACTCTGCACTCAGCTCTCACCTGTAGCTCCTGGAAGCTGTCAATATGCAACAGCTGCCACAGCCCGGGAATGGCTTTGACTGGTTGGCTAAACCAGGCAAGGGTAGCTGATGGGCCACAAACCCTCAGTGAGTTAGGGACTTCCCTGCATGCAAAGACAGACTCTGGTGGATTGAGTGGACAAGAACAATAGTGGGTCCAACCATGGGCGTAGCAAAAGGGGAAGCAACTGCCTCCCCCTAAAGCAAATTAAAAAATAATAATACTTAACTAAGTGACCAATTGTGTCGCAGATAGCTTGGTTCTGTCCCCCCTAACATTGATCCTGCCCACCCTAATATGAATCCTGGCTACACCCAGGTCCAGTGGTCAATAAGGTGGTTTCTGCACATGCTGTAGAGAAAAATGAGGGTTCGTCCACCTGGAAGGTGCCTTGTACGCCTCCTTCCAGCATCTCCTCCAGCCAACCTGGTGCCAAATGTCTTGCTTTCCTTTCCTTTCCTTTGGACCACATCAGTGAGACCCAAGTGTGAGTGTCTTGTTGTCTGGGCAGCCTAGGACCTCCACATTCTGCCCAGGCTTGTTCCCCAAGGAGGTTGCTTTGGTGCCGCTAATACAGCCGTTTGCTTTGATTTCTGGAGGCGCAGTGCATTGTCTCAAGACAGACGGGTGTCAAGAACAACAGTGCCCCTGAGCTATGGCCATTCTATGAAAGGAACATAGGAAACTGCCTTAAGTCAGACCATTGGTTCCTTTCGTTCAGTGTGGTCTCTGCTGTGTGGCAGCAGCTTGCCAGAACTTCAGGCTGGGTTCTCTCCCAGCCTTTGCTGGAGATGCCAGGAAGGGATGGACCCTGGGGCCTTCTTCACACAAAGGATCAGGAGTAGAATCATAGAATCATAGAGTTGGAAGAGACCACAAGGGCCATTGAGTCCAACCCCCTGCCAAGCAGGAAACACCATCAGAGCACTCCTGACATATGGTTGTCAAGCCTCTGCTTAAAGACCTCCAAAGAAGGAGACTCCACCACACTCCTTGGCAGCAAATTCCACTGTCGAACAGCTCTTACTGTCAGGAAGTTCTTCCTAATGTTTAGGTGGAATCTTCTTTCTTGTAGTTTGGATCCATTGCTCCGTGTCCGCTTCTCTGGAGCAGCAGAAAACAACCTTTCTCCCTCCTCTATGTGACATCCTTTTATATATTTGAACAGTAGGTGATGCTCGTTGGGACTGGTGGGGCAGAAGGTGGCGAGCTTAAATGGTAGGCAGCACCTGAGCCAATGGCAGGCACAGGCAATTCATGTTACCTTTGTCCACAGGCGCCTCCTTTTCCCTGCTGAGTTCTGCAAGGGCAGCGCTGAGGCTGATGAGACAGCAGCCGACAGGGAATGCCAGTGCCACCCCCCCAAAAAAAAGACTAGCTGTAAGGAGGAAGGCAAGCAGGTGGGGGCTGGGTGAGGGCAGACTGCCACTGAGCGAGGGGCCCTTCGCTAGAGCAAAGCCAAGCCCATGCTATGCCTTTGACTGCAGTTGGCAATTCACTGCCAGAAACCATCCCAAATCTGCCCCGGGACCTCCTACCATACTTTGCTGCTTTCCAAAGCTGGCCACGTCTCAGAGCAGGGTTGCCCTTTAAAAGTTTGGCCTGGATTTGATATCCTTTTTGGGGTGCAGGAACCCTTTCAAGATCCGGGGCTTTCAAAGCAAGCATGGCTATGTTTTTCTTTCCTTCCTTCCTTCCTTCCTTCCTTCCTTCCTTCCTTCCTTCCTTCCACCCTCCCACCCGCACCCTCCATCTGAGCTGAGCTGGCACAGCGACTAATGCGGCCATCTGCACTGTGCAAGGAGGGCTGGCACCACAGCCAAGTCCAAAACCCTCCTTTTGTTCTCGGGGCCTGCTGCTGCGGTGCTGATAAGGCGCGCTCTGTGTTGGCCACTATGTCTTACTACGTCTTCGAGGCAGACGGCAAAGGATCAGGTAAAGGCACCCAAGGTCACCCAGTGGCTTGGCATTGGGGGGGGAGCTTTGGGGGGACAGGGACGCTGGCTTAAACTCATCATCAGCCTCTAGGGCAAGCTTAGATGCGCTTCGGGGGAAGACGGCCCCAGGGGAAGGTGCAGGGGAGGAGATGACATGCCAGTCCGGTTGGAGATCCTCACTGCCTCCCTTCTTACCGTGTTGCCTCCCCCACCCCGCATGTTTCCTGAACATTGCATGTTGCGCTCTGTTTTACAAAGGGAAGAGGCCCTAGCTCCTTATTGGTGAAGAGTACAGTGGTACCTCGGGTTACAGACGCTTCAGGTTACAGACTCTGCTAACCCAGAAATAGTACCTCGGGTTAAGAACTTTGCTTCAGGATGAGAACAGAAATTGTGCGGCAGCGGGAGGCCCCACAAGCTTAAGTGGTACCTCAGGTTAAGAACGGACCTCCGGAACGAATTAAGTTCTTAACCCGAGGTACCACTGTATCTGCTGTGTATGCAGAAGGTCTGGGGTTCAATCCCCAGCATCTCTCGGTGGGGAGATCTGCTGACCATCAACATGGCTAAGACTGAGTTAGACAGACCAGTGGTCTGTTTTGGTCTTCATGTGTGTAGCTGAACACCAGGCTGCCTGTGTGGGCACACCTCTCCAACAAATGGCTGGTGTTCTCCATTTTGGCAGCACTCATTGACAGTCTAGAGGAAGGGCTAGCCTGGCCAGGTGAGGAGTTTTGCAGCAATAGATCCGGGGATAGCGAAGCAGCACCCAGTCTGGGACACAGATGCCAAGGCTACAAATAACATTTTATTTATTCCCATCCACTTCCCTTTCCCCTTCTGCTCCTACAAGTGACCAGCATTTCTGACAAAGGCCTGTTAACCTTGCCACATCAGTTAAATAAACGGTTATTTTTATACCACATACAGACTTTAGGTGAGCTGTTCACTTGTTGGACGGTCTCTCCATCTGCAATATAGGGAGAATAATGGTGACCTACTTTACAGGGTTCCTGTTAGGATGTCCAAGATAATCTATGTGAAGAACTCTGAGCGCTTGGGAAAAGCTTTCATAGACAGCAAATGTCAGTGTGTTATGATTGCCGTGGTGTCTTGTGCTTCTACTGATCAGGACAATGTGGTGTTTATTTTTACCACTGCATTAGCATAGCTGGCAACTGTTAGCGGAATGAGGAAGATAGGTACTGACCTTTCAAAACCAGAATGTTTAACCTGCTAGCTTTGTATCTTACTCAACATTTGGTAATCATTCTCACTTTGTATGTTTTCTTTTTCCAAAGCTGGGAACGTCCACTCTCCTTCCACAAGCATGGCAGGCTCAGGGCAATACAGACAGCTTATAAATGACTACGGACCCCCATCTCTAGGTTACACACAAGGAGTGCAGGTAAAAACTTCCGATATTCTGGGCTGCCGGCAGTGTGTCTCTTATGCCATTTATTCATTCATTAATGAATGAGTTCCCTTGAAACATCCCCAAGGGTTTGACAATAAAAAACATATATAAGGACAATTTCAAATCCGACAGAAACAGACTGGGATAAGAACCTCATTTGAAAAGACTTGTTGAAAAAAAGGGAAGTTGTCTATATTATTAATTTATATACGTACACCACATACAGTTCCAAATTAGTAGTTTGCAAAATATAAAAACAGAGTGACAGAAAAGTTAGAATATAAATGTCCCCAATTAAAACAGTGCAGCAGTTAAAATCTGGAGATGGGCTGAGAAATCAAGGAAATGCCTGTGTAAGTCAACAAACTGGTCGTGATGTCATTTAATGGATTAAATTTAAGTGGATGGATTAAAATAAATATTACAGTTTCCAAACAGAAGTGATATTGACCAAATTCAGCACTGGGTGATTTTGTGATTCAGGTACATGGCGTTTTTGCCGTGGATGTGGCATTTAAGGGTTCATGTTTATTTGTTAACAAGCTTCTGTTTTTCACAAGCGTCGACTCTGCTTTTAACCTGCTCGCCTCAATGATGGCATTAATAAATATTGCAGCTTTCACGTTCAAGTTGCTTTAAAGGTGCCGTGCTCACTACTTGGGGCTTCCCTCGGGCTTGATCCGGAAGCTGCGGCTAGTGCAGAATGCTTCAGCACGGCTGCTGTCACGAACGAGACCCTGCCTGCATAGAACCCCTCTGCTCAGGGATCTGCATTAGTTGCCCATTTCCCATCTGCTCCCCAGACAAGCTCAGTGTGTGGTTATTAGCATATTAAGCCCTCAACATCCTGGGAACCAGTTTACTCGCAGGGTCACCTTACCCCTTACATGCCCACTCAGCTGCTTTGATATGTGGAACTGGAACACCTGTAAGAAATAGTTATCTTTGGGGGGGGGGGTTACACATTGTAAGCCCCAGCCTGTCAATACCAGACAGACATCTGATTGAAACCTTTTTGGTTAGGCAAGCCTATGCAGATGGCTGTGGGCAGGATTCCTGCATTGTGGGGGGTTGGACTAGATGACATTTGGGGTCCCTTCCCACTCTAATATTCTATGTGAAATGTTGATGTCTTTCTTCTTTTTAGCTGCTCTTGATTTTAATGATCTTTTAAATATTTTAAAGGACCCGTTTTTAACTGTTTTTATTGCTAATGTTAATACTTGATAATTTTGTAAGCTGCTTAATAGGATTTCTTACAATCAAGCAATATATGTTTTTTAAAGTACAGTAAATAAATAAAATAATGAGGGGAAAACCCTCCCGTCCCGATATAGCCTGCACTAAACAGCCACTTTTAGACTGCAATTCTATGCATGCTTTCCCAAGAGTAATCCCCACTAATCAGAGCATGTGTAGGATTGCACTGTCACCCTGCAATTAATGAATTGATTAATTTGAGCTTTATTGTGGTTTGTTGGTTCTTGTGACTGGCTCTGCTCTAATTCAGATCCCATTTCTTTCTGATGCCAGGGAACGAGTAGCAGTCAAGTACCACAGAGCAAGTATGCAGAACTTTTGGCCATCATAGAAGAATTAGGAAAAGAAATCAGGCCTACATATGCTGGAAGTAAAAGTGCCATGGAAAGGCTAAAACGAGGTAATGAAGCTAATATTGAGAAAAATATTTTAGGCCATATTATTTACACTAAATCACTTGACTTAAGGACCTAGTCCACAAGATTATGAGGAAAAGGTCAAAAAACACAATATCTGATAAAGGTTTATTAATAAGAGTGGTCCAGATTGGGCTTCTAGTGGCCCAGGAGCTCCCACTTTAAGCCAGCGTAGAAACGAAAACACCACCTAGTCCCACCCAAAGAGAAGGCCACCCACTTCTAACCTGTGCAATTCATACCAAGAGCATATGAAGTAATATATGACTTTTAACGTATGGGTTAAACCACAGAGCCTAGGACTTGCCAATCAGAAGGTCGGCGGTTCGAATCCCCACAACGGGGTGAGCTCCCGTTGCTCAGTCCCTGCTCTTGCCCACCTAGCAGTTCGAAAGCATGAAGTGCTAGTAGATAAATAGTTACTGCTCTGGCGGGAAGGTAAACAGCTTTTCCGTGTGCTGCTCTGGTTCGCCAGAAGCGGCTTAGTCATGCTGACCACATGACCTGGAAGCTGTTTGCCAGCTCCCTCAGCCAATAAAACAAGATGAGTGCCGCAACCCCAGAGCCAGCCATGACTTGACCTAATGGTCAGGGGTCCCTTTACCATGACTGAAGACTGTTTGTTCTGATACCTGGCAACTCCTCCCAGCTCCAGTCAGCATAGCCAATGATCAGAGCTAATGAGAGTTGCAGTTCAGCAACATTTGGATGGCACCATCTTGGATACACCTGGATTAATGGGTTGCCATGCACCCGTTTCCCTGGCCACCTAGAAACATGCTTTGCCCCTCTCCAAAAGTATTTAAAGATAAAACTTTCTTCCTTACAAAAAATGCTGCAATGGTCACTGAACTGCTTCAGAAAAAGGGGGAAATACATAACTCAAAGGCATGCTCCACCAAGGAAGTTCTCCTGCAAATGTCCCAGTGAAATGAAAAAGCAGCTATACCTTCATATGAAACTGGCAAAAAGTCAGTGCCTCCCAAACTGTATACAGTTCTTAAACCAAGGCGCACTTTCCCTAATGTGGCCTGCTGCTGCCGGTGCCCTTCCACCGTTTGGATTCCGTTCTTAGACCGAGGTAAAGTTCGCAAAGTGGGGCACTTCTTCCAGTTTCGCGGAGTTTGTAAACCAGACTGTTCTTAAACTGAGGTACCACTGTATTGCTTTTGTAAAAGTAAACACAAGCAGACGTTATGTTACTTTTTTTGCAGGCATCATTCACGCCAGAGGACTAGTTCGAGAGTGTTTGGCAGAGACTGAGCGCAATGCAAGATCCTAGCATCTCTTCCCATGGCTGCAAGATTTTTCCACCTCTTATGAAAAAGGGACACCAGTTCCTTTGGAGACTACAGAAGGCATTCAGAGAGATCCCTTAATTTGACTCTACCCCTCCCCCCCCCCACTGCCATTTCCAAGAATGTGGGCCGCAATCCAAAGTAGCACTTGGGAGGCAACCCAGGGCTTGTGTGCCCAGTGGAAAGTTTGAATCCCCCCAACAAATACATCCACCCTGTGCCATACTGCAAACAGCTTCTGAAATGCCTCTTGGTTTCAAAAGCAGCTCACTGTCCAGCATGGGGGGCATTGGTTTGAGAAAGTCCAAAGGTCCTCTTGGATGGATAAAACTTGTGCTGTCTTTTTTCCTTCTGGATCCTGGCCATAGTCAAGAAGATTATCCTTCCTCTCATTTAAAGTGGAGTTTGCAGTATTTCATTTGAAGCATTCCCTGAATTAGCTGAAATTTTTTTATTTAAAAACAACTGCATTCCTCTCTTAATTCTCTGTTCTGCCTCAGGTTGCTCCTTCAACTAACAGTGTTCCCCATATCCAGTGGTTTTCAAACTGCATTCTAGGAAAGGTCTATGACTCCTTAACTTTCTAGGGACTTCTCAGTAACAATATCAGTAATGTTGGACACGCTCCCCTGAAAAGGGAGCTCCTCTGCTGCTGCCAGTATTCCTGTGTAATGTAAAAGGAGCGCTGGTTATGTTCTAGGTTGCAAGGTACGGTTATGTGGGGCATTGGCAAAGCTAAGCAGCTCCAGACATCACACCCCATGGATTGAGTGTACACACCCCAGAGTCCTCTGCAGTGCAGCAGACTTCCTATGGCAAACACTCAGCCTTTGCAGAACAGCAGAGGAGTAAAGGGCTCATTGAAAGCAAAATTTGAAAACAGCTGCCTTAATCCTCAAGCATTCATTTGGCTTCACCACTAAACCATTTCTTACCAGACTCCTTTGAGTACAGATATTGTTTTTTGTTTCACCAGCTGACAGCCTAATTTCTAATTTGGTGCACGCACCATAAATTTTGTTCAAAAATTATCCCCCCGCCCCACCATTTTGCATGATTGTTAGTGTTTCCATTAAAAGTGCATGAGTTCTACAACAAGACTATTCTAACCTGTCACAGGCCCCAAAAGCAACTCTATTCCCCCAGATTTAAATTGTAACTTTGCCAAAAAAAAAAAAAAAAATCCAAATAAGTGACTAAAACTGTTATTTGCATCTTTGTATGTATTTATTACTTGACGTAATAAAGCTTATTTTCATTAACAATTTGGTACTGTTAAGCAGAAGAGGCCCAATTACTCAAAAGCATTAAAGCGTAGAATTATTGGAACATCTGAGAGATCCCTCAGGAAATCCAGCATAGGAACTTAGTGATGTGGAAGCATAAAGGATAAAAATAAGGTAAGCAAGCATGATGGGGAAATTGCCCCTTACACCATTTTGAACATGCAATATCCAGTGACATCACACATACCCATGGAGCTCAGTGAACTTCATTGGTCTATAAAAGACTTTCCAAACTGTGTCACAACACGTTAGTGTGTTAGCTGCAAAGTGCGGATGGAGGCTTCTGCTGGTGGGTGTTCAGCCTTCCTGACTGACCACCTCTACCTGACCAGAGTGTATGCAACCACCCAAAAACTCTGAGGAATGCTGGAAGAAGTGGCAGAAGCCACCTTGACACCTTCACTTGAGCTGAGAAGTCTTAGCAGAACTGGCTTTCCTTATACATTATATAGAGCAGAGGTGGAAACTTGGGGACACTCCAGCTATCAGACTACAGTTCCCTTCACCCTTTTCCATTGGACCTTGATGAACAGGGCTGATTGGAGCCCAACAAAATATGGAGGGCCACATCCTTGCCTTGGAGGGTTCCACTGGCCCCATAAAGTGCCACCATCATTTGCCAGGAAAGGGAGTTGCTGCTCTGTTCTCTGCTGTGTTTAGGACATCAGTTAGCCAGAGTGAGCTTCAAGTTCAGCAGCAGGTGACAAAAAGGGACCACTGTTCTAGCATGTCCCTATAATGAAGTATCATTCCACCTTGGTTGAAAGCAACTTTCAGCTTGAGGTTTTTAGTTTGTTTCAGCATCCATACTTGCTTGTTCCCTTGCCTCTGCCACCCACTGGACATCCACTCCAGCACTGTTGAGGCAAAGCAGAACATTTATGGAGGGAACATACGGCCTTCCAGATGTTGTCAGACTCCCAACCCTCTTCAGCCTCTTTCAGCAAGGCCAATGATTGGGGTTGATGGGAAAAGAAGTCCAGAAGCCACTAGAGCACGACAGGTTCTCCATCCCTGCTGTAGTGCTTGAGATTAATGCCTTGCTGCTATATTCTGCAGGCGGCAAAGTAAGAGATCCAGCTAATCCTTGGCTAGGCCACTCTTTTTCAACCTTGGATTCTCAGCTGTTGTTGAACTACAACTTCCATCATCCCTGATCATTGGCTAAGATGGCTGGGGATGATGGGAAAACTGGGGGTCCCAACACACATACACCTGAGAACTCAAGGTTGAAGAACCCAGGGTTAGACACCACATACTTGGTGGCTTTGCCACCCCACTGCCTGCCATGCTGTTCTAGTTTTATGGGCTCTGCTTCGGCATCATGCAGTTCTCATTTTGCATGCCTTGTGCCGAATGCTGACACAATGCTGGGAACACACCACACCCACTGCTTCATGGCTGCAGAGTAGAGTGGCCAACACACACATGGCCTATTTTGGGTAATGACCTGATGCCAGAGGCTAGCGCAGGGCTTGCAGCTAAGCATTGCTTGTCCACAACCACAAAACCACTGATGTGTTATTACCGAAAGGCAACTGGGCACCAATTCCTGAAAGTGTGGACTGGAAGTTGCCCTACTCCTGCCTTAAAACAAGGGGCATCCATCTGGTTCCATCTGGAACATGTTTGATGCAGTAACTTCTTAAGAGTGAGGCAAGGTTGGTTAGTAGGCTCAATTGCTGGTTACCGCAAAGGTAGAAAAGCTCTCTTCCATCTGAAACGATGGAATGATGAACATCTACAAATGTCACAGTGTACCATCACTTGCATTTTTGCCTCTGAACTGCAAGCAGTTTTTCTCACAATTCTAAAAAACCACAACCAAGCAAGTGTCCCCCTCCCATGCACACCAAATTGGATGAGGTTTATTTTAAACAAAACCCACAACTGCCCAATCCTGTTTATTTGTCCTCTAATGCTTGCATTTCTTTCAAATGCCTTTTCCTTTCAAGATTTTCTTTTGCTCGCTTCTTCTTCTCTTGCTTTTTCTTCTGAAATTCCCGTTTCTCCTTAACAACGTCACTGGTTTCACCTTTGTAGAAAACATCCACTTTCTCCTGGAGGATCTCTCTAGCTTTTTTACGGTTCTGCTCCACTGATCTTGTCTGATGGCACTAGGAGGAGGGCGGGGAGAAAAAATAATTTGCTTAGGGGATTGGAGCCAGCCCCATCCTGAAAGTTAGAAATGCTATTGCAGGCCTGGTGATTCAGAACTACTTTGGGAAAGAGAATTCTAAGAGAACGAAGCAGATGAGAAGGCTGGAGAGGCACAAAAGGACTCTAGAAGCTTGAAAGAGGATTTATGGAGCCATCCATGTGTGGCTGTAGGATGCTGGAAGGTGGCAAAAGTTTTGTAGATGAGTGGAAAGAAAGGCAAGGGCTAGAGACATAAAGGCAGTACAATGGACCAAGCCTCACTGTTCTCCATGTTTATGCACTTTTGGGAGCTCTTGAGGGTGGGGGAGATGCAAACCATTAAAATAAGCTAGGATTGTGATGTGGCCACTGCCCCCCAAGTGCAAGCCAGAAAAGGGATGGGGCTGCTTAGCTCCTTTCTCTCTGGTTCGGCAAAGTGCCTGGGTGAAATCACCTCAGTGATTTCACCCCATCATGCAGCACTGTGGTAGGAAGTAGGGTTTTGAACATTGCGATGTTTGCCTGGTGATATATTGCAGTGTTGAAAACCTGACATTGCCCACCCTTACTCTACTGATGAAATGGCAGTTCGGTCTCTGCCTGTTGATAGGGTGCCTTTGTCATCTGTTTCCTACCTCACAGAATCATGATTTCAATAACTACCTGTAATGAGTATGGGTTGCTCGTGCGTAAGTTGCCGCCACTCCTGGCTATGTTGCCTTGTTAAACTTTTCTGTCTGGACAGCCCTTCACTTCGTGGCTGCCTCAGTCGCTAGCAGAATCCGTCAGTGGGCGTTTCTTAAACCTTTTCCAGCATAAAAGCTGTTTGACGCCAAGTCTCCTCCTACTCTCCCTGCGCGGAAGTCTTCTGCGCAGGGAGGGTGTGGGTAGCGGAGGACCCGTGCTCTCCCCGCTGGTGTCCGGCGAAGAGTCCTGGAGCCCTCTCGCCGATTCCCCCATCTGCCCCCCTTTATCTCTGGTGTTGCGCTGATTTCCTTCCCCAGCTGATGGGCTGCCTCTCTCCCTGCTGGGTCCTTCTCCAGCATCATTTGGGAGCCTTCCCTCCGCCTCTAGCTCCAATGTCAGTTCCCTGACACTACCTATAGACTCTTGGTGGATGCACCACATGCCGACAATTCCTTTGGAGTAGACTACCAAAATTGATTTTCTCATGAATCTGACCGGAGATAGCCAACGTGGTGCTCACCAGATGTTTTGGATTACATTTCCCAGGATCGCTGCAACATCACTGTCAGGGAAGACTGCTTTGAGGTTATTTCTACAATCAAGTGATATACAAATTTTATGAAAATGGAATTGTTGTCCAAAATGTATGGAGGGCACCATGTTAGTTATCCCTGCTCTACCCATTATAGTTGATGTGACCTGGATGCTACATATGGGGCTTCTCAGGAATGTGAAGAACACACACCTCAGCCTTATTGGCCCATATGCCTATCCAACAGTATATAGTTTTTTGTGGTATGAAAACTTCCTGGCTGATCACCTGAACACGACTCTTACTCCAGTGGACAAGCTTTTTACAAACCTCTGTTGTGCTAAACACTATTATGTGAAGCAGAAAACTAGTGAAACTTGCCACAGAAGCAGACGTGGAGCAAAGTCAAGCAACTCACCTTGACTACAATTCCTGAAGGAAGATGTTTCAGGACCACACAGTTACTGGTTTTATTGGTTGCTTGGCCTCCGGGTCCAGAGCCACGGACAAACTGCTCTTCTAGGTCAGCCTCTTGTAGAGGAAGGAGGTCTCTGAAGCTCTTCTTTCCCACTTCAAGGAGCAACGGTCTGGGCCACCAAGGCATTAAAAAACGTGACTTCCACCAAAGCCTTGATGCCAAAGGGAAACCACTTAGTCCATTCAATGTGTTTGTCAAGAGCGGTAAACTTGAGGGAGGCATAGGAAACTCTAGAGATGAGGACTTCTAATTTAAACAATAGGAGAGAAGCCAAGAAAATACTCATAAGTAACTGTCAATATATCTGGCCCTAACATTCAGTGGAACATAGGAAGAAGCATTATACTGAGTGAGACCATTGGTCTATCTAGCTCAGTACTGTCTTCACTGACTGGCAGAGGCTCTCCATGATTTCAGGCAGGGTTCTTGCCCAGCCCTATCTGAAGCTGCCAGGGATTGACCCTGTGACCATGAGGGCACAAAGCAGTTGCTTACTATTGAGCCTCAGCCTTTTGTACACATGCACTTTATGGTGCTGTGCTTTTGGTGGTGGAGGATGGGACCCAATTTTTATTTTTATTTTTCTCAGACTACACCACTGCAGTGTGGAATGCAAGCTGTCTGTTTTCATTGACTCTGCTGACTTCACATTACATTCCAGGGTAGCAGGAGAGGACTTACTGTCAAAAGAAATGATATCCTGTCTGATGATTTAATCCCACCCATGACACCACACAACACCAACATCTCATATGATGTGGGTAGGGCTGTGATATAGTTGCTATCCTCCCTTTGAGCCTTCTCCACCCCTGAACTCTCTCCCCCTCCCAGTCCCCAAACTGAAATATCATCTTGTTACTAAACAGTACAGGGTGCTTTTCCAACTTCTGGCTGAAGTTAATCTTTTCATGGGAAAAAAAGAGAGGAGTGAAAAAACTGACCATGGTCTTTTTCTGTTACTCAGACAAGTGGCAATTAACCTTTCCAGTTTGATGTCTCTTTTTCTAAGAACAAAGCCACTCTATGATTAAGGGAGCAAGACTAACACCTGCCACAACTGAACACTCACCTGGCCACTGTGCCAGCACACAAATCGTGGAATGTGGCCTTGGAGGTATTTATCCACAGGTACCCCAATCTTCACATGATCAAATTGAAAAGGCTTCGGGGTCAAGATAATGCTGCTACACACACATTATTAGGAACCTTTTGCTTTATTTGAGCAATTTATCCGACCATCTGTTTTATGTATACTGGACCAATTGTAAATCATTTATTTGCTTAAATTAAAAACACAAGCTGAAAGGACTTCCATTTCTGTAGAGGAAGACCAAACAGGTTTCTGCTCACAGTACCCCTTAGCAATTGCTGATCCAAAGGGTACAGAAAAACCAAATATTTTCAATGAGCCAAAATGCTCACTTGGTGGCACCAGAAACCAAGAGACAGGGGAGGAAGTAAATGCTTCCTTGCAATACCCAAATTGTAACTATTATAAAATTACAGGGCTATAGAAATCACCAATATCACTACTGATTTGTCTGGACAAATTCCAAGCAATAGTCAGAAGTGGAAAACACATCTTCATCCAGAAGAGCACTGATTATACAGATAAGTAGGAGGTCATGCTGCAGCTGCTGGTCACATGTTCCATGATGGCACTGCCCTGGAATGCTTAACCCTGAACTGGTCTGTGGGCAAACAGAGGCGTTTCATTTTGCTAAAATGATTCTAAATATATGTCTTTTGGGTTTCCAGCTTAAATATGTCTGGATTTGTCAAAAGTAATAAAACAGTTTTCAAAGAAAGTGATCAAGCAACGGGAATAAAGCAGCTCTTTGCTCTTCCTTAGGACTGACAGGCTGCAACTTGGTCAACGAAGTAACTTTATGTTCCCTGACAATGCAGTGAAAACAGATTCAACCCTTTTTCTTCCTCCAAATCCTTCCCCTGTCCCAACCTTTGCTAGCACAGTACCTTTCACAGGGGATGCTGGAGAATTCTGACCAAAAAGAAATGGAAACAGGAACTGCCAATTATTTGCCCCATCCAGCACACAAATCAATCCAGCGAATATTATTCACTGTTGTTGTTGCTTTGACTCCACAAACAATATGCAACTGATTACTCCCCTCTCCATTTGCATGGATATGGAACTTACATCATCAGTTACTTAAGTTATGTACAGTGGTGCCTCGCAAGACGAAAAGAATCCGTTCTGGGAGTCTCTTCGTCTAGCGGTTTTTTCGTCTTGCGAAGCAAGCCCATTGACCAGTTAGCGGATTAGCGCTATTAGCGCTATTAGCGGCTTTTAGCAGCTTATCAGCTTATCGGATAAGCAGATAAGCGGCTTAGCGACTTAGAAAAAGAGGGGGGAAAGGAAAAAAAAAAACCAGGAACTCGCAAGACATTTTCGTCTTGCGAAGCAAGCCCATAGCAGATTCGTTTTGCGAGGCACCTCCAAAACGGAAAACTCTTTCGTCTAGCGAGTTTTCCGTCTTGCGAGGCATTCGTCTTGCGGGGCACCACTGTAATTTTGCTACAGTGGACAGCAAGATGAATAATGTGGGTTTTGGTGGAAGATAAGCTGCAGTGCCACAGAAACAGCGCTGCTTGCAATGAATAAAGGGTGAAATAGAAAACAATGCCTTACAGCTCTACTATCCAGATTTCTTGGACTACAACTCCCATTAGACTAAGCCAGGTGATGGTGATTGTAGCCTGTAACATCTGAAAAGCACTATGATGGCAAAGGCTACCTATACAAGTTGAATACTGCAGGAGGGGAGTCTTCTTGTGCTTAGGTCCTGCATGTGGGTTTGTCACTGTGAGAAGATGCTGGATTAGATGGGGCACTGGCCTGATCCAACAGGCTCCTCTTATGTTCTTATTCTGTTGTCCAGTCCCTCCCATGTTTACTGTAATAATTAATGTGACAGGCAGGTGAGGGAGTACATAACAAGAACTGAAAGGAGAGGGCAGGAGATCATATTACTTTTTCATCTCTCAGTGCATTTGGAAATTTAAATACATAGTGCAGGTTTCTTCCTCCTCTTACCATCCACAGTATTAAATTAATAGGGCAACTAATCCCAGTAACTTTAAACTGAATTCCAGGATACTGCCAAGAAATAAGTAGTGGGTGGAAGAAAGGAAAGCTTAGCCAAAAAGGGAATATACTTGATTCAGCTTTTTTAAAAAGAAGAAGCCAAAATAGGTTACTGAAGTCAAACAATGGAATAATGAGATTTGATAAATAATGGTGCTGAGTTTTTAAAATAAATATATACCTTCTAGTTTAAGAAGGCAATTATAAAACAAAAAACCTTGAAGTACACCTCCCTTCTAAGGTTTCACTGATGCCAGCATCTGTTAATGATATTCTGCTCTCTCCTGCCCCCAAGATACCAACAGAGCATTTCCAATTTGAAGGCTCCATTCCAGAGCGACACCATCAGAGAACAGAATGTGTCCACCAGCCACAAAACTCCAGCCTCTCTGTTCAAGAAATGCAGTCTTCCAGATGATGATGCATTTCTGATGCAAATTTAAACAATTAAAAGTAAAATAAAAAATGAAGCAATGAACAAAACATACCCCCTCAAGCATTTTGTTTGAAATGAAGTACGCTGCTTTGAAGACACGTTCCCCATTGCTCATCTTCCCATCCACCCACCCCATTTCACTCTGTGCTGAAGTCACAATCCACTGCTGGCCACATCAGTTGCCAGGGGAAAAGGCTGCATCAGGATTTCCTCTGTAGGACCTCCTAGGAAGACTGCAAGGCATTGCAACCAAGTGCTAGATTAAACACAGGTTGGCCACCGTTCATCATGGCAAGAGTGAGTAGATGTTGCTATACTTTTTGTCTGGGTTTTCAAAACGAGGTAGGGCTCTGCAAGCAGCTGGGCAGCTGCCAGGGGAAAATACAAACTTGTCTGTTGACCCTTCCAGCCTAATGCTGGTCTAGCAGCCCAATTGCTCCCAGTCTCCCTTGATGTCCTGGTGACATGGTTTCCATGGTGCAAATCTAAGGCAGCTGTCAATTTTAAGGGTTTGGTTTCTAAGTCAAAAGGCAACAGGCATCCTGCCTTACATGTTCCTGCCTCTGTTTTATAAGTGGAAGACTCCAGGCTACATGCTGTAGGTGCAACAAGAAGACTCCTGGGCTCCATTCTTGGCTCTGGATGTACTTGGGCAGCAAGACTCTGGGTTGCAATCCCAGCTCCACATCTGAGGTGAGGATGCAGCAGAACTTATATATTCCATCCTTGACACACAAGAGACAGGGTAGGACTCCTGTTTTTGTGGGCTGGGAGGTAGTCAGTACTCCTGGGGCTTAAAGGTGATTGCAGGGGAAGAGGATGCATTGACTTTGTAGTTTTTGCGGGGAGAATAGAAAAGCTCTTCGTTTTGGAGATGAGGGTGGGAAGGGGGAGAAAGAATGCCGAGTCCTGGCTTTACAAATGATGCAGTGTGGAGGAAACGCTCCTGGGTCTCTCCTGGCTGTGGATGGTGCTGGGCACAGAAAGAAAGGGGTCTTTTTTTGGAGGCGTGAGAAGTTTGAGAGCCAGGTGGTGCAGTGGTTAGAGCAGACTTTCTCAATCTCTGGTCCCCAGACGTGGTTGGACTACAACTCCCATCATTCCAGACTGCTGGCCCTTCTCATTAGGGATGATGGGAATTGTAGCCCAACAAGATCTGGGGACCCAAGATCGAGAGAGTCTGGGTTGGTGTGTCAGACGAGGACCTCGCAGACCCAACTTCAATTCCCCCCTCAAGCATGAAGCTCCCGGAATGATCTTGGGCCGTTGCTGACTCTCAACCCAACCTGCCTCACAGGCTTGTGGTGGTGATTAAAGGAAGGCGGGAAGAATCATGGGCTCGTCACGTTGAGCTCCAGGAACAAAAGGGTGGGATATAAATGCAAAAAATACACGACAAAGGTTGGGGCTCCTGGGTCCTCCTTGGGGAAGGGCTGCTGGATTCCGGTTTTGGAGGGGAGGGGAGGTTTGGGGCGGGGGCGCAGGACTCCTGGGTTTCTTCTGCAACTGAGCGAAAGGCCTCTCAATCCATGGCCGAGGTGGGGACCGGGAACCCCGCACGCTGCACCTCCACCTAGGCCGGAGGAAAAGCAGAAAACCGCTCTGCTGACGTCTCTTACCTACTGCGGGACGGGTCAGCTCGCCTGAGGGAAGAAGGCCCCAGCCTGTCTGCGCATGCGCCGCCGTGTATTTACTTCACTGACCCGAGAGAGAGAGAGAGAGAGAGCGCCCCCACCCGCCACTCCATGAAGGTGCCACTCCAATAGGGGCAGCGGAAAGCCAATCACAGAGCACGACCCGTTACGCGACGGGCCTTTCTCCTTGCCACCGCCCAATGGCCGCCAAGCTCCCATTCCACGCCCCTCCGCTCCCGCCCCCGTTGTTGGGTAGCCAATCGCATCCCGCGTCCCACCCCGGCGCGCGGCTCAGAGCAGCCAATAACCGTCCGGGCGAAGCCGCCTCGCGAGCCTCTTGCGTCTGCTTTGAAAAAGCTTCGAATCTCAACCGCCAACCCTGAGGGGAGGGGGCTCGAGGGGAAAGAGGCCGCCGCGCTCGCCGTTGTTTACAGCCTGACCTCTCTCTCTCTGAGGTGGGCGAAGGAAAAAACGCGGGAGCCGCTGTTTTTCTCCCCGCCCCCCCACTAGGCCAGCGATTCGAAATGCAGGTAAGCGACCGGATGTTTCTGGAATGTAACGGCTGTCGGCCTTTTGACGAGGGCAGGTTTGGAAAGGGCCTTCGGACGAGCCCTCGGGCTGCAGAGCGGCGCTCCCGTTAGCCAATCAACGCCTGGCCTCGCTCGTCAACATTCCAGAGCCAGCCAATCAGGACGCAGGAAGGTTGGGCTGCAGAATTGGGAGACAACATATTCGCGAAGTGGATCTCGCGGAAGCCTCGGGGCGCGGGGGGCGCGCGCGTGTAATACGAAGAGCCAGGCGGCCCGGGTTCGAATCCTCTCTCCGCTCAGCCTCCGACTCGCGCGGGGTGAATTGGAGCCAGTTGCTGCCTCAGCACTGCCTGCCTCGCCGGGTTCTGGAGAGGACGGTTAAAGGGAAAATAAAGAACTTGACGGGGAAAGGGGGCGGGATTCAACTCCTGAGCTCTTTGATGAGAGGATATGTGAGTTTAATAATAATAATATAGTGTAGATGTAGAGGAAGGTTGTTTAAGTGCTCCTATTGTTTTTGTTTTCATGCTTTCTAGTTCTTTCTTTATCTTATATAAGATCATCCCTATATGCTATATTGTAACTAAGCCGAAAGTATGTACGGTATACAGTAATAAGTGAAACGATCTTTTATTCTTTTTGTCCCTGCTTCCCTTTCCCACTGCCTTCCCCCTTTTTGCTTCTGATATCAATTTTTATCTGATAAGCCCTTTTGGGGTAGGAAATAGTGATGACTGTTCTTTCTACGGTACCCTGTATGTGGATGGCGGTATATACATATTCAATATAAGTTGCTTGCATTAGAGCCATTAGAGGGGAAAGGGCAAGGTAAGATGGAAGGGCAGTAATTATAAAATGCCTCAAACGTGATGTGCTGTGATAGTTAAAAACAATGAACTTTGTGAGTAGGGACATGCGTTCTTTTAAAAAATGGATTTAAAGACAGAAGGGGGGAAGTGGAAGCAAAAAAAAACAGCTTCGTCGTTAAAAATGCATTTATTGAAGGATCAGTAGGGTCTGAAATGCACTGGATCAATAAATACGATAAGGATAAAAAATGGAAAGTACTGATACTGCAGGAATGTTAAAAGAGCATGTTTAATAATACTTCAACTGCTTTAGATTTTTCAGAGCACTTCCTGTAGACTGTATCTTACGCTATGCAATAGGAGTGGGGGACTTGGGGGGCCTAAAATATTTTTATTGAACTTTAGATTTTATCAGCCCCAGCCAGCATAGCCAATGGTCAGGGATGATGAGACTTGTAGTTTAACATATGGAGACCAGTCTTGTGCTTTTTTTTCTGGAGGTAAATTGTACGCAGTACCAGCACCCTTTTTTTCCTAGAAGAAAAGTACTGGGAGCCGCAACTACCTTATAAGGAAGACCAATACTTTTTTCTCCATATTGTAAATGGGAATCTGTAACCTAAGGCCTTTTCTTTGTAATGACTGAGAGGAAGTTTGAACAGGGACCTTTCTTCCATTTGTGCAGTTTCATGGTTGATTCAGAAGTTAGCTGCTCTGAATTCAATGGAATTTGCTCCCAAATCAGTATGAATTGGATTGCGGGCTCAATTTCTAACTGCTGTTACACACTCAAGCCACTTTTAGAAAATCGCCTCTGCTCATATGCCTTCAACAGCTTTCTCACTGGTAGAAATTAAGCAGGTAAAGATTTTGCTGTTGGCATGATGGAAGAAAAACAACTTTGTCTAACTTCAGTCTGTTACGTCTTTCTGTGTATCTTTTGCAGGTAAATAAGTGAAGGCAAAGCATCACTGTCCTCCCCCTCTTGTGCCAGTGCTTACCACAAATTTATTTTATTATTTATTAATTACATTTCTATTCCATTTTTCTCCAAGGAGCTCAAGGCAACATACAAGGTTCCCCCACTCCATTTTATCCTTTCAACAACCCCGTGAGGTAAGTTAGGCTAAGAGAGTGACTAGCCCAAGGTCACCCAGCAAGCTTAATCACTAACTGGATATTTCAGTGTGATTCTCATCAGTCTTAGTGATATCCTAACCGCTTCGCCAACTGGATGTGATGGTTGGTGATAGCTAGGAAATCTGGAAGACGGTGAAAGAATGACAGTTAAATCTTAGTGTAAATTAAACAGATGGAAACAACACATATGAATATGAGAGAATTACTTGTACCTGATCCTAACTGCTTTGTTCAGAACTAAGGCTGCAGCCCTAAGTCCCATTGCACTCATTAGGACTTTCTTCTGAGTTTCTTCTGTTTTCTGTCCAGTTTCTCTGACTCATGCAAGACTGGCAGGGCTCTGAATTTGGTGGTTCTTTTGCTTTCTCCATCCCCTTTTCCTCCATTTTTCTATTAAATTGACCTCACATTAGAACCATGCTGGAATAATGCATTGGCTTATTTCCAAGTAATCATGAATGGCACAGATTTGTAGGGCTGGAACCCAGTCTTTAGAGTTTTAGTTTATTGATTCATTTAATTTTAAATTTGTAGGTGTGTGAATTTATTTCTGAACTAGTAAGCATACTTGCTTTGATTTTAAATGCTGCAGGCATTATAGCAAATAGCAGCTTTGTAAAGGCATTCGTCCTGTGTGAGAGAAAAGAGAATGCCAGTTTCACCACAGTAGTTGCCATTTGCAGTTTTTATAACCACATGTATTAAGAATAAGTTTTTAAAATAAAAAATCTGCCCAATGAATTGGGGGCACCTATTTAATCAATTAAGGTTTTTTAAAAATGAGTTAAATTAACCGATCAATTGATTAAATGTGACAGTCATAATTGTTTATTACTTTACTTGGTTTTTAAAAAAAATTCAAGTTTTTTTCCAACTGCCTTGTGTGTGTCTCTGCATCCCTTCTGGCATGACCCTTCAAGAAGCTAGATCCAGCTCAAGGGGCTGCTGGTTACTAGTCCCTAATCCTGTGGACTAAGTGGCTGGGGTTTGGGGTTGATTTTTGAAGGGAAAATTTGCAGTAAAGAAAATGGATAAGTGGAGGAGCAGACAATCAGAAGGATGGAAGCTAGAGGAGAAGCCAAAGGCTGAGGTAGAGAAAATGTAGGGATGTGATCATTTCTTTGGCTGGTAACCTGGTTCCTTTGCCATAGGTGGTTATTTCTTATACTGGAAAGGTGTTTGTACCTGAGTGATTTACCATGCTTCTCCCCTGCTTCATTGGGATAGGAAGCTTTTTATCCATTTCAATCACCCTGTTGTTTGCATTGCCTTTGATAAACAGTTGTATTATATATTACATTTCTAATCTTCGTTAGAACTTTTGAAACTTTTTGTGCAAGAGACATAACTTTATATTTATACAGGGGTTGCCAACCTTTTTGGACCAGTGCACACGCAGTGCACAACTTTTGAAAGAGTTCTCTTGATGCCAGTCACAAAATGGCTGCTGTGTAGGGGGTATGACAAAAACATAAAATCAGAGAGCACAGTAAATAGTAAAGCTTTTCCCCCACTAGAGGAAGCTTAACCTGTTGAATTTCTGCCTACCATACAGCAAGGGGTGGCTCCATGTTTCAGGAAGCCCTTGGGCTCAGGATATGAGTTGGCCTTTTTCATTTTCTCAAACCACATCCCTCCTCCAATGTTGTCTAATGTTGCAACCCCATATTGTTAAAGTCAGTTGTTTAGGGCTTTAAAAATCAATGCAAGTAACTTGAGGTGGGCCTAGGAGACATTTGGCAACCAGTTTACGATTTGCTTTTATGTTTTAATTTCTTGGCTAATCTTGTGTTCAACTATCATTGCATTGGTTTAGCTAGATTTTTGAAGGGAAATGTTATGTTTGCAGTATGGTGAGAAACTGAGGATGTAGCACAAATAATTAATGCACACAGAACTGAGGAAGGGAAGAAGTAGGTCAGCCATTATGTGCTGGAAAATGGTTAATTCCTGCTTTCTCAGTGTGGTCTCTTAACCTCTAAGGATTCTTCTTTGTTGGTGATGTGGCATTCATGTATTCTGCTACATTGGTAGATTGACGGAAGTGACAGGGAATTTGGTTAGAATGTTGTGGATATCCATGATGGGTAGAATTGTTTTATTGTGCTTAGAAAATGTTTGTTTAAATGAATGATTTTCCCAGAAGATGTTGACTGGTCATGAGAATATAGCAGGTGTTGATGTGCATGTGGTGTAGTAGGAAGAGTGGATGAGGCTCAAATCAAAATAGAGCAATTAACTGTTTTAGGGGACTTTTTAGAACTGTTTCTTAGCTTCATCTATGACATGGGAATATTCAGCTGAATTGCTGAAGTCACTCTTTTTGATGAAAACAATCAACTACAGTGGTGCCTCGCAAGACGAAATTAATCCGTTCCGCGAGAGTCTTCGTCTAGCGGTTTTTTCGTCTTGCGAAGCAAGCCCATTGACGGATTAGCGCTATTAGCGGTTTAGCGGCTATTAAAGGCTTAAAGGCTTAGGGATTAGCTGCTAAAAGGCTATTAAAGGCTATTAAAGGCTTAGCAGATTAGATAAAGGGGGGGAAAAGCGAAAAAAAATCTCAAGACTCGCAAGGTATTTTCGTCTTGCGAAGCAAGCCCATAGGGGAATTCGTCCTGCGAAGCAACTTCAAAACGGAAAACCCTTTCGTCTAGCGGTTTTTCCGTCTTGCGAGGCATTCGTCTTGCGGGGCACCACTGTACTCAGTTTTGACTGGCATGTATAGGAAAATGTGGAACAGTTGCTTGGGTTCAGCCAAGTAACAACTTGATTTCTGTAGCTTTGAAGATACTTGTTTCAAGCCTTGATTCTGAAAGCACCTTAATGAAGTTGGACTGCTAAATAGTTGCCATGATTTCGAACACTGAATGTTGATGTACCACCTTCTTTCCCTTCCTTCTTTTTGAAGTGGGTGTGTCACGTATTTTTCTTTTTCTTTTTAAAAGGATAACCACATGCTTTGCAAGCATGAGATATGGAAAACCTGGGCTTGGTGAAAATTGATCAAGAGGCTGCTTCTGTAGACACCAATACCAGAGATGATCAGAACTCTGTTGGCTGTGATGTCAGTAATAACAGGTAAATGTGATAGGCTGATTTTTTTCAAATTAGAAAGGCACTCTAACATAGACAGTCATTTCAGCAAAAAGTGCAACACTCAGTGCAACTTAATATATTTTTCTATGTATAAGATGATTTTTTGTTTAAAAAATTAGTCAAAAATTGGGGGTCATCTTATACACAGATGATGAATGCACAGGAATTTAAAAAAGCACCACTTACCTTCCTGTGGCTGCCGTGAAGAAGCTGCTGGAACAACCAATCATTTCACTTAACCGCTTCTGCCAACCAATGCATGCACCTCAGCTAACCATTACTGCCGTTGCTGATGTTTAAATATACGGTAGTAAATATACCAGTCCTCAGTTGTGTAGGTAGGCGGGAGTGGGGGTGCCACTGGGCGTACCTGGGCCTCAGGGTGGAAGTGTCCGTCCCGTGTGCTCGGCTTAACAACTTTGAATATTTTATTAAATATCAAATTTTTGTTTGATGTTTAAAATATTGATTTCTTAATTTTGGGTTCAAAAAAGTAGGGGTCGTCTTATGCATGGGGGCATATTTATACTCGGAAAAATACCGTATGTGTCAGTCATCAAGAAAAAAGTCTTCTGGTATGGAGGCTGATCTTGGAGGCAAGTTGCATATTTTTGTTAAAAGATCAGCAGTTTTATATTTGAGTTCTTTAAGAACACTCAAGTGGATGCTATCCAGGCCTGGTAATTTGTCAGTTCTTAAATTGGTCAGTAAGGCCTAGAACTCACATCTCTTGTCACCATTATTTGCCTTAGATGCCCTTTCCAAGGAGGTTAGTTTAGGTACAGGGATCTGCCCTATATTTTCTGCTGTGAAGAATTGGAGCGGTGTGTGAGGGAAAACTCAGTGGGAAGAGATCTTCTTAAGTAGTTCTGTCTCATGAATTTCATTGGAATGTGTGTGTCCCTAGTTATGTCTGAACCACACTGGTCTCACTAAAGACTAGTTTGCTAATGAAGCCACACTATTGGATATTAATACAGTAGTACCTCAGGTTACATACGCTTCAGGTTACAGACTCCGCTAACCCAGAAATAGTGCTTCAGGTTAAGAACTTTGCTTCAGGATGAGAACAGAAATCGTGCTCTGGCGGCGCAGCAGCAGCAAGAGGCCCCATTAGCTAAAGTGGTGCTTCAGGTTAAGAACAGTTTCAGGTTAAGTACGGACCTCTGGAACGAATTAAGTACTTAACCTGAGGTACAACTGTAGTATAGTAATAATTGTACTTTTTGAGTTCTATACACTCATTCTCATTGATGAGACAGTTATTTTCACTGAGTTTAACAACTTTCTTGTCAAGGTTTGGAAATTCTTTACCTCTTTGTAAGTGTTTCCTGTGGTCTGTTCTTTTTTGTTTTCAGCACAAAGCAGTTATGCCGCTAGCATAATACTATAGAGACGGCTTTGTCTGGCATTTGGCGTAATAAATAATTCACTTATTTTTTCTTCAGCACCAGCAGTCCCTTCTCAAACCCAAATGGCATCTCCAGTTTCTCAGGGAAAACCATCCCTCCTGTAATACATTGTGATGTTGGTCCTTCTTCCTTCATGCAAAACGCTCAACGGAATAGTGACTCGGAACTATTGAAAAACTGTGAGGTAGGTAACGTTCTTTTCTCAGTGATCAAGAACATTTAAACATTAAAAAAAATCTTACAAAAGCATCGTGTTATGAAAAATTGTAAGAGTCTATACTGTGATTGTAGGGGGAAAGTATGTAATTCTATTCATTTGCAGTGAACACAATCTCCAGGACTGGTATGAATCTCACATTGAAGCATAGTTTTTTTTAAAAAAAAATAAGTTTTAATGTGAACGCAAAGCATGCTAGTGCACACTGCTCAAAACCCCTGCCCCTGCCATTGCACCCCAGGAAATAAGCCAGACTCTAGCTTGTTGTGATGTCTAATGCTTGAAGTTTTCCCCTCCAAACACGCTCAAGGTCTGTTCTCTTTTTTCCCCTCTTTTTTCTTTTTTAAAAAATTAGTCATTTTTCTTTTTCATTCATTACACATCTTTTATTCATAACATTTACTATGCATTCCTCCCTCCCTCCCCTCCTAGGCTTCCCCCAACTTCCGCTTTTGGTTTGTTTCTCCTTTTACCCACTTTGCTGCTTCTTAAAAGAAAAGGCTACTAATAACATATTTATACAATAACATCAAACCTAAAAACATAAAAATAACAATGAATACACCATATTATTTCTCTAATACTAACAATGTGAATGTTTATGCCATCAAGTCTATAGACTTTCTTTGTTTCTGCAAGTATAATATAAATGGTTCCCATTCTTTTTCAAAGTCACTGTTGTCTTTTTCTCTTAATCTGTCTGTCATTTTTGCCAGTTCTGCATAGTTCATCAACTTCTCTTGCCATTGTTCTTTAGTTGGTATTTCTCCAGTCTTCCAATTTTGTGCGATCAACATTCTCGCTGCTGTAGTGGCATACATAAAGTCCTCTTTTCTTTTGGTATATCTTGGCCTAAATACCTAATAGAAAGGCATCTGGTTTTTTTACAAAAGTTATTTTCAACATTTTCTCCAATTCATTACATATCATTTCCCAATAAGCTTTTACCTTTTTGCAATCCCACCACATATGATAAAACGTGCCTTCTGCTTCACACCTCCAGCACTCTTTCTTTTCATTTTTATACATTTTTGCCAATTTAACCAGTGATATATACCATCTATACATCATTTTCATATAATTCTCAATAATATGCAATCTGTAAATTTCAAATTTACTTTCCACAATTTTACCCAGTCCTATATCCTGTTATGGCCTATATTTTGTGCCCATTTGATCATTACCGATTTTACTTCTTCATCCTTAGTTTCCCATTCCAAAAGAATATTATATTCCTTTTTCAATAATTTTGTGTTTTCTTCTATCACTTCCTTTTGGAATTTGGAAACCGAATATGAGAAGCCTTTTTTTATTATCCTCTTCAAAGATATCCTTTAATTGTCTATGTTGCAGCCAGCTTTGTAGATGTTCTTTTATTTCATCATATTCTTTCAATTTTAAGTTTCCCTCTTGTTCAATCAGCAGCTCTCCCTATCTCTCAGCTGATAGAGAACTCAAGGTCTGTTCTCAGCTTGTTGCTTCTACCGGTAATTTACTTAGGGAGAAACAAACTGTTAGCCAAGGTTTGAACTTCTCAACAAGCCAGACTCTAACTTGTTTCCTGGCAGTGCAGAGAGGGAGGAATAGGCTGAGAATTTTTCAGCAGCATGCAATAGCATGCTGCATATTCACCATTAAACCATGGTTTGTTTTTAATTGGGGAACCTCCAGTCCACAGGTCCAATTAGACTTGTAAGGCCATTTTGGCTTACCCAGTTAACCTACACATGATGACAGGTAAAGAAGTGGCTGGGTTGCAGACACCACTGATTGTCAGGGCTTCCATAGCTCCATACACAGTCCTAGACAGCACGAGAGATTTCATTGTCTGCCTCTACTGTGCTAGATGTAAAACAAAAATGGAAGAAAATGTGTTTTTCATCTTTTTTCTTTTAATTCATATTTAATAGATCAGGTGGCTGCGATTGTTCCAGCTGGTGGAGAAGCAATGCCAAGAACAAATAGTTGCCCAGCAAAAAGTGTTCTATCATCAGATTCATGTAAGTATTTTGGTTTGCTTGACTGTTTTAAATTGAAGCAGTTTCTCATTAGTGTGAGGTTGGTGTCATTACAGAGGCAAAGACAGCTGTTAGTGATGTGAATGCTTCTTCCTGTGCTTTCCTAGTACATAAGATGCATGACATGTCCTAAGCTGGCAGAGATGTGTATGCATAGGTACAGATAAAAATGTTTATAAATGTAACAGCTTTGTGTACAAGCACATACACTCCTGTCAGCCTAGGATACTATTTCATACACCTGTTGAAATTATCTCTTTGAAAGTTTTTATTGCAATATATTTGCTAGTATCTTGAAGTTAGTCAGCCTGATTATTGCACCGTAGAAAATATTCTTGCTTTCTGGTGCATGGGGTTAGCAGTCAATTTTTTTGCAACCATTTTTCTCTCCACTGTGGACCACAGTTCTTCACTTTTTCATTGCTTCTGATTTTTTTTGCCCTTAAGCTAGGGGGAAGTGTGAACTCCACCTGGTGCACTTTTTAGGCTAATACATGAAGCATTTGATGGCTGTCTTCTGGACCATAATTGTGATCCCGTTTTAACTGCTTAACTGTACATAGTTTTAGGTGTCAATGGCTCTATGGAGCATAAAGTAAGATAGATGTAAAAAGATTTGATATATTTGTTTGTTGGTGTATCTAAAATGAAAACTTAATAAAAAGCATATTCAAAAAACAAACAAACATAGTTTTAGGTGTCAGCAGGTTTGTGTGTTTGTGTGTGCGCGCTCGTGCGTGTGCGCGGTAGAGAAGTGAATAACTCTTATTCATTTTTGGTGTACTATAAAGAGTTCTTGGTAGCATAGCCTTGACTTTTTTAAAGAAGGAAAGTGATAATGTGCTTTTGAATTTGCAGTATTCTGAGAGACCAAATGCATGCTTTTGCCACCATGTGGTATATAAAAAGGAATATTTTGTCCTTTACAGTCCTGAATTAAATTTTCTCATCTTGCTATCCCATAATTGCAGGGCATCAGGAGTACAGATCTAGAATAGCTGAGTAGGATGAACTGAGTCTTTAACACCAGAATAAGAGTTCAACTAAATGCCTTTTGGAGAGGTCCTGTTCAAGAGCAGTGGTACGTCTCCAGCCTCAACTCTCTCATTAGCTATGTAGGGCCATATGGAGCTTAGCATGGTATAGCAGCCATTCTAATAATGACTACAAAAGTAGTTCAATTCCTAGGTAACAGTTATTTAGACATATGCTCTGCGCTGAACTGAAGACATGTTTCAGCAAACTGTCTTGCTATCTGGGTGACCAGATGCTTGGGATATTTCTACATTTCTTTACTATAATATGTGAAAACTGTTACTTGGCATAAATAATATCTTTTTCTCTTAAGTTCAAATTCTCCCTCATGCCTATTTCGCAATAAAGTCAGCATATATGAGTCACTTTCCATATGTGAAAACCGATATTTGATACATTTAATAGATGTTTCAATACATTTTTAATATTTATACCCTTTTGGTTACTGTTTTTCCCTTCCATTTCCTGATGGTCCTCTGCACTAATAGTAACCAACAGCTCCTGAAACAAATAACAAAGAGGTATTGTTCTTTTTCATTCTTTTTCCGCCCTTCCTGTTTCCTTCCTCCTTACTTTCTTTTTGTCTTGCATCTTTTTTCATCCATGTTGGTATTTCTTCTCTGTGTTAGGTGTCTACGATCATGTGTTGCTATGGAGAGGCCTGATTGCTCACTGAAGGGTGCTTGCCGGGGTTGCTGGTTTTCAAAACTAACCCGGTGGAAGCACCGCTGATGCACCAAGTTTGCCTGATCAACACTTGGCATTTCTTATGCAGATTCATTGAAGTTGTTGTGTGTAATTCTGAAAAGCGTTGGTCACACCTGAACACCATTTCTTAGGATGAGAGACTGGTTCTGTATTTTGAGTTTTCTGGATGATAGAAATGTTCTCATTATTCGTGGCCTTACAGAAACATGTTGGTTACATGTGGCAATCATGCTATATATTAGGCTGAAAACTTAATGGTTGTATTTGAATTTGGCTAATTCCCATGAAGATATGTTTTGTTTTTGGCAATGAGACCACAAAACCTCATATTAAAATTGAACATTTTTTTGCTAGGTCTGGTCCAGAAATGTTTTAAAAGATGAGCAGCTTCACTTCTTCTAAGCATTCTATTTTGAAGAATAAATGCAACCATAACTATGCCTGGTGTGGAATATGCTTAATTAAAATTAATGGGTCTTCATTCCAAATTTAGAGACACAATACACATATACCAATCATTGGTCCTGAGCAAACCAGTGGTTTCATTAAACAAGTAATTCCAATTGGAGGCTTGTAGCTGCTATTTGTCTGCTTGGGGAGGTGGAGATAGCTGGGGGAATGTGGTAGAGATTGGGAATAAGAATTGTGGTTATTTTAAGTACTATACATGGATTTTGAGGCAGGCTAGCAGGAAAAGCAAATTAGAAGTGGTTAGTGGCATTGCGTCTCTCCAGAATTGCCCATGGATGTGCTATGAGTATCACTGGAAAAGCTGGCTTCCATGGCTTTAAAACTTTACTAATTTTATTTATTAGGTCAACTTTGCAGGGTGAGTAACAATTATTTCTGGACATGAAGGTTTCCTTGTTTCATTTAAAGTTGTATGGGATGGACTCTCCCACTCTCCATTTGTTTCTTGTACTTACCTTTAATATAGTCTTAACCAAGCAACACTGAATGTGCACACGCATGTGTTTTAATGGCAAAAGTGGAATAACTCAGGGTGTTCATTTGTATCCCATAACACATTTCTGCATGTTACGTCTGTAACTTGGTCTTGTGGAAGTTAAGGTTAAAATAATCCTTGTGTGCAATTTCCACAATGATTTCCAATTTTTATTTTAAATCACATATTTTTATTTGTAGCGCATACAGAATGAAATCAAACACTTGATGAAGCTGCAAAGCCAGAATGTGTGTTCGTGCAAGAAACAACCATCTCAGATCAAATTTGTGAACAGTTCTTCTTCATTAGAAAGTCAAATGGGGTTGCAGTCTGAAACCTTTGAAGAAAATGAGCTCTTTACCAGTCATCTCAAAACCAGTGATCATGAGAGTCTTCTGGAAGCTTCGGCCATGCCTCCGGAGTGCCTCACGAATAGTGTTTCAATGAGCAGTGGCTATGGCACGTGTTCTGCCGCAGAACTGAGTCCTAGCAAATATAAAGACATTCAGACGTGCATGGAAGACCCAGAGGAGATTACCAAAGGAAAGGAAGGTGCCTCACCAGTGCCGGAAGGTCTAGTTACAGCCAGTATTCAGAACACAAGAGAATATACACAAACAGGTGTAGAACATTGTCCATTGCTGAAAAAAGATGATAAAGGTTTTTCTGATGAATTTGAGCATAAGATCGGCGAAGGTCATTGTGGAAAAACAAACTGGTAAGTGGCCAATCTTGGAGTCATTAGGTTTATATTTAGAGTTGGTAAGGTTTTAGTATGTCTACTCTGCTTTTAACACAGGCAGTAGTGTTTGGAAAGGTAGTTTCACTACTTGCCTATATATGCCACTCAGCATGCCATTGAGTTTGCTTACGTTAAAATCTAAGATACATTCCTTGCGTTTGTGATACCTGATGTGCTATCACTGATGTAATGAGGGTGTCTAAAAATCTTGCTTATTCCCAGGGAAAGTTTCAGGCTTTTTTGTTTTGTTTTGTTAAATAGGCAGAAATGTTCCTGGCATTTCACATTCCTGGTAGGTGTGTGGCATGTTGCTATTCTGCACTGAAAGTCTACGAGGAGAGAGGTGTTTACAAAAAGTTAAAACAAGAAAATCAATAAAAAATAAACAGTACATTAAAATATTAAAACAGATTTAAATCACCTCAACTTTCTAAGCATCTGGATCTGAATGTTTTCAGCAGGAAGCGTACAGTAAAGACTGTATCCCTGCTTGATATCAATAGGCAGGGAGTTCCAAAGTGGTGTTGCCGCCACACAAAATGATTGAGTTCTTACAAATGTGAAATAGTATAGTCTGCTTCAGTCTAGCACTTTCTTCAAACAGTTTCATCCTCTAAAGCTTTAGAAGTACCCCAAGACTGGATTGTGGAGGCTTAAAGACGAAAGGAACTTACTTTTATGTACACCCTGAAGTCTGAGAGGACCTGGCTGAAAAGCAGCTGCTTCAGCTGTAAACTATATAGCAAAGAGAGCATGTTCTGGGTGTGCTTAGCCCTCAGAATTCTTGAGATGAAATATACATTCTGTTGTGAATGAACTGAAATGTGACAATTACATGCTGTCAACCAGATAGTTTAGTATATGCAGTCTGATGACTTTTTTTAATGGACAGAATGCCATTATGCCTTCACCTGCACATTATTTCCAAGGAAACAGTGATGGGGACATGTGATTGTTCATTAATTCTATGAAAAAGAAAGAAATTACTAAGCTGACTCATAGGGTCATTATTCTTTATTCATATTTTTTTCTATGGCACTTGAGAAAACATCAATTGCATATATACTTGCTTCATTTTAAGCTCTGCTGGTACAGGTAACTTAACTGCTGATTGTGGCAACCTAGCCTTTTGATGCTAAAAAGTGGATGTGTGCTCCTAGGATTTGAACATTCCGCTTGCTAGACCCATTGGATAACTGCCTGATATGAAGTCCAAATAGGAGGGAAGCGTAAGCTGCAGACTCTAAACATGTTTAAAATGGGCTCTAAATGGGTTTAAACTTAATAATAATCTATATGATGTGGTCTTTTAAATACTAGAACTCCAGGTCCTCCAATGAAACTGATTCTCGGTAGGCTCAAGACAGGCGAAAGAAAGTGCTGCTTTGCACAGGGTATTATTAATCTTTAGAAATTTGCAGTGGCAAGATGTGGCGGTGGTCACTAGCTGCAAATAGCGTTTTAAAGAAGATTAGTCCAATTCCTGGAGGATAGTTGTATCAGTGGCAATTTAGTCATCATAGATTAAAAAACAAAGAGTCGGTGTTGGAGGGCAGTAGGGCACTGTGAGGGGGAGGGGCTATTGCCCTCCTGGTCTTTTTATGGCCCTTCTCCAAGGCCATCTGACTGGCCATTGTTAGAATGTCATCCTTGTCTATATAGCCTTAACCTTCAAGGCTTTTCTTTTATACTTAAGAAATAGGAATATTCACTGGCCTCATTCACACATCCTGATAAACCATAGTTAACTGTTTATTGTGAATGCACTGGCCTTGACCTCATAGCTCTTCTCTGCTCACACTGGAAGGAAACAAACCATGATGCCTTGCTCTCAACAACAAAAATTCTGTAACTGATGTTTGCTCTTGGCTTTGTTAGTTGGAAGAAGATACACTCATTGGTTTGAACATAACACTAAGCAAGGAGGAGACAAGCAGCTTCAACAATCTACTCTTTCAGACACAGACTTCAGACCTTTTCATTTCCCTAATTCTTTTCTGAATGAGTCTCCTGATTATCTTCTAGTGTTGTGCCATTATTTTATCTGGATTGTTTTTGGTTTATATTTTATATTTATATTTGGTTTTCTTCACACTGATATTTATAGCATGGTGAAGTTTCTAAAACACATACACTTGTGTTTGTGTGTGTGCATGTCTTCACTATGATGCTTATAGAGTTTGGGATGCAATTAGTGGGACTTCTGATATTTTTCTACTGATCAGCAGACCTCCCTTGTGACATACTGCTTTTGCTCCCTTTAGTTGGGATTGCTACATGGCATGGAAGACTATTTTTATTCAAAAAACAAAAATCCAAAGGCTCCCTTGGTTAAGGTGGAGCTAGTCATTTGTACTTTGGATCTGACCATTGTTTTCTTGAGTCTTTTTACTCATATTCTGCAAGTTCTGTAGGTGTTTCAGTATGGTTAGTTTTTTACAGTTGCCCAGAAATTTGAGCTACTGCAGGGTTTGAGTTGCATCATCTCTTCATTTTGGTACAGATCTTATTTTAAATAAATTACAGGATGTCCTGTTGTAGACTCCAGGGAACAATTGCTTTCTTGCCAATATTATTTGTTGAAAACCATTCGGGGTGGGGGAGTTTGTCCAGTTTCCCCTGCACAAGGCCATAGTACCTTACAGGCTGTAGCATGAAATAGATCTAAAATAAATGTTGCTGGGGCAAACATGTTTCTTTCTCTTTTTCTATTTCCCTTATTGTAGTAAATCTTTAACATCATGGGCTCAAAAGTTAAAGCAAAACCAGCTGAAAAGAACAAATGTGGAGGAAGGGGATATGCATTCTGTGCAAGTAAAAGAGCACTCACAGGCTGTAACATTGGAGAATGTAAGTGGACCACCATTCCACCTAAACCCCTTCATTGGAATAGTAAATGTGTATAGGACTGAGCTACATTTTCTTTCTGGGATCCAAAGAGCTACATTTAGATGTGGCCAAGTATATGTGCACATGCCCAACAGTAACCTGCTTTCATCAGTTTTTGAACAGCATTGAGGTTCCTCTCCTCACCTGTTCCTTATTTCAAACTGGTTTTGAAATCCCCACCACTTTCATGTGACGAGTTACAGTTCACCTGAGCTTCTCTGTAACAAATACAATAGGATTTAATATAATATATGCTCTTAGTGAACATAGTGGCCCATCCAGTCTAGCATTCTATTCTCAAGCATGGCTAGCCCTCTCCTCCATGAATTTGTCTAATCCTTGTTTAAAGCCATCACTGCCTCCTGGGAGTGAGGTCATAGACCTCAGTGAGAACTTTGGTTAAATGGCTATAGACAATCGCTTGTAAAATATTTTTTCAATATTTTGTAGTTGATGCTGACTTTTTCTTTTTACTTGATATAATTTATGTAACTTTTTTATTGGTCTATAAATCATTGTGTCCCCCCTTTTGTGGAATTGTAGACTAATCCTACTGCAGCTGTTCCATCATCATCTTACACTTTTTACCTCAATGAACAAAACGGAAGCCAAATGTCTTTCAGTTCTGGTACTTCAGGTATAGTTAATTGCTTTCTATTTTGCTTTTGTTGTTACTATTTCAAAATTGCAACTAAATGTAAATTGTGTTGTGACTGATTTTGTGTCTGTTTCTCCTTACTTTTGGTGACTCTGTATGTTGCAGTTTGGTAAGATTAAGAACATATTCCCAAAAATAAACCCTATACCAGGGGTTGTCAACCTGCTAGGTGGGCAGTACGGGGTTCTACAGCACAAGCTGAATCTTCCTTCCATCGAGCACGGGTGGGTGGTAAGGAAATTTTACCATAAAGAAAGATGCATTAGTGGACAGTAGGTACAAAAGGGTTGACTACCCCTGCCCTATACAGTTAGCTTGTAACTTGTGCATGTATAATTTAATAATTTCAACTTTATGCTGTTGATGGCTGGCTGGTTGAAATTGCACAAATTAAAGCACAGATAACAGAGAACGTTTTGCTCAGGGTTTTCCTGGGAACTTCCCAGAGCCCTGTAAGCAAGGTGGAGAGAGCGAACGCGCTCTGCCTTACTTGGGAGTGGGAAGAAGGACCTGTTTGGAGTGCTGGATCTGGAGATAAGGTTGCTTGCATGGGGGCAGTTCCAAGGAGATGGTTTGACTAGACGTGCTTTTGCATATATGTGCCATCTCTGGAACGTAAGCCCCACGCAAGGTGCAAGTTGACTGTACCCACTTACCCAGCAGCAAGCACCCTTGAACTAAGTGGGATGTACTTCTGAACAGATATGTACAGGATTGTACTGTAAGGCACTATGCTGCTGTTTTTCTGCTTTTTATAAATATCGATATGATAAACAATGTTGTTCTCTTGAAAGTCCCCTTGTAAGAGCTTGGCCCTGATTTTGGTTTTAATAATAAAAACTTTACCCCATAAACATTGGGAAAGAAGCATATCTCCTACTATATCTGCAGAGACTGAGATAATTTGGTCCATAGTAACTGTGATTAAGCTAAAATATGACAAATGTATACATATAAATCAGCATAACAGGTTTATGGGGAAATGGGTATTTTTTTGTAATGTTCTTGAATTTTCAATGATAATGTTCAATCTTATGCTTCTTTCAACTTGTTGTAATAGTATTTCTTTATGCTATTGTTTTTGGTTTATTTTGTTTATAAATAAAATATACACTGGGTTGTAAAACACCTGAATCCATTGGTTCAAGTCCTATCTTCCAGAGCAGAAGAATACAAGCTTGCTCCATGTGACAGCCTCTTTACCAGGCTCAACATACACAGCTCCCTCAGCCAATCCTCATAAGGCTTGGTTTCCTGACCCTTCATCATCTTGGTGGCCCTCCTCTGCACACCTTCCAACTAGTAAAACTGGCAAACGACTTTATTTTGCCCCAAGCACAATAACCTTGGGAGATTAGGATCAGAGAAAAAACATGAAGAATGCCAATTGTTTTTAAAATGTAATCCTTTTATTATAGAATTTATGCCCCATTTTCATAGCAAACGGCTTTGATGTTGCTTCTCATGTTGCAAATGTGAGTGAAAAGTGCAAGGAGGCAATCTGTTTTTTATTCAGATTCAGTGAACTAGTGTTGCTGTTTAAATCAGGATAAGGAAGGACTGATTTAGATGGAGATCATGTTGAAATATGGTTAAGGACAAATATTCTCAGCACTAGTTTCCCCAGAGTTCTCTGCAATATTAATACATTATCTTTAGCATTATTTCATGTCAAACCCTATTACTGCTAAAGCTCTGAAGCATAACATTTCAGACATGAGTTTTTCATAATGTTGTGAATTTGCACCCGTAATGTGAAAATCAAAAAAAGTAATGTCAGGCTTCACAGCTCTTTTCTATACAGAAATAAACTTTGATATATTTCTCCATTTCAGGATTGACATACTGGAAACTAGATGAGAAGGAAACATACCATACTTTGCCTGAGAACTTCAGAAATGAATTTAGTGCATTTGCAACAAAGATGTCCTCGGACCAGGTATCTTTTGTGTAGTGTTTGCTTTGGTAGTTTAATGGATGTTAGAATGTTTCTCCCCTGTTCAGCCACTGTTGCTGTTTGGATTGGTTGGCAGGCATTTGCTGCACAGCCAGTTTATTTAGGGGACCTGAGAAACAGGCCCCTTTTCTCTCTCCTATTGCTTCAAGGATCTAGGGCATTTGAGAAAGTGGACCGTTGTTCAAGTTGTTGTGGATGGGTGGGTTTGAATTACCTGCTGGCAGGGTTAAGGATTGTTTTCAGTAAGAGACATTTGACTCAGGCCCAAAGGCAGGATAAATACGAAAGACTAGGGCCCTGTGGGACTTGACATCTTTCCGCAGGGCCTGCAAGACAGAGCTGTTCCACCAGACTTTGGCCAGGGCACAATCTGACCCCCTCCTTTGGTAATCCTCACAGAACTCTAGCCCAATGGTTGCCATTAATTTGATTTTGAATTGATTTTAAAATGAATTGATTTTAGAGTGCTGTGTTACTTTTATTGTTGTTAGCTGCTCTGAGCCCAACTTCGGCTGGGGAGGGCGGGATATAAATAAAATATTATTATTAAAAAAGCAAATGGCTATGGTTCATAATTGGGTTCATTAGCTGTTGATATTTTCTTGGACAGCCTTAATGATCTGTCTGTTTCTAGCAGTTAACACAGGAACAGGTTTTTTGTGCTTTCTTAGCCACCTCCTGAAACTTTTATTTAGTGTTCATAACTGATAGGTTCTGATAAATGTGACTAATCATTTTATTATTTTTTACTCAGAACTGCCATAGGAGTTGGAAAATAAAAATGGATATACTTATGTAGAGTGACTAGGGAGGTGAATGAAGGGGAATGAGAGAGGACAACTATCCATGTAGCAACTCGGGAGTGTTGAAAAAGGTGGCAGGGAGCCAATACAGGACAGGAGAAGGCGAGACATGGCCTTAGCAAAAGGGTTTCAAGACCTTCAGGGCTCACTTAAAATGAATATATTGTCTCCAGTAGCTCTTGTGCTAAGCTTCTAATTGCAATTCTTTGCTATAAGTTGGCTGTTGACTGGAATGGATGGTTTCTGAAGTTCTGTTTCATGAGACTTTGATGCACCTTTCTTAAAAACTAAGCAAATCTATAATAAAAAGAGGCAGGAAACATGAAAGAAAATGCTTTCAATTAATTGAATTCTAGCTACAGCAGGTAATAATAGCTGACCTTTAAAAAATTCTGAAGGCCTTGTCATTTCTGTGATTTACAGTATTATTATGTTTACCTAGATGGATAAATTTCAGTGCTAAGAAAAGAGTCATAATTTCCCTTTTTCCCTTTTCAGCCAACCATGCCCTGGAACAGTGGTTTTCACTTAGCAGTTTGCTTCTGTCATTCTAACCCTGCATATATGGAAAAGGAATAAATAAAATAAATAGCAGGTGTAGGGTGGCTGGTCCATATCGGGACTGGGGTGGGGGTGGGGGTGGAGAGTATTACATCCTTTCTATACCCCCAAGGTCTTATTCCAGATCAGCCTCCCCTTTGCCTCCCATTTACGTCAAGAATTGTATGAATGGCTTTTTAAATTACATGATCAGTGCCTCCTCTGGTTTGGCCCTGTTTAAAGTTATGCTTGCCTCTTCTTGATTTATTATCACTCCTTGTTTTTAAAAATAAACTCTACAACAAGTACTTGAGTTGCTGAGCTCTGCTTTCCTTTTGAGCAGAATTTGCTGCACTATCAACCAAAAGCATTATGTACCCTTCTTTTTTAAAAAACAACCCAAATAAAAGAGGAGAAAACTGCTTTTGCTAAAACTGAATGAAATTGGCCTGATCCAGGGATCCTTGACATTTACATATGCTCTGATTGCCATACATTGCTCCATGCCTGTAGCTAGAATTTTTGTGGGGGATTGGGCTGGAGGAATATGAAAGTACCCAGGAGTGGGGCATCGTAAGTCAATACAAAACAAGAGAAACCTGATTGTAGGAAGCCCTTATGTTGTTCTATTGATTGATTGATTGATTACGGCAATCCAAGCAAATCAAAGTATCCTTGCATTTACTGTCCAGAACACTAGGAGGCAGAAGCAGCTTTGTGTCTTACTAAGAATCGAGGTAGACTTCTGCTTTTTCGTACATCTCCATAAATGAAAGGGCTACAGCAGAAGCAGCCAACGTTGTGCCCTTCAGTTGTTGTTGGGATTCCTAGCTCCAGCCCCAGGCAACATGGCCTAATTGTCAGGGATGATGGGAGATTGTAGTCCAGCAATATCCAGAAGGTGTTATTTGAGCTACTCCTAGGCTATAGGTTTATTCCCTTTATTTATTTATTAAAGTTGACAGTTCCAGGAAAGGTCTTAGAAAATTTCCAAGATTTTATTCAGCTTTTAGAGTATTTTTAAAAATTGCTCACTGATGTGCTTGCTACCCTGGGCACCTTCAGTGGGAAAGACAGAATATAAACTGAATTAATAATAATAATAATATTTTTATCATTAATTTACAACAGCCCACCCCTTTTTTGGCTATGTTCTCATAGAATTACTGTGGGCACATACTTTCCCATTTCCCTAAAGTAGGAGGGGCCTACTCATGGCCCTAAAGGTAAGTCATAATCAGAAATAAATAATGGTTTACCTTGAACAAGCAGCATGCCAGGGCCAGCACCTCAATTGTGCCTACTTTGTTTTCTCATGCAATAAAAGGAGACACAGACTATGAAGTGACTAGCTTAGCATTGTGTACGACCCCTTATTCTTGGTTTGTTAGGAAACTAACTCAAGTGAGTGTTCACACATCACAGTAATCCAGGCCCTCCGCGGCTTGTTTCCACTCTTTGAAAGGGGAGGAGTAAAGCAGGCATGACTGAGCAGCATGCACTAGTATGCTGCTTGTTCATGGTAAACCAAGATTTATTTCAGACTTGGATTTAGCATCATCTGTATCTAGAGCTGTTGGTATGAATGGGCAGGCACATAAAATAGCTGTGTGTGTGTTTAGGTTTGTAACTGATTGTTCTTAAATCTTTTTAATGTAAGTTGCTTTGAGTCACTTTGTGAGAAAAGCACATGACAAATATAACAACAATAAATTATTAATAATTATTATATTAATAATATAACAATAATACTTTAGACCACACATTGGAACTTGAATTGGCACTACTGTATTCACTTCCCCTTCCCCAAATGTTTAAGTTCATTTTGGCATCTTTGCATTAAATATGATGGGTGTTTGGTATTATTTTAAACAAATCTTAATTCCTTTTTTTTTTTAGTTGTCTTCTGGTGATGAGATGAAGCCATCATCCTTAAAGGAAATTTATCATAAGAAACAAAGGGAATGTAAACAGTTTGTAGACTGGAACCTTTCCCCCTCACAATCAACTCACCCTCCTGAGGTAATTGTTTGTATTTCAGCGCCATATGTTGGATTAGAAGCCTTCCATGCTTCCTTCCTCACACTTAAGATTCAAAGATTCATATTCTCTCTCTCTCTCTCTCTCTCTCTCTCTCTCTCTCTCTGTGTGTAGGTATATAAAAATATCACCCTTTTCCCTGACAAAACTCATCTGTTCTAGACTCCAAAATATACTGAAGTACTCCCTTGACACAAGCCCAATAATTAGATCTTTGCAAAGTGTATACATACCTATACACACACACACACACATACACACACCCTGTGCTATTGATCACAAAATCAGATGGTTCTTTGTTCCTTATTAAATCAGGAACACACAACAATGGGGGGGGGCGTTGTCAATAATTTCACCTTCCACACTTAACAAAACATGGCAAAAAATGAACAGCTTAACTTTCAAGCAGAAGCTGCAAGCTTAAATGCAGCTCACAGTTTTAAGTAACTAACATTGTTCTCTCCCCAGCTATGCACATACAGCTGTAACTTATCTCTTAAAAATTTCAAAAGCTTCCTGTTTTTTATATCAAAATGAAAGCTGCTTCACCAGATAGTTGACCACAGATATTTTTCAATTCTAATCACTGTGATCTTTGTTTCCCAGATCCTGACCCTCGACCCAACATTGCACATGAAACCTGGCCATCAGAATCCAGGACCGCCTCCGTCCTCCTTCTATGGGACACCTGACAGGGTTATGTTTTCTCCAGACTCTATGGCAGATCCTCCTTTTTTCATGCATTCAGACTCAGATTCATTGTCTCACATAAGCACAGTAACGTCACCTCTGTCTCCTGGGTCTCCAAAATACACTTTGAGTGCAACAGCTTTGCACAGTGACCCCTGGAATACTTGCATGTTCCAGAATGAAACTAATGCCAGCAGTTCTTGTCGTCCAAGCAGTGAGTTCTTAAACACTGAAGAGGATGACAACTTGACACTCACGCCATCTTCAGCTGCCCACTCCCAGCCTCCATCTGCCAATAATAGTTTGCCGGAATACAATATTTCAGTGACATGCATGGAAGATCCTGTGGTATTCTCCAAGTAAGGCTGATGTCAGTAAGAATGTTGACCTTTAAATAAGCATTGCAATTTTCGGTGGTACCTTGGGTTACATACGCTTCAGGTTACATACGCTTCAGGTTACAGACTCTGCTAACCCAGGAATAGTGCGTCGGGTTAAGAACTTTGCTTCAGGATGAGAACAGAATCGTGCTCCGGCGGCTTGGCAGCAGCAGGAGGCCCCATTAGCTAAAGTGGTGCTTCAGGTTAAGAACAGTTTCAGGTTCAGAACGGACCTCCGGAACGAATTAAGTACTTAACCTGAGGTACCACTGTAATTTGAAACTTCTGCTTACTTTCCTTTCCTGAAGCCTTCCATTGAGTTAAATGAAAATACTAAGCGTTATTACAGGCCTGAAAGCAGTCACTTCTGGCTGCCTGTGATGAGTTTGAATTGTAGTCAGGTGACCAGGCCACAAAACCTGGCGAAACTTTCTTTAGAGACCAAATATTATAGTAAACATTTGTGGGGGGGGGCTAGAAAGCATGTCGCTTATCTCTTTTTCTACATTTATATTCAACTGTTCTTCCATCATGGAACCCCAAGTGGCATACTTGTGGTTCGCAGGAGGTCTCATGAAGTCTTTCTGCAAAGTGCTAAAGTCATATGCCTTCAGACCGCACCCGGTAACTTATTCTAAATTTATTTGCAAGGCTTGAGTTTCAGTTTTGTGGAAAGTGGCTAACTTGGATTCAGGCTGGATTATGTCATTTGAGGAGATCTCAGACTAAGGACCAGACTAGACATGATGCCAACAGACCTGCCTGTTTAGAGCACAGGGAAACGTGGACAAAGGGAGCTGAGCTGTGTCCCTTCTGGATACTTGGAACTTAGTTGGGGAGTTAAACTGGGAGGAGATGGGTTAGCACTCTTCATCTGTGCCCTTTTTGCTCTAAACACCACTCCCCTATCTACTTTAAACATGATTGGGCAGACCTGGATTTAAATGAACAAGTCTTCTGCTATCATGTCTGTTTTAACCAATTAAAAAAGCACACCTGCCACCCTGCAGGCAAGCTACACCTTGAAAATATATGTAAGAATGGCTCAGAATGTTCATAATCAAAAGCAGCCTAGGGAACTGCAATTTTGAGTGGAAATTGGAGGTGCATTGCCTTTTTCTCACTGGCTGTCATTCCTCAGAACCCTCACAAGGTATTTTTCCCAATAGTGATTTTCAGATTCCAGTTTTTTCTTAAGTAGCAACCTCCCCGGGCTGTCTCTCAGATTTATTTTTTTATTAGAATATATTTTGCCCTGATTCGCCAAACGTTTGCAGCAAGGGAAGCCCAGTTGAAATGTCTTTTGCTTACAGACTACAAGAAAACTTCAAAATACTTTGTATTGTACTTCAAAGAAGGAAATGCATTTGCTTAAATTGAAAGCTTTGCTACTTAGCAGAAAAAGCAGTATCTGTGCAATTGGAAATACAGACTGTTCTTTTTACTGAGACTTCCAGTCTCAATTTGTTCAGTGTGTGGAAGGTCCCAGGTTCAGTCTCCAGCATTTCTAGATAGAGCTGGACGAAAGCCCTGTCTAAAATCCTGGAGAGCTGCTTGCAGACAGTGTAGATAATACTGAACTAGATGCACCAGTTGGTCTGACATCTTCCTATGCCATGGCAGATTTGCTTTTTATCTAGCAGGACTCTTTATGTGGTTCTTATGCATAGGAAAAGGAAAGAAATAAACTCTTGATTTGTGACTACCATTCTTACATGAAAAATCTGAGAACCAGAGACTAGAAATTGAAGCACTTGGTTTCGCTTTATATTGTCATTGGATTGCCCAGATATTCCAGCCGTGGTACTTAATTTGGAGAGTTAATTCAGAATGTCTGAGCTTGAACGAGACTCTGGCTTGTTTGCCTTGAACAGTAGAGCTTCCCACATGTTCTGCTATATCAAGATGCTTTTTAACTTCTCTCTTTCAAAAAAGACTTGCCATGCACCATGGGGACACTACTGTTCAAGAAACACCCATCAGAGCTTCTGTATTCAGAACTAGTTGTACACATGCCCTGTTATACAAGTGCTTTGGTGGGGAAGATCACTTGGCATCTGTTTGTGGAGGCAAATTTCAGTAGCTGTAGTTCACCATCTGTGGAAAACACGTGCCAGGATGGTCATTTTCTGTCTCTAAAAAATAGTGTTGCAAATGCATTATGACATATTTTTAATCTTAAAAAACAGGATTAGGCAGAATTTGAGAGAAAAACATGCCCGGCATATTGCTGATCTACGAGCTTATTATGATTCAGAAATTCAAAGCTTAAAACAGCAGCTGGAGGCAAGCCATAAACCTCATTCAGAAGACTTTGAGAAGATCAATCAAAATCTTACTGACAGGTAATAGAGCTGCTTGGAACAATGTGCATATTTCTCAGCCCCCCCCCCCCCCGTGTGTCTGTCTCTCTGTCTCTGTCTCCTTTCAAAATTGTTGTTTCCTGGAGCAACTCTTTCTGTATATTGCTTCCTTCACTTTTAAGATCTAGGGCACAGATATTGATGGCTACATGAAAATACATAATGTGGAATCTTTGAGATGCCCGTTAATTAGGGGTGAGTTTTAGACAGAGAAAAGAGATAAATGCTGTTATTCACATACAGAATTCCTCTAGCATGAATCTTCAAGGTAACTTGTTTATGCTGCTTAGCTGGAAGTGGAACTATTTCTTCAGTGTTTGTTGTACATGCCACTTTTGGAAAGAAGACTATTGTAGCTTTAGAAACTAGATATACAGTGCCTGGGTTCAAATCATTTTCAAATGCAGTTTTGGTCACACTCTCATAGCCTAGTTAGGCAACTCAGCTAAAAATACTGAAAAATCTTGTTTTCATTTCTATCATTTTCATGGCTTTATTTTCATTTTTAGATGTGACCACTTACAGGCAGCACTGGATAAAGCTAATAATCGCATGAGAGCACTTGAAGATAAAAATAGCACTCTGGAAACAGAAGTGGTAAGTGCATGTCATGAGTCAAATTGAGCTCAGTTATATAGAAAGATTACCAAGTGAGACGATACAAGTCTGATCTGTCAGCCCTCTGAGCTGTATGTTTTTCTGCTGGAACTTGGGAGTCCTTATCTGGCACAAGTCAGCAGTTCTTGTAGAGATGCCTCCTTTCCCTGGGGTCTCCTTGATTCCCTACTAGAATCCTAGTTATTAGGTTTCGCTTTAAATAAATAAATAAATAATCAATCAATCTTGCCTTTCACCAGAAAGCTTCTTATTTGTAATATAAGCACTAAAATATAATTGATAATAAACCTTAATACAACCCATTACAACTTAAAGTGTGGATAATTTTATTATTTCAAAAGCACTTAATGTTTTTATAGGTGCTGTATAAAGACTAAAAATGGCCCAGGCCCCAGACTTTCATTCTAAAAGGTTTGATAGAAAAGGAAAGCAATATAGTGGTACCTCGGGTTACAGACGCTTCAGGTTACAGACTCGGCTAACCCAGAAATAGTACCTCAGGTTAAGAACTTTGCTTCAGGAGGAGAACAGAAATAGTGCAGTGGTGGCACAGCAGCAGCGGGGAGGCCCCATTAGCTAAAGTGGTACCTCAGGTTAAGAACAGTTTCAGGTTAAGAACGGACCTCCAGAATGAATTAAGTTCTTAACCTGAGGTACCACTGTATGGGGAGGGAAGAGAAGAAACAAGTAGAATGAAAATGCAACTATTTCTTAATGTCCATGTGGAATAGCAACTCAGGAGATTTTCCTGGGAGAGGAACCCAATGGTTGTTGGTCCCAGCTGACCCACCATGGCACATAGAGGGAGGACTGCAGTGTCCCCTTGTGGTGCCTGTGGGCTTACATGTGGGAGAAAACAGGGAAACAGCTCTATTGGGCCCTGTGTGAGCTCTCTGCAGACGATGTATCTACCCTCTACTGGATCAGGTCTGTTAGTATGTTGTGTTCATATCCACTGCATGTTACTGGTATCTCTCCTAAAGCTTGCAAGCAATAATAAAAACGAGAACATGTTTTGTCTGAATCTTATATCTTGTGTCTCAAAACATTATATTCCTTAGCTTTGGTTCTGCTTCTGTTTTCAAAGTAGGCTTCTGTTTTCTGTTTATGTGTGTACCTGTCTGATACTTGGCCTTCTTTTGTTTCAGACAGACTGGAAAGAGCGCTTCTGTGCTGTCAGCAGTACCACCAAGGCCTTGCAGGAACGTATTGAAGAAATGCGCACCAGTGGTAAAGAGAAAGATAACACCATCAGCCGCCTGAAGAGGAGGCTTAAAGATCTAGAAGAAGCATTTGAAAAAGCCTACAAGCTCTCAGATAATAAAGATGCCAAGTTAAAGGAAGAAAATAAAATGTTCCAAAATGTAGGTTGGAAAAACAGGGTAACTTAGATGCTTGAATAAATTCAGCTGAACAATCCATTTGTGAGGTCAAATGAGAGCCCCACTATAATCAAGCAACTGCTTGAATGAACCTCTAATTGAGATGATATTCCTGGAACTTTGTAATAGGAACCACTTTCTGGACACTGCAGATTTGGCTAGCCCTTAATGGAAATGTCTCCGTACTTCAATTGTCTCTACTAAAACAATAGTACCTTCGTGGTATGCTGCTTTTAACAAAGAAATTGTGACTTCTAAAGGCATTGGGGGGAGCATTTTTCTATTCTGTTTAATTCCAGATGGCTAAGTGTTGATATTCAGCAGCTGGGGAGGCAGATCTTTTGGTGTCTCTGCCTACTCAGTTTCTTTTCTGTCTCTAGCAGCTAAAAAGATGTGCTGTCTTAGTTCACACTTTGTATTTCTGGTATTTCTAAACTAATTCTAGGTTCCTCCTTGGGGTATTTTTTTTTTAGGACAACTAGGGTTAGGCTGAAATTCATCAAAAAGTTGAGGGAATTTGTTTCAATTCTGCTTTGTTGGATATGCCTGATAATGAAGCTGAGTAAAGCTTAGTAGGTTATCTGTATAGCTCTGCAGTTGTTGAAATCTGTAGTCTTAAGGAATTTTCTCTAATGTTAGAGGGGAGCAGATCATTAGTATTCATATTCACCACAAAGGTAACATCCTTGCCTATTTGAACATTTGCTGTTATTTTTAGGAGGGCAGGGTTCTTGCCCAAGCATCTTGATCCTATCCACCCAAAACATTTTCATTCTGTGATGTCTGTTTCAAAGTATAATTACTAACTGAGGGAGGAAAATGTAATTACTTTTATTTCTTTGTAGCTTTTAGGAGAATATGAATCCCTTGGGAAGGAGCATGAAAGAGTAAAGGTGAGAAGCAAATTCACTTTGTACCAAATTTTTATTCTATGGAATTTTCTGTGTATTTAAATAGAGAGGACCAAAAGCTGGAGGGGTTTTGGAGGGCTGTGGTCTTATGCAGGGAAGTCTGTTTGGAAGAAAGCCTTACTGAGTTCAGTGGGATGTACACTCTCTAGATTATTGCCTTAAATTCATAAGGGACATCTTCCAGATGTGCATTGTACTTTCAACAGAAACATACATTAAGGAGGGAGGGTGAATTAATATTTTTTACTCCTCAGAATTCAGCCTTTTTGCAAGACATTTTAACTATATCAGAAATGATAACTACCCAGTGGTCACTAATCCAGCCATAAATAGAATTTGTTGTGCACCAAGCTTCTTATTCATTTACCCATATTGTGCAGATTATAGTGTCTCTCAGCTGAGAGAGCAGCAGGGAGCTAGATAGGCCTGCCCTGAAGGTGCTTAGCACCAGAGAATCATTTAGGAAGACAGATTGCTTCAGCAAGTGAACATGGCTGCATGTAGGAAGCCAGGAAGAAAGAAAGTCCCAAGATGATCTGCTGGTCTGCAGCAATCCTGACAGAGTACAAGTATGAAGATTAATTATTGGTAAGTGACAATGAAGCAAAACATGCGTTGAACTTACTCCAGAGGAAGCTCAAGCCAAATTGGATTGATGCCCCTATAAATAGTAATTACATGTTGTAATCTTTCAAGATTAGTAGAGAGACCAATTCTGTATTTGCTTTACACTTTATGCAAGCTTAGCGTGTGACCTTTTCTGCCTCCCTACAGGATACCTTAAACATCACTGAGAACAAATTGTTGGATGCACAAACTCAGATTTCTGATTTGAAAAGGTAAATGTGCCATTTAATCCTGTGTGAGGGGAAATGTTACTTCTTCAAATAATGTTGTAAAAATTTCAAAATCACCTTAACAGATCGGAGAACTGGGCCCAAGCTAACAATGAATTTCAGCAGGGACAAATGTAAGGCAGGAAGAACCAGATGCACAAATATAAGATGGCGAACACTTGGCTTGCCTGTAATACACGTGAAAAGCATCTAGGGGTTTTGGTGGACCACAAGCTTAACATGAGTCAACAGTGTGATGCAGGAGCAAAAAGAGCTAATGCTGTTCTAGGCTGCATCAACAGAAGTATAGTGTCCAGATCAAGGGAAGTAATAGTACCACTCTGTTCTGCCTTAGTCAGACCACACCTGGATAACTCTGCATTTCTGGGTGCCACAATTTAAGAAGGCTATTGAAAAGGTGGAACGTTTACAGAGGAGGGCAACCAAGATCATCAGGGGTCTGGAAACCAAACCTTAAGAGGAATTGTTGAGGGAGTTGGATATGTTGAGCCTGGTAAACAGGAAACTGAGGAGTATGATAGCCATCTTCAAATATCTGGAGGGCTGTCAGATGGCAGATGGATCAAGCTTGTTTTCTCATGCTCTGGAGGGTAGAACTTGATCCAATGGCTTCAAGTTACTAGAAAGGAGATTCTGACTAAACATCAGGAAGAACGTTCTGGTGGTAAGAGCTGTTTGACAGTGGAACAGACTGTCTCAGAAGATGGTGAACTCTCCTTCCTTGGAGGTTTTTAAGCAGAGGTTGGAAGGCCATCTGTCATGGATGCTTTAGTTGAGATTTTCTACATTGCAGGAGGTTGGACTAAGTAACCCTTGGGGTCCCTTACAATTCTGTGATTTATTTATTCATTTGCAGCATTCATACCATGCAACATATTTAAACTACTATTTAGCTCTTCTCAAAAGTAAACCCCACAGTTTTTTGGTACTTGCACCTAGAATTGCAGCTCAAATTGTGTACAACACTTTGTTCTTTTTGACTGTTTAAAAAAGTGTGTGGAAGTCCAATGACACTTTGGTGGTGATTTCAAAACTTTGAGTTTCCTGTTCCAGGCACAACAAATGTGTGAGAACATCAGCAGCTGCCTTGCACTGAGTCAGACCAGCTTATAAAATATCTGCATTGACAGTGATTGGCAGAGTTGTTGGAGCAAACTTATTTTATGCCATTGTTTCTGAATATATTTTTGCTTCCATTATAGAACTGTCTCGAAACTTGAAGCTCAGATCAAGCAGTTAGAACATGAAAACTTACTCAAATTTCGTCATTTTGCAGACAGTCACCTCAGAACATCCTATGCCAAGTAAGCAAATAATAAATATGACCTTGTGAGAAAGTAAAGGATAGGTGTCTTACAAAACTGTGATTTTTGAGAAGGATAAACATAGCTATTAGTCAGTTTTCCTTGATACAGGATAATCACAGCAAAACAGATGCATAATAAAGCATTAATAAGAGGCTTTCTGGATATAGCAAGATCCCCACTGACTTACTGCAATTATCAATTTTCAGTAATGTAGCAATGATACTATGTGTTCTTGCTGTATGTACAGTGGTCTGATTGTCTGTTGTATGAACCACGCAAGATCATCTTGAGCAGGCGTTGTTTCAGCCAGGGAAGACTCTCGGACAGGGTTAAGCGATATTTTTCAGCCCAATGGTCACATTTATTATTAGTATTATTAGTATTATTTATTGAATTTATATACCCCCCCTATACCCCGGGGGTCTCAGGGTGGTTCACAGAATAAAATCAAGATATAAAACCACAAAATACATAATAAAAATAAAAACAACAACTCAATAGCCCCCCTCCCAAAAACCCCCACATTATTATTATTGTTTATTCCACTCTTGGAGAAACCACTTGGGGGGTACCAAAGGCAAAAGCAGATGGATCAATGGATGTTGCGCCTGCATTTTGGAATAGTGGTCTACATTCTAGCCATGTAAACACCAGAGGCTTCAGCATACGCCCACCCCATCTCTTTCCAGGCCAGCAAGAGGCACGGAGAGGTGCCCTTAATGAGGTGTCCTTAGCAGGTACTGCTGATAGCTTCACAACAGGCAGGAGCTCAAAGAGGGCACAGACTACAGCCAGTGAGGAGTGTGGCCTGGAGAAGGCTAGAGGCTGGGAAGCTGCGTTTGATCCCTGGGCTTGAAGTTCCCACCCTACCACAGCTCTAGGGGTCACAAGTACTTCTCTAAAAATGTTTTCTCTCCTACCCCACAGAACTCAGCCCCCCAAACAATAATTTTAATGAATTACAGCAAATCAGTTCTCAAACTATCTCTGAAAGTTCTTTACTTCAACTTTTGGATGTTGAATATTCTTCAGATAGTCTCAGACTTGGTTGCTATGCTTGACACCCAGCAATATTTCATTTCAGTCTTAATACACTGCCTACGAACCTCTGGTGTATAAATTATTATGTACAGTACAAATAAAACACTTGCTCCTTACATCAACTCTTTAGTCCCCCAAATGAATTATTCTGGCATTCTGGCTTAAGTTTGATAATACTTGGCTAAAATGATAGAGCATTTACTAAAGTTGGTGCCTTCAGAATGTCTATTAGTAAATAAATTCTGCATTCCCCTATAAAGAAATTTTGCTGATTTTTGCATCTTAATACTTCTTTATATGGACCTTTCATATTGGGCTTAACAGTGACTGCCATGAAGGGTGGTATGTAGAGGACTAGTTGAAAAAAGAAAATGAGATTGTCCCAAACCTCTAGGAAAGCGAAAGGACTGAAATATCTCACAAAGTGGTGCAGGAATGGCTCAGAGGGGGCAGCAGGAGTAGTGTGTGCCCTCAGAAAAATGTGCCTGGGACAGTCTCCCCAGCAGCCCCCACCATGCTCCACCCCATGACTGTCTGACCTTCCTGTAGGTTTCTCCCACTTGAATTTAGTTACTGTGTACTTTCCAAAGTGGCTTCCTAAAGCTGTTTTCCTCAGCTAGCTCTGTGAGGGTGTGGGAATGATTGTTCATATTAATTTTGGCTAGTAAAATGCTGTACTGTACGAGAAATGAAACATGAGCTTTCCATTAATTCTCAAGTTTTCTGCCTAGAAGCAAGCTAGCAAGCTCTGATGTGAGCAGAAGGAAATGGTTGATACCAGGATCAGAGTATTCAATCTTCACAGGCCAGCCGTTAGAAGCCCAAGAGAGCTCCAAAGATAATCGTTTGGAAGAAACATACACTTCTTGCAGGTAGGGTGACTTTGAATGCTAAATTGGCAAATAATCTCTTCCCCAAGGAGAGGTCTCTGTTAGCATAAGGAGAGCTCTTCCACTGGTGGCTCATCCTAATCCACCACTCATGGGCTTTTGTATCAGGGAGGAGATATAAAATGAGCCTGCTGTGATTTCTTTGCAGTTAGGTGGGAATTCATTTTCTGTGCCCTTTTGCCCTTTGTCTCCCTTGTATGCCGTGGGTTGGATCCAGACTGAGTTTATTTTATTTATTTAAAATACTTATAATCCACCCTTTACCTGACGTGGAAATACATTTACAACAGCAGTGACAGAAATTCAGATAATCCAGTACATCTCCCTTCACTCCAAAATCCTAAGTGGATAGAATTGAATTAGCTGAAAAAGTTCAGTGCCTCTGATTTCAATGGAACACAGCAGAAAAACCATAACCATGTTGATTTCAATAGGTCTTACTGCTAGGTAAATTGAACTAGAATTGCAGCCTTAGTGTGGCTCCAACCCCAAGTATTTAAATTGGTGCTTATGAAATTTCTTCATCCTTTGAGTGCAACACTTTTGACATGTCATCAACATGATTACAGCCCATGCTGAATGTGTGTCAACCCATTGTATGCTTCTAGATACCATACACCTCCAGAAAAGGATTCTTCCCCAGATCCGTCGCTGACAAGTGAAATTTCAAAAAAAGAAACGCAAGTCACAGAAACGCCCATCATAAAAGCCTTTAAAGAACTTGAAGGAAGGAAGACATTGAAAAACTGGGCCACTCAGACAGAGAAAGAGGAAGCAGCTGCTCCTACAAGTAAGTCACCTTGAATTTTCCTTTGTTTCCTCAGTCCCAGGGTTTTGCTGCTACTTCTTTCTTCCCAGGGATTAGAATAAGCCTGGCTCAGTCTTTAAAGGACAGAGAGCCGCTATGTCATATGCAAGAACAGCAGAGCATCTATCTGTATGCAGAAGGGCCCAGGCTCAATCCTCTGCCTCTCCAGATAGGGCTGGGAATGTCTGTCTGAAACTATGGCGAGCCACTGCCAGTTGATGTCGACAATACTAAGCTAGATGGAGCCAGTCATTCAACTGTATTAAGGAAGCTAGCCTTATAAAATTCGCTGGTCTTGTTAATAAGAGGAGAAGGCAGGAGAGTGATGAAAAAGTGAGCTGTATGAGATTGCTAGCCAAGCCAGCTAAAAGCCAGCTTTTTAACTCATAAATGAGATGCAAGCTTTTGTGTGCCTAAAACATAGGAAGTGTAGTGGTGGGTGTTCAGTTTTCCTGAGTCTTCTCCCCCTAGCAGGACTCCTCAGACCTTTTCTAAGAAACCCCTGGTGCCATTCCTTCAGCTTACTCTGGATCACTCATTCTTTGGCACGTTCTCCAGAAGTAAGGAGGCCTTGAGAACCCATAGCACAGGACTCATACATGTTTTTTCAGTGAGCTTTTGATCTTTTTCTTGCTTTCAATAATGCGTTATGATTCCCCTCCAATTTGAAAGTATCTTCCAAGTTTGTTTAATTTTTGAAATTGGTCTGATTATCTTTGTCTTGTTAGTTTTAATTTTCTTAAGCTGATTTGGGAGCACTCCATTTTTTTTCTAGGGGGAAAGCAGGATGGGAAAGCCTTAGAAAAATAAAGCCACTTTCTTTCATTGCTTGTATATTTCAGAAGCAACCACTCGACGTCCCACTGTTGGATTTGATGAAACAGCTCTCAGTGCCAGCCGGTCCCCAGAGAAAGGCAAAGACCAACTCAGACACAAAAGATACAGCTCACCTAATGGTCAGAGGTCCTCATCTCTTCCACCTTCAAACAGGAAGTCAAACACTCCAAGTAGGAATTGCAGCTGCAGGCTGCCCAGCTTATAATTAGGGTGTACAGAGCCATCTTACTTAAAGTGATGTTAAGAGTGTTTCATAGCTCCATGGCTTCTGTTTTTACTGTGCCCATGCTATTGTAGAAGATGTCTTATTCTGCTGCTCTTGTTCTTTTAAAATTTGAACTTTCAAGGAGTGGCAAAGGTTTTGTTTTCAAATCCTGTAAAGAAACAGGGCAGGAAGGTGCTATGATATTTAATGACTGCTCCCACACAACCTTGATCAATCCAGCTAACCTTAAGATGAACTACACTGAGGGTGGGCGGAGCAGCAAGGTTGTCCCACAGTAGATTACCAGGAAGTCCATTTCCACAGCAACCCCTTCCTCCATGTACCTTTTTTAGCAGCTGGAGGGGGCTGCTAATACACCTCTTGGGAGATGGAATTGGACCATAGGCTTCCAGCTCCCTACCATAGCATACTATTTAAGCAGAAGGTATTGTGGGAAAATGCTTGAATAACGATTTTTTTTTGGCAAAGGCAACAGGAGCATAATATTACAAAGCATCAGATGCTTGTTCTAAGACATAACTAAATTCTAATAAGCTATTTCTCTTGGCAGCAAGGAGAGAGATAATGTTGACTCCAGTTGCTGTGACCTACAGCCCAAAGCGGTCTCCAAAAGAGAACCTGTCTCCAGGATTTAGCCACTTGCTCAGCAAAACTGAGAACATGGTGACAAGGTAACTGTCTGTCAATACTCATTTAAGGGCTGTAGGGGAGAGAGTTGGGTTTGTGTGGTGTTAAAAATATTTTCACAATCTGCACAAATAGTTGTATAAAACAAACCACAGGAGCAGCAAAAAAACCACAGGAGCTTCTGCATCCCTGGATACACAATGGACAGACTGCTTTCTTGAACCTGTGTGTCAGTAATGATGATGGAGGATGGAATGACCCTTTGTTTTGGAGATAGGAGGAGGAGTAACCCTTTGGGAGGACAGCCACCTCCATTGTAGGAAAATGCACGAAACAATTGCTCTTACATTACTTTGTTGTTGTCCCTTACTCAGCAAGCTTTGGATATAGCTTATACTGCCAGTCCACCTGCGGCTTGCATTTACTGGATTGGAGCAATTGCCATTCAAGTAAGAATTTTGCACAAGCAGACCTTAGTCTTACTTCTCAAGCTCACATTTAGTTGTTGTTTTTCTTCCTTCCTTTTTTAACTGACCAGAAATGGCCTTTGGAATCCTTCCATTTTGCCATTTCCTGTGACCACAAGGGGTAAATCTCACCAGGACTCAGTGATGTGGAAACTGAGAAATATTTTACAAGTGCTTTTGTGTCTTTTCTCCCTAAAATACTAGATTTGATATTCTGCTTGATGAGTTGGAAACTGCTCCCACACCTACATCGCAATACAGCAATCCAAGGAAAAGGCTCCAATTTCGCTCAGTAGGTGATACTGAAGGTAACACTTCACAGTAGCTAGGATTCTGTTCCTTGGAATAAATATTCTTTTGCATTTCCAACCCCTGCCTCTTTGCAGCTGTACCCAGCAGATGCTGTCTAGAAGTATAAAAATTGATAGTCGCTTTTGCTGTTAACATCAGACATGATCAAGAGAACTATAAATATAAGAATGGTCTACTTACCTCTGGATGTAACAGGTCTCCAAGTGGGTTGTGTTGCCTACCCTGCAGCTCAGAGGCAGGAAATACCCAAAACTTCCACAAAATACTTTTCTGCTCTTGAGGTTGAGTTCATTTGCTGTCTCAGCTTGGAGCAACATCCTGTTTGGAGTCTCTCTCCTTCAGTCTGTTTCTGTGGATTTTGGCACTTTTCTCTGTCTGTTTATATGGTTACATGAGACAGATCATGGCAATTGGTTTTAAAATTTCACTGAATTGTAAGTTTAAACCTGCACACATGTAATGTCTGTTTTTAACAACTCTTGAACCATAACAATAGAGATTAACATTTTTAAATGCTGTAAGATCAAACCCAGAAGTAACTCTTCACTTACTATATTTAGAAATAGTAATTATCATATATATATATATAAAATATTCTTCTTTATAAAATTCTACTGTTTAAATTTTTCAGAGATTAAATTAAATTGACAAAACCTGTGGCACAATTTGCATTTTGGGGCTCCTGTTTTAATTGATCTCTGCCGCTCTTATCTGTTTTGTATAATGACAGGTGTACTTCTAGAGTAATAAAGGCTTTTGAATTTACATCAGTCATGTTTTATGTTTTTCAGGATTAAATATATAGGGTTGGATATATAGGTAAATTAATTGCACAGTTCTAGGCCTGGGCGATGTATCGATACATTGCCCAGGACTGATATGAGGGCCAGACCATGATGACTGCTTCACCTGGCAGTATATTGTGGGTGAAACTGCATCTGCTGAGTGCCACCAGCACCTGAGGGAGAAACAAGCTACAGCCAAGCGCTGGTGGCAGAGCGGCTCAGGAGCAGTGGCAGTTTCACCCGCAATATACTGCCAGGTGAAGCAGCCATTGTCTCTGGCCCTCATACTGCTGAGGGAGGAACAAGCTACATCATCTGGGGCTGATATAGCTTGTTCCTGCCTCAGCTGCTTGTTTGGGCAGGCGGCTGCTTTAAATTTGGAAACATGCATCCAAAATAATTTATTGGGTTGTTTCTTTTTTGCTGGTGATTTGACTACATGCTCCAAAAGACTTTGCCACATGCCATGGAGCTGACTCAATTCAAAGTCTCCAAGACCTTCTTGAGGGCTTTGCTGAAGTTAGAAGATGTTCATGTTCAATTTTTTTCTTGCTTGTCCAATATATTCTATGTACTAATAATTTTTCCATGAAGAGCTTAAAATCTGATTTCTGCTCTTTTCTTTTTGGTGGTGGGTCAGAACTGGAGCATGTTGGCCCTGGCAAAGGCAGCCGTACCAAGCCTTCCTCTTCCACAGATTCTTTGCCTGCAGGAGCAAAGATAGGCATGGCAGGGCGAACGTGGGAAGACGAGAGCTCTGTGCATACAAGCCTGTCTTCAGCAGCACCAGCACCTTATGAGATGGAGTTCAAATACATGTCAAGGATTAAGACATTGACCGAAACAGAGAGACTCTTTGATGAGCTCACACAGGAAAAGCAGCAGGTGCTTTGACTTCCTACATTTCTTGTTAAAGTTCTGTGTTTTGGAAAAAGGTCTACCACTGCAGTACCTGTGTTTAAGGTACTGTATATTAATATTCAGTATCAGAAACTTCATCCAAGGCAGTATGTCTCTGAATTCCAGTAGTTGGGAATTGCAGGTGAGGAGAGCACTGCTGCACTCAGGTCCTGTTTGCGGGCTTCCCAGAGGCATCTGGCTGGCTGCTGTGATTACAGTGTCTTATGTTAGGTGGGCCTTTGGCCTCATCCATGACTTCTGTTCTGATATTCTTATCTCACAGTATGGTCTTAAATGCCTACTAAGCAAAATACATGGTCTCAGTGGAATTCATTCTTGCTCAAGGAAAAGGAGGCAAGTATGTTAAACTTGGTTGTCTGTTTTTTAAGCCGGGTTACAGTTGCACCCATGCCAAGTAAACTTGGCTTGCCTCAACCAAGAATGAAGTGTGGCAAGGCCCTCTTCTAATCTGAATAATGTCCATGTGGGCAAGCCTATGTTTGCTGTGATGTCACTTTGATTTGCTCTGTGCCCTCTCCACCCCTCTCTACCCCAGTATATCTTCTGATATGTATGAATGACAGCAGGATTGTAACCAAAACATGGCCACTGAGAAACCAGAGGAAAGTTTTATGTACGCTTGGGGGAAACCCCAAGGCTGGCAGATAAGGGGCAACCCTCCGCAAAATAATTGCCCAGTAAGGTCTGAGCTACAAACTGTAGAGTGGCTTTTGGAAAAAGGAAAGCAGAACTGAGGGGCAGGAAGAGGAATGGGAAGCCTTTACCCTGCTTGGCTGGATTAACTGGCTATGACCCTGAACAGGACCTGAGCTGATGCAAAGCAGCACTTCTTGTTTCAAGCCTCCCAGTGGTTGTATCTATTTCAAAACTGCCTTTTGGGTAATAAAACTTGAAATGGGAAGTGAAATGGGATATCCAGATGTGGGCATATCTGTTAACACAACCCAGGATGGTACTATCCTAAGATCTGTTGAGCTGGAGAAGTAGTTTGTGGCTTCCTTGTAGATGAAATTCCAAGGTAGTTTTATTCCGACTCTTGTAGCTTTCATAATTTTCACTGGCATTTATTTTGTTTTCCCAGATTGAGTCCCAGCTGAGTCGAATACCTTGTGCTGGAGGGAGAATGACTCTGCAGGCAAGACTAAATCAGGTTTAAATTCTCATGTTGAAATCCTGATGGGGAGGGGGAAAGTTGAATCTTGCGCGGAACTGAAAACTATAGTAAAAGTATATTTCCCTTCTCTCTTCTAAGCATGTGCCTCATTTGGGAGTTCTAATGTTTGACTTCCATGTGGGAATGAACCACTGCAGATTTATTTTTATAGTTGTCTCAAGCACAGTTTTTTTTATTCATGCTTTGTTCACAGTGGAGTTGAAGATGTCCCTTTAGCCTTTATGAGGGATATTTGCCACTGCAGAATCTTACAAACTAAATGAAGAACAATTTGGAGGTGGTTGGGATTCTCACATTTCCCCCAATGGGCAGCAAAATTTCTAAATGGGTTGTTCTTGTGGGGTAAAGAGTACATACAGAGTTACCATTTTGGAAGAGCTGGGTTTTGCCTTTTCCTGGTCTTTAATGTGTGTGTTTGAATATTTTGTTTAGGAAGCCTTGGAAGATCGCTTGGAAAGGGTCAATAGAGAATTGGGCTCAATCCGCATGATCCTGAAGAGATTTCATGTTTTACGTACCTCTGCAAATATTTGAGATGTCTCTGTTTAAATTTAGATATCCTTTTGTTTGCACTAAAAGTATAATAATTATGCACTCTGAAAATGCAAATCGTTTTGTATCTTTTGTAAGCCCTGTGCAGCAGTTTTGCAATCATGTTACCCTTTACACACTATTTTGTATTGAGCCACATATATTTTAAAACCTATTTTTGTTACACCTGAAGGGATCAATCTGTCAATTCTGTATTTTGCTACTTTTGAAGAAGTGTTAATAGTTTTTTTGAAACCTTGAACATGAATTCTTTATAAGAACAGGAGCAACTTATTTTCAAAATGTGATCATGCTGAAATCGATTTTGTGGTGCACCAGGCTCACTGTTTTCATAGAGCTTGTCTTGCAAAGTAGGTTACAATGAAGTATTGAATTTTTATTTATGCTAAACATGACGCACACATAGCTTCTTGTTGTGAAGTGAATGCTACACCAGTGCTACACACCTTGTAGTTCAGAAATTGCATATCCTTTCTTCAACTTCTTGCTCAATTGCAGCACAGTATTTTCCACAGCTACACAAGTCCAGTTTGCAAATGTCAGTTTAAATAACAGTATGCACAGCAAGGGGTTTTAGAAAGGCAAAAATAATGTTTCTCTTTTTTAAAAGAGTTTTTATTTTGCATGTTTTGTCACTGAAATATTAATTAAAACTGAATTGCCTAAAATGAAGTTGTCTGTCATTTGTGGATCTCAGTGGAAACATTACTGGGGGGTGGGGGTAACTTTTATTTCTGGCTACTTGGGGTGGCTCCACAAAGCATGAAGACCTTTGCATGATCAAGTTTTTCATCATTACCCACCAAAAGAGAAAGTATGCAGCTCCTTGCTCATCAGCAACTATGGGCAAAAGTGCCTAAGCAGCGCCATTAAGAGGCTTCTCTGGCCCTGATAGCAACCATATGGTTGCTATCTTCCTAGCAGTTTGTGTCCCTTGGCACTTTTGCTTTCCTTCTCTCTCCCTCCAATAGTCAAGGCACCCAGTGAAGCAGCATATAGGGCTGCATCTGTAATTAAGCGATTGTTATTTATAGAACTTAGCAAATTAGCCTTCTCCACCCCACAGATCTGTCGTAGTCTAAAATGCAGAACCCTGCTGTTTCCCTTGAATCTTTCTTTTATTGATTCTTCTTTAAGTCAGTTGGAAAAGTAAGTCATTGGCACAACCCCCCCCCCCTTCCATATTTTCCAATTAAAGACTCCACCTGGAATCATTTAGCAATAACTATTGCTATAATCATTTAAATAAAAGATCCCACAAAGGCCTCTCTTCCTTGATAAAATGTTCTACGGTAGCAGGTGCTGCTAACAGCATTGGTCATAAAATTTAACGAAGTGTGTCCCCAAGTACACTTGATATTGTTTCTTCCCCTCCCTGCTGCCTTCGTCATCTCAGCAGCACCATTTGGAGACACTGAAATATACGCTACATCCCCTTAGGCTGTAATCCTGAGCATACTGAACGCTCTGGAGTGAACATGTCCAAGTGGGTGCTTGAACTCTTCTAAATGTTATTGTTTGACTCATGTGATATTTGGAGGTATAAGGTAGCCAAATTTGTACCTTGCAGGATATCGGGAGAGGAAAAAAGGCTAAGGAGTAAACCCTACACAAATCCAGAGTGGAGACCCTCAGGTGATTGGATTGGATGGTGCCTTTTACACCGCCTTTGGCAGTGCATGTCTTGAGACAGACATGCCAACAAATGTAGCTATTGACCTCTTGAGAGATCTAAGAACAGAAGAAGCTGCCTTAAAAGGGGTCAGATCATTGGTCCATGGAGCTTAGTATACTTGGATTGAAGGGGCTCTCCAGGATTTTTATTATTTTATTACAACCCTACCCCACCTGCCATGCTTATCCCATTGTTAACCACAACAACCTGTGAGACAGTGACTGGTCCAAGGTCACCCAGTGAACTTGATGGCTGAGGATTTTAACCCTGGTCTTCCAGGGTTAAACCAATACAGTAGCTCTAAATTTCAGACAGGAGTCGTTTTCTTTCTGTGAGATGCCAAGGATTACAGCTTGGACTTTTTTGCATGCGAAGTTTGTGTTGTTCGAGTAATGACCTTTCCCTACTCAGTCATACTTTGTAGGGTGAAATCCTATAATGGACTGGGCAGTTGTTGGACATTCAAACAGAGGTCAAGTGGGTGCTAGAAATATGTGATTGGAATAAGAGAGGCTTTGCATCCATCTTTTGTTACCTAGAATTACCTCTTGGCTAGAACCACGCTTTAAAGCAGGGGTGGGGAGCCTGTGGCCCTCCAGATGACGATGGCTTAAACTTCCATCACCTCTGACCATTAGCTATGCTGGCTAGGACTGGTGGTAGTTGTGGACTGGGAGTTTTTCTTTTCTTGATTTGAGAGCCAGTGTGGTAGTGGTTATATTGTCAAACTAGAACATGGGGGACCAATGTTGAATCACCATGAGCCAATCACTCAGCCTAGCTTGCCTCACAAGGTTGTGGGGATTAAGTGAGAATAGGGAGAACCACGTAAGCCACCTTGAGCTCCTTGGAGAAAAGATGGGATATAAATGCAATAAAGAAGAGGAAGATATGCATGTGTGAATGACCCATGCCAGCTAATTATTGCAGAACTGTCATGTGACCTTAAACATGACTTTCAGGTGTGTCCTCTACCCCCAAATCAACTGAGCAGTGAGTGGCTGAAGTAATGCATGTGCATATCTGAACTGGCCCAAACTTTAGCTCACACACCAGAAGAACACATTCTTCATCCGTGGAAGAAAGATGGAAGTTCTTTATATCTTACCAGTGTGGTGTAGTGGTTAAGATCGGTAGTCTCGTAATCTGGTGAACCGGGTTCATGTCTCTGCTCCTCCACATGCAGCTGCTGGGTGACCTTGGGCTACTCACACTTCTCTGAAGTCTCTCAGCCCCACTCACCTCAGAGTGTTTGTTGTGGGGGAGGAAGGGAAAGGAGAATGTTAGCCGCTTTGAGACTCCTTCGGGTAGTGATAAGGCTGGATATCAAATCCAAACCCTTCTTCCAGTTTCAGAGGATGGTGGCTCAAGGGGGCAGGTTTGAACACCAAGAAGGACACTTGTAAGAGTGCTCCCCGTCCCTCTGCTGTATATCAACCAGGCTGGAGACCTTGCCTTCTCAAGCGAGAGAATCCATAACATTTTGGCACCATAAATCTCAGTACCAGCAGGTTCCTGCTATTTATTTACTCTGTGCCTATTTCTAAGGTTATTGTGGACAAAAGGCCGGCTGCTAAGAAGAGCCCATCTAAACTCAGCATCCTCTTCTCATTGTGACCAATCAGATTCCCCAATGGGAAGCCTGCGAGCAGGAACTGAGGGGGGCTCTAAAGCAGCTAGATTATTCTGCATTATTTCCTTCCCAAGACAAAGGCTCCCGCTGACCCTTTCTGCTGAGCAAACTACCTCTCCATTGCACACAAGTCCTGCATACCCATGTGGGTTCAGACACACCTTGTAATGACAGCCTTTGTTTCCTGTTGAGTTTGCGCTTGCATCCCTAAGTGAGTTAATGCTTTATAATAGCACCCAAAGCAAAACAACCAGCAAAACCACTAGCTTTAGATTCTGAACCATCTTTGAGATTTATAAATGGAAAGCAAAAGACACCTTAACAGTAAATTACAAAAATATCTATGAACTGGAAATGGAAAACTGACGCACAGATCCCTCCGGACATCTTGGAGATGCTTGTGGCAAAGGTTACCCAAACATTGCTAAGGGAGGCCAATGGCATCAATTAAGTGCCAGCGGCTGTGTTCACACTTTAGTCTGAGCCTGGGTGCTATAGATGTGCAGCAGAGAGGCAAGTCACAAGTGCCGGCCTGCCTCTGTCCCCAGTGGAGCGCTTTCATACATTATAAATACATACAGTTAATGTAAATTGTTATTTATTTTTCTCCTTGGAGACTTGGCGCAAATCAGCCAAATGTTTTCATTTGTCTTCAAAAAATCAGCTGTGTAACTTTTTCTTCCAGCCTTCCACCAGCACCACAGATAAGCAATATTTTATTAATTACTTTTGATGCAACCCACTGGCCATTTTGTGGTGGCTCACTTGCTTTGGTGATCCGCTGGAGCTGAACAGGGCCCTCTTGTTCTTGCCTGCTCCTGGCCCTGAGGGCAGCCCTGCTCAATCCGACCATCTAGTCCAGCATCAAACTCCTGCAGTGGCCAACTAGGGAAGCCCACAAGCAGGACGGTTTTTTTGATTATTAAATTTCTATCCCACCCATCCTCCAAGGAGCTCAAAGTAGCCCACACAGTTCACCCCTTTGCCCACCCTGTGAAGTGGTTTAGGTCTTTGGCTAATTAAACAGTCTCTTAAGCTGTGGCGTATTGTTTTTGTTTCTTACTATGTTATGCATTTTTATGTATTAATATTGTATATTGTCCAGCTCCACAATACTATGATTCTATGATCCTGGGTCTCCCGGTCCTAGTCCAACACATTAACCCAGCCTTTTTCAACCTTGGGTCCCAAAAGGTTGTTGAGCTACAATTCCCATCATCCCTAGTGAGAAGGGCCAACAGTGATTGAAGCTGTAGTTCAACAACTTTTGGGGACCCAAAGTTGAGAAAGACTCCAAACCAGTACACCAGGCTGCAATTCCCAGCAACTAACATTCTGAGGCTATCTCCATCGCCATTGAGACTAGTAGCCGCTGTTAGCTTCCATGAATTTGTCTAATCCCTTTTGACGCTGTCCAAGTTCGTAGTTCTCACTATATGCCACTTGAACCGTTAGGGCATAATTTAGCTGATTTGAAGGCATGGGACCCACTTCCCTGGCTAATTCTGGGATTATAGGTAAGGTGAGTGAGCATTCACACTGCTGCTTAGCCCATGTTTTCATTTGAGGCTTCCAGACCCAGCTCTGCTTCTCATCCAGTTGGCAGTAATGATTATTTCAGGAAAGGTGCGTGTAAAATGAATCCAAGTGGGACAAAGCAAGGATGGGAGATGCAGTTTTCAAAACCACAAGAAATGTGATTGTTTTTAAAGCCATGTGTTTGCCACTAAATATGGGAGAGTTGTCAGAGATGGGGCAACTGTTAGTGCTGGACTCCAATTCCCATCAGCCCCATCCAACTTGACTAGCTGCCATGGATGATGGGAGCAGTAGTCCAGCAACATCTGGACTGCACCACATTGGCCTATTGCATTCTGAGCTCTGGGGAATTAGAAAGACAACCAGACACATTCAATGCAACAGGCCGATAGCAAAGATATGTTATTAGAGAAAAGCACAATTGCATGAATTCCAATTTGCAGGCATGGGGAAGTCAGCACATAATGGCCAGCCCTGCCCTGATTTCTGTTGTGCTATTAAAATTCCATTTCAGAAACCTTTGTCTCTGAGGAATCTCTCTCTGGATTGGTCTCCATTCCTTGTCATCTTGTTTTTATTGTGGCCTCATTCCCTCAGTTCTGAAGCCAAACCAATCTTCCTTGGGTAATTGATATGCCCACTGCTTCCCAATTTCAGATACCAGTTTCCATTACCTCTCCCTTCCTGTCATTCCAGGCCTAAATTTACCTCCACCACACACTCCTTGTAGCAAACTCTTTGCCTTTTATTCCGGTAATTCAAGAGGCTTAGTCACAAAATCTCCTCCGGGTCTCATACCAGCTGATGTATCCTCTCCATTT